TATCATCTTATAATCACTACTACTTCTATCTAATTATTACTATCCATTACCCTTATCATTGTTACTACTACTTCTCTCTTAGTCTAACTATCATTTTCACTGTTACTCTTACAGTCATTTGCCATATTACAATCACTCCTATATATTTTCTGCAATGAAAAGTAATTTAGTGATGAACAGCTGGATACCCAGAGGATGAGCGAAGACAAAAATAAAAACAGCTAGAAGAATGGAATATGCGAATTAAGAGAGCAAACAGATGAAGAAGCAGCCAGCAGCAGCACTGCAGCAGAGGACTCTCGGCGAACAATACCGCTAAAAAATGACCAGAGCGGGATTCGAACCCGCGCCTCCGAAGAGACCAGAGCCTTAATCTGGCGCCTTAGACCACTCGGCCATCTGATCACACTCTGCATACGCACACACTCTACCCTCCCGTCTGCGCATATTAAACTATAAATAAATATTTGTTTCTGTATATTATGGAAGACGATGCACTAAAAGCGCTCCAAGAGTCGCATCCAGAAATATTCAGCGAATCAGCGGACCAGATAAGAGCAAAGGCGCAGATGATAGACAACGAAGTAAGAATGCTGAAAAGCCACATAACCTCCATTACATACGACTACGAGGCGAAGAAAGAGAAGATACAGGAGAACGTCCAGAAGATAGAGCTGAACAAACAGCTGCCTTTCCTCGTTGGGAATGTTGTGGAAATACTGGACCTTGATGCAGCTGCTCCATCAGAGGGCTCCAATGTGGACGAAACAATCAGCAAGAAGGGCCTGTGTGCTGTCGTTAAAACGTCAAACAGAGTAACCACTTTTCTTCCCTTTGTGGGCCTGGTGCCTGCTGAGGATCTGAAGCCCGGGGATCTTGTGGCTCTTCACAAAGAAACAAACATTGTTTTTGAAAAGCTGGAAGACGACTTCGATGTGAGAGTCAAAGCCATGGAGCTTGACGAGAAACCGACAGACTCGTACGAAGACATTGGAGGCCTGGAAAGACAGATGGAAGAGCTGTACGAGGGAGTGATTCTATCGATCACCCATCCAGAGAAGTTCAAGAGACTGAACATCACCCCGCCCAAGGGCATTCTGATGTATGGCCCGCCGGGAACGGGCAAGACCCTTATGGCAAGGGCGTGTGCTGCTAAGACAGGTGCTACTTTCCTTAAGCTGGCAGGCCCGCAGCTTGTGCAGATGTACATTGGTGATGGAGCCAAGTTAGTTCGTGATGCATTTGCGCTGGCGCGAGCTAAGTCTCCTGCCATCATATTTATAGATGAAATAGATGCAATAGGAACCAAGCGAAGTGACTCAGACAGCACGGGAGACAGAGAGGTGCAGCGCACAATGCTGGAGCTTCTGAACCAGTTGGATGGATTCTCAGGCACTCCGAATATAAAGGTAATAGCTGCGACGAATAGAGTCGATATTCTAGATCCAGCGCTGCTCAGATCAGGGCGGTTTGACAGAAAGATCGAGTTCCCTCTGCCAAACAAGGAAGGAAGAAAGAGAATTCTGCAGATACACTCGCGAAAGATGGCAATGGACCCGAATGTCAACCACGAAGAGCTCGCTCGGTCTATTGAGGGATTCAATGGAGCACAGTGCAAGGCCGTGTGTGTGGAGGCAGGAATGATAGCTCTTAGGGCGGGACGCAACATGATAACGCAGAACGACCTGATAGACGGTGTGCAGGAGATCCTATCCACGAAGAAGGCAAATTTGCACTACTTCTCGTGATCCCAGAATAAACTGTAAAATTCCTGTTTGATTTTCTACTTTACTTCCATACTAACTCCCGCGTCTCTTTTAGCTGCTAGCCAATGGTTTTGTTTTTTCTTCTGCTGTTCTACAGATAAATGCATATTTATCTTCTTTATCTGTGATAGCTGGTTTTTTTTAGATTGACACTTTCTACATAAATAAAAGGTGTAGCTGCATGTACACTTTTTTAACTAAATTCTATCTTTGCTTCATAAAAATAAAAAGTGGTAAACTATTTTTATTGGACACTTTGCTCTTCTGAGCTCGGGGCATTTTCTTTCACTTCTTATTCACTGGGTGTGCTTCAGATGTATTTAGTACGGGAATTTCTGTGAATGATAGAGTATATGTTATAGAGTAAGAGACTGACCAGTAAGCTAGCTGCAGATTAGATAAAAAGTGTTGTTTTATTTTCTATGCGACATCTTCTGTCTTTTGTTCTTTCCAAGCCTTTGTTTTTTTCCTTTTTTCTTATCGTCTTTTTTGAACTTCTTGTTCTTTCTTTCCCCTTCTGGAACCAGCGCCATTGCTGATTTTATCTTTTCCTCCACCTGGTCTTTCTTTCTTCTTTCCTGTCTTGACGGCTTCTTGAAGCTTACCTTCTGGGGCTTTCTTGACTCAACTAAGTTCTCTTCTATGTCCCTCATTTCCTTCTTAGACTTGACTCTTTTCCCCGGGTGGATGACCAGCGGAATGTGTGCCCCCTTGAGCGTTGCAAGAATATTCACTACTTGCATGGTGGACTCTACGAACGCCTTCTCTCTTTGTATGTCTTCCTCAACGGGCACTGTCTCTACGTGCGTTATTCCAGAATATAGCATGAAAATTTTTTCATTCAATGGACAAAAGAACACTCGGCGGAAAGAAAAAACTTGTTTTTGAGCCCAAGCTGCCCACAGCTCCGCTTGAAATACAGGCGGCCCCGGAGACCAAAGAGAAGAAGAGCGAGGAGAGAAGAAAAGAGGTCAAAACAAGAGAAAGGCCGAGCCAGCACAGAATGCCAGATCAGCCCGCTACTCTGATCGGGGGAACAAAAGAAGCGCCGTCTTTTGTGTTTAACCCGAAAAGCATCGAGGAAATAACAACAGAGGATCTGATGAAGGTAGAGAACTCGCCCATTACAGTAGACAAGATAGCAGAGAAGATAAAAAGCAGAGAAGTGGAGAGCATTTCCATTAAGTCATTTGCGAATCAGAAGATACTCCTGCAAATCCCAAAAATACTGGCAGAAGAAGGACAGAGATACATAAAAGGAAAAATCATAGTAAAAAACGAGGAAATGCATCTTTCGCTCGTAGGAAGACTCATAGAGAAAGACGCCCCAAAAGAGTTTCTGTTTAGAATAACGCCGGTAGAGACAGGAATGCCTCAGGAAGCGTATAAAATCAACGAAGCATCGGACTCTTTGTCGAGGATAGGAGAGGTAAAAAACAAGTTCATAGCATCTATTGTAAGAAACAGCTAGCTGTTGTATATATTTATTACATGCATAATCTGCTACAGAGCCAGAAGCATTCGCAATAAAGTGTATTATTCAATCCATAGGACTTCTGCAGAAGTTTTCTGTTCATCTTGTTTTTATGTGCTAATAGGAGTAGTACTATTTTGAATGTTGTATTTTCATTGGACATATTTTTATTTATTATTTGCCAATGATTGATGTGCTATGTGATCTGGTACCAATCACACATTTACACTATTTGATAGATTTGACGGTTTGCAACGTTTATGATCTATATGAGATGATCTCGCATATGCCAGCTAAGAATTAGGCTAATCATTAGAGCTTTTCACTGCTGTATGTCTCACAGAAAGCGCCAGTATGATTAGAGCCTGTATATCTAACAGTAGTTAGGCAAATATGCTTGGTTTTTGTGCTGGCAGGTGGTCTGTTAGATGCGCCTATTGCACACACAGGCTGCTGTTCTATCTGTTTTTAAGCACAGAGAGTGCAATTCATCTTCTCTATACTAGGCCAGTAAGTTTTCGGCTGGTTATGGATTATTGTCCAATGCGCTCTCTTTTTCCTGTGATTGGTTCTTCAGTTATAAAAAACTGATTGGTGTTTTATATTTATTGGTGATTAAATGATGTAAATAACTGATTAATTACGCAAATAACAAAACTAATGGATGTAATAAGCCACCAACGGAGAAAACCCCTGCATAATAAACTATAAATAAAGAGCAGAATAAACCAGATATGAAGAGAGTTCAAACATTAGCATTACTACTTTGTTCGGCTTACATGGCACTCGTGTCATCGACAGTCCAAGTAAATAGTGAAGTTAAAGAGGTACCAGACACAGTCGTACAAGAAGTCAACAAACTTGATGAAACAAACAAAGAAATAAGAGCAGAGTATCTTGCAGTAAGAGACAAAGGATTTACCATAAAGGACGATCTGATCAAGAAAGCAGAGAAACTGGTTGATGACTCTGTCGATCTGATCAGCAAGAATCCCGACTCTGTCAAAAGCAAGGCAAAGGTCGCCAAGGACAGCAGCACGCTGCAGAGCTGGAGAAAGAGCCTTGCGGAGTGCTTCAAGGACCAGGAAGTCTACGAAAAGTTCATGATCGACTCAAGCAAAAGTCTTTTGGAGATGAAGAACACACAGGTCACTGACTGGCCAGAAATCAGCAAAAACCTACAAGAAGCCGAGGGAAGTTGGTTCAACTTCTTTGGGGGCGCAACACCATCGACAGCAGCAAAAGATAACAAAGAATACACAGAAAAATACAACAACTTTATCAGCCAAGTCGTGAAGATGCTGGCCACCAGAAACTTGAATTCTATAAAAGGATCAGGCCTGGGAAATCTGGAAAGCTTTTTAAAGAAGTTTGAGAAGCACATCATCACCTCTCCTGAAAAAGAAGACCAGAAGAAGCAAATGTACAGAGACCTCATGGCCGCCTGCATTCTCAGAGAAAAGATAAAACAGCTCAAGGAGTACATCTATCCAAATGCAAACGACAAAGAGTTCAAGTACTTCAGTTTCCTCCTGGACACATCTGACGTGCAGAGACATCTAATGAGCAACGCCATCGACCTAGAACGCGAAGTGTACAATGCCAACGAAATAACAAAGCCTCTGGCTGGAGTTTTCAACAAGGCATTCCTGAACGTTGCTAACGATGACTACGAGCTTATTGGAGAACTAGCAAAAGAAAATATTTCTGACAAAGACGTGGAAGCCATTATAAGTAAAAGATATGATGTAATTATTGGCATGATTGAGAAGTACAACAAGGAGGAGATAATCCACACAGACGCTCTCCCCAACCACTGGAAAACCAAAATGGAAGAGCTTAAGAACTACAACATAAAACTGCTAAAAAACATCATCATGACCATCAAAGTGCCAACTGTTACTTCTGCAATTACTGACGATCTAGACAAATGTTCTGCAGTAGGTGATGGTGAGCACGCATTGAACATGTCTGATAAGAAGGTAACAGCTGACGCTGTGAGCACCTGGTTTGGTTTTACTAGCCCTGCCCAGGGAGTGCCCAATGCTATGCTGAACATGATAATAAGCGGAACCAAGTCGGTGATAAACATCCCTTACACTCTAGGAAAAAAGTTTATAACTTTATTCAGCACTAAAGAGTGGAACAAGGTCTTATTGAAGGACGTGCAGGCAGAAGACAACATTAGAAAGGACGCCCTCCACAAACAGGGAGTCATTCTGGAGAACATTGAAAGCACGCTGAACTTCCTTCCAGCAGATCTGATAGAGGCATCTAAGGCTGAGCAGCTGCAGAATCTTACTAACGAAATAAAGTACCTAGCAAGCAAGTCCAGATCGCTAATCTACATGGTCAAAATGCAAACTATGAAGAAAAACATAAACCCACCAGTTCCTAGCGTTTCCTATGTAAATGTAGCTCTTAGCTTCATAAAGGAAATGGCAGCTTCAAAGCTCGGCGAATACAAGGCACTGAACGTATCATCGTACAAGAAGATAGAAAAAGTGAGCTACATGGCATTCATTGCACGACAGAAGCAGACAGAGCTAGTGCTGAACTACATGAAGCAGCTGGTTGCTGAGTACAACCAAGCCTCAAAGAAAATCGCAGTCTTGGTAACAGAGAAGCAGATGCAGGAGCAGAACGCGATTGCAGAACAGCTGGCTAGCGTGAATGTTGCAGCTGATCTAAAGCCAGGAAGATCTCTGACCCTTAGCAAAGCACTGAACGCAAACATGCGAAACGCAATAGACGTGATTGTTCTGGAGCTGGAAAAAACACAGGCTATTAATAACAGAGCTTGTTTCTGTGCAACACAGAAGAACATTCTTCTCTTTGACCACGCAATTCAGCTACTGGATATATACACTTCAGAGAAAGCAGAGAGCGCAAAGGCTAGCATGGAGAAGTACAAAAAGCACGGAATCCAGGACAAGATTGCACAAATGATCAAGGACGAAGCAAGCAACGAAAAGTCAAAGCTGGCTGCATTCAGAACTGAGAACATCATTGTCAACATTGGAGTGAAAGTGCCCATGATGCTATCTGAGGCTTTCGGAGTAAAGACTCAGCTGCAGGCAGAAGAAGCTCTACTCGGAGGAAGCTCTGATGAGGTCCCTGGTCTAAATTCTACCTCTACAGTAGTAGCAAAGGGCGAAGAGAAGAAAGGAATGAAATTTAACTACAGAAAAGCAATCGTGTGCGGTGCAATTGTTCTGGTTGTCTGTGCTATCATTGGTCTCGGAGTCTTATATTACTTTAAAAGGATAAAGCAAAAAGACAGCTTATTAGAATAAATAAAATCTGTTGTATCAATTTTTCGTATTTCATTTCATTTCTCTATGGTTCTGTCATAGGGGCTGTCATGCCGCCACTAAATAAATTTATATGTACGCTATTTTAATTTTATTAGACAGCCAAGAGCTAGAATTATGAAAGAAAAGTGTACAGCTCTGGTGTGTGTACGCTATTTTTACCTATATTGCGCATTTTGATAGGCTGCACAGATAAAAAGGCGTCCCTGTAAAGACACTGGACACTTTTGCTCCTTTTCTCCTTAAGTTCAGACAGTCTGCAGTAGCCAATATATTTCTAGTAGCTGCAGTAGGGGAGTAATAAGTAGGGGTGTAATTTATAAAAGCTCGTTATCCATTTCATTCTGTTTATTCATTTGTTTTAAACTGCGAAACGCGCAGAAGCATTTCTGTTCTTCTTCTGATAAAGTCGTCCTCCTGTCCCGTGCTGAAGCTCATAGGCGAAGACTCCGGGCCTGTGACCAGCTCAACTGTAAGGCTTCCTTTGACAATCATCTGCGGCCCTCCCGTGCTTTCTTCTAAGACTATCCCCGAGATGCTTCTGTTCATATCTTCAATGGACTTCCATTTCTCCACTAAAACGCTTGCATCAACCTCCTTTGGATACGCGCTTGCTCTCCCTGCCATCTCCTGCAGGTACTTGCCCTCAAAGTACTTTGCGTTTATCTTTTGGTACCTTCTCTTCACCAGGTCGTTTAATATGCCCATTGAAGTGTCGTACTCGTACTGCAGCTTAGACCTGATGGCGTCCACCTCCTGTTCAAACCCATCAATCTCCTCCTCCACAGCGCTCACTGAGCTCTTGGCTCTTCTCAGAACAAGCTCCATTTCTTCGTTTTCCTGTATTCTGTTTCTCAGCTCGTCGCATGCTTCAATGTACGATATCATCTTGTGGTTGTGGTGGGAGGGAACGCCCGAAGCTGTGCCTCCTATCCTGCATTGCGTGCACACGGGCGCGCTGCAGTCTATGCAGAAATAGTCTACAACTACTGTCTTGTGGTCTCTGCAGTGCAAGAATCTCTTTTTCCCCACCTGGTTGAAATAGTACCGAGAGTGTCTCTGTGTAAACTCGTTGCTGTGGAAGTAGTTATCGCATGCATCACAGAAAGCCGCTCTCTCAGCCAAACAGAACGACGTTGCGGTGTTTGAGTTGCAGTACTCGCACGCATCGTTGTTTTTGCTTTTATCCTCCAGCTTTTTATCGTACGTAAAACTGACCTCAGCGAGAATAAGCACTCTGCTGGCGTCAGGAACGACGTAGCTGTACGATGAGAGGGACTGCGACTTCTTGTGCAAGCTTATCACACACTCAATGGCCTCGGAGTTCTCGCTGATTATAAACGAGTCGTACCCGTGGGGCGTCTTGCAGTTCATAGCGTACTCTTCTGAGGTGAACAGCGATGTTCCAACGGCTATCTGGCAGTACAGCACTTTGTGCTTCATCTGTTCTGTGTCAATGGGCACGCCTATCAGCGGGGTGATAGTTGGGCCGCTGCTTGCCTGCACTGGCGGCTTTATGAAGGCGTGGATCATTTTTTGGTTTTTGTATTTCTTGAGGAACTGCAGCCTGTCCATCTGCGAGGTGTCTGTCACTTTTATTTCATCGACCACAAGAGTCATTGAGTTAAGCAGGAACCGTAGTTTGTATTCAATGTCGTCCATCCTAAACAAAAATATTAATAATAAAATTATTTACAAATTAATACAGAGATATGTTAATTAATGAATAGGCGCAAATTAAGAAGCAGGTGCTAGAGCACGCATAAAGTGCAAAAATACAACACAGGCTGCCCTTTGTAGGATGCAATGGGCTTATGGGGCAGTGTGCTCCTATAAACAGCGGCAGCAGTTTTGTAGTACTTGCTCTTCTATTTGCTCTCCTAAGGGGCTGGCCATTTGTATTAATAAACCAATTTAATGGAAAATTAAAAAAGTGCTAAATGAGCCGAATATTATCTGGAAAGAAGCAGGACGGCGTAGAGTACAAAATTAGCATGCGCAAGCTGCAGATGCAGGCAGAAACCTTCTTTTCGTTCCTTCTTCTTTCCATATATAGAGCCCGTGAAAACAGCGCAATAGAAAGCGAAGCTTCCTATATCTTGAATATGCTGTCGTTCACTGATATATTCCACATCTTCAACCCAAAAAAGCAGAAGACTCTATCGTTTAACTTCTCAGAGTCGCAGACGTCTGCTGCGCCGTCAAAGAAAACAAAAACCAACATACTTCAGGCAGTGGCAGTGTCAAATTACATAAAAAAGAGACTGAGAGCCAGTCTAGCCAGAGAAGGGGCGCTGCACGAGTTCATTCTGAGCAGGATAGAAAAAGAAGACATTTGCAACGCAGAAAAAACAAGAAACCTGGAAAAGCACCGCAGCGAGCTGATTAAAATATTCAACAGAGAAGTGCTTGATGCATTTGATGAAATAAAAAACTCAAACGTCATAGAGGAAATAGTTGAAAACATAACAACAGAGTTCTTCAGGAAACAGAGCTCTGCCGGATCGCTTCTAAGCAGCGACAGGCACTCTGTCTCTAGCAAAACACTCTCAAGCGGTTCTAAAAGATCACCCAGCAGAACACAAACAGCCACTTCTCTTCATACCAGCCCCATAAATAAGACAAAAGAATGCTCAAAAAATAGAACGGAAAAAGCAGCAGAGAATAAGACTGCAAATGCAAGCCACTATGTTTCTGAGTGCAACAACAACAGCCTGTCTTCCTACCAAGATCTGTACTTCGAGATGAAAGAGAGTGCTGAAAATGAATTTATTTTGAAAACACTTCTCTCCTCTGCACAGGAAGATGCCTTCAGTGACTCAGTTATTTTCTACGTTCTTGTCATTGCTGCCGTTTTTCTTTTTTTAATACTTGTGGGCATATGCGTTGTAATTGCCATCCTTCTGTTAAGAGCGCCCAGCCCCACAAAACACTGCAACTGCAGCTGAGTGCTAGAAACACACCTATCCTGTGCTTTTCTTAGGGTGTATTTCAGAGGATCAGAGATGGATAATAGCAGCCAGCACTGCATTTGTCTTTTTCTGTAGATTGCAGTGCTATGCAGCACACATAAGATTGAAGAAATCTTTGTTAGGTTTAAGAGCCAGATAAAAGAAAACTAAAATGTGTCAAACTAACAATTAAATAGACATTAAGTGATCGATCAGAAAATATTATATATAGCATTTTAAAATTAAATTCAAAAAAAACTCAAAATAAGGGACAGTAAGATAGAAGAACTCGATAGATTTTCACTAGATGAAGAAGATGCGTATGTAGTTGAAACAGCAGATGATAAAGAAACAGATTCAGACGATGGGATAATCTGGATGAAAAAAAGTAGAGATAATAAAGAAAACGAGGAAAGATGCAAAGAGAGCGAGATATCTGACCCATCGACCTACGTTCCGTCTAACTTCACTAAATCAGAGAAAATAAAGCCAAAAGAGAGAGAAAAAGATCTTGGTTGGGCTGTATTAGCCATACCCTTGATAGCTCTAGCGACTGTTACGATATTCTTTTTCTTTACAAGAAAAAGCAGCACTTTGTTGCTATCAAGCAGCCACAGCGCAACCACACGGTTTAAGAGCTAGCTTGTGGCAGCAGATTGCCAATGTGTGTTATAGAAGTGATCAATAATAAATATCGGAATATTAACAGCACTTGTTCTAAACAGTTGTGATGAGTAGCAGTGCATCTACTGTGTATCTTGCACAGTGTGTACTTCAAAATAGCGTGGCTTAGTATCGAATAAATTAGTGTTCTTTTATTTATGCGCAACAGATTATAATTTCATTAAAAACTCTACACAGCAATATGTGTAGACATTTATTTGCAAAACAAAAAAAGAAATCTCAAGGGTAAGAAACATCCTAAGCTCAAGATTGTTCTGTTTACTCTGATGCAATAGCATTCATCTATTAGCACTGATTTCAGATAAAAATGTATCAGCTATTGTTTGCCTGATTGGATTAAAGTACGAAAGAGTAGAAGGCTGCAATATAAGAATTTATTTCTGATATTTATATTTAACACAGTATGTAAGATGCATAGTTTAGTTTTCGCCTATTCGCGCTCTGTGCTAATATGAAAGGGCTGCGATGTTTCTGGTGCATATGGGGAATGCCTTTTTAACCAGCTGAGGGTCTCCGTAGCTTATAAACTCTATTGCAGTTATAGTAGACATGAATATGGGGCTGATGAGAGACCCGACCATAAACAGCACCAGGAAAATCAGAGACATCACTCCATAGTCAGCAGAAGTTTTAAGAGTCGTCAGATCCCTCATGTAGATGTCTGCGACTTTCATTACTCCTGCGCCCACCAGCAAGTTGAATGCTAGGATGAAGGTGAACATCGAGATTGAGCATATCTTGCGGTAGAACCCAAAGTTTGTGTTGATGATGTGGTCTGCTGCCCTCTTCATGGACGTAACGTAGTTAGTTCCGTAGAGCGAGTTGTAGACTATGCAGTAGTTGTTCAGCTGTTCTATCACCACGTCCAGAAGCATAAGGATAATCGATGCAATGAAGAGCACAATCAGAACAAGAATGCTTCTATCTCTGCTTCTCTGTTCTCTATTGAATGCGTTTTCGCTCAGCTGTCTGAGCACAAAGATGACTGCAGATAGAAGAGCAGCTATGAAGATCGTGCCTGTTGAAAGCACCATCCTTTTTAGCCCCACTCCCATGGCACTTCTATGGTACTCTTTCTTGTTCACCTTGTTAAGCATGTACTGGTGCGTCATCTTTGCATAGAGCGTAGACACAGCCCACAGGAAAGAAAAAACGATGAAGGAAAGGTTAAACACCGTGTATATACACTTCACAAGGACAGTGACATCGTAGTAAGAGGAGTTTCTGTGTGCCAATACATCGTTTAGGAATATAAACCCAAACGTAGCGGCATGAAGAACACAGATAAGAACAGCACAGCTAACATAGCACAGCGAGTAGCACATGATGTTAGACAGAATAATCTCACAGGACATCTTGATAAAATACTTCACCGCCTCTATGTCTTCAATGACTTTGTAGAATATGGTGACAGACAGCACAAAGATTAGCAGCTGAGATATAAAGCTAAGTAAATATCCGGCTGTGAGAGACACATACATGCCGTACCCCAGCAAAGAGAAGAGCAGGGCAAAGTTAAAGTATATCATAGGCTTAGTTATAACTCTGAACAGAAGCAGCGAAACTATTGGTGTAAAATATGAAGCCAGTATTGCAAATGCCCCGAAGATGAAATTTTTCTGCTCAACTTGTCCAATGGACGGGGCGAGGCCTATGAGATCTTTGTAAGAGTAGGAAAAAGTAATCGAGAGAAAGATAGCAATGTTCACCAGGCCTATGAAGGCTGCTGGCACGTCTGTGAACTTATATTTTGTCTGTATTGCGGAAATGTATTCTTTTGGTTGGCTATTCATTTGAAATTTTTATTTTTATTTGCATTTATAGTTTTATGCTGTTTATGGATTTTACAAGAAGGTGATTGGTTAATAAAGCGCAAAGGAGAAAAAAACAGAAAATTACTGCAAATTACAATAAAACAGAGAATAAATTGTTATCTAAGTCTGACCATCAGAATGGCTGAAAGACAAAGATAGCTCTTATCGCCAATTAAGAAGATCCTTTATTTTCATAGCAACCAGGCTCAGAGTCACTGAAGCATGCAAAGACAAGCTCTAAAAGAGAGTAACAAATCACATAGCATCATACTCTACTGCAGCCCAGGCGCATAGTCTCTATTACAGCTCTAAAATGCATCCACTCCATTCCTTTAAAGCCAACAAGCAGATTATAAAGACATGCACAGTGTGTGAGACTATCTGGTAATTTATTGTATAGTTCCCCAATCAATCAATAAAGAAAATATTTTATTATTCTAGTACTTAATTGTTATCTCTATATTGAACATATCGATTACGTTAAGAAAAGAGTCATACAGCAGACAGATCGCGCCAGAAAGACCGACTAGACACACGGTTATCCCTATAACAGCAATAACCCGAGAAAACTCTTCAGTTGACTCGTCAAATATCCCGCTTTCGTGCAGGGCGTTATTGCTCCACCCTGTGATGTACGAATATATGTCTTTAAGGTACTTTATGCAGACCATGATGTACGTGAGCAGCAGAACAGCGTAGATTATCGTTGACTTTGGAGGCGTGTAGAACGCGATGTTAGAAATGTTGTAGTCGTAGAGCGCATAGAATATCTGTATAGTCGCTATGTTCATGATGAATATGAGAATGTGCATTGGCCCGGTGAAGTCGCTTTCGATCTCCAGCTTGCTGCTTAGCACGCCCAGATAGCTGAGCTTGCCAAGGAAGAACCAAAGAACAGTCTTAAATATAAGGAACAGTATGCACATAATCCCGTACGACAAAAAGTCATACGATGGGTCAAAGTCCACGCCCTTGGGAAAAGCCTTGGATCCTCCGTTTGACACAAGGAGAATCTGGTCCAGCATTGCAGAGTACAGGAAAGGCCCAACGAGGTAGACGGGAATGTAGTATACAAAGAGAACAAAAAGAGCGTGCATGTCGTAGTACACCTTGTTCCATATTTTCAGCGTGCTTGTATACAGCTGCTCGGAGACAGGAGGAGCATTCACGTAGTGCGGGTCTCTGGATATGTTGTTGTAGTTTTCCATGAAGTCTCTGGGGATCACGGGTCTTTCGCTGATGTATTGCTGCACTGCATCGTGGTAGTTTGGGGGAGGAATATACCCCGCAGGCTCGGGAAGGAGCACAGCTTCATCGTAGGGGGGCGGGGCATGGCCCCGTTCGTTTACAGCTTCAGTCTCTGCGTATCCATCTGTACTCTGCTGGCTTGTGCCCTGCCAGCTTGGCCCTGGCTCGTTTATATTTTGCTGTGTTTCTTCTATCTCTTCTAGTCCATCCACCATAGAAGAGCAGCTTAGGCGAGCTATATATCCAACAGATTGCAATTTTAATTTCCAAAAAAAGATAGATTGATATTGGCATAAAAGACCGTGCACAAGAAAAGCACAACCATTCAGGTTCTCCTGCAGCTAGGCAATAGAGATGGGCATTACAAGATGCATAGTATTATTTTTATTATCGGTAAAATGTATAATCTTCTCAGTCCTTTTTGGGCTGATTATCCTCGCAGTCAAATAAAATTTTAAATGATCCTGTTCCTATGGGTATTCTCTGCCCGCTGATGATGCACTCGCTCACGCCGTCTATCTTGTCTTCGTATCCTGAGTACCCAGCGGTGAAGAGATGCTCTCCCGTCTGTTCAAAACTGGCCAGTGTGAGCACGCTTGATCCTCCCATCTTCTGCAGCCCAAACCTTGTCATCCCGCATATCTCCCCTGTAAAACACATCACATCAGCCAGCAGGCCAATGTGCCTCACATCGACTGATATTCCGTGTCTTCCTATGGTGTACTGTATCTCTTTGACTATCGACTCCCTTGCTGCCTCTATTCCTAGCGTGCGGTATGTTTCGTATATGTTATTAGTGCGTGTCGCATTTGGGTCCACGCCTTCAATTCCCAGCACCTCTTGCAGTCCCACGCCCTCAGCGACTATTTCATCATTTGCTGATATAACTCTTGTCACTGTCGATATCCCCTTCAGCTTCGTTTTCATCAGTTTGTCTATCTCAGAGGGCAGAGGCTTCTCGAGAGGCGTCTCCCAGTAGTAGCTCCCGTTTCTCTTTACTCCTCCAATTGCCTTTATCTCGCTGTCTAAGCTGTGTCTTGCTATCTGTCTCTCTGGTATCGCAAATACTGCAGAGATTTTGTTTATTGAAACAGACTCAGCTACATCCCCAATGACCACAGGCTGTATCCTAGCAGCAAGGGTGTTCTCGTGTCCTGGCACTGCTGCTATTTTTATAAGCGGTGTGCTAATGCTTGTGCTTGCATTGATTATCTCCTTAAGACGAGGAACTCCCAGGGTGATGCTGGCTCCAGAGGTACCTGCCAAGTGGAAAGTCTTCAGCGTCATCTGCGTCCCTGGCTCTCCTATGCTCTGTGCGGCTAGTGCGCCCACTGCAGTCCCGTACTCTATCTGCGCCTTGAGTGTTTGGAACAGCATTTTGCTAATGAACAGCTGCTTTACCACGGCACTGTCTGTTTTACCGCACAGGAAGGCATTTATTATACCTACTAGGTGTGAGTTATTGTGTCTAAATAGCAGATACCCAACGGCCTTATTTACAAGATCCCACAGAGTTTCTTTGACTGCGCCCAGAGCAGAGTCATACACAGACGGCCATATCGATACAATGGCTCTGTGTATAAGAATGATCGAAGGGTGGCAGTCTTTGATTATCTTGCCAATGCCTTCAGTGCTATCCACGCTGCTACTTCTACCAGTGGCACTATTTTCTGTGTCTTGTGCACTATATATTTCTGCTATACGGCTAGCCCATGTATGCGCTGCCGGCATATCTGTTAGCAGTGTTCCTTTCTGCAGCAGCACAGGGTCCAGCCCATCGTCACCAAACTGCATCTGAATGATCTGCTTCCCTCTTCGCACTGTTCCATCGTATGCTACGTGCACGCCTTCTAGCACCTTCATTAGCCTTCTCTGCATATATCCAGTCTCAGCTGTTTTAACTGCCGTATCAACAAGTCCCTCTCTTCCACTGACTGCATGGAAGAAAAACTCAGTGGGCCCAAGACCCGAGCAGAACGAAGAGCGCACAAACCCGCGGGCTGCGTGTCTGTTATTACTGTTACTGCTACTATTGATAATTTTGCCATTATTACTAATGTTGTTAATAATGCTTCTATTTTCATTGCTGCTGCTATTATTGCTGTTATTACTGCTGCTATTAGTAAAATTAATATTTGTGCTAAAGTGAGGAAGTGTTCTATCGCCAAAGTCCAGTGAAATTCTTTTGCCCCCTACCACCTGCTGTCCCACACAGGCAACCATCTGCGATACGTTGATCAAACTCCCCTTGCTACCGCAGTCCTGCATGATGACTGGGCTGTTGTCGTGCGGTAGGTGGGCAATGCAGTGCTTCCCTGCATCTTCTCTGGCCCTTGATAGCACCGACATAGCTTTGTCTTCGCTCTCTGCCAGAGAAGAGGCTTCTTTTTCGCAAGATTCTACAGCCTGTGTAATAAGTTCTTGCAGATCAGGCCCAGCCAGAACGTCATCTAACCCTATGCTGAACCCAGCCTCGCCAAGGTACCTCGCACAGAGCCTCGCCACGGCGTCTAGAGCACGCACCACAACCTCTGGCCCGCCCTCTCTCAGCTCGTGATGGAATATGCTCCCCTCTTCAGCGCCAACGACCTTCTTGTCTGCTCTGCCAAAAAGTATCTCGCCATTGCGCATGACAAATAGCCCTTCCGTGTGCGACGCATGGTCGCCTGCAGGCCCAGCCCGTCGTGTGCGCACTTCCACAGAAATAGAAAGCCCCATGGTCGCGCTGAGAAGAGTCTTGCCCGTATATAGTACACTGGGCCGTAGAATAGTTGGCTTGGAGTTAATGCGCAGAGAATTGGGCAGGGCGTACATTATAAACTGTCCAAACTGTTTCTTCGTTAGAAATACTGACTTTCTGGTCAGGAGATAGCTTCCCGTTATGAAGTCCTGTGTAGCTGCAACGAGAGGCTGTCCGTTCCTGGGCACTGCCAGGTTTCTTCTTACGCCCATGAGCTCAAGGGCCTCCACCCTGGCCTCCACGGTCTGCGGCAGATGTATGTTCATTTCATCTCCATCAAAATCCGCGTTGTACGGTGAGCACACACACTCATTGAAACGAAGAGTGCGCCCAGGGAGCACCTTCACTTTGTGCGCCATTATGCTGAGTCTGTGGAGAGAAGGCTGTCTGTTAAATAGAACAACGTCTGAGTCTTGCAGGTGTCTTTCGAGGATGTCTCCCTCTTCTAAACATATGCAGTTATTTTTATCGCCTTCACTGCTGCTATTATTTTCCACTAAATTTCTGCTGATTTTTACATCTGCACCTCCTCTGAGGAAGATACGCCTTTCTCCTTTTTTCTTGAGCAGGTAGTTAGCCCCTGGGTACGTGTTGCATCCGTTGTTAGCCAGTGCCTGCATCTTTACTGCGTTATTCACCGTTACAGGTATGGGCACTGTGAGGGTTTTTGCCATTTCCACGGGTATTCCCACCTGTTCTACGCTGAGGTTTGGGTCTGGCGAGATGACAGTTCTTCCCGAGAACTCCACTCTCTTTCCCGAGAGATTTCCTCTGAACCTCCCATGCTTTCCCTTCAGTCTCTGCACTAAACTTCGTATTTTGGCTGCATCTGGGCGGGCGTCTGAGCTGATCAGCTGTGCGCACTGTGACTGCAGCAGGTCCCAGTTCTCAGAGAGCGAGTGCAAAGGCGTGCCCTTCTCTATTTCTTCCCGTATCAGCTGCGAGGTGTACGATATTTCACTCAGCTTTATCGTAAGATCATCTTCATTAGACGATGCATCGAGAGAGAGCACACTGGGCCGTATTGTCGCAGGCGGCACAGGCAGACAGGTTATCATAAGGGCTGTGGGGCAGCACGACATCCCCAGAAGAATTTTTGCATCGTCTGATATGTTTCTAAGTATTTCTCTTGCGAGCACAGGTGATATGTACTCATCGGGCGTGTTCTGCACCCATGGGCCAATTTCTGCGTTATCTGCGATTGATGATGCGTAGTACGTCTTTTCCACTTCTTTCTGCTGATCGTGCTTTTTAAGCCTGTGCACGCGGTGAAAAAACTTAAATCCTGTTTTTCGGACTATTCCGTTGATGCTGAAGCAAACAGAACACTCAACTGTTTTTTTGCACTCGTCCATTACTTTTTTAATCACTCTTTGCTCGAGGGTTCTGGAGCCTTTCCTTGCCCGCAGCTTCAGAAGCAGCTGCGCTTTTATTTCGTCTGGTAGAAGAAGAGATGAACACTGCTTGCAGACACTTTGCAGCACTTTGTGCGTGTTCTTCAGCAGGCCCGGGTGGAAGACAGGGAGGGGCAGATCGATGTGCCCAAAGTGTCCCACACACTCAGCCATTTTATCGCCACACGTGCTGCACACGCTGTCCTTTGTGCTTGGGCCCAGACGAAGGTCAAGAGGACCTGTGCTCGCTGGAGACTTTCCCTCTTCTCCGTATAAGTCTCTGGACGTAACAGAAAGAACGGACATTCCGCGTATCTCTGTTTCTTTTAGGATCTCAAACTTTATTCTGGATATTTCTCGGGGTATGTACTCTTTGCTTCCCATAATTATATATTTTATTTTTGCATTTTATTATAACCGAAAACTCTTTAAAAACGCGTGCAATAAATATTTTATGCAAGTGTTCTACAAGTTTCGGTCGGAAAGAGACTTCAGCAAGATAGAGACAGACAGGCCAGCCATGCCCCTGTGGGAGCTCAAGGCAGAAATAGCATCAAAGCGGTACTTAACTCTGCATGACTACCATCTAATCTTCTATGTTGACAACGAAAAGACTCCCATCACAGATAACTATGCTACAATTTACACAAACACAAACATAGTAATAGAGAGAGTGCCCAACCACATAAACGCAGGGTATAAGGAGGCGCTGGAAAAAATGAAAAAACAGCCAGAAGAGCAGGCCAAGCAGCCAGAGGAAGCCACAAGTATCTCCATGCAGAGCACCCAGGGGGCAAAGGTGCCTCCCTCATCGTACATATGCTTCAGGTGCGGACAAAAAGGCCACTTCATCCAGATGTGCCCAACGAACAACAATAAGCAATATGATGCCATGCGAATCAAGAAAGCAACAGGCATTCCCAAGACATTCTTGGTGCCTGTGGAAGAGTCATCACCCACATCCGTGCTTCTCAATGAAGAGGGCAAGTTTGTCAGGGCGCAGCCGCAGATAAAGGAGTTCTCAAAGAGGTTCAAGCCCATGGGAGAGCGGTCTAAGACACCAAGTGAGTTTCTGTGTCCCCAGTGCAACAGTATGATCGTTGATGCAGTCAAGCTCAAGTGCAAGCACACAGTTTGCGAGTACTGTGTGTCAAATAGATGCCCTGTCTGCAATAAGAAGTCATCAGGTGTGACGATCGATAGCAAAATGAGAAAGAAGATAGAAAACTTCCTGGAGAACAGCAAGCTGTAGAAGGGTAGCGGGCCAGTGCACACTATCTAATATTTAGATGGGTATAATAAATGTAAATCAGAATGATATTTGTCGTTTAGTCTCTGTTGTAATGAGCTTCATCTGATTGCGAGCTGTTGGTCTAACTCTGCACAATCATTCTATCTAAATTACCTCAGCCTGTTTTTATGCTATAAATATATCTAAATAGAATATTCTATCTATTTGAGTAAGAGAGTAGGATAATTAAAAATATACATAAATAAAAAGATAAACATTTGCAAACTCTTCCAGCAATGCTATTCCTCTCTTGTAATCAACTATAGCCCCCTTCTATTTTTTATTCATCCAATTTGCACACCTCAACATTGTTCATGATGAATAGTTTTTTCACTTCTTCGTCTTCTGTATACTCGTGCAAATAGTACACTTTAGATATCTTCAGCTGGACTATCTTCCTGGAGCACAGTCTGCACGGATAAACCGTTGTGTAGAGCTCTGACCCGTTTATTTCGCTTGCATTTCTCTCCAAAAAAGCGCTCTCTTCTGCGTGTATGCAAAAACAGTCTGATAGCTCTTTTCCTCTGTGTGTGTTGTTATTGCACCTAACACACCCTCCATCCGCACAGTTTACACTGCCCACCGATGTTCCGTTGTATCCTATGCACAGCACTCTGCTGTTCTTTACAATAACTGCCCCCACCTTTCTTTTCATGCAGTTGGATCTTGTTGATGCGATTTGTGCTATGCTCATGAAGTATTCCTGCCAGGTCGGCCGAGACTTTATTTTGAATATTTTTTCTGTTTCGTGCTCTTGGATTTCCAGCAGATTTGTTTTGTTCAAAAATAAGTGTCTTATGGCCATTATCTTTTTTGAATAGCTGTTGAATCTTTTTGCGTCTATTGTCTCGTTCTCTTCAAGCACAGGATGCACAATTATGAGCACGGTAAAGGGCCGGATGTGGAACTCGTCCCAGCTGAGCGGATCTTCCAGATGGATAGCCAGATCTTTCTTCCATCCTTCGTTATCCATTATGTCCAGGAGCATCCCTTTTTTGTATATCTTCTGCTCGGATCCTTTTCCCACCAGGCACTTAAGCACTTTTTCCGCTGCTTTGTCTGAAATAGAAGTAACACAAAATAGCATTGCAAAAATTTTATAGAATGGGATGTGCTCTTTTTGTCATTGGCCCAGCGGGGTCTGGAAAGACAACTCTAACACACATGCTGAAAGACCACTATAGCGCACAGAAAAGGAAAGTAACGCTGGTTAACCTGGACCCAGCACAGGCGCTGGACGACTTGGAGTTTGCAGTGGACATCAGAAACCACATAGAAATAACGGAAATCATGGAGGAGGCAGACTTTGGCCCGAACGGCGGGCTCATGGCGGGCATAGAAGCCATCTCAGACAACTTGGACATAATGGAAATACCAGAGGAAGACGACTCTTTTCTTATTTTTGATTGCCCCGGACAGATTGAGCTCTACATACACTCAGATTCGGTGCAGAAAATAGTCGCAGAGATAAGCAAAAATAACAGCGTTATGATCGTGTACGCGCTTGATGCCACACACACCATGGACATAACTAGATTTGTGTCAGCCTCTATTTCAGCAACGATTGCCATGGGAAAGTTTGAAGTGCCGCACATAAATGTGTTCACAAAGTGCGATCTGGTGGATGAAGAGCAGCTAGATGAGTTTATATACGATATGGACATTGAAGGCGTCGCAGAAAATCTGCCTGCCAGCAGTGAAAAAGAGAAAAAGTTTAACTATGCACTGACAACAATTATTCGAGACCAGGGCCTGCTTGGGTTTGTGCCTCTTAACTACAAGAAGAATAACTCTCTGGATGCTCTTGCGTACCAGATAGACACGTGTCTACAGTACTTTGACACACAACTGCCAGAAGAATGAACAAAATAGAATAAATATTAGTGTGATTATAGCCTCTTGATATTGTAGCGAGGTAAGGACAATAAATGATTTTAATACTCTATGGGGTAATTTATTGTGTGATACATCTAACAATCAATCATTGCTCTGCTGATGATGTAATAGTTTGTCTTTTTAATATCTCTATGATCTTTTCAGAGTCTGCCTCAGGGTATTCCTCCTCGAGTTTTATAAATGCATTGATTATTTCTTCTTTGTTTTTCAGCACTCTCAGAGATCTTTGCAGCAGTATCCTTGACGACTCTATTTCTCCTATGCTCCTCAGAGAAGACGCAGACAGGATCCAGGCCTTGGGCTCTCCTGTGAGCTTTTTTGGCAGACTCAGAGATAGCTCTTTTATTTTTATCTCGTCATTTATCGAGATAAAGTACTCCAGATGCGAGATGTACAGCTCCTTCTCGTGCGGAAAGGAGAACTGTGCTCTTCTGTAGATGCTGTTTATTCTTGTCTGTATATACCCCTTTCTGTGCTTTTCTTTTTTCACTCTTTTGTTGTATATGCGCTGCAGCTTGACCTCGTACTCAATGTACAGGAGGAACACAGATAGTCTTGGGCGCACTGAGAGTATTTCTTCAAACTCTTTTCTTTTTTTGACTATGGACTCAAGCTCCTGCGGCTTGAATATTTTCCTGTCCTTGTAGTAATTCAGCTCGGCAGCCATGTACTCTAGCTCATTTACCACCGTCTGCGCCATAATAAAATTTTATTCTGTCCATTTAATTAAAAAATGAAAACTTTTATTTACGAGCTCTGTTTGTTATGAAAGACACTGAAGATATCCTGGAAGAATTCAACATAAACGCGGAGGAGGTAGAGAAAAAAGAAAGCGACAAGGTGGACTGCAAGAAGCAGAAAAAAGATCCATACTGTCTGGTGGAGGAGGCCTTAAACGGGCTTGATGTTGAGGATTTAGATACCGCCCGGATGGTTTTGACTAACTCGCTGAACGAGTCGATGATGGAGAGGGAGCGGCTGATAAGGAATAACTTTACTACGTACATCAAGTGCAGAAAAGTGCTGGAGAGAATGCAGAACACAAAGAAAGAAGCAGATGTCTCGGGCTACTTTGAAATAGAGGCTGTAAAAGCGCTCGAGCTCACGATAAACCCGATTCTTGTGGAGAATAAGGAAATACACAGGAAACAGCAGCAAAGAGACTTTATTCTAAACAACAGCCTGCTGTTCAACGCAGAGTCTATACTGAGCGACTATCTAAAGATCAACGACTTTGACTCGTTTCTCACAGACTATAAGCTGGTGAAGAAAGAGGCAGAAAGGTTCGAAAACTCGAAGTTTGTTTCCTATCTTTTTTCAAAAACCATTCCCATTCTGGCAAAGTTTAAAATAGAAATAGTGCGAAGGATCGAGACGTGCAAGAGCATACCAGAGTCTCTCCACTACTTCAAAATATACATGCAGGTGGACCCGGAGAGCTACAACAGAGCGTTTGCCACTTTGCTGACCATTGCAAAAACAGAAATAGGAGCAAAGAGAGTTGCCATGCACAAAACAGCGCTCAACCATCTAAAAAACATAAAAGAGTTCGCAGAAGACCAGACAGAAACACTTATACACATGGTAGACTCGATGAAGGCTGTGGATCTGGTCTGTTCACAGGAAAAGAAAATGAATGATTTTTTAGTAAATGCAATAGAAGCCTATGCAACCAGTCTGAAAAAAGAGCTTTTGGAGTTCTTGAAGGAGAAAAAAAACGAGAACATTGCAGATGAAAAGATACCAATGAAGCAGAGAGTGTTTTTAGTCAGCGAAATAGTAGACGGCATAGAGAGCATTGCAGACAAGGTAAGACTGGAGGGGATAGATGACATATTGGAAATAAGTGAAATAAACAGTGTGTTCTCAGCCCTGATCAAAATACTTTGGAGAGAAGCAGACGTTGGAGGAGTAGATGAGATGTATACGCTAATAAACAGCTCAAGGAGCATGTATGGGATAAGAAGACACCTTTCCAGCCAGATAAAAGAGTTTCTTGTTAAGATAATCAGTAGAGCTGAAAGCGCAGGCTCCACAAAGCTTTCGCATCTTGTAAGAGAGCTGTCGAAGGTAACCGTTGAAATACTTCCAAAAGTAGAAAACTTTCTTGGGCCGGATGAGAGAGGAGAAATAGAGAATAGAACAGCAGAGCTGAAAGAAAAAATAAAAATAGTTGGAAAAGAAGAGCTCAAATGCAGAATGTTGCAGGCTCTGTGCGATGAAGAGCTTCTCATGGCTGTTTTAAGAGTAAAAGTGATATTTATGGAGAACTATCTGAAAAACACAGAGATAGAGAATAAGATAATAAGCGAGGCTCTGGCAGATATAAAGCTAAACAGTGATGTAAGTAAATATGTACTGAGAAAATATCTCCCTGAAAAAACAGTGCTTGGTGTTTTAGAGCAGACTGTTATGAACTACACAAAGTGCAAGAAACAGTTTTCAGCACTAATCGACTGAACAGCCGAGAAAAGGAAGTGGGTTGGAGAGCACTGAATACATCAGATAGATATACTGAGAAATCAGATGGTTGAATAATTTATAAAAATAAAAGCGTATGTAGAATACTATTGATATTTTATATTTTCACTTTTACTCGACTGTATTATTGTTTTCAAAAGACGTAGTGGTTTATTTTTATTCTAAAAATATTTATGAACAAAATGAAGCAAGAAGACCCAATAAGCATAAACCTAGCGACAGAGTACAAACACCTGCTGAAAAAACACGCAGAAAACATGCTGGCAAAAGAGTATTCAAAAGACGCCTTAGACGTGATCACTTCTATTATCTACCACAACCCCTCAAACTACTCCATTTGGGTTGATAGAAGAGCCATACTTAGAAATCTACCAGATTCTGCTTACACGCTAGAAGATGAGCTTGTGTGGATAAAAAAACAGGCAGTTGAAAATCAGAAAAACTACCAGGTTTGGCACCACTTTAAATTCGTGCTGAAAAGCACAGGACATGAGATATCAACGGATTTGGACATTTTGGAGATAGCAAAGAAAGAGCCAAAGAACATTCACTTCTGGGGCGCATTCATTCAGTGCTACAGAGACAGAAAAAGTGCTCTTGAATACACAGGATACTTCATAGAAGAAGATGTAAGGAACAACTCCGCATACTCCATAAGATACACAGTTGTGATGGAAATGGCAAAAAATAGAGAAATAGAAATGGAGGAAGAAAAAGCCTTCCTTCTGCGCCTTCCCATTCTGAAACAAAACCCTGCGTACTGGAACTATGCGGGTGCGCTGGACCGAGCATATCCTGAGCACCAAATACTCAAGTCATGCGAGCTTGCTCTTCAGTCCAAAGAAGTCCCTAAGTACTATGAAGACTAGCTATGAAAACATAAAAAATAAATGCAATTTAAAGTTCATCAAAACAGGAAGTAAAGAAAACAATAGAACAGCACAGCAACAGATATAATACTGGCGATGGCAGTTTATAGAGAGCCTTCTCTTCTGTGCTATGGATCCAAAGTGTATTTATTTTTTAAATAGTGTCTAGTTTATTCACTGCAAAGAGCTTTACATTTGTGTTTTTAAAGCCTTAGCAAGACAATCCTTATCAAAGACAGGAGTTATTATGGTCTGAAGATAGATTAAAAATGGAAGTTTCAGAAGAGTTGAACAAAGAATATTGCAATAAACTCGTGGAGCTGGATAGCACGTCCGATAAAAAATACGATCTTTTGAGCATTGCCTCTGTTCCCAAAGAGAGCAGAACGCTTCTCTCATCATGCGATGAAAATACTTTTAAAAAAAGAGCAGAGCTCAGAGTGGCTCTTTCAGACTTGCTGGCAGAGCAGGCTAACTTTATCCGAACAACTGTAGAGTACATCTCGCAAATGCTGGACTGCAGCATCTATATAGAGCCTGAACTGGTTCAGCAGTCAACACATCTTCTAGTGAGCACGCGTGCAGATGGCCTGTGCAAAAGAACATACAAATACTTGCTGGGCCTGCTATTTAAAAAATCAATAGTAACCTTCCTGTGGTACGTTGATCTCTTCGAAGTGTCCAGGAAAATAAACATCACGAAATATTCAACATGCTCATTTGAAGCAGTGATAGCACAAATCACCGTGCACAACATCGTAAGAGGAGACTCTTTTTATGGCGTATCAGATGCTCCCATGCTGGCGCACAGGAACAACCAAAAAACACCCATTCTCAAGGGAATAGATATATACGATGCAAACAATGTTCTGTCGCGCACAGAGAAAGAGCTAATCAAAAAAAGCGGAGGTGTGGTGAACACTGGAAAAGTAACAAAAAAGTCCAAAGTAGTAAACGAAATAAACGAGTTCTCTGATATGATAGCATCGGGAGAGATATTGACTATGCAAAAAAGAGAAATACAAAACAAGAGAGTCGAGAAGGCTGAGAAAGAGAATTCTAGTAAAATATGCTAAATTTTATTCATGCCTACTTCTCTAGTAAAATCTATTTATTCATAATGGTTAGGCCAAGTTCTACTGGCTGCTAGTGAGCTGATGAGTAGAAAGCGTCTAGAAAGAGCCTCTTTTGGTCTGGAAGTGTTGTGTTTGTGTTTGAAAATGACATTGCTATCGACTTTGCATCTTCTGCTGAAATGTACTCGTATGAGATTACATCCATTGCTGCTGTAACATCTTTAGAATTTATTTCTTTCATAAAATATTTAAATTTGCATTCTCAGAAATACACCCATTCTTGGTTTTCAGCCATTCTTCATCCATTCAGATTCTTCTCCATTGGCTGATTGTTTACAATAGCAGCACACCTGCCCATCTCAAAAACCGTCAAAAACATTTCTTACTATGTTTAGTGCAATAAAAGTGTATCGATAACAATTAACAATATGTACATGAAATGTTTTATTTATTTGTGCAAGTACAAATCTTTTATTTGAACAATCCCAAAGAGTTTATTTTCTTGCTTTCTGGCTTTACATTGTTCTTTTCTTGCACAGCGATGGACAACTATTTGCAGATGAAAAGATTGCAGTGTGTGCGAATTGCAGTTCTTGGGCTATGATGAGAATATAAGCTGGCTTTTATCGCTCATTTAAGAAAGTGCACTTTCATGTAAAAGTCATCCGGTGTTTTGCACGCGAGCACTTTTTCACAGAACCTGTACAGATCTATATTCTTCATTTCGCTGTGTTTAGTCAGCTGGAGGGCGTAGTCTTTCAGAATATTCAGAAGAGCCTCCTTTGAAATGCCATTAAACTCCAGCGGATCAACCGGGCCTTCTATCCTCACGCCCTTTATGTTCAGCTCTTCGTACGATCTTACAATCAGCTCAAGATTATCCTCGTACTTCTTGGGCACTGCTATCTGCACCTCGCTGCCGCCTATTTGCGTAATGAATCCGAGGTTGCACGAGCTTATCCCTGTTATGCTGCACCACACAGTTCTCAGAATGACGGGATTGACTCTTTTGTCAGGAAGGCCTTTTATTCTGTAGAACTGAAAGTTTCTCAGGTCCTGTTTGCTTTTGTTTGATAAAACGTTCTCAAGATACTTCATTGCCTGGTCTTTGCTCCATTTCCTGCTGGGGTCTTGTTTTGCTTCTCCCCTGTATGCCTTTTCAGGCCAGGCTATTTCTGACTTTTCACTTTTTTCTTTCACAGCTTCAGTCTCGCTTGGCAGGACTCTATTTTCTGAGTTTTCTGTCTTTTTCAAGGACGTGCTCTTTTTCTGCTCTGCTTCTTTCTTTTCTGCTCCAAACGGCCTCTTCTTATTGCAGTGCATGCGTCTTATAAATTTGTTCATGAGAGTATTTATGCACACGCAGTAATTAAAGATAATTAGTTTTTCAATTGAAACTGCATTATTGAAATAGCAATTGCTGAATGCGGAATATACACACTCTTACTTAGCATACACCAGCTATCATCTGATTCTTATGTGTGCAGCTTTTTCTTTCCTCTTCTATGGGAGCATGCAAATTAGGAAATATAGAAAAATTATATCCTAACTGAAAAATTTTAATTAGTAAAAATGATATTTTAGCATGAAAGCCCAGAAACTATTGAGTATAGGTAGCGTGTTTGCTTTTTTTGTCGCACGATGCAGAGGAAGCTGGAATGGCCTTGGCACGAAGACAGATGGCAGTAGTGATCTATGTACATGCGGAAACAGAGTAGAAGACGAAGCAGATAACATAAATTGCCTTCCTGATGACCTATGCATAGATAACACATCATACCGTCGTGAATATGAATATTTCAATCCAACAACTGCGGTAGCAGAGCAGATTGAGCCGCCCAAGGAGTATGTAGCAGAAAGCAGAATTGATGAGAGCAATTTTAGCTATGCATATAGCACACTGAGCAAACCAACAGACCAAAATATAGCTGCAGATAAAATGGATAGTGTAGAGTTTTCTTCCACTGAATTGCCTAAAGAACAGAAATGCGAGATGAAACGATGCATAAAGTGCAATGGCATGTATGCCAATATTTCCAAAGAGGTAGGAAATAGTGCTGGAACATCTACTAGTGGAGAGGAGAGAAAAACAAGCGAAATACACAGCTTAGACTCTTTTTCTACAAAATCACCGCTAGATAGTTCTTTTTGGGATATGTATGATCCTTTTGGCAGGTTTGATACAATGATAGACCTGCACAGCAGATTTGAGCAGTACATAGAAAATGGCAGCATGGATGAGACTGCTCCTAATGAGGCTGAGAATAGTGCTAGTCCGTCTACTAGTGGAAAAAAAAGAAAAATCAGTGAGACAAATAATGAAGCAGAAGCACATACTCTTCAGCCTTTACCGAAGAGCAAGAGACAAAACGAAAAAGATCTGCTAGAAGCAATATCCAGCATTCTGGAAGAAGATAAAGAACAGCCTGCCAAAGAAGATAAAAAAGCACCGCCTACACCTAAAAAGGAAGAGAAAACAAAAAAGAAAAAAATGGAAATGAGCGATCTTAACATCGGTTTGTGGAACAAAAAAAGACTAAACAACCTAAGAAGGAAAGGGTATAAATCAAAACACAAAAAAGTGTGTGATACAAAGAATTTGGACATGTCCGCAGGCAAGAAGGGAGGCAGCTATTATAATAAGCTCATAAAAGAAATCACAGACTTTTCTGCGAATATTGCAGGACTGGTAGAGCATAACGCACTCTGGTACTTTATCGCAAGCAGAACTTCAAGTACAAGCACAAAGTATACGGATCTTTGGCAGCTAAAAGAGTGGCTCGATGAGAAAGATGATATCGATAACACTGCATACGCAGACATGGTAGAAAGCTTTAGAGGATACTATCCGGGCGCTATTGAAGATATGATAGCGTATGTAGAGAAAAACCAGCCGCTGAGAACCAGCAGAGAAAATCCTCTAACTGTGTGGAAGGAAACCCTAGGGGATATTTTCACGCGAGAATGTCTTGAGCTAAATTACTACGTGCTGGAAGAGCAGTTCAAAATTGGCGAAGTTTCTAAGAAATACCACGAGATAATACATGCCGTGCACATGATTATGGCGCTCCCTGAGGTGTACCAGGACTTCTCCAGGATCACTGTGAAGCTTATAAAAGAAACAAAAACAGATAGCAAGGTATTTAAAAACATGCAAAACCAAGAGATTTTGCTAGGAATACACAAGCTAGTACAGATGCACATGGAAGAAAACATAGAAGACAATATGTACAAAGATTTCTACACTATATTTAAAAGAATATACGTTAAAGAAGATCTGAAGAAGCTGACAGCAATCGATCTATACAGAGAAATGTACATGGTTCTAGGAAGTTTTTACGAGCGTGTGCCAGTGATCGATGTGAATAATGAGTATGTTCTGGTGGGAAAGTGCATAATAACAAACCAAAAGTATGTGGAGTGCAAAATAGACGTAGTCCACGGACCAAATGGATCTCTTATAAAAAATTGCAATGCAGGCTACACACAAAAAGAGAATAAGTGGAACATCTCATCTGACATCCATTCACACTACCACGTGTACTACGTAGATAATGCAAAAAACAAATACAGGAGACTGTGCATGCCTTTTTATAAAGACGCTAGAGGAGAAGAGCATTGCATGCATACAATCGATGGACTAGTAGACCACATAAAAATGCTCTACAGAATACACGAAGAGAGTGATGTCGTGCACCCTTTTAAGGTAGACAAGGAAAGCAAAAGATGGTCATACATCAGAGAAGACCAGAGAGACCAGACGGTAAAAGACTTGCCAGAGTATGAAGTGATGATCTACCGCATTAAAAAAGAGGTAGAAGCAGCTGAGTTTACATTTGCAAGATTCCTGCCTCTCAACTATTTTAACAGAGACAGCATTTGCATTCCGCTGTTTCTTACAGAGATGATGAGGTCTGCTGTACAGCTCGGGCCTTTTAAAGAGGAAAAAGAGCACAAAAAACTGGATTCCATAAAGCTAGAAAATGAAGAGCCTAGTGTGTATGTGTATAACAAAGATTACGTAAGCTCGCAATACTCTGATGTACACCACTATTACGGCAATCTTTACATACCAACGAATGCAGAAGAAGAACAGGACATCAGCTGTTATGTGCTAGACTGCCAAATAATCGAGAATAAAGAAGATAGCGCTCCTACAAAGCTTGTGTGGCATGTGAGAATGCCCGAGAGCGTAGACGAGTTTACGCACTGTGTGATGGACGACTCTTTCAAGAAAAAAGAAAACTCAAACAAGTTTAGCTCTTTTGTTAAAACAGTAAAGTCGAGAAAATACTGCCAGGATAGCAGACTCCAGGGCCTTTGGCTGAGTAACAGCCATGCACCAGACAAAAAGACAGTAGAAAAAGAATCTATGGTATATATCTGGAATACATACACAGAAGACGAGCAGATGATCAATAAGAAGCCAAAAGAGATCAATCTGGAGGCAAAGTGGATAGAAGACCGCTTAAAAGAAATAGAGGATAAACTAGCGGGCCTAGGAAGAACAAACCCAAGCCATCTGAAGGAAATATGCGATAAAAAAAAGAGACTGTTCGCCACAAAAAGCAGGCTGAAAAGAAAACTAGAAAATCTGGACAAAGAGCTGCACACCGCGCTTTCAAGGGGAGCCAACTCCCAGGCAAAGTTCATGGTGTTTCGAAACATGAACAGCAGTAAATCCAACTTGGGAGCACATAACGAGGTTTTAGATGTTCTGATCTCGATTTATAGAAATCAGAAAGGCAGTAGCAGCAATAAATAAAGAATATTTATTGGATTTCAGTAGGTCTTTATTGCGCCCTTTTCTCTGATTGATAGTGCCATCAGGGACGTGTTCTATAGTTATTTCTATATATATGCTGTGTGCGCTGTTTCAATACTAATCCAAAAATAAAATGAAAATTGCCAGGTAAATTGAGCCTCTGCAATGAAAATATAATTAAAAAGTCAGAATTTACCATAAACGGGTGCTGCACGTCCAATGAGGATGCGAAGGATAGATAAGAGGCAGAAGATCTTCTAGTAGAGCGGGTTGGAAGTCACTAAGTGGACAAATGCACTAGCAGGCTACAGATCATATAGTATTGAGAAAAGTAAAAGAAATACGCATTAGGTTGTGCAAAAAAGGCATATCCTAACTGAAAAATTATAAATAGAAAAAATGATATTTTTAGCATGAAAAAACAAGAAATTAAAAGGTTCCTGAGAGCGCTTGCAGTTCTTGCTTTTCTTATCGCAGAGTGCAGGGGAAGCTCGAGCGGGCACAGTGAGTATCTAGGAAACAGCCCAGATGCGCACGGAGCAAAGCAGAAAAACCTAGATCCGATGGATCCTGGAGTTTCTTCTGCTGCTCAGAGCTCTGTAGGTGATGTTTCAGGCCAGAGCGAACCCAAATATTTTAAAAGAATAAATGAAATGGAAAATCAATCTGGCATGTCTAAACAGTACATCGCAGCTAGAATAGGAAAAAGCGGCTGGTACGACAGGCTGGACAGCATGCCCGAGCCAGTGCGGAAGAGAAAAAGAAAAGGAAGTCAAATGAGCGAATTAGACATTTGTGCTATTGGTGCATCAATAGACGATGATCCTTTTGCAGATAAATTTGAATGCATTGACACACTAGACAAAATGATCAACTGGATAGGCAAGGTTGAGCCGCCCATAGAGACGAAAAGCGCAGACGAGCCAAACGATCTGGATGATTCTCTTATAAAGGAGTTTGAAGGCATTGACACACCGGAGAAAATGATGGACTGGATCGGCGGTGAGAGCGAAGAATCTGCAGAAGAGAAAAGTGCAGACGAAATAGATGATCTGGATGACTCTCTTATAAAAGAGTTTGAAGATATTGACACACCAGAGAAAATGATGGACTGGATTGGCGGTGATGCCGAACAACTTGTAGAAGACGAGAGCTCTGATGAAATTACCACTATCGAGCCAGATCACAGTGATAAGGCCTCTAAAGAACCAGAAAAAACACTGAATAAAGCAGACAGCTCAAATGCTTGCCCCATCCTCCAGATTCTAGTAAAGAAAGAAGAACTAAAAAAAGAAGAGCTACCAAATAAAATATCTGGTGCCTCTGATTCACAGGAAACAGTGTCTGAAACAGCAGCAGACATTTCTGCTGAAGAGTTTGGCACTTCGCTGTGGACTAGCGGTGAGAGACTAAGCAATGCGAGAAGAAAAAGCTACAGGTCTAAGCACAAAACAGTGTATAAATCTTCTCTCTATGATGCAGAAATAGGCATGTATGTAGCTAGCACAGTATATAAGGGAAAATTTAAAAAAGCGATTGAGGATTTTTGTGCAAAAACCGTCTTTTCAATAGACCAGAATCCGCTGTGGTACTTCATCATAAGCAGAAGCACAACAATATGCACAAAGTACAAAGATCTTTTTGGACTGAAAGAGCTGTTCAGGAGCATAAAAGACGTTAAATACAAGAAAATGGTGGAGCGTCTAAAAGGATACTACCCCGGTGTGTTTGATGACATGATAAAATACATTCAGAAGAACCGGCCAATAAAAATTAGCAAAGACAAGAAGCTGAGTGTTTGGAAGGAAACAGTGGGCGATATATACCTGCGAGAGTATCTTCAGCTAAACTACTGTTTGATAGACGAGCACGAAGAGCTCAGCCAGATCGACGAGAAGTACCACGAGGTGGTGTATGCAATGCGCATGATTCTGACGCTTCCTGAAGTCCATCAAGACTTTTCTAGCATCACCAAAGAGCACATAAAAAAAACATATACTAATGACGATATGTTTATAAACATGCAACACAACATAATTTTAACGGGCATACACAAGCTAGCGCAAATGCATGCAGAAGAGGAGATACAAGAAGACATATATGCAAATATCCATGCAGCTCTTGAAAAAATACATGGCAAAACAATACTGGAGAAATTATCAGCAGTTAAGCTGTACAAAGAAATCTACACGATTGTTGGAATCTTCTACGAGAACGCAGAGGTAATCGATAAGAGCAAGGACTATGTGCTAGTAGGAAAACCCGTAATAACAAAGCAGAAGTACATGAAATGCAGGGCTGTAGTCAATACAACAGCAGATGCCTGCGGTAGAATATCTCCGCACCCCACATACTCATTAAAGATAAACAGATGGACTGTTTCATCTCATGTGCACGAGCACTACCACGTGTACTATGTGGACAATGCAACAAACCAGCCCAGGACGCTGTGCATGCCCGTATACGAAGATGGCAGCGGACAGAAGCACTATATGCACTCAATTGGAGACACGGTAAAGTACATCAAGAAGCTCTACAAAATAAAGAAAGAGAGCGACGGTATATACCCCTTTAAAATGAACAAAAAAAGCAAAATGTGGTCGTATATCGAAAAAAGCGAGAGAGAGCAAACAGTAAAGGATCTACCTGAGTATCAAGTAGTGTTCTACCGCATTGAAAAAGATCTGATGGAAAAAAAGTTTACATTTGCAGAGTTTAGGCCCTTAAAGGAGTACGATGAGAACAATATTTCGATTCCGCTGTTTCTTACGCCGTTCATGCAGGCTGCCGTAGAGCTGGGGCCTTTTACTAGAGCAAAAGAGCACGCAGAGCTAGAGACTATAAAGTTCGAGAACAAGAAGGCGAGTGTGTACACTTATGACGAAAAATACAAAGGAGAAAAATACTCAGAGCTGCACAAATACTATTGCAATCTATACATAGTGCCAAACAAAGAAAAAAGAAGAAACACAGAGTGCTATATGATGAACTGCACCTTTGCTGAACAAGCAGATAGCACAGTTGAAGCTACATGGTATGTGAGAATGCCCAGCAGCAGTGTAAATTCGTACACACACTGCATACTCGATGAAGCCCTAAAGGGCGATGAAAACTTTGAAAGCTTTAGCACTTTCATTGAAACAGTAGAGGAAAGGAAGTACAATAAAGACAGCACTATACAGAGCTTCTGGCTGAAAGACACAGACACAGAAGACAGTGAAGACACAAAAAAGAAGCAAACGCTGTGCAATTGGATAGTGGATGACAGCACATGCAGCCACTCTGTGAGCAAGAAAAAGCTGAAGGACATAAAGACTAAGATATCCAGATTGCGGAAACAATTGAAAGATGTTTTAGAAGAACAGAAGTCTTTAAGGAAATCAAGAAAAAACGAAACAGTAGAGGAAAAGCGAAAAAATAACAGCTTGAGCTCTGAGAAATACAAAACAAAAATTAAGCTGGAAAAGCTGCACAAGGAGCTATACATAAAGTCTTCCAGAAGGCCAGACCCGCAGGCACAGTTTGTGGTGTTTCGGTGTGTGAATGAGAGCAATTCCAATCTGGGCGCACACAATGAGATTCTTAACTCCTTGATTGCATCCTACAACAGTGAAAAGTATCCTAGCAACAATAAATAGAGTTGGCTCTCCAATACCAAGCAGTTTCTCTGTTCAGATATTGATGCTATTTGTGCTATGAATATGCTTTAACACTATGCACAGGCTAAACTCATAAAAAACGGGCTTATATAGCTGATAATTCAATAAAAATATCCTTTTCTATAGTTTTACGTCTGCTTCATTATTCAGCTGTTAACGCATATCTATGTTATGTGTGTTCTATATCTAGTACAGAGCTACTGTGGCACTTGGGTTATTGGAAACGCTAGTAAAATTCTTTATGCTACTTTTATTCATCAGCTGGTGCAGAAATAAAAGTGTACAAGAAATAGAATAGACTTTTTTGTATGCAGAAACTCAGAAATAATACGTATACATCTTGTGTTGCCAAATAAAATAAAATCTTGGAGAAATTTTATTAAAATTATTAGGCATACAGCATTCCTAATTCCAATTATCTACCAATTTTATTTTATTTTCTCAGCATGGTTACATTAGGTCACACTCCAACTGAAAAATATAAATAGCAAAAATGATTTTTTTAGCATGAAAAATCAGGAATTAAGGAAAATTCTAGGTATAGGCGCAGTGCTTCTTGCTTTCTTTATCGCAGAGTGCGAGGGAAGCGGGGATGTGTGCGGTAAGGATGGTCTTAGCGTTGATAAACTGTCTATAGGAGGGAAAAGAAAAGCATGCGAAATAAGCAACCCAACGAGTGCAGCGAGCCATATGCCTCCATCAGTAGCTAAAAAGCAGAAAAAAGAAAAAAGATCTTTGAAAGAAGTGTTTGATATTATCTGCGAGCAGAAAACAGTTGAAAACACAGAAGGTAGTGATGATAATGAAGAAGATAGTGATCATGTTCAAGATGGTAATGATAATGAAGGTAGTAACCATGGTGAAGACGGCGATGATGAAAGATCAGTCCAAGACAACCATAAACAGGTCTCTCAGCCTGCAGGGACAAGACGCAGACAGAGAATAAGAAAAGTAGAAAACAATGGAATTAGCCTGTGGAACAACAGAAGATTAGACAGCAAAAGGAGAAAAGGGTACAAAATAACACATCAGACAATATATAACCACCAAAACACTGAACAGTACATACTGGCTGATGTGAATGTTGTAGCGTACCAAGAAAAGCTGAAAAATAAAATTAAAGAGTTTTCCGCACAAATTGCCTCATCTGTAAAAAAGAGTCCAATGTGGTTTTTCGTTGCAAGCGAGGCTGTGAACATAAATAATAAGTACAAACTTCTCTTTGGGATGAAAGAGCTGTTTAAAACTGCGGAAGGAGATGCGTATAAGAAAATGGTGGAGAGCTTAGAGGGATACTACCCCGATGTGATTGGTGACATGATAGAGTATGTGCATAAACACCATCCGCTGAGGCTCAGTAAAAGAAACCCCAATGTGAATGTGTGGAAGGAAACTTTGGGCGACATTTATCTGCGAAGAGAAGAAGATCTAAATTTCTGCATCCTGGACAAACAGGAAGAGATCAGCAAGATTGACGAGAGGTGCCGTGAGACAGCGCTTGCCTTGCAGATGATTCTGATGTTGCCCGAGGTGTACCAAGACTTTTCTGCAATAAACATAAACCAAATATACAAGATAAAAACAGCGCCTGCTGACTTATCTGAAAACACAAAAAACGAAAATGTTCTCTTAGCCTTCTGCAGAATAGCTAAAAAGATCAGCAATAACAAAGAGCAAACTAACAGTATGTACATGGAGCTGTACAGCTGCCTTTCAGAGATACACAGCAGAGAAAAAATGCTAGAACTAAAAGCTGCGGATCTGTACAGAGAGATATACACAATCATTGGGAGGTTCTATGAACAGGCATACATTTTTGACGAAAACAATACTATTCTAACGGGTAAGTGCATGATAACGAACCAGAAGTACAGAAAATGCGAAATAGAAGTAGAACTATCATCAGAAGAGGTGGACAAAAGAGTTCAAAGGCCAAACTATTCATTTGAGGAGAACAGATGGACTGTTTCACCTGATGTGCACGAGCACTACCACGTGTACTATGTGGACAATGCAACAAACCAGCTCAGACTGCTGTGCATGCCCGTATACAAAGATGTCTGTGGACGGAAGCACTATTTACACACAATTAATGACATAGTAGATCATATAAAAAATTTGTATGAAATGAAAATAGAGCTAGACCACATACACCCCTTTAAGCTGAAAAAACAAACTAGAAACTGGTCGTATGTCAAGAAGAAAGAGAGAAACAAAACAATAAAAGACCTGGAAGAGTATGAGATAGTGTTCTATCGCATCGAGGAAGATCTAAAAAAAAAGTTTACTTTTGCAGAGTTCAGGCATTTAGATTCTGCTGCAAATGATGACACGCTTATTCCCCTCTTCCTTACTTCTCTAATGAGGTCTGCTGTAGACCTCGGGCCGTTCAAAAAGAAAGAAGAGCACACTGAGCTGAATTCCATAGAGTTTGAAAACACAGAGCCCAGCGTGTACATCTACGACAGAGAGTATGCAAGAGAAGAATATTCAGATGTTCAGAGTTACTACAGGAATCTACACATATTACCGGATATAGAAAAGGGCGGTAATGTAGATTGCTATATAATGGGCTTGCAGACAGACAGACAGCCAGATAGTACTGTTAAGGCAGCATGGTATGTAAAAATGCCCTCTAGTGTCGATGAGTACACGCACTGTGTGCTTGGCAAAGCCTTCAAAGGAAAAGAAAACTCTAGAAAGCTCGATGCATTTATTGCAGCTCTAGAGTCGAGAAAGTGCTGTAAAGATAGCGAGCTGCAGGCCGTTTGGCTGCAAAACAATAGCATACTAGAGAACGGTGATCCGACAGAAAAGAAGCCTGTGATAAACATCTGGCTGCCTAGCAGACACTGCGAAGAAAGAATAGCAAAGAAAAATGTAACAGAGATCAAGTATTCTCTCAGAAAGACAAAAGATAGATTGATAGTGGCAAAAAAGATAGTAAGCGAGTTGGGAAGCTCTAACAAGTACGCCGACACGCCAGAGCTGCTGAGAAAAAAGAACACAAAGCGAACTACAAAGAGCAAACTGAAAGTTAAGCTAGACAATCTATATAAACAGCTATACATAAAAATATCTAGGAAGCCCAGCCCACAGACAGAGCTCATAGTTTTTCGAAATGCCAACAGCAGCAAATCCAACCTGGGAGCACACAACGAAATTCTTGATGCTTTTATCTCGTGCTACAGGTGTTCAAGGGATATCAGCAACAAATAAATAGCGAGTGTTTCTGATTAGTTGCTGTATAATTTTTCTGCTAATAATATTCTTATTTTGAAAAAATAGAAAGCTCAAGGAGCTTCCTTTTTTATTTTTACTGGTTTGCTCTTTGGACAAAACCAATTATTGTGTAGAGAAAAAAGCTCTGCAGTCCAATCATTTTTTACTTCCGTGATAATCCAAAGGCGCGCTCTATTTGTCTATGAACTCCATCAATAGAGAGACCGATTTAAGCACGCAGAGCGAAGATGAAGAGTTTTCTCCAAGAGTCCAGCTCTCTCCCAGGCTTTCTCTTTCCACGGATGAAGAGTATCTTAAAGCCATTCTTCTGTCCAGGCTGATAAAAAACATATTTTGTGCTTCAGGCCTGAGCAAGATAAACGCCCCCACCGAGTCTACAAACCCGTTTAAGCCGCACTTTCACCTGAGAAACGTTAAAATCAAAACAAAGTCAAAAGACGTGATAAGAGCATGGGTTGTCTACAACACAGAAAAAACAGTAAAAAAATGGGCGCTTGTTCTGCACGGCAACTCAACCAATAGGAATACGTTCTCCCGTCTCTACAATGTAGAAAGCATGATAGAAGAAGGCATTGGAGCTCTCATTGTGGACTACAGGGGATTTGGAGACTCTGAAGGAACTCCGAGCAAAACAGCTTTTATTGAAGATGTCTCTGCGTGCATCCAGTACTTCAAAAAGAAGCACATATTTTCTATATCAATTGTGAGCTATTCCCTGGGCACAGCAATTGCTCTGGAGTATCTGGTGGAGTACGCTAAAAGAAAAAAAAACGCAGTGATCATTGAAAAGCTGGTTCTTGTGAGTCCGTTTGTCTCTACGCTGGATTTGCTCAGAGAATATAAACTGTGGAACTTGCTGGAGATGGCCATACCTGACAGCTGCTCGTATGCGATGCACGGGCTGGGGTATGACTCGCTGGAGAACATAAAGAAAGTAGAGATTAAAACACTCATCATACACGGGTCATCGGACTGGCTCATTCCCTGCCACCACGGGGAGAGACTGGCAAAGGACAGCGACGCAACTTTTTTGAAGATAGAAAATGAGTCGCACGGGACAATATTCAAAAACCCTGTTACATGGAAGACCATAGTCCGATTCATAGAAAACTAGGATATTTTCAGCTGTAGCACAAATGAACACAAACTGCAGATAAATAATAATTCTTGGTCTAAGGATAGAGTGTGATTGGAATAAATTCTGAGCTGTTTATTAGTAGATGTGCATCTTTTTATTTTGTACAGGCGTTAACCTTTCTTTTTCTTTTCTTAAACTGTATCTGCAGCAAACTGTCTTGCTGTCTGGGTGTGCATTTGCTCTGTTCATCGCATAGTGCATATGCTCTGTTCTTATCCTAGAAATCTTGGATTTTTTTCTGCTTTGGATCAAACACTTCAAATTTAATGTTCACATTGTCTTTCTCTGTGATTCCTATGCCTGTTAGAGTGTTGTTCTTTCTTCTGAGAAGTGGCCATATCTGTCTATCCACATTCGATGCAATCAGGTAGTATATCTTTACCGTTTCTGTTTGGCCTATTCTGTATATTCTGTCCTCTGCCTGGTGCAAGTCTCCTGGGCTCCATGGCAGCTCTGCGAATATAACTACTCTCGCGCAGACAAGTGTCAGTCCGGTGGAGCACGCCTTCAAACTCAGCACAGCTACATCTATTTTCTCATTGTTTCTGAACACGTCGCAGAGTGCCTCTCTTTTCTGTCTAACTGTAGACCCATCTATCTTTATGGCTCTTTCCTTAAACGCCGCATATATTCGGTTCAGCACTTCCTTGTGGTGCGCAAATACTATAATTTTGTCGTTTGTGCTGTTTCTTTTTTGTTTTATAAAAGAGAGCACATCATCTATCTTCTCCACTGCTGTCTTCGTATACTCCATCATTATTTCGCTCGAAGGGCCCTTCTTTGTTACTGCCTGTATTTTTAAGTTTGTCTCTCGCGCATACAGTTCGGTTTTGAAGGAGACGTGGATGCGTTTCTTTTCTCCCAGCTGCAAACACTCTTGCTTTATTCTTCGTATGAGAATGAGAGAATTAACCGCTATTTTTAGCTCGTCTAGGTTCTTGCTCCCTTTGTATTTCATTATGTGCTTGACTCTGGGGTTGCTCGCATTGTAGTGATTTTCGCTTATTCTGCAGTACCGCTCGTGGTAATCGGTGTAAGAGAAGAGAAAAGGGTAGATAATGCTTATCTGCGTATACATCTCGGAGGTGTTGGAGAGCGCAGGTGTTCCTGATAGCAGTATGACCTGTTTCATTTTCGAGAGAAACGGCACAAGAGACTTGCTTCTTTTGCTCTCTGTGTTTTTCAAAGACTGCGACTCGTCTGCTATTCCCATAAAAAAGTCTGCATGATTCAAAATGTCTGTGTGCGTGCTTGCTCCGTTGTAGCTGACAATCAGAGCAGATATTTCGTTTTCTCTAGGCGGAGCTCTGTGCGCCCAGTCTTTTACATCATAGCACCTATTTGTGATGTATTTTTTTACCTCGTTGACCCACATTGCGGTGTTTGAGGATGGAGCCACAATAAAAATCGATCTTTTTACTTCATTTGGGTTGCTGCTTAGGTACATCTTTGATATGGCAATGGCCTGAAGAGTTTTTCCCAGGCCCATTTCGTCTGCTATCAGCAGTCTATACTTTCGGCGATGTGCTGTCAGTACGCCCTCTATCTGGTGTGGCTGCAGAGACAAAGAAGACTTTCCATCAAGAGAAACCATTTTATCAGGAATGCTTACAGGCAGCATCTTTTTATGCTGTGCTTCTTCCTGGTACTTTGCAGACAGCGCTCTGAGCAGGGATGCAGGCGTGCCATCTATTTTACTCTGCGATGGTATGCACTTTTTTACTATCGCAGAGTAATGCGAAATGTGAAACTGCCACATGTTCTCAAGTATGCAGTATTTAGAGCCGTCTTTATCGCAGAGGTAGGAAGATATTTCTTTCGTGCTTGGGGACAGCTTCAGCTCAAATTCGTTTGCCAGCGAGATGGAAAAGAGAGGAGGAGCAGAAACAGCGGATGGCAAAAGTGGTTTTGTGTTTTGCAGCACAAAAAGCGCTTTATTCTCTGCACTCATAAAAATAAAACTAGAGACAAGAGTATTTTTATTTTCACGACTAAATAAAGAATGGGAAACAATAGAATAAAAAACAGGAATGTTAGAGAATGGTAGATGATCGGGTACAATTGTCTCCAGTAAAACTAAAACAATCTGCTGCTGCTGCAGTAATAACTAGCAGTAAAAAGATCGTTGTTAAACCATATGGTGGCTTTATTATTTTCTTTTTGCTAATCCACAAGTAGGGGCACACTTTCTTGCTAGCACTCTGTTTGTGCAACTATTTAAAAAATTCATGCATTGGGAGATTGCTAACTGCTAGATATTTTATAATTTACAGCATTTGTGTTCTCAGGTATTGTTTCCGAGAGAGCTATTTCAGTGCCATAGTGGAGCATGTATGTTTTTACAGACTTTGGTAGATGAAGTATGCCATATACCACAGCACGGAGCCCTTCAGTTATGTAGGAGAGAATAAAGGGGAACAAAACCATGCACATTTTAAAGTATGCACTTTTTTCTATTAGACAGCCGTTGCAAATTATCACATCAAACACAAGGAACAGAAAGAGAGCGCCTGCAGCCTGCAGAAGAGTTCTAGCAGACTTGCTGCTGTTCCTTAGAAGAATGTCAAGAGAAACTGCATACGAAACAGCCCACATAAAGTGCCCAGAGTGTGCAGAGAATTCTTCTCCCATTGGTTCAACAAATACCATCTTAAAAAGAATGGTAAACAGCAGAGACACAAAAGGAAGAACACAAAGCACAATGCAGTGGCTTAGGGCATAGCGCATCTTTACAATTACTAGGAACCTTCTCTTTCTAAAAGAGGCACATAAAATGGCCAGAGACGTGCTTATTACAAAAAGTACACTTTTTAAATTTTGGAGCACATTCGGAATTAAATCTGCTGCTCTTTCTCTTCTGAAGTTTTCCAGGCATACAAAAAACTCGTAGAGAGACAAAACAGCCGCAATAGACAGCGCACAGAATAAAAGAAATGCTACGAATATGTAAAGAAGCACACGAAGTATGGCAAATGGTGGAACATAGAAGAGGGAGTACAGCGGGTTATAGAGCAGCTCAGCTCTTCTTGCCCCCATCACAGACACAGCCCACTCTTTATCCTCTGCGTCCAAATTCACAAATCTTTTCCCAGTTATGTGTCTTTTGTGTCCTTTCTTGTCGAAGTACATATTCTTTTCTTCCTGTGTAACCAAAAGGCGTCTTCTCTTGCGTATTTCCTCTTTATTATACGGCACAGAGTTGCGAGATGGCAGGTAGTGCAGATGTCTTAGATCATCTCCTATATGAGGAAGTGTGCCGTCAAAGAGTAAAGAGCCAATCTTGAGCGAATGCGATAGCTTTTGTGTGATGGTGCTGAACACATCCTTAATACTGCCTATGTATGCCTGTATTACCCCATTGAGAAGAAATTTAAACAGGGGAACATAGTAGTACATCCATGCAACTGTTTCTAGGGGAGCTTTAGCGTCTTTTTTCATGCTAAGCAAATATTCGTTTTTCATCAGATAGTGTATGCAGTACACAGGAACATATACACCCATAGAAATGCATGCAAATACACACACAATCACAAAATATCCTACAATGTTGTCTAAAATGCTGTCCTTGATGATTCTGCTAATGAAGACATCTAGTGGACACACTAAGGCACACATTCCAGGGCGCACAAGCCAAGACACTCTTCTACTCACCGCTTCAAGCAGTGCGATAAGTGCATTCCCAAATAGGACAAAAAACACGCTCACCATGTCTACAAATATTTCTAGCCTTTTGAAACTACTCGCATCAAAACTAATGAGAAGATATGCGCCAAAGTGTCTAGACAAGAAAGCAGAATGTCTCTTAAAATCACAAATAGTGCACATCTTTCTTAAGGCAATCGAGCACTCCGAGCGTGCTAGCAAAAAATGAACAGAGTCTCTGGACGCATAGCCTACAACACTGCTTACAAAGTATGGCAGCATTACGTATCTTAAGAAGATGATGATAAGCAGCTTGCAATACACTATCGATATATTTACACACTTGCTGCTTATTTTGAACAGAGAAATAAAAATATTGCACAGACAGAATGTAACGTACATAATAAGAAGAAGGATGGCAGTGGACAGCATAACATTCACAAAGACCAAACCATTCTGCAAATCATCAACTGGGATCAGAAAGTGTGAAGCTACGCTTACGACCGCCAAGGAGATGAAAAAAACAAAGTAGTTGCGTGGGCTATAGTTTAGCTGAAAGATGCTCTCTGGGTCTTCTTCGAATATAATCACATTGAATATTTTCCTCAGCTCTTGTTCTGGTGTTTTTATGCTACCTTTATTCTGATCGCCCAGAAGGATGTTCTGGCTTAGCTCAGCATACATCGCATTGTATTCACTAAACATGCTTAGCTTTGTCATTGTTTCGAGCAGCGTGTAGCTGTTCTGTTTGTGTATGGTGTTTATGTGTTTTCGTCTCATAAAGCACGAAACGGAGAGAAAAGGAGAGAGAACAGAAAGTGTAAATATTTTTGAAACAGGTCTGCACATAAAAAATACAAGTGAGAGCAGAGCACTAAAAACTGTATGAAGAGGACGTACATACCTGTTGTACGCCCATGCTTTTGCTTTTTTCATGATGTAAATCACATAAGATGCGATAAACAGCAGAACACTCCTTTTTGTGGGGTGTTTATCGGTGTGCACTCTTTTCAGTTTTATTTTGTGTTTGCACAGATTGCACACTTGGCTCTTACTCCTGTGGATCCATTCCAGTATGCAGGTGGGGTGAACATATTGCATATTTCCAAGGCATTTGCAAGGGCTAGCCAGTCTGCTGTCTGGGGTTTCGGGCTCAATGCATATACGGCAGCAAGGCACCTTTTCACAGTGCAGTATATCTAATACTTTGTTATCCATTTGTAATTATTAAATAAAAATAATATTTATAGATAAGCCTCGATCAAAAAGATGTTTTGAAAAAGTAAAATTAGAAAGAAAAACAGCACTCATTGCCCCTTGTGTCTACAAATACGAAGAGCCTTAGTAGATTTACTCTGTGTCCAATGCTTTCCAAAGATCTGCTGTCCATTTATGCTTATCTCGGATTATATTCTTTGTCTGATTAAGAGGATAAAAAGTGGATAAAACACACAACTCGCTCTGTAAGCTACTCCTAAAGAAACTGCACAATAAAAGAAATAAAAGACATGTTGAATTTTGTGCTAGAAGCCAATAGAGAAACAGAAAGAAAGAAGAGAAAAATAAAAAATTTATTGCATGGAGTCTCATACAACCACATGGAAAATCCACAACATAAAAAAACAGACAAAAAGAGCGGCCTTGCTGCAAGTGATAAAATCGCACCTGGAGCACGAAAACTTCACTCTTTCTTTTAAAGATAACAAGAGACTGGCCATTTTAATAACCCTGGAGGACCAGCTTCCTTCAATAGTATTTTGCAACAGACCGCTGGACATAAGAAAACAGAAATCAGAAGAAAGAAGCGTTAAAGACATAGTCACACCGCTGAACGGAATGACATACGAAGAGCAGCTGGCCCATAAAACAGCCAAAGTGTCTGATTTCTGCTCTTTTCTAAACTGCAGCGAAATCGAGTCTATTTCTTCTCCCATGGAAACAGGCTATAGAAACAAGTGCGAGTTTACCTTTGGATTCACAGGAGAGGGCAAACAGGTACTTGGGTTCAGGCCAGCAAAGTTTTCTTCTGCACCTAACCTGATAGCAGACCCAATGGAGTGCACTTTCAACACGCCTCCTGAAATGCTCTCTTTAGTCGAGAAGATCAACGGCTATCTAGATAAGAATGACGGCCTTGTCTACAACAGAATAACAAAAAAAGGGCTGCTAAGACTGCTTTGTCTCAGAAGGATAGGAAAGCACTTTATATCCATTCTGCAGGTAAATACAGAAACATTCGAAGAGGCCCTCAACAGCCAGCTTATCACTGATTTCATAAAGATTTTGTCTGAAGATGCTTTCATAACGTGCTCAACAGGCATATTCGACGGGCTGCTGAGAACAGCAGAAATAAAACAGGTGAAGGGAGAGCCCAAAGAGTACGAAGAAGTGCTGAACAACTGCACCTTCAAAGTTTTTCCACTGGGATTCTTCCAAGTAAATCTCGGAGTAGCTGAGCTTCTTACGAGAACAATCCAGAAAAGCATCCAAACAGAGACGATACTGGACATATGCAGTGGCTCAGGACTGCTGGGGATATGCACAGCCAAAGGCACAGAGAAGAAAGTGTTTGGCATGGAAATATCCCAAGAGTCTATCGAAGACGCCAAGAGAAACGCGCTTATTAACGATGTGTCAGCTGAGTACTTCTGCGGATCTGTGGAGAAAACCCTTCCCCTGGTGCTGGCCAAAGTAAAGGAGACCGCATCGGCTCTGGTAGATCCCCCAAGAGCAGGAATCTCCGATAAGCTGGTGAATGAAATCATCTCGCATAAAAACATATCGGAGATCTTCTACATCAGCTGTTCGTACACCTCTGTGAAAAATAACTTGCTAAATATCTCCAGCAAGTACGCTCTAAAGAAGATATATGTGCTAGACATGTTCCCATTCACTGCAGATGTTGAGTGTATATTCCACTTTGTGCGAAAAGAAGATTAAGCCAGCAGATGTCTCTACTAAATAAATCACACCAGATTAGATAAGAAGTCAAAATCAAAATTTATTGAAAGTACATTCCAGTAGCATGCTAAACTCTGAGAACTCTTGGAGACAGTGAACAGATGGAAGTGGGGATGCATAAGTCTTTGGATTGAATCTTAAAAAGTACAGTGTAGATTTATAATGTTTTGCTTTATTGTCGCCCCCAAGAAAAGTGTTTCTGTTCTATTTAGAAAATGGATTCATGCATTGAAATAGCTTAGTGAAAAAGTTTGATTTCTTTTTGTTCTGTTTTGGCTCTGATTTGACCCAGTGTCCTCCCTTCACAGGAATGTATATAAAATCTTCTTTCAGTATTTCTCTTCTTGGAACCCACTGTTCTTCTGCTGCTTTTGTCTGCCGAGATATTTCCATCTCCATTTTGATGATGTTTCTCTGAACGACAGAAAGCGTGCTCATGTACTCTGGCGTAATCTGCACTGCTCTTCTGTCATTAATAGATGCAGAAGATCCTCCTGCACTAGAGCCCACTGTCTCTTCTAAAATAGAGTTTTTTTGGCCCATGCTGTCTGCCATCCTCAGCGCTTCTTCTTTTCTGCTAGAATCAAGCGCATTGTACTCGTCGTTATTAAGCTCTTCTTCATGCTCTTCGTCTACGTAGTTGACCTCAAAGGTTCCCTCTTCAATGTATTTGATATTTTCTAAGGACTCAACAGATATCTCTGTGGGCGCCATAACGGCCTCCTCTTTTCCTTTATCTGACACGGCACTCTTGTCCGTCTTAAATACAGCGCTGTTCATCGTTTTCTCTTCCTTTTGCAGCTGTCTGATGGTTTCATTTGTGCCATCTTTGACAATCATCTCTTCCTTTTGCATCATTCCTTCTCCTTATTCTCTTTGTTTAATACTTTGGCTTTAATTTGCTCCGTTCGAAATCCTTCAATCATATTCAGTAATTGGACCTTTGATCTGAAAAACATTGACCAGTAGTTAAAAACAAGTTTGCCAATGAAAAATTTAAAAGTTCAAATGAAATTCAAGCTCGTAGAAGATGGCCGCCCTCCTGCAGACAGCAGCACCGAGGGCTCAGGAGAAGAGACAAGCTCCGAGGAAGACTTCTTCCAGACCGAAACCAAGCACGAATACTCCTCTGAAGAAGACGAGAACATGTGGGAAGACTCCAACGAAGACAAAGCTGCAAATAATAATTGGTCAGTTGAAAAAATAGAGAAAAAAACGAGCAAAGTAAAAAAAGCTGCATCACTCGCAAAAAACCTTCTGAAGTACGATCTGCAGCAGATTCTTGTCCTAAAAAGCATCATTGAGAAGGTGCAGAGGAATAACGGCACGACATACCTGCTTGACAGAACAGGCAACATATACTCCTACACTGACGAAAAGCTGTGCAGAATAGAGATGGAAAAGAACGAGAAGAGAAAGTACTTCAAAGACTTCATAGTGATAAGAGACAGCGTGATCATTGCTCTTACAAAAGCATTCCACTCTTTTGTTATAGTTGATATCAACAACAACATCATAAAGGAAGTCAACTTGTACCAGTACAAAGACAAAATTTTCAGCAGAATAAGAAAAACAAGAGACGGGTTTATTCTGGTAGGACACAAAACACTATACATATACAATAACAACTGCATACTTATCGACAGAATAATAGCACAAGAGAAAGTGCTTGATGTCTCAGAGGACGGGCACTCGTTCATTATAATACTTACAGAGAGCAGAATTGTGAAATACTGTAAAAAAATGAAAGAGATGGTTTCAAAGTCAGAAGTGCTTGTGTCTCCACAGACGCTGTGCACATTTGATGGCTATGTGGGCGTTGGAGGGAAGAGAGGCCTTTCTCTGTTTAAAAGCAGCAACTTTGACTTTATCAAAGACATAAATAACCTCGAAGATGTCACAGCCATGGACTACATGAGTGAAATGGGTCTGCTCTCTTTTGGAGACAAAACAAGGCCCAATGGCATGAGAATATACAACGTAAAAGACGAGAAAATAATCACAACGTTCCCGCCAAGCAAAGGCCTTGACTACATCGGAGGGTTTACATCTGAAAATAGATCGATATACTTTGGTGTAAACAAGAAATTGTATGCTCTAACGGTCCCAAGCGATGTGTAGCTTGCCAGTTGAGCAGAAGCCCAGTCCAACTCTGCCAAAAAATAAATACTTTGCGTTAATATTTACATGAGCGAGGAAAGCATTTATTTTAAAGACTTCCAGATGCTCTACAGATAGTTCGAATAGAATGGATGACCGCACCCTGTTAGCATAGAAAGTGCTTCTGGTCTCTTACACCCCAAACTCTGCTGTTTTCTCTTTCTAAGATATTTACAGCCACTCTGTGCTCAAAAGAGTCTCAGAAAAGCTGCTTATTCTAGCAGACTGCATGCACACTTGTAAACAGCACTGCATCCAAATCTTCTAAGCGCTATAGAGCCATTGAAGTATTTATAAATGCGCCACAATTCTTCTGTAAGCACTGCTAAGTTTAATATAGCCAAACATGGAGTTTATTAAAACTGTTAATCCGACTCCTCTTCCATAAATGGCCATTGTTAGAAATGTGTACTTTAATGGCTTAATTAAAAAACAGCTAAAAAGTATAAAAGAACAAAGTTTTTGTTTTTGAAAACTATGAACAAAGAAAACATAACAATTATGAAAATAGTAGGAGTTGCATTCTCGGCTGTTACAATATTTTTGACTATTTCATATTTTGCAATAAATATGTCTGGTCCAAATAAACTTTCTGCCACAGATGCTAATAAAGCCATTCAAAGCTCTTCTACCAACAGTCAATCCAGCTCGAAAGCTAGCAAACCACAAGATCCCAAAACACAATCTGCTAACGAAAAAGAAAAAGTGAATAGTCCTAAGCCGTCTACTAAGAACTTAAGCGATAACAATACTGGGGGATCTACTAACGAAAAACCAGCTGCTAGCACTACTCAAGAAGGAGCCAACTTGACTGTCAGCGAAGAACAGCCAGAGAAGTATGAAAAACAAAAGCCATTAGTTTCAGACACACTCAAGACTCCAACAGAAGGAACAAAAGAAGAGTCTAAATCTAGCCTCATTGATGGATTTATTTCTTGGTTCAATGCTTTCTTTAATCAGTCTCCAAAAAAAGAATCAGATGAAGGAGCTCCATTAGACAACTCAAATACTGCTAAAACAGAACAAACAATAGAAGGACTAAAAGATAACGAAGAATCTATAAAATCTAGTTCAGATTATGTGTCTGTATTAGATAAAATATCTACTGAATAAAAAGTTGGTACTAAAAGTCAATGAAAATTAAGCTTTATTTATTAGTGAAAACCATAATAATAAATTAAATTTTTAAATTCTACTTCTTTTTGAGCAAACACTTGTGCATTCTTTGTTCCAGTCCTTCCATTTTAATTTTCTGTTAAACAGACAGATTTATTTTTACCACCAAACAGCTATACTTTTAAATACAGATGAATAAAAACAGATAGATGGTTGTAGATTTATTAATCAGTGCAAGGCAACCTTCAGAAGACTGTAAATAGCTGGCATCCATATCTCAATGTCTGTGCCAACTGGACGCGTGGCACAAATCGAGTCGCCCTCTTTTCTTAGAGCATCCAGCTGCTCTGGCGAGACATGTGCTGCGGGCACTTTGTCAATTCCAAGCTCTGCGACTTTGTCCAAAAAGATGTGCATTCTGTCCAGGAAATCAGGTGTCCATTTTTTCTCGTGCAGGTGTTTGTTAAGTACAGCTATCTTGGGCTCGATTGATTTCAGAAGCCATCCCTTCAGTGCGCCCTTTTTGTTATTGATTATTCCTGTTAGGCTATCAATCAGCTTTGATATTCCGTTGTATGTTTCCTCCATTTCAGGCGTGACTACAATCTCTGCAGGCCTGCCAGGCTGGGCCATGCCGTGTCCCCCAAAAGCCCCGTGCATGGGAGCGCCAGACGCTCGCATTCCTGGGGTGCCCCCGTGCTCCATCATCCCCTGGGTGTTTCCTCCTGGGAAGGGCGTACCGAATCTACTGCCGTGTGCTGATGTAGGGAAGGGTGTACTATTTCCTGTCCCCTGTCCAGACATAAGCCCAGATGAAGTGCGCATAGGCATACTACCACCAGGCATAGCATTACTGTTCATTGCTCCACTGCTCATATTGCTGGGCATAGTTGGCATAGTTGGCATAAATGGTTTGTTCATTGTTCCACTGTTCATATTGCTATTCATACTGGGCATAGTTGGCATAAATGGTTTGTTCATTGATCCACTGCTCATACTGCTAGGCATACTGGGCATTGCATTGCTATTCATGGTTGGCATACTTGGCATAGCACCACTACTCATGGTACCAGACATACTGGGCATAGCCGATTTATTCATGGCTGGCATACTTGGCATTCTGGGTGTGCTTACTCCCATTGGTTTCTGCGGGGGTATGCTGCTGTTTTGGAAGGGCATTGCACTTGGCATTCCCTGGGGCGTGTAGACATTCGGGGCGCTGTATCCCATTGCACTGCTTGGAGTTTGCACTTTGTTCAGTGGATTCTCAGATACCGGGGTTTTAGCAAATGATATCTTGGGGCCTACTCTCCCTCCTATGCTTGGCGTTGCTGCTGTAGACACAGGGCTTGGGCTGGCATTCTGCGTGTAGAATGATTTGCTGTGCAATTCGCTTTGGTTTCCCCGGGGGGGCATTCCAGGCATTGTCTGTCTGTAGGAGGCTGGCTGCTGGGGGGTCTGGAACACTCCGGGCGAATAAATGCCGCGGTTAGCTGGGTTATTTCCCATTCCACTCGCTGCACTGCTATTCATGCTGTTAAACGGCATTGCACTGCTGGGCTTCTGCTGATTTGTGTGCGGCGGGAACATATTCATTCCCATGCTCATTTTGTTCATTTGCTGGTGGGGCTGCATATCCTGCTTCTTCTGTGCCTGGTGGCTTGGAAGGCCCAGCTCTGCTGCAACTTCTTCTGCTGACTTTTGGTCAAGAGACTTTATGAATGTGAGGACTCTTTCTTTTTCTCCCTTCTTCACAAGGTGCTTTAAATACTCCACTGCGTGCTTGTCCAGGGATATCTTTGCGTTCATCACTGAGGTTGCTCTTTCAAGAATCGAGAAGACTTTTTCAAAATTGTTGATAAATTTAACCGATTCAAAGACTGTCTTTGCTTTTTCTGCCTTTTTCTCTTCGATCTCCTGGTACTTTTGCACGTCTTTCGAGATCAGATAGCAGATCTTTGCTGTTTCAGGGCTGCTCTTTTCCAGACACTCTGCAACTGCCTTTACCTTCGGGATGAACTCTTCATCTGTGCAGTGGCTGCCGAGTATTTTCACAATCACTGTCCAGTCCACATTATTCTTAATAAGCCCGCTGTAGTCTCCAGATAAAATAGACATCACAAGCAAAAAGCTGGATGATGCCCCTGGCGCGCTGAGTATTCTGTTCTTTTCTCTTTTCAGGACGCTTTCTCCGTCGCACAGCGCAATGAGGGCTGCGAGGTGCGCGTTCTCCTTCAGAGCGAGCGAAAAAGCGGAGGAAAAGTCTCCCCGGATAAGCTTCTCTGTTATTGGGTCGCTTTCATCTATTTTAATTTCTGTCTCCTGCACCTCCTCTGTGTGCTCCAGAATCGGGCTCTTCTCCTCTGATGAGTTGAGTATTTTCAGTATTTCCCGTCTCGGGTGCTCTTTCTCGTATGCATCAAGTATCTTCCACTCGTACGATGTTTTATCCACGTTTTCAATCCACTTTCTCAGCCTCGGGCCTTTTCCCTCGGAGACAAAGAGCCCGTGGCTGGTAAAGCACATCCCAGGGCCCTGCTTCTGCCACTTAGGCACTTTGTCAAGGAAAGGCGATCTTGCGTTAAGGGAAGTGAGCGTGTCAAAGACTACGCGCCCATTGTAAGAGGAGTACGCTATCATATCAGGGTTCTCAGGGCTAAACGCAAAGTCAAAAGTAGAGTCGTGCACGATCACTCCTCTTTTTTTGTACGTATTTGCATCCCATGCTATCACTGAGCTGTCTCTTCCACACGTAACAATCAGTGAGGGGTCGTGTCTCGACCACTTGCAGTTGAGGATCCCTTCTGTGTGTCCTTCGAGTCTGGGCGTGCCTCTGGATATTCTCAGGTCGTACAGGATAACGGAGTTTTGGGCGCTGGATGACACTGCCAGCTGCGCGCTGCTTGGGTTTGGGTCCCACTGCAGCGAGGTTATCTCTGATTTTGAGAAGTACGGGTCTGCAATTCTCGTCACTTCGCTTTTCCCTCTGAGATCCAAAATGCTCACCATTCCGTCTATTGTTCCCACGGCCATTATTTGCGGCATGTTTTTATTCCACTGCAGACAGCTTATTCCTTCAAACTTTGTCGTTATTCCTGGAGAGAGAGGCTTGTCAAGGGTTCTTAGGTTCCACAACATTATTTTACCTGAATACGACCCTGTGGTCAGAACAGGCATGCCTCCTGCAAAGTCTATCCCGAGTATGTCGTCGTCTGTTTTTACGTGGTTCTTGAAAATGAGCTCCTTTGGCTCTTCTTTGTTTCCTTCCAGGAGGGATGTTGCATCCCACAGCGTTACATTTCCTGCATCCAATCCTCCAGCTACGAATATCCTGTCTCCATACATCCCCCACTCGAGCCTGTTGAATCGCGTGGGCACTGTCTTGCTGAATAAAATCTCTTCTGTGTCTGTGCTTCTTATCTGAAGAACCGAGTTTGATGAAAAATCACTGTTCAATATCTTTGCTTTTGTTCCCAGCGCGGCCAGCGAGCCTACTGGACTGAATGACACTAAACTAGTCGTCTCTATCTTCATGCGTAAACAAAAATGAGAGAAAATAAAAATAATATATTATGCTGAGAAATTGAAAACACAAAGAGAGGATGTTTCACTCTGTTGCTAGGAAAGTGGAAAATAAACAAAAGAATTAAAATTAAAGAAAGAAGCAGAGAAGAGGAAGCACTCTGTTATAGGAGAAAAAAGATAAGTACAAGAAGCTTCTACAGTCTATTTCGCATTAGCTTGCTTTTCAGCTCCCAATACTGCTCTCTTCTCTTTTATGATCTCTTGTGAACTACTGGCAAGTGCACTGAACGGGTAGATCAAATGATTTTCGATTAAATTTGTTCTCTTTGTGTTTATGCGTAAAATTAAATTAGTTAATTTGTCCTTGCTAATTTAAGTTTTGTGCAGTGGCTGGCTTGAAATAGTTTTTATTTTCGTCGCATAAAAATGAAATGTGTCCGTGCTGAGCCGTCTCTTCTGAGTGACCTCTTCTACGCACTGGTGGGGCTGGACTGCAACTTAATCCGCGTAAGAAAGAGCGCAACCATCGATGTTTTCTTTAAATCTTCGATATCGCAGGACGACATTCAGATAATCAACACTCTTCTGAGCATAATAGTCGGCATTAAGGAGTGCAGATATAAAATAGACGAAGAGTACTTCTCTTCTGAAGTGATAAAACAGTATTTGTTCAAGGGGCTGGAGGAGGAGATAAAAATCTTTATTGGAAAAGTAGACCAGATCAGAAACAACGTGAAAAACATAGATGTGCAGGCGCTTACCTTTCTCTTCCAGGAGGACATAGACAAGTTCAGCAGAATAAGCATGATTCTGAGAGAAATAGAGAGCGTAACGGGTTTGTTTTTGCTGGAGGTTGTGATGAAAAGTAAGGTAGAGTGCTCCTCCATTGTAAGCCATCTCGCACTCCCGATTAACAGGGTGCTGGTGCGGCTAGTAGAGGGAAAAGAGACAGACGGGTATTTTGAAGAAAGAAACACGTACGACTATGGAGAGTGCTTTTGGAGCAGCCACTACAGGGTAAAAGATATGCCATCTTATCTCGCTAATTCAATCGGTGTTCTAACTGATTTGGGTAAAATATCAAAGATAAGAAAAACCGTTGGTGAAGCACAGATTGACTACAGAGGAGATATAATATACATAGAAAACAAGATGGTTGTAATAAACGAGCAAAGAATACGCGAGTACTACAGCATTATAGCAGACTGTCCCATTGTAAGAGAAGAGTGGAAAAGCGGCATAACAGAGATGTTTGGGAGGATCGGACTGGATGTGCGCAAATACTCCGAGCTTTTCAGGGAGATGGGGAGTAGAATTCTAAAACAGCCGTCTAAGAAGGACATTTCGATGGTAAACTATATAATGCGCAGGGGAAGCCCTGGATACTCAGCATTTGAAGAGCATGTAGACTCTCCGTCTCTCTCTTTTTTAGACGACTCTACTTTTTTATTGGAGAGCGTGGAAGGAGTGCGAACTTCTCCTGTTTCTTTTATTTACAGCGAATCATCCTTATCAAGAACTTTGCTGGGGATATACGACACAAAGTGCAGCAAAACAGTTGGCGGGCTCTCTCTTCTGCAGGGCCTGGATATTTCTCTCTCTCTTAGAGAGCCTCTTTCGATGTTCTTCTCTGCTAAGTCTATTTCCGAGATAAAAATTCTGTTTAGGCTGATTTACTCGCTCTATGCGGTTGAATACTTCCTGTGCTGCCAGTACAGCCACTGGAGAATACGGCAGATGCTTCTAGGTTTTGTCACGGGCGTGAGAATGTTTATAACAGAGAAGATAGACGAAGAATTTCAGAAAGTGATAAACGAGAACAATATCTCCATGTACCACAGCACATTGGAGAATGCCCTGTGGAATATAACGAAAGCATCGCTATTGACTAGCCCTTTCCTCATACAGTTCTACAGCAGAGTCTTTTCCATTGCTTTCATGTACATTGAAATAAAAAATAGAGAAATGCTCACGGCTGCAGAAGTGGAAGAGATCATCCAGTCGCTAAAGAGCTGCTTTAAGGCCGCCATACCGTACGTTAAGTCGCCGTTTTTGGTTCTACTTTTTGAGTCTCTCGTGTAGATATCTACTCCAGTAGAATAATTACCTGAAGAGTAGATATCAGCGATGTATCTATTTTTTAATTGTTCGATTAGACATTGCTCGTGTGCATGCTTCTTTATTGTAACTTCTATAATAAATATACACCATTAGCCAAAGCACCTCCAACTGCACTTTAAGAACTACTGCACTAGATACTTGTAGTGTACATATTCTTCAGTTACACTTCATTATCTCTACTAATTTCTAGTAACTGCATCTTTTTATGATGGTTTATTTCTGTGGATAGTACAGTGAGTGGCTAAATCTAATGATACTGTTTATTGTAGCAATGGCTGCAGATATTTAATTCTCCTTTTCGTAAAAAGTTTTAATGAAACTGGCTGAATTGTACGCCACTGCAAAAGAGCACTTTCCCTTTGAACTAGTCTCCTCTCCCTTGGTTAGGTTCCTTCCTAGAAGAGCAACCATCGACCAGGTCGATTACAAATACGAGTCGCAGATAAAAATAAGCAAAGCTAAGAGGATAGCAAAAGAAGAAGAAAACGACGAAGAAATTAAAAAAAGTACGAAAAAACAAAAAAAGTGCGAATGGAAGAAGTAGTGCTCGCTTACAACAAACTGACAGTTGGAAACATATCGAGCGTGTTTAAGCAGATAGAGAGCTCGTACAGGAGAGATAGCAGAGAGACAACAGATGTAATAATAAAAATACTCGCAGAAACAGAAATAGAGAGCAACTTGCTTGCCGTCTCCTCAATGCTCAAGCTAATACACTCTGTGCTGGATAAAAAAATAGTTGAAGAAGTCATCTCCAAAGTGCCAAACTTAAATTTGTACTGCTACATATTTAACTACGGCCTGGTGGATGATGCATTTGTCAATTCGAAAGTGTCTGATCTTATATCTTGCAAAGACTCTTTATCTATTCTAAAGATACTCCAAATGTGCAGCACGCTCCTAGACGAGTCTACGCTGGGCATAATAGACACAAAAATGGAAGATGATGGAAGCATTCTTTGCAAGTTCATCAAAGAATCAATAAAAATGATCCGCAGAGGACAGAGCCCTTACAGAAACTATCTGCAAGACGAGATGAACAGCATAAAAAACACAATAGCAGGAATCCTGTCAAAGTACGCAGAGACAAACACCAGTGTGATCACAACAGCAACTGACGCAGAAGAAGTCATTGCCGTCAAGTTTGGAATGAACACTTCGCTAAAGAAAAAGATATTTGCCATTCTCACAAACAGCCAAGACTACATCGAGGCGCAGAGAGCCCTCTACAAACAAATCATAAGAAAAGTCTGGCACATTGAAGAAATAGTTAAAATATCAATTGGGCTGTGCATAGCTGAGAAGAGGTACAACACATACTACTCTTCGTTAATTACCTCTCTATATGACACTTCGTCTGCAAACCACAAAAGCACAGTTATGAAGTACATCTACCAAACAATCGACGAAAAGGTAGAAACTCTTTCCAAGCTAAACATCAAGGAAATATACAACCTGGGAATGCTAATGGGCACTTTCTACTCGGTGGGAATAAACACTCTGCGGCCCGTGGTAAACCTAGGGCTTATTATAAAGAAGGAAGAAGTCCTTGTGAGAGTTCTGATAAAAAATATTTTAAATTTGCATCTCCAAAAGAAGATCAAAAAGTTCAGAAAAATGAAAGAGGCAAGTGCTTTTAAGAGCTTTTATGCGAACAGTATCATAGACGGGTCTTTTTTGAAGACAGAGAATAGAGAAGATTTGGACGCTCTGTATCGCGAGATGTTTATACAAATTTAAAAAATTTATTAATAAGAATAGGAGAGGGAATGAGAGACGACTGCTTTTATTTTATGACTTCCGTTTGCGCCAGGGGAAACAGCTGCACATACAGGCACAGCATGGCTGCCAAGCAGAGCAGCGTTGTTTGCAGCAGCTGGAAAGCCGGCGTAGAGTGCAACGAGCCTTGCCCCTACAGACACTCCGAGTATCAGCAGAAAGATAAGGAAAAAGGAAGCACTGTGTGCTACTGGGAGACGCACGGAGGATGCAAGAAGGCAGACTGTCCGTTTGTGCATCTGCAGAGAGCCCACAGCCAGCCGTGTCTTTTGGACATTCAGAAGCTGAACTACGAGCTGGAAGAGCTGAACATCCGCGACTATGAAGCAGAAAAGCCGATTATCGTAAAGAGCATAGCCGAGCTGATGCAGGAGCTGAAAGAGATTGAGGGAATATTTCATATTTAAATAAAAACTTAAATAGTAAAGCGTTGTGAGTGTGATTGTTGTATAGCTACACTAATTCTTTTGTAAAAACTAAATTGCAGTTATTCATTCTCTGTATAGGATAGATTTTATCGAAGAACTAGCAAAGCTCTATTGATCGTTTTAGATGGGCGTATCTTATGCGATTTTTGCCAGAGATTGGTCAAAAAGATCCTTTAAAAGCCATTTTCTCTTATTGGTTACTTTGACAGTGGGCGCATAGAAAGGCTTGATTATGCACCAGTGAGCGTATATTTTTAGTATAAAGTGTAATAAAATAATTAAAAGAAAGATGCAGACGACCGAGAGAAGAAACTCAAACCCAGATCAGCGAGCTCCCGAAGAGATTAAGCAAATGGGCCCGCCAAAGAAGTACAATGTTCTTGTGACTGTGCTGCTTGTTGCAGCAATGGTTTTATTTGGCTGTGTGCTCATTGCACTGGTAAAGAAAAACCCTCTCATCGTTAGTGTAAATTAAATGCTAAGTAGAAAAAGAACGCAAGACTCCAGCAACCTACACTAATAAAGCTTAAATCTCTTTCACACATTCTCTATCTCTATTTCTGTGTTTATTGCAGTATGTTCAATAGAGTTTTTCTTTTTCATTGGCCATTAATGGTGTACAGTTTAAAAAGAAGATGCAGCGCTTGTGTATCTGGATCATCAGTGATAGAGTGTAGACTAGAGCATGGTTATACTGAAATAAACACTTCTTCATTCTGTTCTCTATAGAATATGCATTATATCTATTTCTTGTTCTACGTGTGTTTTTTAGAGCTTGTTTGTGTGTCTCTTGTTTATTGCTCCAATGTTGTTCAACTTAGTTCATCTATACCTTTTTAAAGATAGATTTTTGCTCTGTTTAGCCACAGCAACTAATCTTTGTGCTGCATGAAAATTATGTGCATTCTCTTTGCATAAGTATTTATTCTAAAATATTACAGCTGCTAATACAAACTTGGTACAATATTTAAAAGTATACACTTTAAATTTGTAAATGTCTTTAAAATTTTATTACATCATGGAAAAACAAAGAGTTTCATTTAACTAGGGAATAATGTAATTCATATACCTGGCTTATTTATATCGAACATTTCTTTAGATTATTTATGTTTATTAGATGTAACTCTTAGATATGGTAGGTTAATCAGACTAAAATGTTTATTTGCTTAGGGCTTTTATCAGCTGCTCAAGCTGATATATGCAATTGTGTTCTTTTATGTAAGAAAGAAATGAGCTCCAAATAGGGTCTTTAGAGAGAAGATCTGGATGCCCGAGAACAATAATGGTTTTTTTTGCTCGCGTGATGGCTACGTTCATTCTCCGGTAGTCGTTAAGGAATCCTATGCGCCCTGTGCGCACGGTGGAGAGGATGATGCAGTCTCTCTCCTGGCCCTGAAATCCATCAATGGTTGACACAAGCACATTTGACTTTTTAAGCACATCTCTGCTCATTAGGCGGTTCATCTGTTCTTTGTACGGTGTAATTATCCCAACTGATGCATACTTTTTCATCACTGAAGGAAGCATTTTTGTTATCATATTTATTTCACTTTCATTGTAGAAGCTCTTCTGGTCTTTTCTCTCTGTGTGGCTCTGTGTGGACACGAATGCGAGTGGGATCTTCGAGTCACGATCCACCCCATCCAACAATTTTCCGCTGTAAAATGAATCATTGGGAAACTTGGATATTTTTTTGTGCATTCTGTACTGGGTGTTCAACAGCAGAGGAGAAATACTTTCTGCCAGCCTTTCAAAAAGAGAAACAGACAGATCGGGAGAGTTTGAGAATATTGTGGCGGGCAGCTGCTTTGGATCGCCCACGAGCAAAATTTTCCCTCTGTCTTTTATTTTGTGAATTGCAATCAGAACACTGGGCTCTATCGCCTGGCACGCTTCATCGATAATAACATAGTCAAAGAAAACGTTGTTGAGCATCGATGAGCCTGCCATTGAGAGAGTGCAAAACACAAGCATGGCTTTCTTTGCCAAGGCTATACCGGCATTTCTTTCTGACTCTTTATCTTTACCGCTGCCAATGCAAATCTCAACTGAATTATTTACATTTTCTGATGTAATTCTAACTTTTGGTCTTTCACTACTGCTAGTGCTCCTGATGCTGGAGATATGTGCCCAGGTGTTTTTCTTGAAGAGGCACTTCCACGGGCTCCCGCTTTCAATTAGCATGTCCACGCCCATTTTGCTTGGTGCACACACCAGCACTCTTAGGCCTCTTTGTATGCACTGAGAGATCACACAGGAAACCGTTCTTGTTTTTCCTGTGCCGGGCGGCCCCTGGATCAGCGTTACTCTTTTCTTCAGCGCTGTTGCAACGGCTGTTTTTTGGCTGTTATTCAACTCTTCGTAGTATCTATCTTTTTTTTCAGGTTTTATGTGCTGGATAGATTGCTGCGGCAAGATGTCTGTGTTTTTTCTGACCTCAGGATTGACTATGGACATGCCCATGCGCAGACCAAACATGTTGTCAAGTGCCAGATACTCTCTTTTGTTCGATGTGAGGTTAGAGACCAGCACCATAAAACAGTCCGGCGTGCTCTTGAAATTGCTCAGCTTGGATAGCACATCAGGATGGACTATAATACTACAGACAGACTTGGCATTTTTAACGACAATTCCAGTATAAAGATACCTGGGGTTTTGCGTGTCTGATAAGACCAGTACAAGATCGCTCAGTATTAGCTCGCTTTCATTATCAGATGCCCTACCTGATTTTTTTCTTTTTTTTTCCTTTTTCTGGGAGCCCACAGATATATCTAGGGTGCCTTTTACCTTGCCCATTTCCATTCTGTTTATGGCTTCTTTGTACGCTGTTCTGCCCTGCTCGCTATCTATGGTTCGTATGATGCTGGCTATGGTTTCGTCGACAAGCAGAGGATAGTAGACCGAGAAATAGTCCAAAAAAGTGCTATATCTCGGTGCTATCGTGTCCTTCTGCAGAGAATTGCTGTAGATGGATCTCAGATTTAACTTTGATGCTGTGGGGTTTTTGTTTGCTAGGCACACGTGCTCGTAATAACACTGGACAAGCAAGCTATTGCACGTTTTGTAAAAGACTTCTTTGTTCTTTAAAATAGCTTGAAAATCCATGCTTAAAATTTTTCAGCTGTTTTTATTCGTATTGGGACATAAAGATCAAAAGATAAAACATAAATTGCTATTCGTGCATTTATTCACTTTGCGCGCCCACAGCCTACACATAGTGTGAGAAGGGACAAATGCCTTTGAAGAAAGCCCACCGCTGCTTTAGAAAGAGAGTTGTGGGATAGAGCAGGGCTATGCAGCGGCATGCTGCAGCTCATCCTCCACACCGCAGCCTGCAGAACAAACAATAAATTCATAAAAAAAGCTAATTAAAAAATAGAATGATCTTATCGACTTTATTTCCAGAAATAAATGCACTTCATATAAATAGTAATAATTGCAGTCTAAGTGCGCTCTGAGGACCGATCGCGCAAATATAATCAGGATTATTTTTTTAATTAGAGGCTCGATATGAAAAGAAATATGCATGTAAGAAGAAAAATAAAAAGCTGCAGCCAGTTGCCATGGAGCGGCGCTGTTTCAAAATATTTGATATTCTCATTGTTTTTCGTGTTTTGTCTAGGAGAGACTATAAATACTTTTATAAAACTTAAAAAAGACCCCATGAACAAAGAAGAGGCAGATGGAAAGTACATGTGCGAGACCCCTTTTGGCCTGCAGGGAAGGCCGGTCTTTGGAGGGCAGATTTTCTCGCACATTATCAGCTGCGCACTAAAAGAAACAGAGAACTACGAGGTTATCTCAGGTGACTGCGTCTTCAAAGATAAGACAGAGCAGTCTCTCCCCATTATTTATAAAAGCACCGTTGAAGCCCTTGGCAGAACAGTCAAACTGGTGAATGTAAATGTCTGCCAGACCGTGGATGGTGTTGAGGTGGTAAGAGCCGTGGGCGTGGTTCTGATGCAGAAGTCAAAGACAGCGATCCAGAACGAAAAGAAGGTTTTTATTGAAACAATAGCAAAGAGACAAAAAAACACACTGCAGAAATATTTTAGTAGAGGCACACCTGACAGAGAAAAGATCAAGCAGATGAAAACACCGAAAGTGTTCTGGAAAGAAATTCTGAACGAAAAAGACTTTAAGACGTACTCAGACATAATCCACGATAGATACAACAGCGTAGACCTGTACATGCTGCAGGATGCGAAGAGTCCATTTGCAAGGTGCATTGGATACCAGATGCACCCACCCGCAGCCCCAAGCACCCACGAAACCACAGAAGTAGAAAGAATAAACGAAATATACAAGCATATCTCATACATTTCAGATGAAAACCTGCTGGAAACAGCCCTTATATCCCAGGGCCTGTGCATTATCAACAGCAAGTACAACATTCTCACAATTTCTCACTCGGTCAAGTTCAACAGCTGCGAAACATTCGATCTTTTCCAGCCGTTCTTCTACAGCATAAAAATAAAAAGCATTGAAAATAACATCGCGATGTGCAGCGGGAAAATAGTCCAAAACGATACAGTGTATGCGAACATACATCAGGTGGGCAAAATAATGATGCTTCCAGGTGGAAACACCAACTCGAAATGAAATGAAAGCTATTTTGTGAAGAGATGCTTTATGCGCAGATTTTGATGATTCTCAATAAATTATTATCCAAACTCTCCCGAAATTCTTGCTTTGAATATAAATTTTTGCATTTTGCCAGCTAATGGTGCTGGAAAAGAAACGGTATATTGTGTTCACAACAAACAGCAGTGCGGTATTTACCACACAGGATGTGCGCAAGGGCATTGTCAACTTGGCAAATTCTGAGCTAACCGATTGGGAGTATGCGCTGACAGTCCCAAAGCTGAAAGTAGTTGAGTACTATCCCGCGCTAAGAATAGGGATAGCAAAAGTGATTCTCTCTGGCGTAGCGAACATCCAGAAAATATTTGAAAAAACAGTGTCCGTCAATGAGTCCAACTTATCTGTAAAAGTAGTAAGAATCTCGGGAATAATAAAGAAAGCAAAGAAGTGGATTGCCAAGACACAGAGTCAGGCTAAGATCAGCAGAGAGTAGAGTTGCTGTATATCTAAAACTTTTGCTGTTTATTTTGGCAACAGCTGGCAACTTTCTGTGGAGGAGAGAGCACATAAATGGGATATTTAATTTTTAAATATGACCACAAACTCTCTTCTGCACGGGATAGTGCAGGCAGTAAAGCCAGCAGCACTTGTTATCACAGGAAAGAAAAACGAGCTGAGAGTATTTGGAACAAGCACAGTGGACATGTATCTGTCCGTGAACAGATCGGGCATATCAAGCACGCTGGACACAACGGTAGAAGTCCGAACAAACGAGTTCACAAGAATTCTCAAGGAGTGCAGGCTGTTTTCTGACATAGAGTTCAATAGGAATGAATCAGTTGCAAGAACATTCATAGAGCAGGAGGGGTGCAGGCTGCAGCTAGAATGCGCCACCAGAGAAGTAGAAGAAATCGTGCCGCCTGCAGTGACAGCAGAGATCATAGTGGATCTGGACACAAAGTTAATGAAAGAAATTACAACAAAAGACTCGCACTCGGCTGAAGTGCTGCTGAACGGAAAAACGGTGGAAATAAAGGTAAATGGGCCAATAAAGGCGGAGGCCACACAGAAGACAGCAAACTACATAAAGAAAAAAGACAAGAAGCATGCGTTTATTATCCCAGCAGAAGGATTTACAGTTGTATCAAGGGTGTGCAAGCTAGAGCCAACACGCATCCTTATGGGAGTTGTAAAGAGTGTTTCCATCTTCTACATATACTTTAAAGACATAACCGTTATTTGCTACGTAGCAGGCACTCTGCTGCAGATAAACGACTAATAGGAAGATGGTAAAATAGATAAGTAAATAAATGATAAGTGATAATTACCAATAAAAACAAGGGATAGATATTATATGAGGCAATAGATTAGATTTATCTGTTACAGATTTAGAAAAACATGAATTTTAGTACTCCTTTATTGTAGATAGCTAGGCTGTATCACGAGAGGGCTTTATTCCGCTGGCTTTTGATTTGACAGCTGAGACCGCAATTTGTTGACTTCTTCTTCAAGTTTTGCATTTTTTTCATTAGTTTCATCTCTTTCCTTTTTAGCTTTTTTGGCTCCTTCATATAATTGTTTATTTTCTTTCTTTTCATATGTTTCCTTGAATAGATCTTTTCTTTCTTCTTCTAATATAGTCTCCAAGCTTACATTTTCTTTAACAAGAATATCAGTAGACATTTTAGCTTCTTTTAACTGAGCCTGTAAGCTTACATTTTCTTCAGTAAGAGTATTAATAGAGCTTTTAGCTTTTTCTAACTCTTCTGATTTTTGCTGAAGTTCTCCTTCTTTAGTCTTTATTTGTTCTTTCAATATGCCGAACACACTAGAAGCTGTGTTTACATCACTTTGATTTTCACTATTTAACTTGTTTAAACTATCTGTTAAAGAAGTAATAGTAACCTCTTGTGTTTGTCCTTGTTGCTTTAATGTAGCATTTTCTTGTCTTAATTCTGCTAGTAGTTTTTTCTGTCTTAGCTGATAGATTATAGCTAATACCGATAAGACAACTAGTAGAACAGCAATGCTAATAACAACAACTGATGTGTTTGTACTTGCTGGAACGAGTTTCTTAACGGAGCCTATGTTTCCAAGTGTTTTTGCTGCTCTGTTTATGACTGATGCTGAGTTTTTCTCTATTTCTCTTTGTGCTCTTTGGTTTGCTTCCATAACGAGTAGTTAAAAATTTTCTTAAATAACGGCAATTTTCTTAAAATTTTCGAGTATACTCTGGACTCGGAAAATTCTTGATGTTAACCCCTGTACTTAACGGTGCCCCTGGGAATCCAGTACAGTAAATAAATGGCAAGTAAACGCGGAAAGATGCAAGTGCATGGCTTGTGCTGCTCTATTTGAACATAGCCATCAGCAAGCCAATAATTCAAACAAGTGTATAGAAAATGAGTAGAGTATTGCCAGTACTTGTAGCATTGTGAATATGAGGATAAATAATATGGAGTTAGAGTAAATGACTTTTTATTCCGTTGACTTTGAGCTAGCTCTAGCATCAGAAGTTCTTAATTGTGTCTTTAATCTTAGTCTTGAAAGCACTGTTGTCTTAGCTGTTTTGTTGGGCTTATTGCACTAGATCAATAAATTTTTATCCAAAGAGACTATGTTGATCTTCTTTTTGTTGTTCTTCCCTTTGTTGTTCTCTTTGTTGTTCTTCCCTTTGTTGTTCTCTTTGTTTCTCCTCTTCATCTACTGGATTCTGTTTATTCTTTCTTGATTTAGATACTAATGTTACTATTAATATAATAGTAAACAGTATAGCAACACTACCGATGAAAAGCATTAATGGACTTGTCTTTGCCATTCTTCTTGCAGCTGTTAATAAACCTTTCTTTGTCTCTGTTGGCACTACTGAATTTGTTCCCATTGTAACCCCTTGTAAAAAAAACCGTTTAAATACTAATAATTTTCTCAAATTTTCTTTCCGTTTACCCCTGGACATAACAGTACCCCTGTAAAATCTGGCAAAGTAAACATGGAGGAAACTTCATGAATTATGCTGTTTTATTTGGACTTAGCCATCTAGCAACTAATAATGCTCAACTAACTTTATAGCTGATGGCCAGAGTGCTGCTAATACTTGTAGTATTATGAATACGCGAATAAATAATATAGATGTAGAATGATTGGCTTTTTATTCTGCTGTTGTTTGAGCAAGCTGAGATCGCGAGTTCTTGAGCCTTTCTAGAAATTCTTAGTTTTCTTTTTTATTCGCATCTTTTTCTTTTGCTAGCTGATCTTTCAAATCTGCAATTTCCTGATTATGTTTAGCAATGAGCTGTTCAATTGTATCTTTTGTCTCTTGAGCTATTTTCTGTTTTTCTTCTTCTCTGCTTTTTATTGTTGAATTTAATTTATTTTGCCAGTCTTTGCTTACATTTTTCTCAGCTTCAAGATATTCTTTTATATATTGTAAGTGTGATATTAAATCTTGTTTTTCTTTCTTAAGTTTATGAATATCATCTGCATATAATTGTTTGGTTTCCTTTATAACTATAGCTTTTAATCTTTCAATTTCTTGTGGAAAATCTTCAATTTGTTTGCTTAAACTAGCATTTTCTTTTAAAAGATCTTGAACTTGTTTGTTTAAGCTATCCATTTCATCTGAATGTTCTTTTTTTAATCTAGCAATTTCTTCTTGTTTTCTTTGATCTTCTTTTTCTAATGCATTATTTTTGTCCATAACTTCTCTAAGTTCATCTCCTAAAGCTACCAGTTGGTTTTCTGTTGAAATCTTAACTATTCGCTGTTGTTTTCTCTGTCTTATCTTGTATACTATTGCTAATATTACTGAGACAACTAGCAGCACAGCAAGGCTGGCACCGACAACTTCAGACACGCTCATCTTTGCTGTTTTGCTCTCTACTGTGGATATCACGTCTTTAAGACAGTCTACTGTTTGGTTTGCGGCTGTCATTAAGTTTTTCTTAATTTCTGTTGGTACTGTGTAATTCATTTGGATTGTGATTTGTAAAAAAAAATCCGTTTAAATATTTGCAAATTTCTCAAAATTTTCCAATTCTAAGCTAGCGTGTGACGCTTAAAATTTTTTATTGCATTTCTAATATACTTGTCAATGAAAAATTGCTATGCTCCTTTTTCATTTGAAATTGCAAGAGAAGGCATGTTAGCTTGCTCTCTAGCTATACTTATAAATTCTAAGGAAATAAAATCAAAAACTCTCTATCGCATCTAGATAGCAGATAGATTGAAAACGAAATATTTGCATCTTCTAAACACATGTCCATTCACTTTATCCAAATCATCCAATCATAATGCTCTGATACGAATAGATAAGATGGTGCAATAACCCGAGAATAAGCCCAACAAAACAGTTAAAACAGCGCTGCTTTCAAGACTAAGATTAAAGACCCAATTAAGAACTTCTGATGCTAGAGCTAGCTCAAAGCCAGCAAAATAAAAAGTCATTTACTCTAACTCCATATTATTTATCCTCATATTCACAATGCTACAAATACTAACAATTCTTTACTCATTTTCTATACACTTAATTGAATTATTGGCTTGCTGATGGCTAAGTTCAAATAGAGCAATACAAGTGATGCACTTGCATCTTTCCGCGTTTACTTGCCATTTATTTACTGTACTGGATTCCCAGGGGCACCGTTATGTACAGGGGTTAACATCAAGAATTTTCTGAGTCCAGAGTATACTCGAAAATTTTAAGAAAATTGCCGTTATTTAACAAAATTTTTAACTACTCGTTATGGAAGCAAACCAAAGAGCACAAAGAGAAATAGAGAAAAACTCAGCATCAGTCATAAACAGAGCAGCAAAAACACTTGGAAACATAGGCTCCGTTAAGAAACTCGTTCCAGCAAGTACAAACACATCAGTTGTTGTTGTTGGCATTGCTGTTCTACTAGTTGTCTTATTAGTATCAGTAATCATCTACAAGATAAGACAGAAAAAACAACCGCGAGTCTTTGGAATTCTAATAACATACAAAAGGGAAACTTTAGAAGATCAACTTAGAGAGGTTACAAACGAAAACGTTGCATTAACAGAAGAAGATAAAAGAAAACAAGAAGTAATTGCTGGATTAACCAAAAAAGTTAAAGACTATTCAGAAAAAATTGCTGGATTAAACAAACAAGTTCAAGACTATTCAGAAGAAATTGATAACTTAAACAAACAAATTCAAAACTATCTCCATCTAGAAGAAGTGGATAAATTAAAAAAACAAGAAGAAATTGATAACTTAAAAAAGCAAGTTCAAGTCTATTCAGAAGAAATGAATAAATTAAACAGACAAATTCAAGACTATTCAAGAGAAAGTGCTATTTTAGAAAAGCAAGAAGAAATTGACAACTTAAACGAACAAGTTAAAAATCTTTTAGAAGAAAATGCTAGATTAAACAAGAAAATTCAAGATTTTCCACAAGAAATTGAAAGAGTAAAAGATGCAACTCTAGAAAAAGTTAAAAAAAATATACTCGGATGAAATACATGAAATTTTGCAAGAAAATAAAATGTCAAAGTTACAATTACATTGTATAAATGAACATCTTGAAGCTGAGAACGTTATAAGCAAAGACTTACAAAGTAAATCAGAATTAACAATAAAAAATAGAGAAGAAGAGCCTAAAGTACAAAATACTAGTTTCTCTGGATAAAAATTTATTGATCTAGTGTAATAAATGTTATTCGCTATTCTGGTGTGCTCAGAAACTGTGCATTATACTCTCAATGGTTTAGCCATTTTTTTCAATTATAAATAAAAATACTCTGCAAATTCTCTTCAAGGTACACTTTATTTCTAAATATTGCTTTTATTATTTAGCGTGCAGCTTCTATTTGTGCAGAACAAACTGTCCAATGTAATTCAGAGCAAAGAGCTAGGGGAAGGATAGCTAGAGAACAAGCTATATTACTGGATGCATACTTAGGGGAAGAATGGTAATGACAATTCTTATAAGCACGTGCATATGCTTAACTGTTATAATAGCATACGCTGCTATATGCTGCATACAAAGAGCCAACAAAACATACAAAATAGTACTGGACGATCTCAACAAAAAGATAGAGCTGAGCATCAGCGCTAACAGTCCAGAGCGCTCGCTCTTGGCAGCATCGCTGCAGGAGGCTCGCTGGATGATTGTGACAATAAAGGAGTGCCATAAAATAGCACAGATTGATCTCATAAAAATAATAAGCAGTCTCAGAGAGACAGGAATAGAAGAGCTAGTGTTGGAAGAAGTGACTCAGCCAATAAGCCATTTGTGGATTGTTCCGATAAAGAGCATCAGAAGCATTTGTTTTAAGAATAGCTCTATCTCCCACGAGCTGCTGAATGAGCTTGCTAGAATACCGCAGCTCGAGCTTCTCAAAATAAAGGGATGCAGTACGCAGTGGAAAAAAACAAAAGAGTGTGCAGCTATGAATGAAAATATAAAGTCACTCGTTGTTGAAAAGACGAAAGAAAGGTTTGTAAGAAAGTTCTTGCAGTCAACGCGTTTCAAACACGTTAGAGATCTGTACCTGAGCGGGACAGGATTGGCATCATTCAACACTCTGCTTTACATCTCCGGTGCAGACATACGAAAGCTGAAAATATCGAACGAAAGAATAAAGGAGGGAGACAGCGCGGTTTTCAAGTGCTTCAAGAATCTGGAAAGCCTTTCTCTCCATCAGATCGACTTTGATAGTGCGGAAGCACAGGAGAGCAGGGACAGCGCCGTGTTTACGTTTGAGAAGCTGTGGCAGTTTAAAGCGGACAGCTCGGTGTACAAGAAGGTCTTTCATAAAGGGAATTTTAAAACAAAAGAAAAGAATCTGCAGATCACAATAAACCACAGCACAAACAAAGGAGGATACGCAGTGGAGTACGTGCCCATCTCAAAAAAGGTGCTGGGCGTGTTTAGCTCAAAGAGCGTGACAAATGCTCTGCAGGTGAAGGTCTCTGAGCACATAAAAAAGAAAGAAAAAGTGAGCCATACAATTGATGAGCCAGCAGAGGAAAAAAACCAGAAAAACTCCATTATATTCCTGGAAGACGCAGAAATAAAACACCTTACAGTGAGCATAGAGATGAGAGACGGAAACAAAACAGAAGGCCTCCGTGTTCTTGAGAGCATACTGAAAGAGTCAGAAGCGTACAAACTTGAAAAGATATCGGTTTATTTCAAATACTCATGCAAGATAGATAAGAACTACATTGAAAGCCTCATAAACAAAGAGAAGCATAGGTTCGTAAAAGAGGTGCTATTTAGCAACATAGTTATATACGATGTGTCTCATCCACAAGAATCCTCAAATGAAGCAGTAACAGTGCATCTAAAGCATGCTTCATCAGAAGAGTCCAGTGAGCTGTGGCACGTATTTGAAAAGAAAGAGAGTAGCTTAGACAGTCTTACAATCAGCGAAGAGTACAGCACAGCAGCACAGAGCACCGTATTCAGTAAATAGCACAGAGCAGGAAAATGATTAAGATGGAATGCTCTCTATGTATGCTACAGTGGTGCCGTTGAGGAGAGACCTTCCCGCATGCGTTTTCGTATTTAAGCAAAATAAATCATCCACTAGAACATTCACAGTTGCATCGTAGTTCACGAATATTCCGGTGTAGACTCTTCCTGTTCTGAGCACTATTCTGATTCTTTTTCCTTTGTTCTGTTCTATCCAGTCTATGGGATGCATAAAAAAATAGTAAAAAGAAGAGTATATAAGAGAAAAGGAGAATTGAGGAGATTAAGAGATAAATGTATGAAGATGTGTTCAACTAATATTTAATAAAAATACTCGGGTTGAGTCTCCAGTTAATGTTGCAAAAGTTAGCACATCGGTCTATGAAGAGAATGTGACTCTAATTGCAGGGACTAAAAGTTTTAATAAATTTATATTTGCTCTGTGTTTGTTTTGTGCTCATATTTCCACCACTCCAGCTGCTAAGTAAAATAGAAAATAGAATGGAAAGGAGATTCTACTGGTCTATCGTTATATCTTTGGTGTAGTCTGTAAATTATTCTGATAACTAATATAATCAACTAATAATGTTTATTTGCTTGTTTTATCTAGCCAATGAGATGTCTGTGTGTTCTGTGACTACAGTTGCTAAATATCATCGGGTGCTTCTTCTCTCTATCATTCTGCATATCCACCAATTGCATGCCCAGAAAACAATTGGTTGTTTGGCCGCTTTTCAGAATCAAAATCACACTGTGCTTGTGCACAAAGTGTCTACTCTAGCAAGAGAAATATCATGATAAAAAACAGCAGGAGAATAATGTAGAATATCTTAGTAAGCAGACACTGCTTGCCGTACAGATTGCTTCTATACTCTGCCCCCTGCATGTGGAATATTCGCAGGTCGTTTATGTACCCAAACGTGCCGCGTATCTTTTCATTTCCGCAGATTTTTCCAAGTTCAGCTGGTTTGGGGAAGAATCCGTCATTTGTGTTTGCGCCTTTTGAGTATATTGGTATTACAGTGGAGAGGCTGCACAGGGTCTTGCACACAGGACAGATGCTCGACTTTTCGCTCCACCCGCACAAACACGTCCAGCAGAATAGATGGCCGCATCTTGTTACAACAGGTATTTCTACTTCGCACATGCATATACTACAATCAAAATCAACTTTCTTATTAAGCGGCCTCAGCACTACTTCTTCTTGCATGCTCCTTAAGAGTAAATCTCTCCTATAAATTCACATAGACCAATCAAATGAATATTTTAAATATTTTCCACGCTCTCACTCACTGTCTAAAGATCACCACGCTTTCACACATCTATGCCCTATACTCTATTCGCACACTCACCACCCATACTTTAACTTATTTCATATGCCATATCCAATATATCTCTTATCGTGTAATCTCTTCTTAATAATTATATCATATTTTTTCTACTGTGCATTCTCTGCTATCCATCGCCCTGCTGCCTTTTTCTTAATATATTCTACTCCTTGGTGTAGCAGGCACTGAGGGCCTCCATCGCATGGAATCTGACGTCTTCGCTGGTGTTGGATGATAATACGCCAAAGAGAACCAAGTGGATGTCCAGCTGTCTTATTATTGCCACTGACTCAGGATACACCTCCACTATCCTGTATATGTCATTGGCAGCAATCCATATGTTGTTTGCGTCTTCTGACTTCAAAAACCTTTTCAACGACTTGATTATGTCAGATCTTCTGATCATTAGGTTTTCAAAATTGTTCTTCCAGAACTCTGTGCTAAAGTGGTATGGGAACGGGTGCAGGCTCCCGCTTTGCAGCTCATTCAAGTACACATCAAACGTAGACACATCTTGGGAGAGCTTGAAGTACTTCTCCCTGCAGTATTTTAGATCGTCCTGTTCTTCCGGGTCTTCTTTATTTCCCCTGCTGGAAACAACGGACAAAAGCTCTTCTATTTTCTGAAAGGTTTCGTAGTTGTATTTTTTAGCAAATTCCAAATAGTTTCTCACAATCCCCAGGGAAACTCTCAGCTCCTTCTCTTTTCCGTCCTTTGAAATAAATGAAAGCATGTAGAACATCGGAGAGTTTATGAGAGCAGAAAGAGCCTTGTGCGAGAATGTGAGTATCCACAGGAGAAGAAGCCCCTGGTATTTGCACGCTCTTTTTGTGCACACGTTCAGTATAGCTCCCACCAAGTCGTTGTTTTTTGCTATTTCTTCTCTGATGGGGTCCTGGATAAACAGATCAATGGAGACTTTCTGTCTCGTGTACTCAAGTGTTGCGAGTCTCTGCAGGAATATAAGTATCTGCTCGGTTTTCTTGCTGTCTGGCTCGTTTTTTATCACCTCTGACAGAATTCTGTAGTACTCTCTGCTTCCTCTGTTGTTGTGTCTGTACACCCGCGTAAGTATCTGCAAAGCCTTTAGGGAAATAAGAAGATCGTTATTCTGGCTCAGACTCAGAAGTATATCAAGCAGCTCCGAGTTGTTCAGCTCTTCTGTCGAAAGGCCTCCTATCTCCATCAGAACCCCTCTGATTTTGTCCTTGGACGAAACTTCTTCCCTCAACTCTTTGAAGTATTTTTGTACGCCCATTCTTTAATAAACAAAATTCATTTTCTTTTATTATTTAGTTATTTCGACCGCATGAAAGTAACTGATGAAAACAAGACAGCAAGCATACGCCACAAAAAGAGCAAGAGAAAGGCCTTTGCAGAGTTGAAGAACAGGAAGAGATCCACGAATTTGGAAATACTTGAAAATGAGCTGTTTTCAGATATTCGGTCTGTATCTGAGTACGCCCAGGAGATTCTCCAGCACTACAAGAAGGAAGAGATCAACTACATGCCGTCGCACAACTACATGGCATTCCAGGAGGAGATAAGATGGGCCATGCGCTCTGTTCTGATCGACTGGATCATCGATGTGCACCACAAGCTCAATCTCCTCCCGGAAACTCTCTATCTTTCTGTGAATCTCATCGACAGATTTTTATCTCTGCGGATTGTCACCATAGGAAAGCTGCAGCTCGTTGGAGTGGCTGGGCTTCTGGTTGCCTCCAAGTTCCAGGAGATAGCGTCTCCTTCTGTGGAGACATTCGTGGTTCTTACGGACAGAAGCTTCACAGAGAACGAAATACTGCGAGCGGAGAAATACATGCTGCACTGTCTGGATTACAAGATAAACTATCCCTCACCGCTTAACTGGCTGAGACAGTGCTCGCATAACAAGGAGATAGACAGACTGGGATCTATTATTCTCGACTCTTTGCTGCCTGATGAAAAGTTCTTGAAATACTCTCCGTCAGTGATGGGATGCGCAGTGGCGTATTTGGCCAGGGGGCTGCTGCCTCGGGAGGACAAGGAGTTTGAAGTCTTCCACAAGTTCGCTGCGCACCCTCTCTCTTCTCTCACCAATTGTATCGATGAAATTAAAACGTATCTACAGAAACCCATCCTGCACAGTTCCATCTTTAAAAAGCATGGGACCCTATTCACCAAATATTTAGATAATCTTAATAAAGTATAATCATCTTCTTATAAACACCCTGCCATTCCCATTCGTCGTTATACTGCTAGTTATGATTACACTATTTATTTCTGCATTGGGTCATTACGGTTATAAATAGGATGGTATAAGTGGAATATTGTGTTTGAATTGCTACGGATATCTCTGCTGTTGTAGCTATCTCTGCTCTTAGGACTATCTTCTGGCCGTTATCATAATTCTAGATTTTATTTTCAAGCTGTAGTGTGAAAATGTTTTGAGAAAGAGAACTTTTATTCTCTGCAGGTAATGAGCTAGCTGTTCTCTTTATTCACTGAGAGTGTGGAGGAGCCATAGGAACTTATAAAAAATTTACACTCGGTATTAAGTATATCTAGATTTATTTAATAATGTACTCTTGTGCTACTTGTTTGTTCTGGGGGCTATGATTCTATCTCTTTACTTTGAATGTTCTTGACAGTCCTTTTTTGAGATAGTGCTTTTTTGAATAAATCAGTGTTTCTTTTTTTGCCTCTTCTTCTTCTTTTTCTTTTTGTTTCATTTGCAGCTCTTTGTACCAGTCAAAGTTCTTCTCTGTGTTTATTACGTAGCTATCTGGGATGTGGTGGTTGTCTTTGTTGAACTCGCACTCGTCCGTATTGGGCGGTGGATGCACGTACTTTATGCTTCCTTCTATGTACTCCTTCACCACTCCTTTGATGAGCTTGCCCTCTTCAATGCAGCCGGTGGACTTTTTCAGCCAATGGACGTAATTTCCCTGCATGGGCTTTCTTGAGTCGTTTACGAACTCTTTTACTTTCGTGAGATAGCACAGCCTGCGGACCCCCACTCTCTCGATAATCAGTGCTAGACAGTCTTTTACATCTCTTGTATGGTCCAGCGATAAAATACCGTTTAAAATCAGATCAGACTTCTCAGCTACGAATGTGGGGAAAACAAGCCCGGGACAGTCACAGAGCAATATTCCATCTAGCTTCATTGTCTGAATGTTTTTTGTCTTTCCCGGGATGATACTCGTCTGCACTACTTTTTTTTTAAATAGAGAGTTGATGGTAGAGCTTTTTCCGACGTTGGGGTATCCTATCATTCCTATTTTAAGCTCTCTGTCCGTTATCTCTGGGAATAGCATTTTCCATTTTTCCAGGAGCTCGTCTGAGTTGCTTGTAAGGGTGGAGTAGAAAGTGTGGCTTATGTTTCTATCTGCGAAATACTCACTCCACTTTCTCTTTTGCTCTTCCGTTAGAAGGTCTGCCTTGTTCAGCAACAGATGGTGCATTTTATTTGGTGATGCTTTGACAATGTCTTCTGTGTAGAAAAGCAAGGGATTTCTGGCATCTACAATTTGCACTATTAGATCGTTTGTCTCCAGGGTGAACCACAGCTGTCTCCACACGTTGAGATTTCTCTCGTACGGTGTGATGGTTCCCTTGTTCGAAAGCACTGCATTCATATTCAGCTTCCATGCATTGAACACCTTTCTTTCTTCGTTTTTGTAGTCTTCTCTGTCCAGCTGGTGTTTTGGTTTCTCTGGTATTCTGAGCCCCTCTGAAGATGCTTCTATTTTTGTCAGCTCTTTTATTGAAGTGTTTTGGGAGAAATCGTATTCTATGATCTCTGCTGCTTCAACCAAAGAGTCTACCTCTGTTGTCTCCAGCACACTCTTCAGCGACTTGTTCTCCTTCTGAGGCTTGTTCATTCTCTTGTCTTTTATAACTAGCTTTCCCCACTCATATTTTGTCTTCATAAAAAACTTACCAAATTTTCATTAAATTATTTCTTAACTGAATTCTCGTTTAGACACAGCGAGAAAATATATTACAGCTGGTAGAATAAATGAATAGGTGAATAAGTAAGTAAGTAGATAAGTAAGCATTAGATGCGACAATAACTAGTTGGATAGAAGATAGATAATTACTAGATGAATGACTAGATGAATAGGTGAATGACTGAGTAATTTAACCTAGTAAATGATTAATGAATGATTAAGTAGACAGTTAATGATAAAATAAGAGACAAAACTATCTAACGGACTGTGTGTGATTTATTCAAGTCTATTCAAATACTCCAGGGCCTCTTGCGCTGTAATTCTTTCATCTTCAGCTTCTTTTAAGCACTCGAAGATAAGCCCAACAAACGACGGATCAGAGTGTGCATGCTTCTTCAGGAGATACTCCATTTGGTTCGTTCCCTGCAGCAGTAGATACTTCGAAATGTTCACCAGCTGATCTTGTTTGTCGCTTCCTGGGAACAGAGGAGAGCCTGTGAGTATCTCGCTGATGATGCAACCAACACTCCATATGTCTATGGAGAACCCGTACACCTTTGTTCCTTTGAGGAGCTCTGGCGATCTGTACCACAAAGTCACCACTTCAGAAGAGTAAGACGGCATTTTGATCTCGAAACTCCGGGCAAGCCCAAAGTCTGCGATCTTCAAACACCCCTCTGCATCTACTAGAATGTTCTGCGGCTTTAGGTCTCTGTGGACGATCTGTTTACTGTGCAAGTATGCAACACCTTCCACCAGCTGTTTTATCAGTGATCTTCTATCTATTTCTTTTCCTCCTGTGAGAAGTTTCTTCAGATCTGTGTCGATGTACGAAAGCACTATCGTCAGTTCCATCTCCGTGTGAAGCACATCGAGAATATTCAGGACATTTCTGTGGAAGAGACTCTTCATTATCGATATCTCTCTGAGCGCTGTGTTGGGCATTCCTTCTTCCTCTGTTAGCTTTATTATCTTCAGAGCTACTTTTGCATTGTTTACTATATCATATCCCTCGTACACCATTGAATACGTCCCATAGCCCAGAAGGTCTTTCCTTATGAATCTGTTCATTTTATGTTTTTTTATTTTCCAAATATTTCTCCGCAATAAACACAATGCTACTCTTCCTAATTAATACATTGGCAATAAACAACTCGTTTCCCTTTTGAGCCAATGTGCAGTCGACCAAATGGAGGTTGAAGTATCTGTCAAAAGAGGAAAGAGTGCCTGTGTACGTGTCGCCTGTGCAGAGAGAGACACACACAGACCTGCCGCACAGCCTGCCGAATGTTTCATTAATTCTCTCGGGTGCCATTCTCTATTTTTATTTATATTCTTTTATTGTTCAATTTTTTGTAGGTATGGACGAATTTTGGAGGGGCAGTCTGGTCTGTCTGTTTATATACGGGAACTACATGCTCTTTTCTTCACACATTAAAACCATTTTCTGGTCGCTTTGCTACTCTGTTCTATCCCAGGAGATACGCAAAAATAACTACAGAATCTTCCACTCTGTCTTTATTTTTTTATTCTTATTTCCTGTCCTTTCTGCAACTCTTCTTCCTTCGGTTGTTCTTTTGTTCTGCGGGCGAGAGGTGGCTGAGTATGCATCGAAAATGGTAGAAATAATAAATGCTTCTCCTTCCTTATTTGCAACGGTAAAAAAGATTTTCTTATCAGCGATGCTGCAGGTGTGCAAATATTTGGACATCCACAAAAATGACACTCTATCGGACTCCTTTGTGCTCTACAAAATATATCTGAAGCTCGAGGAGATGAAGAATGCGATACTATCAGGAAGCCAGGAGGCGCTCTCCTGGGCCGGACACTTTGCCTTTTTCCTCGGATTCAGCGCCTACTTTTCGCAGCTAGAGAGGAATCCTCTTTCCTACGTTCTTAAGCCGATTCCCAGGTGCGCTGAGATAGTGTCTCTTTTTGAGAAGATCATCCACACTTTGGCTGTAGGAAGTATTTTCAACTTCACTTTCAGTTTCATCCTTAGCTTGTACTTTGGCTCTACTCTAATCATGACAAATGGCGTACTTTCAGCCTTTTTAAGCGTATTTCCTGTTTTTCCTCTCTGCCTGTACTGCATTCCCACTGTCATTCACCTGTGGCTCAGTCGCAGAGTGGTTGCCGCTGTTTTATTTGCAGTTCTTGCGGTTGTCCAGCAAATTGCATCAGGAAGAATGTTCAAGTTCCCCAGATCCGCAGGGTATCTGCAGAGCGCAAGCATTGCCCTGGGCCTGAAGGTCTTTGGCCTTCCAGGGGCTATACTCGGCCCTTTCCTTCTCTTCTCTCTTCTGATCCTGTGGTCAGTTGGAAGACCTGCAGAGAGCCAACCCGTAAAAAGTATTTCAAAATCGAGCAAACCTAAGCAGATGACAAAAGCGATGGAGATACTCCGTAAGACTAAATAAATGCTACAGTATTTACTATCCACTCTCTACTCTTTCTACCTATTCTCCTAACTATCCAACCGATCTTCTTTTTCTCAGCTATTTTTCTGCTTTTACTCAAGGAAAGTTTTATTGCTGATAATTTGTCCATAGCAAAGAGTATCACTGCCATTTTAGTGATTGATTAATGAGCTAGCTGCGTGCAGATCAATTGATGAAATAGAATTTAATAATGACCAATGCGCAAGGTTCTAGATGGTTCTTATTTCTTTTATTATGATGCCATTTGTTCCATTTTACTCTGTCCTTTTTTCATTTTGTCTGATGATTTTTCTGTTCTTCTTTTGCTAGAGTATCGCACAGATATTCTCTTTGTAATTCCATTTCTATGGCAACCTGCTCCATGCTGTTCTATTTATTTCTGCGGCAAAGGCCTCTATCCACCGCCTATTCTCCTGCCCTCTTCACTCTCTCTTTCACTTTCCATCTGCTCTTTTAGCTGTCCCGAGTAGAGGAGCACCGAAATAGCCCGGGCTTTATCAGCAGTAATTAAAAAAATTAGCCGGGTCTTTTTCTTCTCGTGTTTTTATTTTGGCGGGTGTTTTCCCTCCAAAACAAAAGTATAAATACAAAATTAATTTGCAAATGCAATGAAGAGTGAAGGAAAGCCAACAACAGCAGGAGAGAAAAAAGTATCAGCACCCGCAGGCAAGGCACCAGCAAAGGGAGTCAAGTCAGGAGAGAAAAAGAAGAAGAAGGCACACCACGTTGCAAGAGGCCAGTTCAACTTTAGGTCCGCAGTCAAGAGAATGTTCAAGAACACTTACCAGGCTGCTCCTCCCCAAGTGAGCGGTCCTGTAATTGAAAGTCTTTGTAATATGATATGCGATGTCACCCGCACTATTTCCCTCGACTGTGAAATACTAGCCAGAAAGGTAGGAAAACAAACAATTAATCTGGAGGAGGTGATCTCTGCCACATTAGTAAACCTAACGGGCGAGTTGAGAACCCACGCACTGAAAGAGATAAAAGAAGCAGTTGCAAAAGTCCCTGCCAGATCGTCTAAATAAGAATAAAAAGTTGTGTTCTGAGTCTTTAAATTGTCTTCACAGGTCGCAGACCATCCTTTGTTTACTGTCCGAGCACTCCCAGAGCAAAAACCGCACAAGAAAGGAGCTACTAAAGAGTTCCATTCTACTTTCCTTTTCCTTTTTATTAACTATTTTTATTCATACTACTAATTCACTCTACTAACCATTATTTCATTGTACTTCATTCACTCCATTAAGTATTGCTATACTATTTCTTGAGTTATCTCTTAACTATATACTCTATTAACATTAACTATTCGCTCCATTAACCGCTATTACTATTCATCTACTTTCCTAACTATCACTATCCATTGCATTTACTGATCTACTTCCTTAGCCATTCCTGCATATTCTATTGTATATTATATGCTTATCTAGCACTTATTCATTGCCTGCACTTTTTACTCTGTTCCTACTGCACTACTCTTTTGTTCCTTTTTCTCTCATTAGCAATTTATTTTCTGCTTTGCTGCTGCATTGCCTGTTAAATAATTCTCTTTATCCTTTGGTGTTAATTTCTTTTTTAATGGGACTGTATGTTGAGGTATTCATGCTGTACAGTACGTACATCCTTTTGTTTTCTCTTTTCAATTCTTCAGAAGACAGGGTGATCGTTGGAAGAGGAGCAATGGGCTTCCTTGAGTCTATTGAGGTCTTTATTGTCCACAAGTTCGGGTGTCTTATTCCGTACACTTTGGTCTGCGCGCAAATACTCAATAACCCTTCGCTGATGGGCGTATTTGCTGTGCTCTGCGAGATGGTTGTGTACATCATCATCAAAGACTCCGTTATTGTCTACATCAAGGATCTCAAGATATTCACGTCCTCTTGTGTCCGCCTTCCTTTAAATCCATCCGGCCACACTTTCATGTTTCTGAATGGGATTTACATTCTCTGCCCCATTCTGTACAACGACTTTCTGTCGAATAGAAAAATCCTTTCGTGCCTCTCGGGCATGGTTATATACGAGTACAACAGATTGCTTATATCCACCATCACATACTACCACACGTTCTTAGATGTGGCGCTCGGAGTAATAGCCTTCCTTCTCTTCAGGGCGCTAGTCAACCCAGTGCGCAGTGTCTACGGAAAGAGTGCGTACACAAACGAGTGGGGAGTGCAGCAGTGTTTCTTTGCGTGTATTTTTGTTTTTACGCTCGTTGTCATCTCCAGAGAGCTGCTGTAGCAAATTTGCAGTAGAATTATAGTAAACAGATGACAGTTATCATTAGCTGACCAGTCACCAGAAGGATAAATGAAGAAGCCATCATCTGATGAGTAAGCTACTCGCTAGACGAAGAGCATTCAGATAGGTGTAATAAATCACTGCTACTCTTCCAGTGATAAAACCAGTAGACGCAGAAATAAAATGGAGAGATTTTCTCATTCAAATATTAAATAAATTTGAAGAAAATAATGGCAAACAGAGGATGCACCGTGTTTGTGGGGAACATTGACTTTAACATACCAGAAGAAATGATAGTTGAAGAACTGTCCTCTGTGGGGCGTGTCATTGCCTTCAGAATGGTAACGGATAGAGCCACAGGAAAGTCAAAGGGCTATGGATTCTGCACGTACGAGTCCCCCATTGTAGCAGACATTGCGGTGAACAGGCTGAAGATTATGCTGAACAACAGGCCCGTGAAGATAAACTACGCTGACAATAACGTAGTACCGCAGGCGCAAGTGGAGAACTCAAAGCTGGACGTAGAGGCAATAACGGAAACACTCAACAAACTGTCACCAGAAGACACAAAGGAAATAATTAAGCACATGAAACAGCTTGCAGTAAATAGACCAGACGAACTAAAATCCTTACTATCAGAGAATCCTGCGCTTCTTTCCTCTCTTCTCCACATAATGTTCACTTTGGGGCTGGCTCCAAAAGAGTCTCTGGAAGATCTCCTGCACAAGTCGTTCTCCGTAAAAAAACACCACTCCCAAATACTCACAAGAATTCTCCAGTACCACGACTACGAGGTGGAAGATCTCCCAGAGCCTCTGAAAGACAAGGCGAAGAAAATAAGAGAAAGACTTTTAAAGAAGTAAATAAAACTATTTATTAATTATTGAGATAGCATTTCCTTTCTTTTTGCTTTTTCCATATCTCCGGCAATTCTTGCTGCTTTCTTTTTCTCTAAGAGTGCCTCTCTGTTGTAGTCAGTGCAGAACTTGGTGATCTGCAGGGAAGAAGAGTGGATGCCAAATCGTGCAATTTGTCCGTTCTTCTTTTCTCTGTAGGTTATGTCTAGGGTTACTCTGTATGTTGCTCTGTTCACTTTTATGACTTTGCCGGTCTTTCCTTTTAAGTCTCCAGTGAGGACCAGTACTTCGTCGCCCTTTACAATGGGGAATGACTTGAACACGTACTTCTCTCTTAGCTCTTTGCTGAGGTTGGACGACATAATGATTCTTCTTTTTGCGTCATTTGCTGTGAAATGTGCTTTTCTGCTCTTTCTTCTTGAGCTGCTTACGCTTTTATTGAACTTCATGCAGGGTAGGGAATAAAAAATAAAAAAATAGAAAACGAAGAAGCCGCAAAAGAAAGCCAAAAAAGAAAGCAAAAGCAGCAGAAAAGAAAAGAGAAAATAAGACAAATAGATAGAAATAGCCGTAGAAAGTATCTATATGAGTGACATAAGAAGGAATAGCAGAGGGATTCTTCTGCATAGCAAGAAGATATAAAAACAGCAAATGACGAAGAGTGAATGAGATACGAGCATAAACCAGCAGAGGAGAGGTATAATAGGCTAATTGCAACAGAGATGTATCCTAAATAGGACAAATGGACAGATAAGCAAAATAGACAGATCTATGAAAATGGTAAAATTTGCACATTGGATAATGACAGCGCACAGACGGTAGAGTAAATGAATAAGTGAGTAAATGAGCTTGGCTCCTCAGACAAAAGGTGTGGCAGTGGCCAAGAAAAGGTAGAGGGTAGCATCAAGTAATACTGTCTTTATTTTAGGGGAACAAACTTCGATGAGGAAGTGGCTCCTATTCCTGGCTTACCGTGGGACACGATCTTCTGTGGGGAACTGAAGTCTGCAAGTCTGAATCCAATCATTTCTGGCTTCACTTCGAATGTGATGTACTCTTTTCCGTTGTAGACTCCGAGAACGCACCCAACCATCTGGGGGAAAATAATCATGAATCTGCAGTGGGTGGTGACGCACTCTGGCCTGTCTCCTGTCTTTTCTGCCTCCACTTTGGACTTTTCGCAGTCGATTAAGAACTGTATCTCTTTTGAGCTGAATCCTCTTCTGACTCTTCTTCTCTCTCCGGATTTGAGGAGCACTGCGAATTTCTCTATTGACATCTTCAACAGATCTTCAAAGTCAATCCCTCTGTATGCGAACTTTCTGAATGTCTTTTTCTTTTGGACTTGGCTATTTTCCATCTGGGGCTCAAGAAAAAAAATAATATTCAAGTTCAAGCTCTGAGCAAAATAATTTTATAAATAAATAGCAAGAAAGACTCCTGCGCTCAAGACTAAAGAGGAGCTGAAGACTGAGAGAATAGCACAAGAATTCTCTTCCTTCTTCTTTTAAGGGCATAGATTAACTAGCTTATTATTGTTTCCATATTAAGTAGACAAACTATCTTATCACTTCTGTATTAAGCTAATTAACAGCTGCTTCAGCAATCAGGAGCTATCACTACACCTCTGCTACACCTATAATAAGCTAGATACTTCATACTATTACTCCTAAATACTTAAGTTATTCGTGATCATTTCATTGCTATTTATTAATTCATTGCCGTCTTTTCAAGACTATTATTTATCAGTCCCAGCCTTTCAGTTGTTGACAACTGTGCACTCTCCTTCTATCACTCTTGCCGTAGAAATGTACTCCTCATCGATGGTCTCTGTTTCATTTTCTGCATATATTCCCGATATTTCTATGGGCGCTATTGTGTTCTGTTCTTCTATTACGTAGGATACAGTGAAGGGGAACAGTGAGTCGGTGTCATCGCATAGCCCTGTGAATTCAACTGCGCTTGAGTCGTCTTTTTCCAGGTTGCTAATCTCTGCTACAATGTTGTCTCCTTCTACAGCGCCGTTAGTTATTTCTATGTCTGAAACTCTTTTGATCGGTATTCTTATGCTTATGCTCTTTACATCGATCTCCAGCGCTGTCACCTCTATGAAGAACTTGTACCGCTCTTCCGATATCTCAGTCTGCCAGAAGGAGACTTCAATTGGCATGGACGGCGACTCAAGGGTCCATTTCATCAGAATCAGCGATGTGTTTATCGGTATTTCTGTTTTGGGAATAATTGCGTTCTTTGAAAATGCTTTTTTATCTACAGAAGGATGGGCTCTGGCTTGTTTTGGCTTGTTTTTTATGTTCATTTTTATGTTTGCGTACTCACTGTCGGTTATTTTTATGTGCAGCTCTCCCACTCCCTCTATCTTTGATGCTTCTGTTGTCGAGTTTATCGATAGACTGTGCTTCTGCTGTGTGACTATGTTTATCTTATTGTCCATTGTCTCCAGAATGCTTCTATGCTTTTTCTGCTCTGTCTTTATCTTTGCTTTCTCCTGCTTTGGCACCTTCAAGTCTTGTCTGAGTATTTTTATTTCTTCTATTTCCTTCGTGAGCTCGTCTATCCCTGGGTGCATTTTTCTTATTTTCTCTGCCTTCTCCTTCTCTTTTTCTTTGCTCTTCAAAATCATCTGGTGCAGTATTTCGTCGTTGCTTTGCAGACTCACAGCTTTCATTATCTCCTCAACTGTTCTGTTCACGACGCCCTCTCTTGTGAATATTTCATCCACTGCGCAGATAATGCTGAATATCTCGCTCTCGGACTCTGTGAGGCTCAGTCTCTTTATGACTGACTTAGTAACCACCTCCACTATTTTCAGTCCCTCCATTATCTTCGCATCTTCTTTATCTGCCAGCACTACAACATACACATCGTCTATCTCTTGGTAGAAGAAGTTGCCTATTTTTGTTTCTAGCGCAGAGGTGCTCTCTTTTGCCTTTATCTTCGCATGGAGGAATGACTCCACTGCCTCCGATACTTTCTCTTTTGTCAGATCCATCAGGGGCCTAGCTATGTACGATCCTGCGTCATTTACCAATAGCACAGCTGCCAACATAAACAATAAATAAAAAAATATAACTTAACTAGTTAATTAGCCACACTCCACTAACTGCTTTCCCCATTCTCCATTTTACCTGCTAGCCATCCCATCTCTTCCATACCCAATTGAAAATGTTCTTTACCTGCACTCCACTATATCTGCAACTATCGCACTTCCCTGCAGTTGCAGAAATAGATGTGGAGTAGACTCAGAAGACCAGTGATACATTGAGCTGAGCTGCTCTCTACTTTCTACCCATTGATTGTTTATTAGTGCTCTTTTCTATTTCTGCTCTGCTCTTTCTCTATTGGAGCACCAGAATGTGCTGTTCTGTCTCTGTGAATTAATATTAATAATAATATTATTATTTTTGAGAATGGTTCTCATTGATTGCTGTCTTTTTGTGCTTCTTGTGTGGAGTTTGTACTCTCGGTACAGAATGTATGCAGAACCGTGCAAAACCGATATTGTCAGCACTTTCAGGTACTTTTTAATCATTGCCCACGCAGACGACGAGAGCATGTTCTTTGGTCCTTTTATTACGCAGGTTGTCAGGAGAAGAATTCCTCTCTCGATTGTTGTGTGCACAGACGGAGGCAAAGGAGGGTGCCCGCATGAGAGAAAACAGGAAATGATCAAGCTCAGCAGAGACCACAAGATACCCGTCTATTTCCTAGACTATCCCGACGGCGAGCTGGAAAATACCCCGGAACTACAGAAAAAAGTGCACACTCTGTTCAAGCTAACGAACAGCACACAAATTGTTACGTTCGATGAGCACGGAGTAAGCAGCCACAGAGACCACAAAGCGTGCTATATGCTCGGAATGAGCTTAGCACGCAAGGAGAGCCGCACGATGTACGCGCTTAAGTCTCTCAATCTCATTGAAAAGTACGCTTTTTTACTGTCAAAGCCTCGCAATAGCGCGGATACAGTGGTTGTGAAGTGCACTTTCCACGAGACACTTAGGAACAGGATGAGAATGTTCTACTACCCCAGCCAGATGGCGTGGTTCAGATATTTGTACGTTATATTCTCATCGTACATGGACTACAATGTATTTATTAAAGTAGATGTGTGAGCAATCGGTAAGCGTAATAAAGATGATAAACTGCTATTTATTGACTCTCTTATTCGTCCTCTGTTTCTTTTACTAAATCACTTAGGGATATCTTATCTTTTGTTTTTTCTGATAGCTCAGCTGATAGTTTGGATACTTCTTCTTTTTTTAGCTTTTCCATGCCTGCTTTTTTCTCTTCTTTTATTTTCTGAAGGTGCTCTGCGCCACTTGCAAGCTCTTCTTCTGCCTTCTCTTCCTTCTCCTGTGCTTCTGCTTCAACCTCTTCTTTCTTGAGAGCCATTTGTTCATTAATCTGTGCCATCTTCATTCTAGTCTCTTCTTCAAGTCTTAGCGCGTTCTGTTCTTCCGCCTTCTTTTCTTGCTCTCTCACCAGATCTCTTAGCTTTGACGGGGTGAGCTTCTGTGCAATCACCAGAGCGCCAAGTGTCTTCTCAGATGAGCTGTCTTTTTTTTCTTGGAGCATTTTCATTCTCTGCATCATGCTCTTTTCTGCGCCCTCTTCTTTGCTCACTCCCTTGAGCTGGCTGACTTTTTCCTGGCTTTTTTCATGCGATGCCATAAATGGCTTTATTTTCTCGGATAAAAACTCTCGTGTGGATATCTCTCCGTTAAGAAGTGCCTTGTGTATCGTGTTCTCTGCGCTGTTTATTGCTCTGCCAAGTATCCCTGCTGCTCCACTCTTCTTTGCTGCTCTTGTGAATAGGTTCTCGTGCTCCTTCAGGGCTGCTCTTTCCTCTTCATGCGCTTCGATTTCTTGTTTTTTTGAAATGAGGCTATCTCTTACTGCATTGGGCATGTAGTATCCCATGCCTCCAAAGTCTCCGAGTGTTGCACTGACTGGTGTGTGCATGTACTCGTGCATTTTCTGTGCTCCTGCATCCTCTCTCTTCTTCTCTTCTGTTTCTGTTCGCACGGGAGCGTAGTTCATATAGTGAGTCTGTGGACTGGGCTGTGCAGCAAACGCCTTGAGGCGCATGAATGAGTTTAGTCTACTCCTAGGAGATGGTGTGTACCTTGCGCCCATGATGCTCTCTTGCTGCTCTTCTATGATATTCTTCATGAGTGTGGTCGGTATCTCGGATGCTCTTACGACAGTTGGCTCTTCTTTCTTCACTTTTTCTGTTCCAAGGAGCTTTGGGACAAGAGAAAGCAGCTCGGGCCTTTCAATGATTGCCTTGGTGATTGTTTCCATTGGAAGAGCTCCTTTCAGGTAGCTCTCTATGATGTGATCTACGATGCTGTTTGAGAGCAGGGCTGTATCTGCAATAGACCCTGGGCCTGTTTTGCTTTTTGTGCTCTCCAAGATGGAAGATGCTGGAAGCGCCTTGGGGGTCTTTTGCGGCTCTGCAGACACTTCTGTTTTTTCGTCTATTTCTTGTTTTAGGTTTGTGCTGTCTTTTATCTTCTCCATCTTTCTTTCGATGTTCTTCAGGTCCCCAGCCAGAGCCTTCTCCACTTTCTCGCTCTTTACTTTCCCGCTTTTCAAAAGATGGCTTATTTTTGCTTTTACTGCGTTCAGATCCGATGCTACTTCGAGGAGTATCCTGCTTGTCTGTGCCCTGTGGGTCATAGTTATGTATCCTACGGTGCACAGCAGTCCTACCATGCATATCCCAATGGTTGCTTTCATGATTTGCCTTCTTTATTCTTTTTTATAGATCTTTTGAAACAGTCTCCACAATAAATAAATAGCTATCACCAAGTCAAAAACACAATGGACTCGATGTAATTACTATATCAGGAAAAACAATCTACTGCCACCAATAGGCTGATACCCTTATCATTAGCCATCTCCATAGGTCTCCAACAAGTGAGAATTTTTAGTCATTTATTCCTGCGAATGCGAGAGTAATTAGACAGACAAATGAAGCCAATGGAGCACAGAAAGCAAAATAAAAAAGAATAAAAAGAACGGAGTACAATAAAAAGTGGATGAAATAGTAGCAATGAAATACTACTTAATACTCTCTATTATTTCTATCTATCTATTCATTCTCTACTGCTTTGCTTCCTGCACTGCTCCCTGCATTATCCGTTTCTCTTCTCTAACATTCATTCTTTCTGTACTCTTCACTAACGGTCTAACTGTCTCTTCTAGCATCTTCTCTTCTCTGCTCTTTCTCTATCCTACTATATCTGTATTGCTCTTGTGTATGCTTATGTACGGGAAAACCCATCTGCCACACATGCACTTTGCGCCGTGCCATTTAAACCGGCCCAGCACTTTGTTGCAGTGCTCGCAGTGTATTCTTCCCTCCTGCTGCTCTTCCATTTTGGTGCCTGCTATCCTCTCGTCTGACAGCAGATTCGTGCACTTGCTGTGTATTTCCCATTTGTTATTTCCTATGCTTCTTCTGCACTGTCTGCACGTAACTATCATTTAATTTCTTTTAATTCTTTTTTGTGTAATGAGCAATGAAGTGCCTCGCGTTTACAGGGAAATAATAGAAGAAGTAATAAGGAACACAACAGACGACAACTACAGGATAGGCATGGACAGGGCAGTGCTTGATGAAATAAAAAACACATGGATTGCCAAAATATGCGAATACACAGACATAGGAGAGTACAAAATAAGACACAACTACAACCCAAACAACCCCGGGGTGGATGGCTATTATAATGGAGGATATCCATACTCCGACTACGGATACAGCCGAGAGTATCCATACTACTACCAGGACAAAGAAGAAAAAGATCACTCGGAAGACCAGTACGATGGGGGCGCAGGAGACACACACAATGAAGAAGAGCTCGACTCAAACGATCTCTCAGAGAGCGACTGCGACATAGAAAGCGAAGAGCCCACTAAAAATGTGATGCTCTGTCTGTTTGACAAAGTGACAAGGGTCAAAGACAAAAGAAGATGCACCTTGAAGCACGGCTTTCTTACCATTGGAAGAACAGACTACACATTCAATGTGGCAAACGGGGATCTTGAGTGGTAGTGTATTTAGAAATAAATTTAATTCATTTTTAATTATCGAGTGTTGTTTATTTATTGGCTTTCTTCATTTCATCCTCCCTTAGTTTTATTTCTATAAACTTGTCAAGGAGCGCGCGTGCTTTTATGTCGTTCCGTCTGTTCTTTATCGACTTTGTGCATGGAGAGTCAATCACTTCCTGCGTGGGCGACCAGAACAGCCGGCTGAGGGAAGAAGGTGCTTTCTTATTAGCTCCAAAAGGCAGAGGAATCATGCCCAAATAAAAAATAGAAAATATATAGAAAAATAGATCAATATCAGATGCGATAAATAATAGCCATCAGGAAAGAGAGCAATAAAAAATCAGAATGCAGCAAGAGAAAGAAGAGTGAAAGGGTGCAGGAGTGCACGATAGAGTGCAAGAGTGTAAGATAGATGATCTGTGTGATAAAGAAGAGAGTAGATCAAATGGATCACCAGAGCAGTAAGAGAACAGAAAATAATGGAATAAAAGTGAGAGTTAAAAGAAGAGTTAATTTGACAGAGTAATACGAGTAAAGTAATACGAGTGAAGAGCAGTAGATAGAACAAGAATGAAGTACGAGAGTAGAGTGGCGTGCTGGTTGATTTATTAATTACAAAGGCAGCTCAAGCATTGTGGCTTGTACTACTTGTTCACTATTCATTATTCGCTTTATGACTTATTCATTAATAAATTCATTCTATGGCATATCCAACTTTCTAACTATCTACTGATCTTACTATCTTATCTCATTCCTTATCTCTTATCTTCTCTTTCTATCTCATTCTTTATCTTCTATCTCGCCGTTCTCTTTCTATCTCATTTTATTGTTTTTGTATCTTATCTAATTGTCTTTATCTTTATGCCATCTTATCTAATACTCTTTTATTCTCTATCTCTTTATGTAGAAGCTTTGCTAATTATACTACTTAATTGTTCTATATTCTACACTCTTTTCTGGCGGATATGAGCGAATTCCTTTTTTATTTTATGGAGGGCGAAGTGGTGAACTATAAAAAGTTCAAGAGAAAGGAAGCGATGGAAAACAAAAATACAAATGAATCAGAGAATGAGAGCAAGGAGAGTTTTAAGTCTGATCTCTTTAGAAGGCTGTCTTTGTCTTTTGACTTTTGATTTATTCTTCTCTGGCAACACATTCATACACATTAAAGAAGAATAGCTTGATCTGGTCTTCGTCGAAATATATCTCCTTCTTCAAATACTCGGGAAGACTCTCGATGTGTTTGCTGTTTTGGTAGGTGTAGGTGTACCCATCGCTCGTTCTCTCTAAAGTGAAGGAAATAGAAGAAACCTTCCCCTCTTTTTCTATGGCTTGTTTACAGTGCAGATGGTTCTCTACCTTCGAGATAGAAAGCCCTGTCAGCTCAGAGTAGTCTGTGGAGACAGAGGAGTTCCTCCTTAAGTGTGCATTCTCTTCCCTCAGCGCCTCAATGTACTCCTCTCTGATGGCTTCTTTCTCTCTGTAGTATCTTATTAAATCTGTCAGATTAGAGTTTGTGTCCTGGTTCTCTGTTTCTTTTTCCTCTTTTGTCTCCACGGTGCGCTTGTTGTACGGCGTTCTCTTCTGCGCTGTCCTCCTGGGTGTGCGTGCAGCCATAGTAATCAAAAAAAGCAGAAAAATAAAAATGACATCTGTGGGATTCGAACCCACGCCCTATAGAAGGATAGCATCTTGAGTGCCACGTCTTAGACCTCTCGACCAAGATGCCTCAATTATCGTACAGTCTCTGAAGGTACTGATCATAGAAAAGTGCTCCAATAAATAGAGAAATTTAGTGTAAAAATAAATTAGCACGCATGGAGTCGTATAAGATACTCATGGTTGGCCCGCCGCTCGCAGGAAAGGGGACGCAGTGCGAGATAGTTGCAAACAGGTTTGGGCTTAAACACATTTCATCTGGAGACATTCTGCGAGAAGAGATGAAGAAAGAGACGCCCCTATCAAAGTATATCAGAGACCAGCTGAACTCAGGCCTGTTCGTAAGCGACAGCGTGATAAGAGACCTAGTGAATCTTCACATAAACAAGGTAGAGGGCGGGTTTATCCTTGACGGATACCCGAGGACAGTGGAGCAGCTGGACTCCATTACTTTTTCGTACGATAAGATCTTCTATCTCGACACTCCCATGGAGTACATAATGGACAGGGTGGAGGGGAGAATGTCGCATCCCCCGTCAGGCCGTATATACCACACGAAGTACAACCCGCCAAAGGTAGAGGGAAAGGATGACATAACAGGAGAAGATCTGGTAAAAAGAGAAGACGACAAGATTGAGCTCATCAAAAGGAGAGTGCTGGACTTTATAGAAAAAACAAGCAAAGTGATAGAGAGAGCCATTGAAATGAACAAACTAGCGAGAATCGATGGAGCCCAGCCAAAGGAGAGCATCACACAGATGATTTTTAGCGAAATTGAGAGAATAAAGCAGTAGAGCAGAACATCTTTAACTCCTACAATAAATAATATAAATAAAATTCTCTACACTTTGGGTCTATGAACTAGCACAGAATTATTGCACTGGAGCAGCCTCATTACACACGTCCTTCTACTCAAATTATATTCACATATTCTGTTTTATTTTTATCTTTAGTAAACTTGACATGAATTTATTTAAAAATAAAGTATTTATACTTTACATCTTTTAGTCTGGGCATTGCTCATTCTATCTTTCGATTGTTCTCTGGTATAAAAATTTGCACTTATCCACTATTCTCGAACTGTACTCATACACTCATATGCATTTTAATTTTTATTTACTTGTTCCTTACGCTCTTTAGACCCTCCACTCTATTATTTTTAGCCTAGTCACTTACAGCTGTCTTGTATTCTACTATGCCCTACATTCCTATCTCTCAGCTATTTTTCTTTTTGTTTCAGTCTAATCATCTGTTCTTTCGCTATAATTAACAATGCAGCATCCTGTGGGTAACTATTATTTTTATTCGCTCGCTGGAAAGTTTGTCTGGTTTCCATCAAAGTCCAGTATTGTTACAAAGTTTTTCTCTTCCTCCAGCTGCAGCGATATCTCCACGGTTTCTCTGGCTCTGAGCAGGACATTGTTCAGGACATAGCCCTTCATCTCGCCGTCTTCCATGTAGAACGCACACACAGCTGTTTGTCTGTTCCTTAAGTTCAGTGTTTTTGCGTATATCATGTACTCCACTGCGGGCTCTGCGCTTTCTGTGAAATGAAATCTGTGAACCTCCGAGCTGTTCTGGAAATCAACATACTCCCTCTGGCTCTGCGTGTACGGAGGCCCTATGTGCGTTAGGCTGGTTATGGGCGTGTTCATGTCTATCTGTGTGAAGAATGTTATGCTTCCGCTGTCGCTGTCTAGGTCTTCGTCTGTTCTGATAATTGAAAACTCGTACAGAATGTCGTACCATGTACACTTTTTAATATTTTGATAACTGAACTGCTCGAGCAGCTCGCTGTCTGTGGTGCTGTCGCTCTGCGCTATGAAGTACTCGTTGGCTCTGGGCGTGGTGGTAATGAAGAGGGTCGTGAGTATGGCTCCTATCACCAGAAGGGAGAGAGCTGAGACAAGAAACAGCTGGTGCTTTAATTTCAGACTCATTAATTTTAAAACACTGGGAAATTAAGTAATTACTTAATAATTAGTTCTAGGCCGCCCTTCTCCAGTGCACGAATGAAATAAAAAATTGAAAACTCATCCAATCACAAAGAAAAAAGAACCAAGGAAATGCTCCTGCATTCGCTCAATGAAGTTTCTGGGCCTCTGGCCATACGGGTGTTTTATTGCGCCCCCGCAGAGAATGGGAAAAGTCAAAAATAAATTTACATTCGTAAATATTTTTATGATACAAATTGGCATAGAAGAAGTAACAGAAGACAACGTCAAGTTTACTCTTCTGAACTGCACTCTGGGAATGGCCAATGCTCTGCGCCGCGTTATCATGACAGAAATACCCACTCTAGCCATAGATATAGTGCAGTTTGATAAGAACTACACGGTAATACCCGAGGAGATGACAACCGACAGACTGGGCCTCATTCCCATAGAGAGCAGCACAGCCAGCAAGTATCTGTACCCCAAAGACTGCAGCTGCAAGAGCTTCTGCAAGCAGTGCTCCATTTCCATCCTTTTGGACGCAAAAAATGAAGGAAAGTCTCCGTGGACTGTTACATCGAAAAATCTTTTTGTGGAAAATGAAGCCCCAAATATCGGCGATCCCATGAGCCCATCGATAGTCACAAGGCTGGGCCACAAGCAGGCGATAAAGTGCAAATGCATAGCGGTCAAAGGCATAGGCAAAAAACACGCCAAATGGTCTCCTGTCTCCACTGTTGCCTTTGGATACGACGCAGACAACTCCCTCAGGCACACGAAGTACTGGCACGAGCAGGATATTAACAAAGAATGGCCAGTTGCCTGGTTTGCAGATAAAAATTCTCCTGCGCAGTCTGAGAGTTATGTACACAGCACAGACCCGAACAAGTTCTACTTCAACGTAGAAGTGGTCAAAGGATGTTTAAAGCCCATGGAAGTGCTAACGCAGGCTGTCCATGTCCTCAAAGACAAATTCAAGCACATAAGAGATGCTCTAGAAGATATACAATAAATCATAATATTATAGCCAAGAATATCTGTAAAATTTTAAGCTAGCTCACCACTTGTAGTAGTCTAAGAAAACAGGTGGTTACGAGTGCCCTTACGATGGCTATCTACTGCCATTTAGAACTCTTTTCAAGCTAATTTAAAAATTTTAAGAGCGATAATCTCAAGATAAGAAGAGTAGCTAACTAATCAAGGTGCAACTTAGGAATAGAATAATCATTGTTCTCTACTTGACTACCTAACCATCTAACCATCACTGATTATTAGCTTTTTTGTGTTGCTGTAATCTAATGTTCACATTTAAATACTTATGATTTATTTTGATGTTGCTGCTACGTACTCCTTGGCTTTCTCCAGGACTGCTTCCTCTTTGTCTTTTGTGCCGTACTCTTTTTCGAACTTCAGGTACATCTTGAATATGCTCTTCACTGCGCTCTCAGATATGTTCTCGTCTGCCACCGATCTGTTGAAAATATTCCTGGTGTAGATTATGTCTGCGTTCTTTGCAATGCTTCCTGTCTCCAGCGCAATGTACTTCATAACCCAGTCTTCTCTGCTTCTGTTCTCCATCTTGCTCAGCTGTTTCTCAACCGCAGTTCTTCCTTCGTTCTTAGACACGTGGTAAAGCGCCTCAATGTGCGCCATTTCCACAGACTTTCTGTCTGCTGTCTTCATCTCCGACTTGTTCATGAGCTCTGAGACTTCTCTAAGCTCCTCCACGCTGTTTGCCTTGTGCGCTGCATGGATCAGCTCTCTGTAGCCAAAGGGCGAGTCTCTCTTTTCATCTATGAACCGAAGACACACCATCCTAAATAGCGCTCTGTTCTTGGCTGTTCTTGTGGCATCTGCTACTTTCTTGAGGAATATGCTGCCGTCTCTTCTGATTCCCTCTTCAATGGGCTCGATCCACTCGGGCTCGATTCTCTCTGCCTGGACATCTCCCAGGGAGGTAGCATACTCTATGCATATGCGCATCTTCGCGTCTGGCGACTGAAGGTATCCCATTGCCTGTCTGAACAGCTTTAGCAGCAGCGCAGGGGATGCGTTCTGCATGCGCTTAGTCCACGGCTCCACGCCGTCTTTGCTGTTAAACAGCTCCATCTGCATATTTTCATCGTTAATTGTGCTGTCGCTCTCTTCGTCCTCTGAGTTTTCTTCTGGCGCATCAACTGCGTATGCCACAGGCTCTGCGTGTGCGCTTTCTCTCTTTTCCTGTGTCTCTTCTGCGGGTGCTCCTTCAAAGGCGTTTAGCACTTCAAACTTTTTAATGGATCCCTCGATAAGGCCTGCTTCGTAGTCTATATCGTACAGGACGATATTCACCTTCTGCCCGGGATGGACAAGGGTTGCCCAGTCTTCCACGTATCTGCTGCTTATCTCTCCTATCTTTATTCTAGCCACTGCGTACCTATCCAGATCAGCGAATGCCCCGTACTGGTAGACACGGGATATATTCGTGGAGACAATCTGTCCGTTCTTGTACTTCTTCACTGCCTCTATTCTTCTTTCTGCTCTTGTTTCTCCTGCTCTTTCTTTTTCATCAGCTGTGAGCTCTCTTCTCTCTTTTTCTTTTTCTTCTCTTTTTTGCAGATTTTGTTTTTCTTCCAGTGCGAGCGATGCATAGAATATTCCCTCGGTTCTGCCTGGCTTAGTGATGTACACCCGATGGACTGCTCCCACCTCTGCGTCCATGTCCTTGGCTCTCTGGAGGTGCACTGTCTGTCTTCCGAATGTAGAGCATTTAAGAACTGCATCAGTCGCCTGTCTGACAAATACAACAGCCTCTGTTCCGGGAACGAGTGGGACTGCAGCATTTTCTGCGCGTATTAGCGACTCTTTAGCCGTTACTGTAACAGAGTATCCCCTTACATCGAACACTCTAACGGTTATTGTGTCTCCTTCCCTAAATGGGGCAGCAGATCCTCGTCTGGATATGTCTGAGTAGTGCTCTTGATAAAGCACAGCGAGTATGCCTTCTTCTAGTCGTACGGATGCATATCCCCTTTCTTTTATGCTCACTATCTCTCCCGTTGTAATCACTCCTATCATCGATGGATCAGGTAGCTTTTTGTGTATTTCCTGTGTGTACTCTTCGTATGGCACGGCGTGCACTGTGGTCTTGTCTTCTGATACGTAGAGAATGATTGACACCTGCTGGTCTTCTTCCTCCATTTCCTTTTTGCTCTCTACGATGAGCTCTCCCAGGGAAAGACCCTGTGCCGTGTAGGAGTAAAACATGCTCGTGTACTTAGGGCGCAGTTGCCCAAGGATGTATTTAGGCCGTCCTGTTATTGTTGTTCTTACAAAAACGCCTGGAGACACTTCATCTTTATCGCCTAGGTATATTTCTCTGTCTATTTTATCGTGTAGTAGAAAGGTGGATGGAGTTACCGCGCTTACCTGGAAGACTCCAAGGGTGCCTTCAGTGTACACTGCATCTGTCTTTAGAAGCGCTGTCTTTCCTGGGACTCCGAGCGCCACTGCGTACCCAACTTCCTCCGATCCCTCTATCACTCCCGTTACGATCGAGTTTACTTTTATGCTCTTTTGTGTGAAGAATGTGCACTCGTAGTCTCCTGTTCTTGGGCCAAGGATCAACAGCTCAATGTATAGGTCTTTTTGGAAGCTCTTGACCAGTCTCTTGGCTATTGCATAATCGTCTGTTTCCATGTCGTTTACAACTCCCTTCTTGGAGACTATTCCCAGCTTTCCATTGGGGAGTTTGAACTGGATGGTGTCTTCTTTTTCTATGTAGAAGGCCCCTAGGACGTGCGTTCCTATTGTGTATACTATTTCGTCTGAGTCTCTTTTCTCTTTCTTTACTGCTCTCTTTCCGAATAAAACTCTTGTCATAAATGAAAATTTTATTTGGCTGTTATTTATATTTTTACGAGCAACTGAATAATAGAAAAATAAATTGAAAATATTTCATAGCGCAGATGGAATATAAGTAAGGATAAGTAATCATTATAGGGAATTGCTAACTATGTAAACATAGACAGACTAGCTGGTATTCTCTCTTACATGGCTGTGTGTCTGTTCCACCGATATAAATCACCTAATCCTTTGGGTTATTGAGTATTTTCCTTTTTCTTGTGAATCTATTGCATCCTAGGGCAGCACTCTTCTGTTCACTATCACATAGCTTTAATGCCTAGCTGAAGTTTTAAATCAAATAAAAAATTACTGCACAAATTTAATTTGCAAACAGAAAAGAGTCGATGAGCTACAAACCTGTTCCCAATGCCACTTGTTCAACTTTCTACACGGATAACAGCACAGTTGACAGCAGTCTGCTAAACATCCTACTTACCAAGCATCTTGTTCCCATGGTCTTTCTTGTCTTTCTTTGCAGCATTTCCGCGGCGTGTTTTCTGTTTCTGGGGCTGCTTTCCCTGGCAGAACAGAACACTTCGAGAAACGACGAGTTTACAATAAGCAAATCAACCAAAGCCCTGGTCAAGTCCACGATTAAAGGGATGAAAGAGGATGATATACTGAAAGGAAGAGGCTCTATTGAGTACGATGTAACAGAAATGTACGAGTTTGACGAGGATGACATACTAGCCATAAGTGTGGAGTATGAAAAACTTACGATGCACACCAACATAAACTTGTTCAATGTTTTATCTCAGCAGAGGCCCATCGTTGTTGTTCTGATCTGCATGTTTGGCTTTGTCTCCACCTCCATGATTGTGTTCATTGTTGAGTACTATATAGTTCCGCTGTATCTCCTAAAAACAGGAATATATGCAGTAAGGTCCGTATTCACTCCCAAGTAGCACCTAGAAAGTAGATAAAACGCGTTTAAAGTAAAACTAGTCTAGTAGAAGCATCTGTAAGCTGTAGACAGAAGATATATCTATAGAATAACTACAGAAGTAGCCGTATAAAAAGCTATTGTAATACTTTGTTGCTAGATTCTTCGGTTACATGTCTAGTCTATAACGGCGCAGTGATTATGAATAAAAGAATGAAATCTGTGTAGAATTGAATGGTTTATCGTTAATTTACTGTTGATATGTCTGTTGCTACGTATTGCTACAGATTGTACTAATTTTAATAAAGCTTATGTTTGATTTTTTATTTTATTTGTTAGAAAGCGTAGAAATTTTCGTTCTTGTACTCTTTTATTTTACTTTTATATTGTTCAGAATCATTTGCATTCATTGTGGACTGTCTATTTCCTGCTTTTTACTCGTACTACATACCTACATAGACATTTGTTATTCTGTGCTATTTATTGTGCTAGTTTTTCTTTTATCTCTCGAGTCTTCTCGTACGCATACTGCTGGAACTCTTCTGTCTCTGCGCACTGCACAAGGAGCGTGCTGATGAACTCTGCTTTTACCTGGCTGTTTTTTCTGTTCAGAACTTCCTCAATGATCGCATCCATCCTATTGAACAGCCCGGGAGCACAGGACTCTCCTCTGGCTGCAGATGCAATTATCTTTTCAATTGAGTCTGCGACCAGCGCCCAGTCTCCGTAGAGCATCCCCACTGTGCATCTGTTCTCAAGAAACTCAAATGTGCAGTCTTTCTCTTCTCCTCCGCAGTGTGCATCGCTGTATGCTGAGGGAGCATCCATCTCCAGCATAAACCACACTTTCATCTGCGGGTTGTAGAACTGCGTGCTTCCATCTTCGTACAAAATGATCAAAAAGTATTTTGGATCGAGAAGAACATTCACAACATCTGACTGGGATGCTATCCTGTCCTCTACTGTTGTGCTGTTCAGCAGATCCAGAACCTTAAACGATCCCTGCAGCACCACAAGAATCTTTTCATTCCTCACATCCACTGACACCACACACGAAAACGGCATAGCAGGCAGAACAAGTACACCTTTGTCCATGTTGTACACCCAGAGAGTGTCAATTGTGCTTCCACTCTTTGCCTTCTGCGTGCTCACTACAGCCAGTATGCACGCATCCGCTGCTACCACCTTTATGCTGTGTCCTGCTGCTGTAAACCACTCTTTTCCGTTTTTCTTAACGACGAACATGCTTCTATTCCCTTTTATTTCTACAGTAAAAACCGTTGCTGTACCAGCTACTGTCTCAAGCTGTGCTATACATCTGTCGGGCTCGATACTTTCCTGCAGCGGCACCTGTCCTGTCATCAATACAACTCTGGGGCCCCTGACCACGCCTGCTGAGTCCGGCTCTTCGAGGGGTTTTATGAATCTTGGAATTATTTTCTTTTTTTTTTCTTCGGGTTTGTTTGTGTCCTCTGTAATATTTTCAATTTCTTCTTTTTTATCTGCCCACTTTTCGCTTTCTTTCTCCTCTTCACCCTCTGGGCTGGGCATCTTTTCTATCTCTGCGTGCGCCATGATAAACTCGCGGGAGTACGGAAGGGCTCTGCTCTCTTCTATCACGGGGGTGTGCGGCACTCCAAACTCTCCATCCTCAAACTCCATGTAAAATACAGAGCCATCGTATGCACACCCAAAGAGCACTTTCCCATTTGATGACCACTGCAGATCCATAATCGGCTGGCATGAGACTTCCTTCAGGAGTATTAGCGGCTTTGAGCTGCCTGAGCTCCAGATGGCCACACTTCTGTCCTGTGATCCTGTGGCTAGAATATACGATGTAGACCCGTCTTTCTCCCAGAGAAAAGGATTGAATGCAACTGTTTCCACAGGAGCAGTGTGTCCAATGAGGGTATAGCTGCGAGCTAGGTTAGCAGACAGAAGAGCCACTGCATCCTGTTTCTCCAAGAACGCGAGTCCGCATGCAATGTACTTTCCATCAGGGCTCCAACTCATCCTTCCAAAGAAAGACTCCATTTGCACGCCTTTAAAGGGCTTTTTAGTTGATGATAGTTTTTTGAGGTTTTTATCGTACAGAAAAAGCTCTCCTTCATCGCCGTATGTCGATATGTATCCTGCTCCTGGGCTGAATGCAATGCCCTTGCACCCTTTTTCATGCTTCTCGAGCCTAGTAACTATGCTAAAGCTAGGTCTATCGTATATTATAACAGACCCATCGTACCCTCCTGTGGCCAAGTATCTGCTGCTCCATGCAATGCTCGATACATCTGATCTGTGATCTGACAATCTTTTTTTTGTGTGCAGCTGGATGGTGCCCTGGGTCTTTGTTACACCCCACACTATCACGTTTCCATCATCAGAGGCTGTTGCTAGTAGATCACCAGCGGGAGAAAACCGTGTGCACAGCACTGCTCCCGTGTGTTTGGTAAAGCTTCCTTCCTCTTTGCTCTCTTTATCTGTTATTTTCCATATTTTCACAGATCCATCCTGTCCTCCTGTAACAACATACGACACATCGCAGGGGAATGTGTCTGTACTGAAAATGGTGCTTTGCTTTTTATTCAGCATATGGGCAATGTTAGTCAAAACTACCTTCATATTGGCCTTTAAATAAAAATTAAATTTAAATTGCAAAATAAAAATAAAAATAAAAAGTATACATGCTGAACTGTAGCGTCTGCAAACTGCCGTCGACTAAAATGGACAATGGATACGTGTGTCCAAATGGGCACATGACCACGCGGCTGAAAGAGATGGAAGAGAGGAAAGATTGGCAGCCAGGAAGCCAGAGCACCATCAAAAGAAAAAGACCCAAGCAGACTATTCGCGATTTAATAAGCACCATATCATCTCGCGAGCTGTGTACTCTCATTGCTCTGCGGTACCTCCACTCTCTTCTTAGAGAATATGAAATACCTAAATCTGCTTTTCTTCGGTACAAATCGCTCTACTACTCATTTGCTACTTACATTGAAAAACTTCCTAATGAAAGACTCGGGCCAGAGTACAGGACAATAACAGAAGTGTTTGTGTTTTTAGTGAAAAGAGACCTGGAGGAGAAGAAGGACAGACTCTACACACTGCTTGATTTTAAAAGAAAACATAACGGAAAAAATCTTCGAACTAATAAATTCACTGTGCGCAAAGAATACTTCAAAACGGCATATCTGCGCACTCTTGTCTTTGAAAGCGCCTCAAACAAAATGAGCATAAACTCCATTAAAAACCTTCTCCAGTGCACATTCCCAAATTGCAATGAATACTTTTCGGGCGTATTCGGGCTGATGAGCGAGAATGCGCTGAGCAAAATGTGTGCGCAGCTTGGGCTCACAATGACAAAGAGAATGGCCGCTGGGTTTGCGCTCTTCAAGGAGAATTTAGTGCACATACGGTTCCATGAAACATACAACAAGTTTTTGTTCAGCGAATTGCTCATCGGAGCATATTTAATCATGTATTCAATGCAAATGTGCGATCTCACGCCTGTCCATGGGCGCCTGGTCTTTGTAGAAAGAGCGCACGATCTGGGAGAGGGCAACGTAGCTCAGGACTTCTTCTGCAGAGAGATATACATGTCCAATTTAAAACAGCTGAACTACTACCTGGAAATAATAGAGAAGTATGATGGAAACAAAGCACCAGTGTTCAACCCAATAGAGTTCCCAGCGCCTACCTTCGGAGTAGGCAAGGCAGATGCCAAGACAAGAAGACAAGCTTTGCACACAATAGGCTTGCACATAGCAAATACCATAGGAGAAAAAATTACTAACATTTTCGATGTAACTAAGAGTATACTGGCAATACATAAGAAGCTGCTTGACAGACTGAAGCCAGCGTAGTTGGCGAATATTTATTTATTTCTGTGGGGTGTGGCAGAATATTTTTACGTATTCTTGGATTACAGCGCATAGATCCTTGGTTAGTGCTAGAGCTATTATTATTCTAGTGATTGCGGCTAAGAAATAGCAATAAAGTGTTTAATAGAGTACATTTATAGTTTTTTATTATACCAGAGCCACAGGTTTTTATATACATTCCTTTACGGCACTATTCCTAGACAAATGTTTATAGTAATTGTAGCTATAACATTATTCTTGCTCGTTTTTGTTACAAGAGGTCTACAGTTATACTACCGTGCTGATACTAACGAACCAGTGTCTATGAACGAAACAGCTATTCTCACTTTATTTTGAGTAAGAATGTCTTGCTAATGACTCATTAGGATGAAATAGCTCTGTACTTGCCACGAATAAAATGAAATTATTTTCTACTTTTCTCTCTTTTTATGCCCATTAATGGAAGGAATACGTCTTAGAAAAAAGCTTACTAAAATTTAAAAATAGACCAGACATAATAAAAATGAAAAAATTTTAGTTCTACTATGATCTTACAACACACACTATTGAAACAGATAGTAATCATAGGAGCAGTTGCCGTAGCCTATTTGCAAAGAGTCAGCTGTGCATCAGAGAACATGGATGTGCCAAAGGACAAGAATGCATTTTTATCCTGTGCGGCTAGCTATTGGGACGGCCAAGTTGCTTTCGTAGAAAAACAAGTTAAAATACGCAGTGATTTTATTGAACACGTTGATCGTGTCACCTTTAAAGATCTACGATTTGACGGAAATAACTATATGGGAATAGGAAAGGAAACCATGTTTGAAATAACAGAGGATTTGTCGGCTCTTAAAGAAGATCAGAGAGAAATGATGAAGCTATTAGAGCCATCGAGTGAATCAACTGCTCTTATCGATGAAGAACAGGCCACTTCTAGCAGTGACCAAGAGAAAAATACCATTCAGCCAGCCTTAAGGGATGTGTTGTCAAAAATGCTTAAAAGAAACACTGCGCTCATTGAAAAACTAGACAAGTTCAGCTCAGACATGCTAAAACTTGTAAGAAATTACACTTTACTGAAAAAAACAGATATCCAGCTGGACGACCTCGTGCTGTTTAAGCTAGCAGAGAAAAATAGAACACTCCCCACTAACATCATACTGTCTTTCTTTGACGTAGAGTCATCTATCTCTGCTTTTGACGGCAAAATTAGCAGACAGAAACTGGACGAGATAGTTGATTGCTTAAGCAGCAGCAGCCTTGACAACAAAGAGCTTATTCATAGTTATGTGTGCACAGTAATGGAAGACATAATGCAAAAGAGAGAACACCCGTTAGTGTCAGCTGATAAACACTTTTCAACTATACTGGATAAGTACGGACTGAATCTGGCAGCAGATGAAAATATAATGGATGTCTATTCCAGTCTACTGAAGGATCTTGCAGGTGCAGAGATAAGCCAGTTCAAAGACACCGCGCCTAACAAGGTTATGAAATTGATAATGATTGAACACCTGATGGATGAGAATCTATTGAAATACAAGAAGAACAGTTTGTTTTCTAACTTAGAAAAGATAATACTGAGCATGGAAGAAAAGCAGCAGGCTAAAATACTTACTGTTCTAAGCATGCTGTGGAATGACTGGTACTTCAAGTTAAGAAAAAATGACATATTCAGAAGCGATGCCTGCAAAGAGCTTAACCTGAACGTTTATTTCTTTGAAAAACTGCTGAAAAACATCGGGTCTTTTAAATGGATATATGCTATGGGCATGCCTGATTTAGACACACCCACTTCATTTCCAAAAAACAAACTGGCAAAAGAAATACACTTTGACATGTCCTACCTGCACCCCATGTGGTATATGTGCAGGCGATATGAGAGCATTAGCCATCTAGACAGGCCCGATCCTAAATCTAAGGGTAAGCCATTCATGACCAGAAAAAACGACTTGGTCACACTTAGACCGCACAGAATAAGTAAAATCGATGATGAGTTGACACGCGCAGAGAACATGCGCGATTTCATGAATACGTGTTTTTCTTCATCACCCGTTAAAATCAAAATTTTCCATGAATATCCAAACAGCGGCACATACGACTATACGTACAATAGAATACTTAAGTGTTTAGAGCTGCCTCTAATAGAAGATACAAGAGATGCACTTCAAAGAAGAAGAAAAAGGAATATTTAAATATTCTCTGCAGGAACATAAATCGTTACACATTCAAGCTGCACAAGAAGAAAGTGTTGGTACGCCCAGTATCTATTGCTACTAAATAAAAGTAGTTTATTTATTCTTTTTTTCTAAGTTATTCTTGTTTGCCGAGTAAAATAGACTGAGGAAGTACGTGGATTCTTAAAGGTGGAAAGGGAAATAAAAATGAAAATATTTTAATTTTGCTATGATTCTACAAAAAAGACTAAAACAGGTAATAGCCATAGGAGCCACTGCTCTAGCTTGTTTGCAAGAAGCCATTTGTGTGCCCGAGGACAAGACTATACTTCTGTACGATTTGAAGACTTGCTGGAACAGCAGAATGACCGCTATAGAAGAACAAATTAATATTCGCAAAGATTTTTTCAGAAAGGCCGAGCTTATCAAGGCTAATAACATGCCAGACTACGATAGCGCCAAGGATCTAGACCTAATACAGGAGCTTATACAAGAACTAGACAGAGACCTACTGTCTCTTAAGAAAAGCTGGGATAAGATGGAGAATTTAGTGGGAGCATTGAATAGAGCAAATGCATACAACATAGCAGAAGAATTTAGGCTTGTTCTGAGAGATAACGATCCTTACGACCTTTTGATGGGAAGCATACCGCATGAGGACCTGCCAAACAGTACTTTTAGTTTTAACGAGATTACCTACAGCGAGGTAAAATCAACAAACTCTTTTGACAGAAAGTATGCTATTGACAAATTGGTTCGCAGAAAAATTAACGACTTACGAAAACTCTTGCTGGAGATGAATGATAGCAGCACTGCACTCATTGGAAACATCCACTACTTCAATTCGCAAATGCTAATATTCATAGAGCGGTATAGCGCAAAGAAGTACAAAGGCATCAAATTAGAAGAGCTGGCAATGTTTAAGCTCGCAAAACTTGGCAATATATTCCCTGCCAACATTATATTCACGTTCTTTGAAGAAGAGCCGCTGAGAGTCGATGCCAATGATGAGCTGGCTAACAAAGAGAGGCTGGAGAGCATCGTTAAGTATTTAAGAAGTTTTGTTCCCAACAATGACAAAATCTTCTACAACTATATAAACACTATAATGAATGATAATTGCATCGAAAAAAACAGATTAAATCAGCTGATACTCGCTGATGTTCATTTTAAAAATGTGTTCTATGAGTGTGGGCTTGCTATGGGCGAAAACATAATGGATATTTACTATATCCTACTACAAAAGGACCTTGTTGGAGCAGAGATAGACCAGTTCAAAGACATCACGCATGTACAGCTTATAAAGCTAATCATGGCCGAATATTTAATGAATGGACCTCTGCTGAACTACAAAAAGAACCGTTTATTTTCCAACTTGGAGAAGATAATATTGAGCAAAACAGAAACCGAACAGGATAAAGTGCTTGATGTTCTAAGCATGCTGTGGGATGACTGGTACTGCGAGCCAAGGAAAAGAAATCCGTCTCTCAAAGACTTCTACACAGATAACATGATCAACGCTGACTTTTTCAGAGTAGTGCGCGGTGGTTTTGTGCATTCAAAATGGGTTTACATAATCGAGGCAAAGAATTTAGATTTTCCTTCTTTTTTTTCGAGAGACCAGGTAGCAGAAAGGCTGCACGTTGACATGTCCTACATGCACCCCATATGGTACATGTGCAAGCGATACGAGAGCATTAGCTACCTAAAAGAGCAGGACACCAAATACGGCAGAAAGCTATTCATGTCCAGAGAAAACAATCTAGTGACGGTCAGGCCGTACAAAATAAGCAACCGTGACGATAATATAATCCGGGTAGAGAACATGAGAGACTTTATGAACACGTGCTTTTCGTCTATATTTGTTGAGTTTGAGACAGCCTGCAGGTTTGAAGAGACAACTGGATCTGCCATTATATCTGATTTGTTCTTTGACACTTTTGATATCAGGAATCTGAAGAGACAAAAATACCTAGGCCCTAAACTCTCAGTAGACGAAAAAGATATAGCACTCCAGCCCTTTGTCTGAGGAGAATAAACCACTGCACAGCAAGACAGCTTCTAGAAAAAGATTTGGCACACATAAATCACATCAATATTGCTAAATAAAAGCCAAGTTTTACCAGTTATCTTTCTAGCACCAGCCAGCATTTCTATGCATTTGTCCAAACAGGCCAAGAAAGGACTAAGGATTGCCTTAAAGGCAAAAATGAAGGTGAAAATATTTTAATTTTGCCATGATCATGAAAAGAGTACTAAAACAGGTAATAGCCGTAGGAGCTATTGCACTAGCTTGTTTGCAAGGGGCTAGCTGTGTGCCAGAGGACAAAAGCACATTTTTAAATAACTTGTATATTTACTGGTACAACAGGATAGTTTTTATAGAAAATCAAATCCAGATTTGTAATTTTTTTCTCAGCAAGGCCGAGCTCAAGCCCAAGGATACGCTCTTTAACACCGGCAATTCTCTAAAGCTGGGCAGTGATCTGATGTCTGAAATAGTAGATGACTGTTTGCTCTTCAACGAAAGCTGGAAAAATCTGAAGAATCTAGTGAAATTGGCGAATAAAATAAATAACTACATCAGAAAAAAGAAATTTACCGCCTACGATGTGGTAGACAGAGATTTCAATGAAATTATGGGGCTGCTTTCTAGTGAGACAATAGCAGCTATTTCGAGTGCCCAAACAGAAAACAATCTGCACGGCAGAATAAAAGCTGTCTCGCAGCTGGAAAAGATGACAAATGCTGTCTTAGAAAAACTGTTGTCGAAGATGCTTAGTGATAGCACCATGATAATTGAGAAAATATACAAATTCAATTCGCACATGCTAACATTCATAGAAAAGTACAGTGTGAAGAAAGACAGCGCCAGCAAAATACACGATCTTGTGCTGTTTAAGCTGGCAAAGAGAAACAAGATGTTTGCTGCCAACATCATATTCACTTTCTTTGAAATAGATCCGCTCTTCTTTTTTTGTGACGGCGAAATTAACAGACAGCAGCTAGAAGACATGATCGGCTCTTTGAGCAACTCTATCTCCAGAAACGACAACATTCTCTTTTTTTACATACGTGCTGTGATGTATGACATACAGGAAAACAAGGTGAATGCGCTAGTATGTGCGGATATGCACTTTAGACATACTTTCCGCGGCTATGGAGTCAATCCATCTATAGACAAGGACATAATAGATATCTATTTCAGCCTGTCCAAATGCGTTCTTTCCAGCGAAGAAACAAGCCGGTATAACCACATTGCAGCCGAGCAGATCATAAGACTGATAATGATTGAATACCTCATGGAAGGATACATGCTGAACTACAGAAAAAACTGTCTGTTCTCCAATTTAGAAAAAATAATAGTAAGTGCAGATTTTAGAAAACAGGATAGAATAATTGATGCTCTGAGACTGCTATGGAATGACTGGTACTGCGATCTAAGAAAGGACAACAGATCTCTTGAAGACTTCTGCAGAAGGAATGGAATCAATATTGATTTTTTTGAAAGACTGCAGAGCAATATCACATATTCTAAATGGGTGTATGGAATAGACAAGGCTAGCTTGGATCTGCCGTCTTCATTTTCAAGAGATCAGCTGGCAAGGGAGATGCACTTTGACATGTCCTATCTGCACCCCATATGGTACATCTGCAAGAGGTACGAGAGAATCAGCCCCTTGAGCGAACCTGATCTTGAGTTCATTGATAAGCCGTTCATGAGCCAAGTGGCAAATCTGGTTAGAATCAGGCTGCACAAAATAAGCAAGCAGAACGACAGTTTGACACGGGAAGAGAATATAAGAGACTTCATGAACACGTGTTTTTCACTGGCATCTGCTGAAATTGAAATTCTCTGCAGGCCCAGCGAGTATCAAGACTCTAATTTTACAGCCGATGAGTTTATTGGGTTTTTTGAGCTGGGGTCTCTGGAGCCAAATGGCGCTTATCCAAGAATATCAAGAGAAGATGCTGTTTGAGCATGTGTTTACAGAACGCAAACTGTTGCTGATTAGCATGCTTAGAAAAGCAAGTTTAGCATTCTCAATGTCTATCATTGCTAAATAAAGCTTGATTTTTTACAACTATCTCCGGGCTATATCTCTATTTACTCATTTATAAGGCAGGGACTGAGAAAAGAAAGAACCAAGCATTTCCTTAAAAATGTAAATATTTTAATTTTACTATGATCTTACAACAAGTGCTCCTGAAAAAGGTAGTAGTTATGGGAGCTTGTCTACTGGCTTGTTTGCAAGTTGCGAGCTGCACAACAAGGGATAAGGATGTAAATTTAGAAGGCTTATATGCTTATTGGCATAGCAGGATGGCTTCTATGGAAAAACAAGTCCAAATTTGCGGTAGTTTTATTAGCAAGGCCGACTCTATGTCTGGAGAAATGCCATTTGATGCCAGCAGTTATGTAAAGAGAGGAAAGGAGGCTATCTCTGAAATAACAACGGGCTTCTCGTCTCTTAGCAACAACATGGAAGAAGTGAAAAAGCTAGTAGAATCACTGTATGAGTTAAACATCTACATTAAGAAAAAACAGCCTGCTTCTGATAACGTGATAGACATACCTTTCAATGGCGATATAATGAAGGCAGCTACTAAGTCAAAAATAGATGGCTTTCTGTCAAAAATGCTCAATGACAGCACTCTGATGATTGAGAATGTGCACAAATTCAACTTAAATATGCTAAACTTTGTAGAAAAATATAGTCTAAAAAAGTATCAAAATAGCCAGCTAGAAGACCTTCTGCTGTTCAAACTGGCAAGAAAGAACAAGATGTTTGCTACCAATATCATATTCGCTTTCTTTGCAGCAGAATCCACAGAATCAGCTTTCGATGCAGACTTTGATGAGCAGAGGTTAGAGCACATAATCAGCTGTTTAAACAACCATATTTCTAGCAAGGAGATCTCAAAGTACATATCTGCTGTGCAAGATGACATACGAGAAAACAAAACAAGCCCTCTAGTGTCGGCTAATGCACATTTTCAAAGTATGTTCGGTGAATATGGAGTAGGTACTAGCGCAAAAGACAGCATAATGCACATATATTTTAATTTGTCTAAAAATTCTCTTTCCAATGAAGAAATAAGCCAATGCGAAAGCATTACACCAGAGCAAGTCATAAGACTGGTTATGATCGAATACCTAATGGACGGGCATCTGTTGAACTGCAAGAGAAACAGTTTGTTTTCCAATTTAGGAAAAATGATATCAAACATGGAAGAAAAAGAGCAGAATAAAATACTTGATGTGCTGAGCATGCTGTGGGATGACTGGTACTGCGAGCTGAGAGAATCTGTTGGCCTGTTTTTTACGCAGTTCTGCAAGGAACACTCTCTCTGCTTCAACTTCTTTATGAACTTGAAGAGCTGTTTCACACATAGCAGATGGATGTATGCAGTGGATATGTCCCGTGTAGAGCTAGAGAATCCGTTTTCAAAAGGTGAGCTGGCAAAAGAAATGCACTTTGACATGTCGTATGTACATCCTATGTGGTACATGTGCAAGCGATATGAAAGCGTTAGCCACTTGGACAAGCCAGATCCTGAGTTCAGCAATAAGCCATTCATGGAGAGAGAGCACCGCTCAATTACGATCCGAATGCACAGAATAAGTAAAAACGATGACGAACTGATACGGGCAGAAAACATGAGAGATTTCATGAACATATGTTTTTTGCCGCTAGCAGTCCGGGTTGAGCTTCTTTACAGACAGCAGGATGCCAGTAAATGCTATCCTATAGCGAGCTGTTTTCTTAAATCTCTGGGAATGTCTTTAAAAAGAAACAAAATTACATCGTCTCAAGAAGCCCAAGAAGAAGCTGGCTCTGCTCATGAACAGTAAATCACCGATGTTCAATCTGCCTAAAAGAGCTTTAGCAAGTTCGGAGCATATTATTTCTAAATAAAAGACAGCTCTGACAAGTATCTTCTATTCAATAAATTGGTGCTATTCATACGTGCTAATTTGTTCATTTACAGGCCATGGACTAAAAAGTACTAAGAATTTCCTTAAAGAAGAAAATATTTTATTTTTGCTATGATCTTACAAGGAGCACTCCTAAAAAAGGCAATAGCCATGGGAGCTATTGCACTAGCCTATCTGCAAGGCGCTAAGTGTATACCAGAAGACAAGGAAGTGGTTTTAGGAAATTTGTACAAGTATTGGTGCAACAAGACATCTTCCATAGAAAAACAGGTTGAAATCTGTAGTAATTTTATTAGCAAAGCTGAGTCTAAGTCTAAAAAAATGTCACTTGACAGTAATAGCTATATAGAGGCAGCGAAGAACAGCATGGCAGAAATAGAAAACAGTTTTCCTTCTTTCAAAAAAAACTGGAAAGAGTTGGAAAAGCTGCTGAACCTACTGGCAGAGGTAAATGACTATATTAAACAAAGACAAGAAAATTCTAACGATAAAAAAGAAACTAGCTTCACAGACTTAATGGAAGCTGTTCCTGATGATACGATGGAAATTTCCTCTGATGATAGAGAAGACACTACTCCTTATGGTAGATTAAGCGTTGTTTTTAAAATAAACAGGATAAAAACTAATGAACTGGAAAGAATACTGCCAGAGATGCTTAAAAGTAGCACTTTGATAGTTGAAAAAATATGCGAATTCAATTCATACATGCTCGACTTTATAGAAAAGTATGATGAAAAGAAAGGCAGCAGCAGCAAAATAGAAGATCTTATGCTATTTAAGCTAGCAAGAAGAAACAAGATGTTCCCTGCCAGCATAATATTCACTTTCTTTGAAATGGAGCAGCCAGAATCTACTTTTGATGACGAAATAGACAGAGAACAATTCGACTCCACACGTGATTCTTTAAATAGCTATGCAGATGATGGTGATATCATGCTTTATACAATTAATGTAATAAATAGTATACAGCAAAAAAAAATGCACCAATTAGCAGCTGCCGATAAACATTTTCAAAGTATGTTCGGTAAATATGGGCTTATTGATAATGAAGATAAAAAAGTGTTAAAAATATATTTTAATCTATCAGGAAGCATTCTTTCTGATAAAGAAATCGCTAAATATGCATGCATCTCACCAAGAGAAGTTATAAAAACGATATTAATCGAACATCTAATGGATGGATCTCTTATAAACTACAAGAAAAACATTTTGTTTGCCAATTTGGAAAAAATAATATTGAATAATGCACCATGGAAGGACGAAATGATTAATTCTCTGAGAATGCTATGGGATGACTGGCATTGCGATTTAAGAAAAGAAAAGCTGTGTCCTAGAACATTCTGTAAATGGAGTAAAATTCATCCTTTTTTCTTTGAAAAAGTAAAAAGTAGTATTATGTATTCCAGATGGGTGTATGTACTAGGTAAACATAGCTCAAGTATACCAGCTTCGTCTTCAAGAGAGGAACTAGCAAAAGAATTGCACTTTGACATGTCTTATCTACACCCTATGTGGTACATGTGCAAGCAATACGAGAGAGTTGCCCACTTAGATAAGCCAGATCTTGAACTCGGTGATGCAACATTCATGGGCAGAATAGGAAATTTGATCTTAATTGTGCCACTCAAAATAAGCAAAGGTGATGACAATTTCATACGCGCAATGAATATGAAAAGCTTCATGAACACAACTTTTTCATCAGCGCCAATTAAACCTACATTTGAAATTATTTGCGATCCCAACGAACAGAATACGCTTTCTAAAGCAGACAAAATGGTTGAAAGCGTTCTTCAATGTTTTCAACTTGGTTTTTAATTGCCGCGAAGTAAATTGCTCTTAGTTCTGCCTCTGCATAAACTATGTCCAAGAATAGCAAATAATTATATTATTGAACTGCCTAAGAGAGTTTTAGCAAGTTCGAAGCATGCTATTTCTAAATAAAAGACAGCTCTAACAACTATCTTCCATTTATTCATCCTTTACTATTCTCTATTTATGCCAATTTACTCATTCACAAACAACTGGACTAAAAAACATTGTGTTCATAAAAATAGAAATAAAAATGTTTCAATTCTCTACATAAGCTTCTCTGAACAACTTAAAACTTTTACTCTTCTGTCAAAAAACCAACTCTTACTTTTATAAAATACATCCAGTTACAAAATACTAAATCTTTTCTGTTTAGGAATACCTATTTATTTTAGTCTATATCTAGCAGAAATAGACGTAAGATACCACAATTTGTACTCCTGCCTATATAGGGCATCCGCCTCTGGATGAACAATTGTTCACTGGTGGGCAACAGTTATTTCCTGGCGAACAATTGTTCATAGAAGGAGGACAGCAGTTATTTCTTGGTGGACAGTTGCCACTACCTGGTGGACAATTACTGCTGTTTGGTGGACAACTACCGCTGCCTGGAGGGCAATTTCCACTGTTTGGTGGACACCCACCGCCTGGCTGCATGCCGCAACTTTGTGGTCTCATTTGTCTCTGAGGCTGGCCTCTGTTTGGAGGGCATCCACCTCTGGGAGGACATCCGCAAACTATGCTGTTGATGCATGAAATAATAAATACTGCTGCTAATAATACTATCTGTGTTGTTTTCATTGTAAGTTCTTTATTCTTCATTCTATTTATACTTATAATTTGATCTTTATTCTTATCCATCTTTTTTCATTGGTTAGTATTTTTGTGATATCAAACTCTCCTGAAATATTTGTTGATAGACACTCCTTATTTCTCTGCTTTGCAAGATCACTTGCAATTATTTTCATGCACATCCTCAGAATAAAAATAAACACATACAATGTGTATCCTATCCATTTGAGAATGAGCATGTGATAATAAGAACAATCTGTAAAAGTTCCCATCTTAGCAACAAAAGCTATGTAAAAGAAACAGCACAGTGGTAGTTTAGCACCAGTCCACTTTTGCATCGTTGACAACAATCTTCTAGCTCTTTGCAATGGTGAAACAATGCTTTACTTATTAAAGTGTGCACATAGTGAGTAATACTTACACTCTATTGCACTATTTAATCTGTTTTTTGCTTTATTAGTTCTATCGCTCTTTTATCTCTGTTTTATCTTTTTGTGCATTCTATGGCCATATTTCGTAGCATTATTTTATTCAAACTTTTCATGGCTGTCGAGAATAGTAAGAAAGCGTCATGCAAAGAGTTTTTTAGGGATAAAGGAGTGCACTTTACGAGCGGAATAAGGTACGGCACTGATTGTCTGGTCTATCTCGATGAGCCAGGCCGTGTGCATTCTTCTTTCACTGCCACTGCACAGGACTCCATCGAATTTAAAACGCTTTCTGCTCTTGTCAGAGTGTCTTCTTCCACCAAGAAAGACTTTGTCCTGTGCTCCTCCAAAGAGAAGATTCTTTTTGCGCGTTTCAGTAGATTTTTCCTGTAGAACAAAGAATGAGCTTATTTCACACCACGCACCAATACAAAAAAGTTTTACTTCAATTGATAAATAAAGAGATGAAACCAACATAAGACAGTATCACATAGAATATAGCAAGTATAAATAGGAGAAGAAAAGAAGCTGTATGAAACAGAAAATATTCATTATTGGAGCTATCATTGCACTTACACACGCCTACGTCAATGCCACAGATGGCGAAGATGACATACCTCTTTATGCAAATGCATCCGACCCAATGACGGCTATAGACTTAAATGACAATCCGTCTAAAAAAAAAAAGATCGTGAGAGTTGGTGATAAAGGGGGGCTGGGCTATCTCTTCCACCAGATAGGAGGGTACCTGAAGAGCTCTCTTCTTTCTGCACTGAAGCCCGTTTCGACCAAACTATCAGATTTTGACATGAGCGACCCTAGTGAGGACCATCAATCCGACTTATTTCCATCAGAACATCAAATAAATAAGCTGCAGAGCCCTCTTCAAACACATTTTAATCTTTCCCAGCCTTCTTCTTCTCAAAACGCGCAGCCGTACCACAAAGTGCTCTCTATAGACTCTGTGCGCCCATCGTTCATTCCGTATGCCGGAGGTGTGGCTGAAATAACGATTGAAAGTCCTAAAAAGCGCGAACCGCAGTCAGATCTGGAAAAAGGATTCTACAAGAAGTTTGACCAGCACCACAGAAAAGTCCACAACACAAAAGAGTTTATCAGAAAAGGAATACAAAATGCAAAGAAAAATTTGCTTTTGCAGACCAAGCTGGCTCGTGCGTATGCAGCAGAGGCTGCCAATAAAACCATGGGAGTCTTCGAAGATACGCTGCGCTCCTCCCATCTTCTTTCTAATCTTGTCAAAAAAGGTCTCGTTACCCCATACTCTGCTGCCAGAGAGCTTGCCAATTCGGTGAAAGATGTGGCAAGCGAGTACATCGATGCGAGCTCCCGGAATATGAAGGGCGCATCCAATTATTTGCTGAAAACCGCAGTTGAGTCAGTTGATGGAATAGTCAACGGCCTAAAAGACTCTCCCAGTGCTGCTGAGGATCTTCTGCCTTCGTACAAAGGCGTACTCAATGACCCTAAATACAACTTCCACAAAGATCTTCCATATTTGGCGAGCTCCATGGAGATGGACATGAACCGGCTGAAAGAGTACATACATCCGCACAAGAAGAAGGCCATGGGCACTCTGTGGCAGGAGATGGCAGGCACAATTGAAGTGCTCAAAGAGCAGTGGAACAAACTGGGAAATTCACTGTTTAACAAACAGACCATAATATACAAGAAAAAGTTTCTTTCTCTGACGGAAGATCTAGCGAAGATCTTGGACGCTCTTCAGTCCTATCTTGGGAAGAGTGCGCGGCTGGAAGTGCCTGGAATAGATGCCCTTCGCGACAGATTTAAGTCTATTTTGGACGAGATCAAGAAAAAAAACCATCTTGCCATATCGGGCGATTTTTCATTTAAAGAGCTGCTAGACTACAGTTTGGGAGTGTTTACGCAGCTAAAAGACATAGACAGGGCCGTCCTTGGGATAGACTCTAATTTCAACAGAGGATTTGGGAAGATGGCGTCTTCAAACCCGCTCTCTCCCCTGTCAGGATACAATCAGGTGGGGCTGGATGCTCTGGAGGAAACAAGAGCGTACAGCGGAGTCAGACACCATCCGGTTGATGCAGCCTGCATAGGAAACTGTTTTAAATAGCCGAAAAAGCAAGAATAAAAACATTTTAATTTTTCTCCTAAGCTCAAACAATTCTGTAAATCTTTTTCTTTTATTCTACGAACGTCTACACTTTGCAATTTATAGGACTGCAAAAGTATTTTAAAAAGTTAAGAATAAAAGAAAGTAAATAATTAAAACTGTTTATTAACAGAATGACTAATCATAAGGCAGTTAAAAATTAGAGACAGCGCATGAAATAACAAGAGAATTAGATCATAGTTGGTAGGGTTGGTGCTGGCACAGATGGATTGCTTTGATTTGACATTGGCTGCATGGGATTAGAATTTGGCTGCATAAGATTGCCCATTTGATTTCCAGGAGGCATACCTAGTGGCTGTGGAGGAGCACCTGTTTGTTCTGGCGCATTATTTAGTGCAGCTTTTGCTAGTTGTGCTTGCGGTGAAGCACTTGCCGCATCTGCTGCTAGATTTGCTGCATCTGCAGGATCAGGAAGTTTGAATGCTGCTGCGGCTTTGAAAATGCAAAGAGAGACAAATAGTCTTAGTAAGGGCTTCATTACCTTTTTATTTCATTTCGCATAAATACTTTGCAATATTCTCCACCAGTTAATTTTGCTATTTACAGTCCAATGGTAAAATTTTACTAATGAGAAGAAACCAACCAGAGGAGGTCTCCAGCATGGAAAAAAAAGAAAAAGTGAAGAAAGACCCAATAATAAACGATCCGCGCTTTTTCAAAAAAGAGGTCAATCCTTTGTACTTCAGCGATACGTACGGCTTCCTGTACGAGAAAGAGAAAGAGCAGCTGGAGAGAAAATCAAAAAGAAACGAAGATGTAAAAAAGCAGATGGCTCGAATAGAAGCCCGCAACAAAATTATAAGCACAAAAAGAAAAGAGAAAGAAGAACGAGAAAAAGAGATGGAAAGAGTGAAAGAGGGAAAGACGCCCTTCTATCTCTCGCATAAACAGAAGAAAATGATCAAAACAGCGTACGAAGCAAAAGAAAAAGGCCTGGAGCACGTTCTCAACAGGATAAAGAAGAAGAAGAAAGAAAAAGAGAACAGGTCCAGGCGTCTACTAGAATAAAAATATGTTAGATTTATTAGTGTTGCCAGTCTCAAAATGAAAATAGATAATTCTAGAGCACAGCCCAAGATGGAAGAGTTTGCTCTGTTTTTGAGAATTCTATCTATGATATTCTCTCCTGGTAGGGCTTTATCTCGACGTATACTGCGAATATGTAATTAAGCACGAATAAAAGCGTAACTGCCAGAAGTATTTTTAAATCATCTTTCACTGTTCGTGATTTTTCTTCTGATTCTCCCTGTCTTGTTTCCATTCCGTGTTTGTGCCAGCTGTTTATAAACATTCGGAAACACAGCCGGAGGTATAAGCAAATAAGAACAATAAATAATGTATATTAAAAGGTCGCACACCTCGACAACAATAAGAAATCTTCCAAGCACCAGGAAAATGGACGAAGAAGGAGGGCTGTTCTTCAGGATATACAGAGGCAATGGAATAGCCAGAAGCATCACAGACCCGTGCTCGATAAAGCCATTAAAAAATGAGTGTGTCTCCTGCGAGAAAAGGCATGAGCCAAAAGACACAAACTGCAAACTTTTCAGCAGAACAAGAATCCTGTACAGCATGTCAAACAGTAAAAACTCACACATTCTACTGGGAGAAGACATGAGAACAAAAAGCAGCGTAGTAATAAAGCTAATCGATATAAGAAAAAAAGAGAACAGAAGACAGGCGGAGAGTGAAGTAAAAATTTTATCGCATGTATCGCACAGGAACATAATAAAATGTTTTGGAAGCAGAATATTTCTGGACAGTGCCAGCATATACCTAGAATACTTCAAGGGTGTTGACCTATTCTGCATCCTTCATACGAGGAGAGTTTTGCCTGTTAGGATGGCTATGATGATATTTAAAGAGCTGGTGCTAGCTGTTGCCCATCTCCACGAGAATAAAGTGTGCCATCTAGACATAAAGCCAGAAAATATTCTAGTAAACAGAAGAAACGAGATAAAACTAATAGACTTTGGAATGTCTCAGAGAACGCTAAAAAGTGGACTAGTTGAGGCATACGGTGGATCAATGAACTATGCATCGCCTGAGGCCATAGCAGGCGGCGTGTACAACGGATTTCTTGCAGATTCCTGGTCCTGCGGGGTTGTTCTTTTTCTGATGGTCAATGGATACTTTCCTGCTCCTCCAAACACTCTGTCTCTTTCCCATGTGCCGAACGAAATAGTAAAAATACTCAACTCCCTCCTAGCTATTTCCCCTGGCAGAAGAATACCAATACGGAGCTTAGTCTTGCAATAAAACAGAAAACAAGCAATGATACGGAGAAAATGCACATGGACTTAGAGTTTAGACAGTTCTTATCAGAGGTCCAGCAGATAAACAGCCAGATAGACAGCGCAGGGAAGCTGTACACAGAGTACATCACAGAGTGCGAGATGGAGGAAAGGAGAGATTTTGCATGCGCGGGAAGCAGACAGAAAAACAGAAATATTTCTGAAGAGTTCAATGGCGCTCTTTTGGCGATAGAGAAAGAAATATCAAAATTATCGGAAAAAATCAAAGGATCAGAATCACCACAGAAACAGCTGCACATAAAAAGCCTCTCAGACAGAACAAAGAGAGTGCTCGAGGCCTTCGCAGCAGAGGAACAGGCTATCCTTAGAAAAGAAAAAGAAAGACTGAAAGAGCAGTACCTAATAGCCAATCCGGATGCGAGCAATAACGAGCTAGACGAATTGAACGATGAAGAAAGGGCAGAGTCACTGATTAAAGCAGCGTACTCTCTTGGGAGCAAAGAGGAAAAAGAAAATGTGGAGGAAGCAGAAAAAAGAAGCAAAAATGTTTTTAAGATACTGAAAGACATAAAAACACTCGAAAGCATAGGAGAGCGGCTGCAAAAGATAATAGAAACAGCAAGTGAGCCGCTGTGCAGCACGGCAATAGCCACGTATACAACAAATAAAAACACAGAGCAAACAAACAGGATAATAGAAAGAATAAGAAAGCAAAGAAGGAGAAAGAGAACACTAAAGATAATAACAACTTCTATTGTATTCATCCTGGGCATAGTGATTATAGGATACATTGTAAAGATACTAAAGCCATTCATCCCAAAAAAAGAATAAAAATATACTCACAGCCTGCACCACAACACATTCATTCATTTTACTATTGGCCAGCCAACTATTCATATATAAAAATATTCATTTACTTATTCATTAGCAGCCATTAATTAGCCTGTTGATTGTTCATTAACACTCGCTTACTCACTCAATACGCACATACATCTACCCATTAAAGCCATTCGCCTATTCTGTTCTCATACACTGCTCATCTTCTCACTAAAATTATTCACCAACTAATTGTCCATCCTATTGTGCAGCACGTGCAAACAAAGCAGCAAGAATTGGCTGACTACTGGCAGTGCAATTAAACAAATACACAGCACTCTCACTACTCATGTACCCGGTTAGCTCAGTCGGTAGAGCATCAGACTCTTAATCTGAGGGCCGCGGGTTCGAGTCCCGTACTGGGTGTTTTTTTATAGACGTCTTTTTTTTTGCTTATGTCAAAAAGTTTGGAAGAAGAGACAAAGGAAGAGTACGTTCTCGAGCTGCTGTGCTCGGAAGGGGATTCGAGGAAGATAAACTTCATAGGAGACGTCTGCACAATAGGAACGGTCTCAAAGGTGGATGTGAAACTGAAGCACCCCGATCTGCTGGAGTTCTCCCTGGACTACAAGAACGACCTGCTCCGAGTGGTCTCCGGAAAAGTGAAGATCAACGGGGAGATAATAACGAAGGAGTTTAAGATACACTATCCCTGCATAATAGATGCAGCTGACCAGCTGCTGAGAATAACAAAAGTAGCAAAAGACCCGAAGACAGCGGAAACCCAGCAGGAAGCCCAGCTGAAGGCTGTGAAGCAGTTTATTACTTCGCAGACAGTGGAGCAAGACATAGAAGACGAGACTCCATCAGACCACACGTCCGATGCCTCTGGAGACACCTTCAGCAACGAAATTAAGAACCAAATACTCTCGCTAGGCACCCCCAGCGAGAGACAGGAGGCATGGGACTGTCTGAACACATCGGGCATGGACATAGGAGGCCTTCCAGACCTTCTCGACGAAGACAAAAAGATGATCTCAGAGCTCTGCGAGAGAATGGGCCTGGATGCAGACTCCAATGAAACAGACAAAGAGCTGGAGCCAGAGATGTACTCAGACGAGATCAGAAGAGAGCAGGAGGAACAGGAAGCAGCAGTGAACGAGCAGATAGTGGAGTCAGTGACTGAAGAGAAGCAGCACCCAGCAAACACAGAGGTAGCAGACAATGACGCATCCTTCAATGTATCCAGGATAAGCATCTTTGAAGGGATACCGTACATGCCATCTGAGCCAGAGAAAGAAGAAGATAAAGAAGAAAGAGTTAGTGCACAGAGCGAAGCAAATACTCTACCAGAAGAGAGCACAGCGACTAATCAGGTGAATAACAGTGAAATAGTAGAAGAGAGTGAAATAAACAATCAGAGTATACTATCTACTGTAGCTGCTGACAATGAAATGGCAGTTAATGAAGCAGCTAATGAGTCTGTGGTCACTGAAATATTAGCGGATAGCAAGGATGAGACAGCCAATGCAGATGGTAATACAGTGACTGAAGAAGCAGTAGATGAGAATGGAGATGAAGCAGCTAATGAGCTAGTGGATGATAATGAAGTAGAAACTACCGATATAAAACAGAATGAAATGAAAATAAGTCATGGTAAAGTAGAGGAAGAAGTGCCTACACAGGAAATAAAGCCATCTGAGCCAGCAGAAGAGACAGTAGAGCATCCCTCTACTCCTAAGAAGGCAACAATAAGCCTAGACGTTCCCTCCACTCCTGCGCCCTCCACCCCCGGAAGGTCTCTCAGAAGAGCCTCCATTTCTCAGCAAATCATCAACCAGCAGAAGACGCAGCCAGAGAAAAAGAAGAAGAAGAAGGCAGGAGAGAGCAAAAGAAAAAAACAAAAAACAAAAAAATAAAATAATATAGGTTATTATTTATCTGTAAACAGAGCGCATTCTTAGTTATTAACTGCCACTCATTCTTAACACTCACATCTCTACACTTTATATTATACATCCTATACTTTTACTATTTCAATATTTGTGCTACTGAGCTAATAACTAGCTAGATACCTCTCCATACACTCTCCAGCTATATGATCTAATCTTCTGTTAATCATTCATTTATTTGTGTGTTCTCTATTCATACTATGTAATCATCTGCTAATGGTTTTTCCTCTGTATATATCTACTCTGCACTCTCTAGCTGTATGATCTAGCTACTCTATCCTACCTTCCTATCTACTATACCATACTTTTATCTACGCTCTATCTCTACTACACTCTTTATCTATCTTTGCTATCTTTTGCTAAATGAGCAAAGATGGGAATAGATTGGTGCGAATGATGGAAATAGAAGAAGCAAAGAGCAATATTAAATTAATAGAGAAATAAAAATAAAATAAATTTATTTAATTAATGTTGAAGACACTTTCTGGAAACTCTTTCCTCTTTCCTTCTCTTGTGGCCTTCAGGTTTATCAATGCACTGCTCCTCAAAACGCACTTCGAACCAGACGAGTATTTCCAGTCGGTTGAAGTAGCGATGAGCATCCTCCTGAAGAAGAAGGTCTTCACTTGGGAATGGTTCTTTGGGATCAGATCGTTCCCATTTGTGTGTTTGTTTCTTCTTCCCCTGAAGATATTCAGCTATCTCTCCAAGTACCTCGAAAGACTCATCCGAATATACACAGCATCGCCCCCAAGAACCTCAGGGATTATCTTCATGATGGGCGCACCGTACGTTGTAAAGATGGTAATGGCAATAATCGCAGCCATTGGTGACTACAGCACCATACACTCATACATCCTCATCAATAGAAGCACAGAGATACCCAGAGAGATAGTTCTAGTCTGTGCTCTTAATCTGGGACAGTGGCTCTATGCTACCAGATCGCACATCAACTCATTTGAAGCAGCCATATCGGTGTTTGTCTTCTACAGGATCCTTAACTCACAAAGCATAACGGACAAAATAGCCAAAAAAACAGACTATGCTATCTCTGTATTTATTACCTCGCTTCTTGTCTTTGTTCGTCCTTCTTCTTTGTTCTCTCTCGCGTGCATTTGGGGCATGGCTGTGATTAAGGAGGTGGGAGCCTTCAATCTGGCCTGGAGAAAGAAGGAAAAAATAGTCAGATCTTGGCCGAGGTTCTTCTCAGTGTATCTGCAGCACAGCAGAGTAATCAGCTGGAGCAACATATTCACAGGAGTAGCATCTATTGCTCTATTTACTGCAATGGACTCGCTGTTCTATGGCGAGCTAGTGTGCTCTCCCTGGGAGTTCTACAAGGTGAATATTACGCACAAAATATCCCACTTATTCGGAACTCTTCCATTTGTCTATGTCCTGTTCTTTGCCTCTGTGCTGCTGGGGGCTTACACTGCGATGCTCATTCTGTCGTCATTCAGCATACTTTCAGCGGAGTTCATCACGCCTGCCGTATACACAATTGTGCACGGGATCATAGCCCACAAAGAAATGAGATTCCTTCTTCCGATATTGCCATATTTGAACATAATCATTGCTAAGAATTTAAAGGAAACAGTTGCACAGTACAAACTGCCGAGTAAGAAGGAGGTGTTTGGAGTGTCTTTTAAGTCTTTTCTGAAGAGGCTCGCATTCTCTAAATACGTGTTCCTGGGGAACATGATAGTAGCTATAGCCATAGGACTGGACCATCAGAACATATCGCGACCGCTGGACTACCTGAGGAAGGACTGCAGCAGCAGACTCGTATCCAAAGATGCTCCTATTTTTATTCTTTCCACCTTCAACCCGTACATGCTCCCAATGAATACGTATCTAGGACATAAAAGAATAGTCACAAGATGTATTGATAACAACCCTGACATCACCTCCATTCTTAGAAACACAAAAAGAAAGAAGAGGTTCCAGGACAAAGAGTACAGACTGAGGCTCCTGGAGCACGACACGATGGACAGCTGCATGGTGGATAATATTCTCAACATGGGGCCACTGGACTATCACTATATCGTTATAGACAGCAAATACAACGCAGAGCTTGAGGAGAAAGTGCCAGAGTTCGTGAAAGTGCATGAATCTGTGCACCAGAGAGTGCCAGCGCAGCAGAGCGTATCCATATACAAGCAGGCATTCAAGTAGCAGAAAAATAATAAATAAACTATCTTGTCATCTGCACATTTAATGCATACGTTTTGTGTTTTATTTGGAGAGATCACAACCGAAAATAATGAAAAGTGCACACAAAGATAAGAGTGTGGTGATTCCATGAAGGAACTACATCTGATGTAAAAGTCTATGGGTGAACTGGTCTGAAGATAATATGATGATTTATTGGTTGTGAGCTTGTGGGTTCAATTATATAATGTTTACTGTGCGTCTTGGTGACATGTGTCAGTGTGTTTACTGTCTAGGTATCCCTATCTTCTGTAGTTTCTGAATGTATCGTATTTATATGTACACTTTATGTGAAAAATGAATGTGTTTATGCTTGTTTTTGTCACGATTGTTAGTTTGCTGCTATATGAATTATGGATTAATTCTCGACAGTAAGCTATTTAATTTTCAAGTTTTATTATTTTCTCTACTATAAATAAAACTATAATTAACCCTGCAGTAAATACTTTTAATAGACAACTTTCTATTTTTTTATTCTAGTGAATAGTAAAAGCATTACAGCAGACAGTTTTAAATTATCAAATGAGAATAGATCAGATGAAGTAGAGAAAGAAAACCGTTACGGGCGAATCATCTACTGCTGTCCCTATAGCCCCTTAAATGGAGAAAGTGATTGGTACATTAGTTGGCAAGTTAACAGGCTCAACTTTCTATGGTATCTCTAATAACGAGAAAACAGGAGGTAATGGAATGGAAGATAATCAAATACTAGACTCGGAAAAGGGAAGTACTGGAAAGCTTGATGATCATCAAGAAGAAAATAAGGATAGTAAATCTGATGAAGAATTAAAGTCTCCTTATGCTATAGTGAATTTTTTAAGAAATATAAAAGGCAATGCTCCAGTGGCTTTCAACAGAACTTTTGCTGCTGCATCTATTATACTCTTTATAATTGCCACAGACATGACATTTTATGGTAAGATCTTGATGTGTCTACTGGAGGCAGCACTTATAGGAGTAAATTATATGGCGGAAAAGACATGCGCTACCGCTAAAACTCTTCTCTTATTTATGTGGCTATCAACAGCCTTCTTTCTGCTGATTATTTGGCCAATTAGTGCATATTTTTTTATTCTGGCATTTATTTATCCATCTTTTAAATTGGCAGTAGATTCTGTAAGAGAAAAAGATTATTTGAGTTTTATTACCTCTATTCTTGGACCAGTTTTTATTGTAATGTCATTTGTAGTTACTGGCTGGGTTCAACTAGTAAAGCCTAACATGCTATGTGTATTTGCGATGTCATTATTTTTCTTCATGGGCACATTTTGCAATATAGGACTTATTTACAAATTTTTTGAATATATAAAAATTACTAATAATGCAAGTTTTTATAATACTATTAAGACAATATATTATGATGATTTCTATATAGAGAAGAAAAAGCAAGAATTAGCTAGATTGAATAGTGAAGGAGCATCTCAGAACAAAGAGAAAATAGATAAACTAAAAAAAGAAATTAAAACTGTGGAACAAAATATAAAATATGTTGAAGATAATAGGATTGATGATAGTGAAGATTTAAAGAAAAAAATTCTTTCAGATGAAATATACGATCTATCACTATATAATGCGAACTGCTGGGTGCTGAAATCTTTCAGCAAGTACTGGTTCATTATTCTTCCTGTTGTATCAATTGTTGCGGGAACAGGATTTGTATTTATGACCTGTTATCTCAATTCAAAGATGCCTGTAGGTGAATATATTCCTATATTCTTCCAGAAATTAAAGGATAGTTTGTTCCTGGGGAGTAGAGTCATTTCAAACACTTCTGCCTAGTTGTAAGAGCGTTTATTTCTGGACAAGTAAGTATAAACACTACTTACAAGAGTAAAAAGCTATAAATAAAACATTTGGCTTTCAATTTACTGGTTCTTTTAGCACATGAGTATTTTTTACTCAGTAGTAAACTTTTCAATGACTATTTTCTATTTTCGTACATAAACTGAAAACATGATTATTTTTCTATCCCAATGGATGAGAAAGAATCAGAGAAAAAGAACGATTATATGCCATCAGATAGTGATCTCTCATACAGTAAACAAGAAGAAGACAAGTGTATAGATACTGCTGGAGATAGGATCAGACCAGCTATAGATGATAATTTGCATTCTTTTGCTAGTACTTCTATGGTCTCTCCTCAAATAGAGCAGGTGATTGGCGAGCTGACTGTTGAGAAAAATGAATCAAATTCTTATGAGTCCAAGAACTATAATAAAGAAAAAACAGGAGACAATAGAATGCAAAACAACGAAACAGAAAGTATTGGTCAACTTGATGATGATGGAGTAGAAAGCGAGGAGAATAAAGCTAAGAAAGACTTAAAATGGTCCAACAGAATGGTAGAGTATTTAAGAAATCTAAAGAATGATCACCCTGGAGCTGCTGATAAACTTAGCACTATTTTGCCTACTATACTCCTCATGCTCGCGTTCAAAATGCCGCTCTATGGCAAGGCTTTTATTTGTCTGCTGGGACTATCACTTATAGTGCTAAATCATATTGTGGCAGAGAAAAACATTATTGGCACGACTGTTTCTCTTGGGCTAGTGATTTTGTTGGCTTTCTTTCTGCTGGCCAGATGGCCAACTGCTGCAAATATTTTTGTAGTTCTATACGCCCTGCTAATTATTAAATTTACAGTAGACTCTTGGAACGCTAAGGACTATGTGTGCATTTTCATAAGCATTTTTGGAACATATCTTACTGTTATATTGCGCTTAAACACCCATTGGATCGACTCAGAAGAGATTGATATGATATGGGCGTGCAAAGCGGTGTGTGCGGTCTTTATAGTTCTTCTTTTTGAGATGGAAGATAGTTTCAGAAAAAACAGACAGATGAGCATTCTTCAGCAGCTCTATCTTGAAGATAGCAGTGAGCTATTTATCAACAGATGCCAAATAGAAGAGAACAAAGAAGAAATATCTGATCTGAAGAGACACATTAGAAAAGCACAGACTGAAACACTAGAGGACCAAATGGAAGTAGATGAGTGCATAGAAAGAAAGAATATGCTGAAAGAAGAGATTAGATCTTTGAAAAAAAAGAACAACGAAATAATGAAAGAAAACGGCTGCTATGAAAGTGACGTATATGAGATAAATGAGACAGCATCCTTTTGTATAGACCTTGAGAGACTCAGATCGTTCAGAAAGAGCTCGATATATGCTCTGATATCTGCGTCAATTTTCTCTGGGCTATTCTTTATGCTTATGGTTCCAAAGGCAAAGGCATACATGCTCCTAGGCGCATGCACTATCTCGCTTCTTTATAGCATGAAGCATAACGCATTATTCGGGAGAAAATACACTGCAAACTCCTCTGTATAATCACAAAGGTAGACCACTTTGCCTATTGCAAATAGTAAGTGTGGCAGTTCCATGAAGGAACTACAACCATGTCTGATGTAAAGGTTGATGAGTGAACTGGTCTGAGGATAATGTGGCGATTTATTTGTCGTGGGCTTGTGGCTGTTAGTTGTGTAATGTTTACTATACGTCTTGGTGACATGTGTCAGTGTGTCTACTGTCTGGGTATCCCTGTCGTCTTTAGTTTCTGAATGTGTCGTATTCTTGCTCATTCTGTCTAAAAAGTAAATATATTTATGCTTATTTTTGTTATGGTTGTAGATTTAGTATATGCATTATAGATTAGTTTACAATAAGGGTAACGCTACATTTTTGAAGACAAGATAAAGACAGGTATTTTGATTTCGTAATGATATCCTATTTATTGAATAATTTTCATATACTTTACAATGTATTCAGAGGCCTCTGTGTATGCGCTGGCCCAGTCTTTGGAGGCTGTTCCTTTGTGCAGCAGCAGGAGTATGTTGTATACTTCGCTGTTTATGCTGCCCTGCGCCTTCATGGTCAGTTCTCTTACAACGATTGCTCTTTCCATCACCGTATACGTGTTTAGTAGGACACTCACTACAAACATCATGTATTCTGTGGTGCTTACTGTGTTTCTTTCGGTGGGGATGTATAAAATGTTTGTGCTTCTTTCATCCTGTATGTAAATACTATTTGGATCAAGAATCTTTTTGTTTAAAGACAGGGATAGTTTAATTAGTTGATCAAGTATAGATAGTCTTTTTATTAGAGAAACAGATTTATCCAAGTATTTGTATAAATTTCTTGTGTTTCTTCCTTCTATAGCGTATATTGTTGATACTATCCGTACAGACGAGTTGTTTATAAGAGATTGTGTCATTTCTGTTTTAAAAGTGTACTTTGATTTTTTGATGCCTCTGGGGCTGTTGAACATGGGGGTGTCTTTGTAGTCTGCCTCCACAGGTGCTATTCCTGCTGGGGTGTCTACCAGGTGGATAACTCTGATGAATGAATCGTATAGTGTCATATCTGTAAGAATTCTGGTGGTCTTCAGGAAGTTTGTCTTCTTGACTATTGTCATATTCTCATTAGTCCTTTTAAGGTGTCTCTTTATTTCTTTGAAGATCCTCTCCTCCTCTTCCTTCTTTGTCTCTTCTTCCCTGTAGTTGCTGTCCTGCCAGACGTCTGGAGCGGACCTCTTCGTTGTTTCTGCGGCATGAGTATATGATGGGGCTACTAATATTCTCTTCATAGATCATTAAAAAAATAATGGAATTTATAAGAAAGGAATTTACCAGAAAGGATTTTTACTTTTTCAAGATATTTTTTATTTCTGGAAAAATACTTTCATTTTGCAGAATTTTCAAGAGAATGGGAAACAAAAAGAAGAAGCTACTGCAGAAGTACTTGGAAAAGAAGGAGAGACAGAAGGAGAGAGACTCGCTTGTCGAGCAGCTGAAAAGTCTTCAAAAGCGGCCAGAGGGAGCAGAGGCGAAGAACATAAAATCGACCAGCCAGCTCACGCGAAAAAATAAAACACCGGTGAAAGAGATAAGAAAAGATGCAAAAAATAGCAGAGAAAAAACAAACAGCAAAGAAGCAGAGGTTGAGCACACAGTGCCAGCAGCCAGTCTCGCATACAGCTATTCGAACGATGGAATAGAGTGGAAGAGAGCAGAGAAGAGGAAGATAGAGAGCGCTGAGGAATATCTGCGCATAAAACAGCCAAAAGAGGAAAAGAGACCTGCACAACTGCTAAAAACAAGCAAGCTGTTGTCCAGAGTTAGAAGTGTGAACAGCATCCTCCCAATAACCCATATGGAAGACGAAATCGTTTCCTCTGTTAAAGAGAACCACATTACAATAATAAGCGGAGGAACCGGGTCAGGTAAGTCAACGCAGGTGCCGCAGTTCTTGTACGAAAATGGGCTGGCAGAGCACAAGAAAATATGCATAACACAGCCGAGAAGAGTGTCAACACAGGCAGTGTGCAGGAGAATATCAGAAGAGCAGAAGTCAAAGGTGGGAGATGTCTGTGGCTACAAAATGAGATACGAAAGCAAAGTGTCAGATAAAACAGAAATAATAGTAATGACAGAGGGAGTGCTGCTGCAGGAGCTCTCTGAAGACCCTTTTTTATCGAAGTATTCGGTTGTAGTACTGGATGAAGTGCACGAAAGATCGCTGTGCCAGGACACGATTCTTCTTGTGCTGGCAAAGATAGCAGTAAAAAGCACGCTAAGAGTAGTTTTAATGAGCGCATCGGTGACTGATGAGTACATAGAAGCAGTGCAGGAGATAGCAGGCGTAAGCATAAAGAGGGTGGAGGTAGAGCCACAGCAGTACGAGGTGGAGGTGCACTATCTCCAGCTAGGAAAATACCACTACCTGGAAGAGATGGCACGGAGAATAGAAGCGCTGGAAGAAAAAGATGGGTCAATTCTGGCATTTGTCTCTACAAAGGAAGAAACAGAAAGACTGAAAGAGAGTCTGAAAATAACTAAGAAAAGCGTGCATTCTCTGCACAGCGACACACCAGAGAAAGCGCAGGAGATAATTCTGTCGTCCAGCAACTCTGTGATAATAGCCACGAATGTGGCAGAGACATCTCTTACTTTGCCGGATGTAAAGTACGTTGTAGACGGAGGAAGAGAGATAAAGAAAAAGTACAACTACGAGAACAACTCGTATACGTTTGAGACTGCCCTGATATCCAAAGAGAGCTCGGAGCAAAGAAAAGGAAGAACAGGAAGAGTGGGGACGGGCGTGTGCTACAGAATATACACAACAGTGGAGTACGAAAGAATGAGACAGAATAGAGAGCCGGAAATGGAGAGAGAAAGAGTGCTGCCTATGATAAGCTCTTTGCTAAAGGCAGGAGTCACTCCCAACAGAATAGATAGAGTGCAGTGCATCACCAGGCCTCCAGCGGGGGCGATAGACAAGGAGCTGTGCGAGCTTAAAAGGCTGTCAATTGTAGGCGAAAACGAACTGACTGAGTTTGGGAAGAAAGTGCTCTCCTTGCCTGTAAACCCTGTGCTAGGAGCTGCTTTGATGCGGATATATAGCAGATCACCTGAATATTTAGGATACATGCTGAACATCGTAGCATCGATTGAGCTGTACGAGAATAGGAAGGTAGAGTACACGCCTGCGTACGTAGCAGACACAAAGACATACATAGAAGTTCTATCCAGACAGGGAGTATCTGAAAGTCAAAAACAAAAATTACTGAACCACATTAAAAAGTCACTGATAAAGATATCGCCTAATAGTACGATAAATAAGTCGCTGGACGGTAAAGTGTCTAGCAGAGACAGCAAGGCAGCAGTGGTGTGTGGTAAAGTGCTTGCGTGGTGTTTAGCTGGGAACATAGTTACGTCGTACAACGGAAAATACTACCATAAAGGACAGGAGGTAAGTGTAAGAACGCCTTTGCCTGTGATATCATCAGATAAGCCTGTTCCTATTCTGTACTATTCGTTAGTATACCCTGACTCTGAAGACACAAGCAAAGTGGCGCTCGTGGGAAGTCTTATACCCGAGCACTAGAAATAAATATAACTACATTTACTAAATGTAAATTTACAATTACACGATAAGATCCAGCACAAAGGAAAAGGCAACGAGAGAGTGCGAGAGCAATGAATGTGTATATACGATGACAAAACTGTTTATGTGCTATTGTAGTGCTGCATTCCATGCTTTTTGAGCTTCTATGAACACCACTAGTTCTCCTTTAGAAATTGTAAAATTCATTTCTACTTATAGTTTAGCTCTGATTTTGATTAAAACACTTATTGCATGGTAGTTGGTAAGATAGGTCTGATGAGTGAAAGCAGTTTGGAGGGAGAGTGTGCTGAAGTAAAGTAGTTTATTGTTCTATATTGGCAGTAATTGGGTAATAAAAAGTGTAGCGTCCAAACTGTATCTAGCTATTCTAGACTCAATGAAGACTGGTCTCTTTTGTGCGTAGCATCTGTGCTCATGCGTTTCTTCTTTGTTTTTTCTGCTAGATAGGAATAAAAAATATTTTAATTTATACTTTAATGGCACAACAACAAAACTGATGAGAACAAATAATATTTATTTGGCATGGAAAGAGCAGAGAGTGCTGGATGCTCTTTCATTTTCATCAACAGCACCAAAAACACTAGCATAGATTAAGATATCATGCTACAGGTATCTTTAGCTGTCTGTACATGTGTTCATTACTAGCCTATCAATTATAACAGAAGACAGCACAGTATAGAAGAACTTGTGTACGAGGTAAAGAGCATATTGGCTTTGTGAGAGTGTTTGTGTTGCAAATACAAGTATGTTATAGTTGGCCTTTTGTTTATTTATTTAGTAAATTACAAGTACAGACATGCTCTTTTTTAATAGTTGTTTGTTTCTGTTTATGTACTGTAGTTTAAGTAAGCATAAGAGCTAGCTGATAAGTTCATTTAAATGCAAATTGCAAACAAAACAAAGCATTTAACTGTTTTTAGCCATATGCACTCTATTTCGACTTAATTAGAGTGTTTGATAACAAAATAAACAAATTTTGTGATTCTTTTATCTATAAATACACCAAAGACATTATGTTTGCCAATGAAAGTAAGTGTTCTCGTGAAATATTTTGTGTTGGGAGTTTGTGCATATGCTATATGCGTAAGAGCAGCCGTTTCAAGAGGAAAAGAAGTAGATGATGATCCATCTCTTGATAAAACTTATAGAGACCCCTGCAATCCCTGTGCTGATGAACATTCTCCCCATAATTTTATTGAAGTAAAACATAGCACTTTACCTTCAGTAGAATATCCAGAAAAAGTTAATATTACTGACGATAAGAAAAAAGAAAAAGAAGGTAAGTGCAAACCATGCATTTTGCTCTAGCATCTAATGACTAGTTGAGATGAAATACCCTTTTGCCATGAAATAAAAACCGCAGTAAGCAGATTTTTACTACTTTTACTTTATTTTACAACTTCATTGACGAACAGAATAAGCTCAAGAAAGCAAATTCTAAAAGTTGAAATAGCTCAAATAGCAAAATAAAGTAGAATGGAGTTTTGTCCGCGTTTAGACAACAAATCAGCATTTTCAACACAAGCCACTGTTTATATTATGCCATTTATTCTTCTGTTGCTGCATACAGAGATGCTATTATAAAGGCAAATTATACCATATACAGACAAATAACTGCAATTTAGCTATTTATGTTTGTTTGTTTTGAATCTATTGCTGTAAACAAACAAACAAAGATCAATGATAAATCAAAAAAAGCTTCTTAAATAGACTGCGACTTGAAAATGTAAAGCTTCCAACCATGGCTATTTTTACAAACTCAGTCTTCATGAAATGTTTAGCATTAGGAGCATACATATGTGTTGCATACATAGAAGAATGTACTTCTTACCCTACTGAAAAAAAGAAAGAGCAAAGTGTTAAAGATGTAATAAAGAGGTTGAATTCCTCAGTGGGTAAGAGCACTAGATATAAAGAAAAAAAAGTACAAGAGAACATATTTTTAAATCCATCTTATGCTACTCTAAAAAAGTTCTTAATAACAGAAGCTCCATTACGTGATTCATTAGCCATAGTAAATGGCCTGGACACATCTGAAGTTATTTTCTTTACAAAAGGCATAACAGAAAAATATGATTTTTTTGATGATATTGATAAACTGCAGTTCAATGATGATGAAACAAAGAAGAAAAGTTATTATCTTGAAGTGTCTTTTGAAGAGATTCCAAATAATGTAAACTATCACGTTTATTTTAGTCCCATATCTAAGAATTCAAGGAAAGAAATAATAGATGAAGAAAAGAATAAGAACATTGTGGCAAAAGTATGGGATAAAGCAATCTTTTTCTACTATAAAAATGGCAATATAAACATGATTTCTAGTTCAGAGAAGAACAAGAATAAGACTCTAAAAGCAGGGAAGAAGATGATCCGCAGTCTAATAGACAAGATAGCCTTTGATACGAAGCCAAAACCAGAGAATAATGATATTTGGACTCGGCTTAAGAATAGTAAAATTAATATATTTGGTAAAAATAAAATAAAAAAGCATAAAAAGCCAGGAAAAGAATCTGAGAAAGCAGAGAGTGAGGATGCTACTGACCAAAATTTAAACGATGGCCCTGTTCTAGAAAATGCGAATCCTTCAACGGCTAGTAGTAAAATATTAGATGACAACATTGATAATAGTTCTAACAGTGATAAACTGTCAGATAGCCAAAATATTAGTGATGGCGATGTTAAATTTACCACCAATCCTATACATAGCAGCCCTTCTAATAGCCCTACTCAGAAGATAAAGGTACAAACCTCTTATACTGATGCAGACCAAATTCCGATATCTGTTCTTCGTATTAGAGCCGCGAGAATGATGGCATTCAATCTGGCCACCAAAGACTTAGATAAGGATACAAGAGTATATATAAGAGAAAATTACAAACGCTTGGTGGAAGAATTTGTAGAAAATTGCATAAAAAAAAGAATAAAAGATGACGAGAAAAGAGAGAATAAAAAGATTGCATCTAGAGTTCAAAGAAGAGAATATGAATTAATGAGGGAACACAGTGAGAGAGGCATGTAGTTAGTTGCAGCAATGAGATATAGTCTGTTTTACTTTCTATCCTGCAATTCAAAAAGAAAAATAAAGGAAAAATCAAATGCTAAGGAAGAGAGCATATCAGCCTAGTGGTATGCTCAAACCAATTTGCTTTCTAATAAAATTGGCCACATGTTCTCTATTTATCTTGTTCATTAGAGTGTAATTTTTGTTCTTTTCTGTTTGAATCTTCTAGAGTGCTCCAAGCATTGCAAATTGCACTGAACTCTTCTAGCCTGTGTATGTGCCAACTGAGAATATTCAAATTGCTTAAAATAATTTACATGTAAAAGCAAGAACAAGAAGTGAAAATAAAGCAGTACAGAAATAAAATAAAACAAGTTCTTTTTCCATGCCAATAAATTTACAGGAAAATTCTGCAAAATAATACCACTAGAACATCCAACAGTAAACCAAAGATATAGGAGGGTAGATGTATGCACGTATCTCATCGATTGCTTGAGTTCTCTAAACATCAAATTCGTTAAAAATAAACCATTTATTCTGTTGATTTGTCCAGCCAATAGAGAAACTCATCTCTCTGCTCTTTAGAGTCAAAGCCTAGATCATCGCTCTTATCACTAACCATGTTAATTCTATAGGGGTGTTTTCCCTTTACATCTGATGCATTGAACGATGTAAAATACTCATCTACGTCAAACTCTCCTCTTCTTTTAGAATTTACATTTCTGTAGTATTTCATAATTCCCTCGTTCGAGAGAGTAAAGTGTCTTTTTGTCCACAGAAACTGGAGGAAGTATTTCTTCTTGTAGACATCAGCTTCGTACAGTATTTTGTTGTTTTTTCTGTCCGACATGAGCTCAGAAGACTGCGAGCATTCAGGCTTGGTCTCGTACTTTCTACTGCCGCCACTTCCACCAGAAGCAGAGCCATCTGATTTAGAATTTGCGCCATCGACATTTGCCCTATCCGCAGCATTATGAGAATCACCGAGGGCAGCAGCCCCAGCAGCACCCAGTCCAGCGGCTCCAAGCGCGCCTACCCCAGCAGCCCCAGCCACTCCCAGTGCTTCTGCTTCATTTCTGTTCAATGGAGCCACATCTTCGGTTATTTTTTTTTCGTTTATTTCTTGTGTTCTGACTTGTCCTTTTTCAGTGTCTTTGATCTCTTCTTTCACTGAGTTTTCCTGCATTGTCTTTGTGTTACTTCCAGGAACTGAATTAATGTTCTTACTCTCTGAGCTACTCACACCTTTCGAGCCGCCCAAACCCTCTGAAACAGCTAGACCCCCTAAAGCAGCTACGCCCGCTGAAGCAGCTAGTCCCTCTGAAGCAGTTGGACCCTTAGAACTATTTGAGTCTTTTGGTTTATCTAAATCCTTAGATTCAGGTATTCCTTTTGAGTCAGTTGTCTTTTTCTCCAGATCTTTTTTTGTTTTATCTTCTGCAGATAAAGAAGCAGTCTTTTCGCTTTCATCTTTTATTCCTTCTGTTTTTTTATCTTCTTTGTTCTTGTGCTGTTTGTGCTCTATTACTGAGCTGTCTTCCTTTGGCTTGTGGTGTGGCTCGTCTGTTTTTCCAGCATTCGTGTCTACGCGAATGGGTTTGTCTTGTTTCTTCAGGACATCTGTGTGCTTCGTCGACTCTATGTGGTCTCCTATGCTAGAGCCCAGCCCTCCTGCTACGTTGAATGATTTCACTGGCTTATTTATCCTTCCTGAGTTGATGTCTGTGGTTGCTGTTTTGTTCTCAATTCCTCCCTTCAGTGAGCTCACAGCTGCATGGTCAGCTGCATCGGATCCTTTGTTTATCAGGCCCATAGAGCTGCTTCCGGAAGGCTCTTCCTTGCTTTCGTTTGCTTTTACTATCTTTTTCTCCTCTCCTGATGCACTGAGCCCTCCTACTACGCCTGAAGTTTTTCTGTGCATTTCTATCCCATCTGAGCTCTTCAGCTTGTCTCTTAGGCTGGACTTTGAAGACTTTTGTTTTTCGTGTGCTGCACTATCTGCTGCACTCGTTTTATTAGAGCTGTCTGCACTGCCTCCTGGATTGTTCTGCGCTTTTTCTTCTGGCTGCGCTGAGGGAAGAGCTTTGTTTGCGTCTTCCTTGGGATCCAGTGTGCCATTTGCAGAGGATTCGCTGCTGCTCGGCTGGTTTGTCTTTTTTTCAGGATTCGGCGAGTTCTTGCTTTTGTTCTGTGAGTGCTTCGCTATCTCGGAAAATCTATCCATAATTCCCATTCTCTCACAAGTGTTTGCACTCTTTTATATCTGCAGCAAAATAATTGGACAGACAGGAAGATGCCTTAGTGGAGGAAATATGCGCACTCCATTGGACACTTGCAATAAAAACAAAAGAAAACTTGCCTGAATAAAATACCTATTTATTACTCTTTTCTAAGATAGCTCATTGGTATCTTGAATATAACTGTTCTCGTAGAGAATGGCTCATTGTATGTGATGTACTCATACGAGGTGGAACTCTTTCCTGGATACCCGTCTTTTTTGTACGGCTCTGATTCCAGTGTTTCTCCACTGTATTTCAAAGTTCCCGACATTCTGGACTCCTGGTAGTACACATCGTTAAATCCTTCTAGGTTTCCTATGTTTCTTTCTTCCATCCACACACAGTGCAAACAGTATATATACACACAGTATCCATGCCAAATAAACACGCTGCACACACTCCTACCACAAGCTATACCAGCAGATACATAAATATACCGCATTGGGAGAAAGGTGTCTATCTGTCTTCCCACGCGTTGCTTCTAGAAAGCAAAGTGTCTAAGATCTTCCCGGCCATGGTTCTTCTGATTGGCTTTTTTGTTCCGCTGATGGTAATCACCTCGTCATTGGCTGTTAGACTCAAAAAGATGGAGAACGGAACAGACCACACAATCACAAAGAAGTAGAAGAATATCTCAATGAGGCCGCATCTGTTTTTGAGCATGGACGTAAGGAAGAGCATGTGATTAATAAAGGCCATCACCACTGCGCTGATGAACCCAGCGCCTGAAGTTTCAATATTTGGGTAGTCTTCCAGCAGATTGTAAAACATCATCTGGGAGAGACAGGAGAACCCCAATAGCAAAAATGAAAATCCTCTGAACAGCAAAAAGATGTGCATTATCCACACAAAATATGTTAAAAATCTGATCTTCTCCTTTGCTCTATTAGGGTACTCTTCTATGTAGTGGATGGCCTTATACAGGAAGGCAATGAACCCAATCGACAGCCCAACTATTCCAAAGCCTATCAAGAATGTCTTCAATAGAACAACAAGAAACATGTAAGCCTAAAACTAAAAAATAAATATAAATAATTAAAAAAAGAAAACATTCCTGCAGAAAAAAGAGGATGGCTGCAGAGTCTTTTTATTATCTGCTGATTCAGCATATGCTAAAATAGTATAGTAAAATTTTATTATTGTATATTTATATTCTGTTCATCACTTCCTTGCTGAACTCTCTGTTTCCGCCGGGCATCTTTCTGAGGACTCTCGAGAGTCTTTCTTTTGTTTCGTGCGGGCATTCTTTCAGGTACATTTTCACTTCTGATACGCACAGGCTCACATTATCCGAGGACGTGATCGATATGAAGTAGTCCATTGGCTTGAGCATCTCTTTCAGCACACTTTTTGCCAAATACTTGCTGAAAAATTCTCTGTACTTCTTCCTGTCTGTTGCCAGAATGGAAAAATGATCTTTTGTGAATATCGATCTTTTTTTGCACAGCTTGTCGAAGTACATCTGCACGGTTCTCTCTAAAAGAGAAGAAACAAAAAAGGTAAAAGAGTAGTCTATCATGCTCTCTTGGTAGTCTGCCAGATAGTCGCTGTACGTAGAGATAATACTCTGTGTGACGGGCTCTTCTATCCACTTCTCGGTGAAAATGTTATCCACAGCCGGCTCTATAACAGAAGAAATGTTCCTGGCGAGGGCATCATTCGCAGAGACCATGCATTCGTAGAACACTTCGCTAATCAGCTGCATGTTTTTGTCGCTGTAGAAGGATAAAGAGTGCAGACAGTCCATGAACTTGAGCCCGCTGTTTGATAGGGCAATGCAGTACTCTTCAAATCCGTTGTGCGCTTTATCTTTCAGCACAGCATCTAGCTCCTCGATTATTGTGTCCGTTAGGGTTTTCTTAAAATTTTTAACGCAGCTCAGAATGTGCAGAGACACTTTTCTGAATATCTCGGGATGCGTGTAGATGGGCTCCAGCTGCTGCCTTATTATGTGCAGCAGATCCATGAATCCAATGCTTATAAACTTATTCTCGCTGTCCAAGTCAGGAGCCTTTTTTCTTTCTTTAAACCTCTTGCTCTCCATGTGTGCCAGGTTGCTTATCCACTCGCTTAGCTTGTCTTCTGCTGCTTTGACGTACTTATCCACCAGATCTTTTTCTCTTCCCGAGAACAGCACAGGGCCCAGGACTCTTTTTGGCTTTTCCATTTCCTCCATCTGCGCGTAGTACTTTTTGCTCCACAGGAGAATTCCTATGGCTTCATTTGGGTCGAACGTGTTGCTATTTTTGTCTAAGTTTTCGTATAGCAGTCTGTGGTACTGAATGCAGGAGAACGAAAAGATTTTGTAGTTGGAAGGAATGTCCAAATCATCTGTCTCCTTCAGGAGCACGAGGTCCTCTAAAATGAAGGACAGCGCATCGGTCTTTATCATTTTATTGTGCTCAGGCGCAAAGTGTTCGTTAAACCGTCTTTCTATCGACCCCAGAAACACTTCAAATATTCTGCTTCTGTCTAGGTTGCACGTAATCAGGCTGTTGTCACAGACTCCGCTGAAGAGCTCTTTCCTTCCGTTCATGTTTTTAATGTGGCCTCCCTCATTGATCGAGACTTTTGCTATTTTCATGTAAGAAATAACGCCGTCTTTCTTGATGATTTCAGGGAGTGAGTCTATCAGAGTAAGCACAAGTATTTCGAAGTGGCTTTCTAGCACAGATATTTTCTCAGTAATTTCAGGCGTTGAGTTTCGCAGGCCTATCATCTCTTTAATTTCTTTGTAAATCGACAGAAGGCTGCCAGTGGAGACGCTTTCCGTGCTGGCCTTTATTTCATCTAGGAGCCTGCTGTACTTTGCGCCAAAGTGCTTTACCTTCGAGAGCAGCTTGCGCGTGTACTCCATGTTTATGTGGGCTGTGGACGAAGACCGCACAAGACTGTCATTTTTTATCCTGGAAAGCGATGAAATGCTCAGCGAAATCGTGCTCACAGATGTCTTGGCAGTGTCCACGTTCTTTTTTATGCTGTTTATCGACTCCTGGAAGAACTGGGTTTCTCTTATTAGAGCATGCAGTGTGTCTCTCTCCATTAAAAATCCAAATAATTTCCTATTTATTTACCACACAAACAATCGACTAGTTCCAGCACAAACAGTGCACTGTCTTGCACAGGCCTGGAGCAATGGACAAGATAGCGAGTGCAGTAGTGTTCTATGCATTCTATGCACTGCTTTTTATCTCTAGAAGATAGGACAAATTGCCATATAAGGAATGATGTTCTAATGTAGGAAGAAGATGAAAAGTGTGCCAACTAGGAGTGTTTAAGATTCTGTCTCTCTGCAAACGATAATACTCTGTAGACCAAATCTCTGCAAATTACAGTTATTCTCATGCAACTAGAGCTGAATTGAATTTAAAATTTAAAAGGGGGAGTTATTTATTGCGGATAGACGGGAAACAATGCATTATTTTTATTTTGTGTAGTCTTTGAAGAATGCTGACTTTCTTATAACAGCAAGTATCTTTTTTCTGTCTGCTCTGAGAATTTGTTCGGGCGATGTCTCTGTTTTTCTATTGATTTTGTTGTTTATGTGGATTCCATGGCTGTACTTCACGAGAATATACTCCACTCCCTTGCAGCTCAGGTGCATCAGGGTTATGGAGCTAAGGAATCCTATGCTGTGCATAATCTCCTCTATTTTTACCTTTAACGGCTTGTTTATGTAGACTGCATCCTCGATGCTTAGGATGTACTTCAGAAGAACCAGAACAGTAAACTTTTTTGTGATGTATATAGTGTCAAGCTGCGATGCTATTCTCTCGTGCATATAGCTCACGATGTCGAGAGTCTTGTTCTCATTGAAGAAAGTGTCTATTCTTTTTTTGTACAAATAGCTCGCATGGGTGTTAAAAAGAAGGAATACGTCCTCAATGTTTTTGAAATATTTAAACACGGGGGATGGCGCTGTTCTGTACTGGCTTGAGAGAATATCGTAGTCAATAAAATCAAGAAGCAGAGGAATAACGGTTTTTGTGTTTTTTGGGGTGAGCAAAGGATACTCGTTAAAGACAAAACACCACCTTTTCAGAAAGTGTATTTCTTTGCACTCGCAGTCTAAACTGCAGCAGGAGCAGGAGTCGCTAACGGAGGATCCTTCTGGCTTCTTTTTTGACTGCACCTTCACTGTCAGTTTGTTCCTGTACAGAGAAGATATCTCCACTTCGCTTCCGTCTATGCAGGAGTGGTGCAGTCCTGCGGATGGAGCTGTTATTGGCTCAATGGTTAGCTTGTTGGAGGACTCCCTGTAAAGCATTTCTTCCTTTAGCATTGCATACGCACTGGCCAGTCGAGCACAGAGTTTATCTGAAATTTCTTCTGATGTTCTGGATGTGCTGAAGTATTTCTCCTTTATTTGGCCCTGCACTCTTCCTGTCCATTGGAATACGGTTTTAAATATTTCTGCAGTGTTTTGTGTTCTGTCTTCAGGGTTTGCGATTATTCTTATTTTTCTTTCTGTTTTTCTTTCGGAAATGGGCTTTGTGGGAGAGTACAGAGTGCCTGTGCTGAACGAGTCGCCTTCTACCGTCGAGATAAAGGACTCATACTCCATGGCCTCGTACTCTATCTCTTTCTTAGAGAGCTCTGTCAGCAGTCCGCCCCATTTCAAGATGAGTCTTGCGATGTTCCCTTCCGATGTGATTTTAACACGCACATCGGTGTTTCCCTGCGTGATCTCTTTGAGAGACTCAAGGGCTAGAAGATTTTCACTTGTTCTGAATGCTGGATTGTTTTTATTTTCCTTTTCCAGTAGCCTTTCTATTTCTTTAACCCGTGATGTGTCTCTGCCTGCCACATGCGAATCATTTCCCACGTACTCTAGCAGATACTCAGAGACAAATATCAGTCTTTTCTTCAGCTTTGGTGTTCTTCTTGCATGCCTGTACACCGCATGCACTCCCTTTATCTCAATCGCATTTTTGCTGCTGTTTACTAAAGACAATGCATCATCTGCTGATTCTACCGTTTTATTCTGTTTTTCCTCTGAGCTGTTTTCTAGACGTAGTACTTCTTCTTTTTTCAGCTCTTTAGAGGCATCTTCACTTATTATCTCTACTATTCTACTGTACAGTTTTACATCTTCTCTTCTGGATGAATCTCCTAGAACAGCTCTTTTTCTGAGGACCTCTTTTTTTATTTTCTTATCTAGGAATTTCAGGTAGGTTTGTGTGTAGTATTTTGGATTGGACTTCACGAACGACCATCCGTTCACATCCACGACAATGAATCTGCCATCAGATGTCCTGAGGATGTCCATCCCGCAGATAAACTGTCCAAGGGCTCTGCTTATATTCACAACTGCGCTTATCTCTTCTTCCGTTAGCTCTATCTCTTTTCTCTCCTCTTTTCCCGACTTTGTTCTGATGACTATTCCATCTTTCACGGGAGACTTTCTTGTTTCTGCGTACACTTTTTTCCCAAGCACGTACACTTTTATGTCCAGGTAGTCTTTCATTTCCAAATACTTCTCGTAGATGTAGCTGCCGTCTTCTCTGTACGAAACCCCCTGTGTGTTCTTGTCAAAGTTGCTGCTCTTTGATCCTATCTTCCGAAACAGTCTGCACACTCCGCCCTCTCTGTTCTTGCAGTCGTTGCTGTAGTATATATTTATGTTGTGGTCTTCGCTGTATGCTGGCTTTTCTACGTACGGTTTCTTCATCTTTTTGTCGTCAATGCACAGCACGCCGTCCTTGCAGTATCTTGTGCGCGATGGCTTGAGGAGCTCGTCTCTCATAATGTTGAAAGAAATTAGCTCTTTTTTTACAATTCGGTCGATTTCTGTTTCAGCTCCATTTTCATTTTTCATTTCCTCCTGTCTTTCTTCAACCTTTGTTTTTGTTTTACCTCTTGTGTCATTCTCTGCTTCTGGCTTTTGTGCTTCTTCTGCTTCTACAGCGCGTGCTGTGCTAGCCCGTGGCTTGTACTCTGACAGTGTGTCTTTTGCTCTTCCATTGTATATGATTCTGAATGCTGTGGGCACTTCTATTTTATCCAGGATCGCCATGACTGCGCGTCTATCTAGGAGGAGAAACTGTGCGTCTATCCTGTTTATTTCCACAGGACAATGCATCTCTGCATACTTTTTTATCTTCATGAAGTCTATGCCCTCCGAGAAAAACGAAAGAATGACATCCACATGGGGCCATGCGTCAACCGGTGTCTCTTCTCTGTACGCGTCTTCAAAATAGTACACGCTGTAGCCTTTGCTCTTCAAATATCTCCCCAGCTGCTTCATTGGCTCTGTGTGCAGTTTTCTGTTGGGTATAAATACGCCCAAGTGCACTTGCTCTATGTACGGTATAAGCATCTCAATTTTATTTCCAAATGGGTGAAATAATATATGGAGTAGATCCAGAGCACAGAGATGTTGCAAAGTTCAAGTCGTCAATAGCGTACAAGAAGATACTGCACTATATCACAGATATAGACAAGAGAATACAGAAGAAAGAAATACTGGGAGACGGAGAAAGACGGTACGATCTCGCAGAGAGCAGAAGAAGAGAGCACAGGAGAAAAGATGGAGAAGAAAGTGAAGTGCCCTCGCAGGACGACACACGAGAGAGTGAGGGGAATGTGTTTCTGAGTAAAATAGAAGAGATCATCGAAGAGGTGCCCTTGGAGGAGGGAAATCAGAGATATGGAAACAAAGGATTCATAAACTTTGTGGAAAGGCTGTCGATAGAGGGAGAGAGGATCATGAAAGAGTCATTCCCCGGGATAACAGATAAAGACCTTTCAATACTCCAAAACTATCTCGACGAGTCATTTGGGAACAGATCGAGGATAGACTACGGCACAGGCCACGAGCTCAACTTTTTCTGTTTTTTGATAATTTTGATGATGAGAAAATTGCTCGCTGAAGATGCGGTGTTGCTCGTATTGGAGCACTATTTCAGCATAGTCAGGCTGCTTATCCTCAAATACAAGCTGGAGCCAGCGGGGAGCCACGGGATGGGAGGGCTAGATGACTACCAGCTGCTTCCATTTCTATTTGGATCATCGCAGTTCTGCTGCAGGGAAGGCTTTGTGTTTAGCGATTTATTCACTGAGGAAGAGAGAGGCCTGTGCTACTCAAAGGCGCTTCGGTTTATACACATTGATAAAAGCTTTCCTCCGAGTAAATACTCGTATAAAGAAAGAATAGAAAAGTACAACACAATAGAAATAACAGAAGAACCATTCTCCCATCACTCAGTGACAATATACTCACTAAGAACTGTGCCATTCATGAAAATTAACAGGGGAATGATAAAAATGTACGATGGCGTAGTGTTATCCACGCACGCAGTCATTCAGCACTTTATATCAAGTGAGTATCTACCAATATAGCCAATAAATAACAAATTGTTTTATTTTTATGGGGTGTTCGCAACTTTCTAAGCTATGTGTCTATTCTGTACTTTTTAAGATATTCAAGAGTGCCCAGGGAGAGATTCTCTTCTTTCTGGATGGGGGCGGTGTTTAGGATTCTTCTGGCCTTGTCTAATACACTCGACAGCTTATTGTACTCATCAGATGAAATGTAATTGCACTCTTCTTCCTTCATTGAGCCAAGTGAGCAGAACAATTCAGTGAAATAAAAATAAACAGAAGACAAAACCACACAGAAACATTTTTAAGAAGATGGCTTGCTATAAAAAGAATAAAAGGTGAAATTCATAAGATAGTAAGAAAGCTGATGCAACGTAGAATGAACAATCCAAAACATAAGTTATGAGAGAACACCACGAGAATGATTAATAGCACAGTAAGTAGAATAAAAGCTAGAGAAGTATTTCTACAGTTCTATATACTGCACAATTGGCTCTGTGAATGTGTGCATTGTGTCTATTTGCAGTTTGTAGGGCGTTCTTGTGCTATTTTTAGGTATAGTGTAGTAGTAGACCTCTTTTTTAGTGACTTCTGTGTGAATGTTTGTGTATTCTGTTGCTGCTGAAAGGGTGAAGAATATTTCGCACTTCTGAGGATTGGCTACTCTTATAGTGTTTTTATCTATTTCTATTTTTACATCTAGCTGCCCTCTTTTTTTCATATACCTCCACTCTCTTTCTTCTATGCTCTTTGCCAGGTCGAGAAGAGAGTGTATAGATCGGTTGAGGAATACTCTGCCTACCGTAAAACATGCCCAGATTATTCTTTCTATGCTTGTTATTGTATTTGTGTATATTGAGTAGAGAGATCTATCTATTTCTGCTCTGTCTATGTGTGCTTGCACGAGGACAGATACTACTTCCTTAGTTTCTGACTCATTTTCTATTATTTTTCTTATATTTCCATCTTTTGACCTAATTGGGTATTTTAACGTACTTTTAAGCTTAGATAAGGCGTTTGCATAGTCTGCATTGCGCTCTTCAGAGTGTGTGTTTACAATGCTCTTGTAGTCTTCAGCTGTGCTTACTATCAGGAGCATGTCTCCTCCATCCAAGTCCAGTTCTTTATTTTTTATTTCTCTAAATATTCTGTTCATCCTATACACTGTCTTCGGGTCTAGATAGTACTTAAATGCAGCTGATCCTAGCAGAGTAGGTTTTATCAGGTGGCAATCTGTAGGAAAAGATGGCTTTTCTTTATCTTCTTCTGATCTGGGGTGTAAAGATAGATCATTTATCTTTCTTTTCTTAGTTCGTATTATTTGTATATCCTCTTCTCTTTCTTCTGCAGCAGGACTCAGAGTGTCTAGTGATGGATCATGCACTAATCCATCTTTGTTCTTTTTTTTCGTTGTTTTTTCCAAGGCAATGGCTTCTATCTGCACTAGACCAGACAGTATTGAGTTTAGTAGCTGTTCTACATCCAAAAAGTATTTCTCTGTTTCTTTGTGTTTTATTCCTCTGCTGTATGCATATGTCTCTTTAATCCATTCAGCAAGTTTTTCTGCTGTGTTTTTTCCTGCATTTATTTCGTAGAGAATTCTTGTGGGCAGAGTGTGGGCTAGTTTGCTTTCTATGGGAAACTGAAAAGTGATCGCACGGCTGTACTCTTCTATTTTGTCCATGTCCGTTATAATGGTGACCGATCCCTTGCTGGACAGGCCCTTGCGCCCTGCTCTTCCGCTCATCTGCGATATTTCTGATAGAGAATAATTACTGTCGCTATCTAAATGGTTTGTCTTTGTTTTGTAGATTATGACATTATCAGCTGGCAAGTTGACGCCGCATGCCAGGGTGCTTGTGCAGCATATAGCTCGAATAGCGCCCTCTCTAAAGAGAGTCTCAACAGCAGACCGCACGTTCTTGCTCATTCCCGAGTGGTGCACTCCAATCCCTTGATAGAGCATCTCTATTTCGCTCTTTATGTCTCGAATAAACTCATTTCTATCTTCAGTCAATGCAGGAATAATGGAGGATAGATGGGGCAGTATGCTGTTTAGTTTGTCATCTTGGCTAATGGAAGAGTGAATGTTTTTTTGTGGTTGGTCTCCCATTTTTTCTGGGTTACCTGAGCTGCATCTTAGAAGGTGTGCTATTCTGTGGCACTCTTTCCTGCTGTTTATGAAAATAAGGGTGGGAGCGTGCTGTAGATGCTTATTCAGTATATCTACGCTTTTTTCGCTCTTTTTTACTCCGAGTATTTTGTACACCATGGGAATCTCTTTGCAGCTGTAGCTGAAGTAGTACGAGTGCTCATTTTTTGCGTTGATGAATGCAGCAACATCTCTGTAGTTAGGGATTGTAGCACTTATTCCCAGCATCCTTATGTTCTTTATGCCTTTACTGCGAATAATGACGCTTTCAAGGACTCCTCCCCTGGTTTCTCCGAGGATGTGTATCTCGTCTATTATTAAGAGAGTAGGGGCTATCCTTTTTTTCAAAGTAAGGATGTCATATCTCTCGGGCGTGGTCACAAGGACATTCATCTTATACTCCCACAGTTTGTGGTTATTTCTGTGTGTATCGGTTGTGTCTTGTTCTATTTTCAGAATATCATTCAATCTTTTTTTTAGCGTGCTTTCTGTCTGTTTGATTAGTGACTTTGTCGGAGCTAGATAGACAATAAAACTCTTTTCTTTGTATGCGAAGAATTCTTTGAGTATGGCAAGGATTGCTAGCTCTGTTTTTCCTGTGCCAGTGGGCGCTGCTACAAGCACATTCTCTCTCGTATTGTATATGCTGTCAAAGACAAGAGACTGTATCGTGTTGAATTGCTGGTATGGGAAATATTTTTTATCGTTCTGCAAGATTTCTGTTTTTATTTTCTCGTGCGAGACAGGTGTATATTCTATTTCTATGGACTTGTAATCTTCTGTTTCTTCAATCTTGCAGTCTTTAGGGAGCAAGATGCTCTTTAGCTTCCACTTCTTCTGTTCTATCGACTTCTGTGCTGCAATTAGGCTCTCAACTGTGATATCATCACTGCATTCATTTTTTTCTTTTTTATTAGCCATTTTACTCTATTCCCGCAGCCGAAATATAAAAATAAAAATGCACAAAAGAAGATGCCATGCTATCATTAGAGGATAAGCAGATTTAATGCTGTAGAAGAATGTAATTACGTTGTACACATAGCAGAAGGGCAACAGAAGACTTTCTAGATGATCGTTTATTCTAGCTGATTATTCGCATTTGTAGCACTTCTAAGTACGAACAGACTCAGCCTTTAACTAGAAGAAGAAAGACCATGAGATTGGATTCATTTATGAAGATATGCAGCATACCACATGGAATAAATGTAAATTGATCACTATATCATATATTTTATACGGATGTATCGAACTTGTACTCTTCTTGCCATATCTCACTATCGATCAGAGCGTGTGCCTCAAGAGCTACAGATCTAATATGAAGCAGAGAGGATGCATTGGGAGTGTGTTAGAGATGAAAGTGCTATGGCATGTTTCCGCTGAATATCTTTAGAATTACATCAAGTGTAACAAAGAATACAATGCCTTTGACAATTATATTCATGCTCCATGAGAAGAGATAAGAAAAAACATAGAAGAACTCGCAGAGAAAGAACCAGGCGAGATAGCACGCAAACAAGCACAGAGCTATCTTGAAGAGAGGATTGCCTCCTGCAATAAGCATCTCTCCTTCATATGCCCCTATGTAGCTAATGACACTTCTAAATAGGCCAGAGGCAGACGGGTCTCCTATGGAAGCAAGACTTGAGATATCCACGGGCTTGGCATCTCTTACTTTCTTCTTTTGGTTTCCGGTGTTCTCTTTGCCGCTGGGATGGCTGCTGTTTTGTGCAATGTTTTGATTTGCATGATCAGTTGCATCGATGCTCATTGAAGAAATAGTGCTTTTATCATCCAGCACGGCAGATCCATCGGAGTCAGAGTGTACTGCCACTGCCTCTTCAGAATCTGTGTCTGCGATAAGACGAGAACTCGCAGAGTCTGCAAATCTTCCGGATGAAGTATTTTCATGCGCCATTAAAAATTTTAATAATTAGACCATATTTATTTAACTATTTCTTTGCTGTCTCTTCTCTGCCTTCTTCTGGAGTGCTGCTAATGTTCCTCTTATCTTCTTCTTCTTGTTCTTCTCTTCCTTTCTTATCTTTCTGGGGAGCTTGGTGATTTCCTTTCCGTCTTTTTCCTTCTGGATTCTGTTGAGAATGAATTTGTGCTCTATCTTCTCTAAGCTCAGCTTCTTGTTGTATATTTTGGCCTGCGCTGTTGAAATGTGTGTTCCGAATCTGGTGTAGCAGTCTTTGATGATAATGTTGTCAACAGATACGTTCATTTGCTCGCTAAGAATCTTTGAAACGTCTTTCTTGTTTGGAGTTCCCTTTGTAGGATGGTAGATCGATAAAGACAGCTCCATTCTGTCAAGAAGCGGGTTTTGTTTCTTCTCTAGTATTTTTATGGTGTTTGACATTTGCTGGGGTCAAAATATAAAAAAATATAAAAAAGAAGAGAAGAAAGTGCTAACGAAATAAAATGCTATTACGCCACGGAAGAAAAAGGAAAAGAAAATAAAACAAAAATGTCCATAAGTATTCCATCTTTTCCTTATCCCTCACTGGCTGATTCTCTATTTTCCCAGTGATTGATTGAATGTTGGCTAATGCCTTTTTTCGTAAGTGTGCTGTAATTGAGCTGTGTCTATTGTGTTTTTATTATTATGGTACGAGCACATTCTCCATCTGCTGGCTCAATTAACTAGCCCGCTTATGACATCTCGTCTGCAGATGGGACAGCTGCCCATCATTGCAATGTGCGAGTTAATGCATCTTTTGTGAAAAGTGTGTCTGCATCTGAGCGTACCACAGACATTCAGAGAAATGTACTTTTGGAAGCATATGGAGCACTGTGCATCTCTGTGCATTTCTTTGAGATCTTTATATTTACTGTATACAATGTACTTCTTTTTTAGCGACAGCTTTCTTCGGTCAACTATCCTGTCATTTTCTGCCTTTGCGCCAACTGACTGCTCTGAAATGTACTTCCAGTCTCCTTTGTTTCTGTTTATTGCCTTCAGTATTTTATTTACCACACTCTCCTGTGAGGTGTGTTTGTCCGTTATGTCCCTTATGTGATCGGAGAGTGCATTTTTGTCTTTTGGCAGTATTTTCATCAGCATTCTGCTGTGGCTTATCGAGCTTGCTATCTCGTGTGCCTGTTTCTTCAGCGCTTTTAGCCTGTCAGTTTCTTTTTCCGGGCTGTGGCTCATTTAAGAAGTAAAATATTTTATTGTGTATGGAGTACGTAGTAAAAGATTTGGAAGAAATCAGAAATACAGTAAGAAACAGGACACAGACAATCGACAAAAAAAGGATGGCAAAGGACACCCACAGCAGCATAGTGATAAAAATAGTGGAGGACGCGCTGTCTAAGGTGTACTGCAAGTACATGCTGGAAATAGCCAATTCCATAGTATGCAACAAGCCCATAGATAAGTCTCTGCACGTATCTCTCACTAGGACACTGAAGCTCTTCGAAAAAACAAAAGAAGAAATAAGCAAGACAATGGGAAAGACGAACAGAGACCCAATAAAAGCAGAACACATGCAGTCGGTAATAGATAAGTTACAGTACAGTACAACATAAGAGTAACACATACCAATTGCACTATAAATAAAGACACTTACACCACAGGATAGCACTATACCGATTAAAAGCAGTTAATAGATAGCCAGAAATGATTGATCATTGAGCTTACACTTCTTACTTCTAGCTAGTTTATGGTGAGTTACTCTTTTACTCTTATCGGTATAAGATAGATGCGAACAGAAGTAGAAATAATAGCAAAAAGAAAATGGAAAACAGAAATAGTTCATTAAATAGATGGTGTGTAATAGTGCCTGGGGTGTATCTATCATAAAAATAGCTGAACATACAGCTTTTTGCATATTTTATCAAGGCATCATGCTGACATGTTCATTTTAATGGGAGGATGCGGGTCGTATCCCTCAACTACGAAGTCATTAATTTCAAAATCTTCGAGCCTGTGTCTGGGCTCCTGCGGAAGTATTTTCAGCGTAGGAAATGGCCTGGGCTCTCGTGTTGCTTGCTCCGTGAGCTGGCTAATGTGGTTTTTGTAGATGTGGGCATCGCACAGGATGTGGATGAACTCTCCCTCGGGTATATTCGTCAGATATGAGACCATCTTCAGAAGCAGTGAGTAGCTGGCTATGTTAAAGGGCACTCCTAATCCTACATCCCCTGACCTCTGGTACAGCATGCAGTTGAGCTTACCATCAGTTACTACGAACTGAAATAGAACATGGCATGGAGGAAGGGCCATAATGTTTAGATCAAGAGGATTCCACGCGCTGACAACCATTCTTCTGCTGTTTGGGTTCGTTTTTAGCTCGTTTATTACGTTATTCAGCTGATCTATGCCCTGGCCCGTGTAGATATCATCGCATGTTCCGTACTCTGCCCCAAAGTGTCTCCACTGGAAGCCGTATATGGGCCCTAGATCGTCTTCTTTTCTGTCTATTCCCCTGGACACCAGGAACTCTTTTGTTGCGTTTAAGTTCCATATGTTCACGTTCTTACTTTTCAGTATTTTATTGTCTGTCTGCCCCTTGATGAAGAAGAGAAGCTCTTCAGCCACTATCCTGAAAGGGACTTTTTTTGTGGTGAGCAGTGGAAATGCGTCATTTTCCAGAGAATATCTGCTCATATCTCCAAACACGGAAATAGTCCCTGTTCCTGTTCTGTCCATCTTATCAGAGCCTTTAGAGAGTATGCGCTGCACTAAATTAATGTACTGAGTTTCTGCGTGTGCAGCCATGAGAAATAAAAATATTTAATATTTAACCACAACTAGCTGTAGATCAGCAGCTATAGCTAAGAAAGCACAGAAGAGCAGCCTAGTAGCCAAGAAGTACACAATGAATGACTAGCTATTAGCCCAGCAGAATAGCTAAGTGAATAACTTAACTGATGGTAGCTAAGTGTCTTTGTGTTTTATGCCAGCACTGGAGAAGTAGGAAGGAATGAAGAATAGAATATTTATTTTTTGTGCTCTATGATGGCTCTTGGCTTATGAACTGTGCTGTAGAATACTGTACTACAGCAATCCTGTACTCTCTCGTGCTAATAACAAAACATCGCAGAAAAAGAGAGTGTAGATGTTCTCTAAGAATTGAGCCATAATGAGCACAGAATGTGTCTATAGAGTAAATTAGTAGATGGCTGAGCGTAGAGAATGCATCACCAGCTGACTGTGCTGACTGTTTTTCTGTCTCTTGCATCACAGGTAGCTTACATCTGCACCTGCAGCAGTAGATAACCGTCTATTCTACTATTACTCTTTTTCTATTATAAATATTCCTAACAAAAGATATATCTGTACACAGCTTACATCTACTGCTGTATACCAAATATACACATACTGTTGTCTGTTTCTGTTTCTGTTGCATCCACTACAGTAACAGCTGCTGAGTGCTGTCCTCCTGCGCCCACACTGATGGCCACTTCTCCCCTCAGGTCAACCTCTCTGGGGACAGTCTGATTCTCTGCCTCGTATCCCAGCTGTCCTTCATCGCCGAATCCCCAGCTGAAGACCTTTCCCTGCTTCAGAGCGAGCGTGTGCGAGGCAGTGACCGAGAAGTCATCTACGCCCGAGAGAAGACACTTAGTAAAGACCTTTCTGTCTTTAGAATCACCTACCCCGAGCTGTCCAAAGGTATTCCTACCCACTGCCCACAAAGTGCCTTCGCTGTCCAATACATGCGTGCTGTGCTCACCTCCCATGCCCTTTTTGAAGGAAACAGGGCCATTGCCTGGGCTGCACTCTGTCCACCTACCCCAGAGGGCAGCAGAGCCTGAAGAGTCAGAGGCTGCAGAAGAGGCGGAAGAGAAGGGAGACTGTCCGTAGTTATTTACTCCCGAGGAAGAGAGCTTTATCTTCTTTGCTTCTTCTTTAGCTGATATCTTCTTTCTTCTTCTGTCAAATAGAGCCATTCTCTGCACTTCATCAAACGACACGTACTCTAGGTCATTCTCTTTACTTTTCTTTCCTTTCTCCTGCGAGCTATTCTGTACTTCCTCCGCGTATGATAAATAGGTGTACACTCCTGTCTTTTTGTCCTTACCATTCTGCGATGCGTTCTGGTCACTTTCCAGAGAAGCTGTAGTAGCAGGATATTCTCTACTACACGGGAGATAGACAGTGGGAGCTCTCTCGTCCTCTGTTATCACGCCATCACTAGTCATGTGGACTGGCATGCTCTTGGGAGGGAATATAGTTAGTGTCTGAGGATGCTCTTCTCTTTTGACCATTTTGTGCTTAGACTCTACAAAGACCTTTCTCTTTTTATTCTCGCTTACGAGCTCGCTGCTGTAGCTGTCACCTTTTTTCTTTCTTCCCGTGCTTTCTTTGATATTCTCTCTGTTCTGGTCGTACAGATATACCTCTCCACTAGGCATAGTAAAGAAGCAGCCTTCAGTGTATAGGCACTGTTTGTCACTGCCCTTTGCTTTATCTCCTGTCTCTGAGACTCTTCTTACAGCTAGTGTATGGTATGCTCCTGTTGCCACTGCGCTTACGCTGTTTAGGGCGATTCCTGGGCGCAGGGCGTCAGTTGCCTTGGCTCTTTTGCTGAGCACTCTTCCCAGCTTGCAGTTCTCGCCGTCTCCCCAGGTGATAAGTCTGCCTTTTGAGTCTATTACAGAGAGATGGTTGCACCCTGCCTCCACTGCGGACACTTTGATGTTGGGCACCACTGTAGGCACTCTGATCATCTTGTTGACAGAGCCGTCTGTGTTAAGAGAGTGTCCTATCACTCCTCCCGGCCCTCTAAATAGCCCCCAGGTCCATAGGTTATCATAGATGTCTACTGCTGCTGAAATAGAGTCTCCTGCCACGACTTTTTTAATATGCACAGGGTGGGGGAAGAGCACAGGCGCTGGCTCTTCTTCGTTTCCCTCTCTTCCCAGCACTCCTTCGTCGTTGCATCCCCAGGAGTAGAGAGAGCCGTCGATAGATAGGGCAAGAGAGTGCATTCCTCCACACACCACTGTTTTTATTCTTTTGTCGTTGAAGTAGGATATCTCTAGAGGGGTGCTGCTCATTCCCTCCTCCACAGGCACTCCCAGCTGTCCTGCATCAGAAGCACCCCAGGTGTATACTCTCGTTACGTACTTTTTACTTTGCATGAATAATTTTAAAAAAAGGAATATATATACTTTTTTACATACGCGTTTTCCTTTTACGTTAGCAATTATGTGCTGGCGAGAGCAGGAGCAATAAAATTAAAGGAATGCAAGGAGGCTGAAGTGATTACAGGAGATGCAGTGAGATGCTCAATGCTACCAATAGGCTAGCTACAATACGAGTATAAGCCAAGAGAAGGATAAATACAACAGAAGTAGCTAATAATGTGCTAATCCTGTTGTGGCTAGTGTAATGGTGAGTATATCTGTATATTTATTTATTGGGGTGTATTTATGCTGTTTTTTCCTGGTCTCTTAGTATTGACTGCTGTATTAGGCTGTCTGTGGGGTAGGCTGGAAATCTGTCGAGGGGCATGTCTTCTGTCCAAAGCAAAGGACACTTGCTGTGGATGGAAAGAGTCTTTGCATACTCTATGATGCTTTCTACTTTTATGTCTGTACTGCCCACTATTCTCTTGCTCTCTTCTATCAGCACCTCTTTATCCTCCATTTCTTTGTGAAGCTCTTCTGTTATGCTGTACAGGGCTGCCGATGCCTTCATGTTCTCTGACTCAAAGCCATTTATTACCACAGAGTATATGATGTCTAGTCTTCTGGCAGTATCTCCTATTTCCTGGACTAGCTTTAGCTCTTTCTCTGTGACAGGGGCGTCTGACGATGCATCCAGCTGTGTTATCGCATTTACCAGCTTGTCCACTTCTTTACTGAAGAGCCTCTCCATACCGGAAAAAAACAGAGAAAAAATAAGCTGGCACAAGAGTTTATTTTTTTATTTATTTTATCCCATGGCTAAAGCAATATCACTGAACAAGACAGGAAAGGTCAGAGGATCCACTCCTAAAGTAGCAAAGGCAGACAAACCAAAGCCAAAGAAAGGAAGAGCAGCAAAGAGAGCGCTATACGAGAAGAGAATGCAAAAGGGATACTTTGAGGGAACCATGAAGATGAACTCCCAGGAAGTTAGATAAATAGGAATCTAAATAAATAGTCTATTATACTTTAGCACATTTAACTGTTGTACATAGCATAGGAAAGAGCGTACTTTTTATAGATTGTATGGGAGGTGTTTGCATTTAGTATGCTTCGTGTAGAAAGTGTGGATACTTGCTGTGCAGTGCATAGAATGAGTAAATACTTGCTGTGCAGTGCATAAAAAGCCTAAGAAATTATTATACAGAGCTGCAGACGCTAAGATTTGCTGTGCACTCTGCAGAAAATATTTGCACTTATTCTGTACTGCATGCAATATACTTGTGTTTATTCTCTATATCACATTATGTACTATCACTTATTATCACTTATCCCACACGGAATACAATGTGCTGCTGCTTATTCTGCACAGCCTGTAGTATATTACTACTTGGCGGGAGTTGACTACTTATTGCTTAATAAATAATGTGCTTGGTTTTATTAGTTTATGCATGGCAAAAAAGATGGGAAGGAGCTGCGAATATATTCTGATGGCGTTTTTGACATCTTCCATCTCGGGCACATGAAAATGCTTGAACAGGTGAAGAAAATGTATCCCAACTGCACCCTTGTTGCAGGGGTGTGCTCGGATGAAGACACTCATAAGTACAAGGGAATTACCGTCCTGACAATGGAGGAGAGAGCTGAGTCGGTGAGACACTGCCGCTGGGTGGATGAGGTGATCAAAGATGCTCCGTGGATAATAACGAAAGAGTTCTTGGGTGCGCATAATCTGGACCTGGTGGCTCATGACAGCATAGAATACTCGTCAAATGGCGTAGATGATGTGTACAAGGAAGCGAAAGATCTTGGGGTGTTTGTGGAAACAAAAAGAACAGAGGGCATCAGCACCAGCCAAATCATCACGCGAATACTCAAAGAGTACGAGATATATCTGTACAGGAACATCATCAGAGGAGTCTCCTGTGAAGAGCTGAACATTTCCCAGCTCACAAAGCAGAAGATAATTCTGTCAGAGAGCATCAAAGAAAAGCTGGGCCAGTTTAGAAGGAAGATAGAGGATATACGAAACAAACAGCTGAAGGATGGGCTGAGTGGAATGATGCGAGTGTGGATGCAGACAACCCTGCAGCTGCGAAACAGGCTTGTGCTATTTCTTAAGTAGAGTACAATAAATATTTTAGGATGAGAATAGGAAGTATATGTACACATTCGGCTATATGATATAATTAGAAGGCCGCTTTGTAAAATAGATCTATTTATTCTGAGTGCACTGGTGCTTGTTTTTTGCACTTCTTAGTCGAGCCATTAGCTAAGACAGCTGCTGTGTAAACAGCGTAAATAAACTTCATGTTGTACACAAAATAGCACAAGTATACTTTTTTTCTTTTGCAGCCTTCTGTCTTTGAGTAACTTCAGAATAAACACGTACACTGGGACATAGTGTAGACTTTTTATCAAAACACTGAGCTCATTATTTAAAAAGTACACTTAGCAACTATTTGTTCCTAGATTGTACCATGATAAGAAAGTGAGAATGAAGGGAAGTAGAGATTTGCTATTTATCCTGTGTTTATTAACAGAATGTCTGGAATACAATTAATATTCTTTTGAAGAGCACTGGCATTGAGCAACTTTGAGAGTGGCCTGAGAATAGACAGAGGAGTACTTTGGCTCCTGTGGTTCATATTAAAATTAGGGCTACTAATTAAAATTGCAAATTAATTAGGTATATAACCCGAGAATGTTTTTGTATCATTAATGAAGATCAATTGCATGCTGTTTGTGCTTCTTGCTCTCTCTCTGGTCCAGGCAACAAAGCCCATCACGTTCAACCTGAGAAAGAATAGTTTTGAAACCAGAGGATACATTTCATCGATCATTGAAAACGAGATAAAGAGCATGTTTCCAAATAAACAAACTGTGGGCTACATAAAATACGATACACACGCCAACTTCTACTACAACACTCCCAGAAACACCACGCTAATCACCCATAATGGCCTGCAGGTGTACTATAACGTGTACCATAGAAACAACAACACCAACACAATCACGCACGTGATATCTGTAAAGTCAGAGAATAGCAACGCCATTGCATTGGAGATACTCGTGAAGATATTCCAGGATAAGATAAGTTTCCAGGCCAGCAGCAGAAATGGAGAATCAATGGGCAACAACACTATTGTTTTACTAAATAGCTTGGAGAACGCCATAATAAGGATCGGAGAGCAGAAGGCTAACATTGACCAGTACCAGCTTAAAAGACTAGCTAACTACATATAATAAACCAAACTGTCTCTCAAATAACTAACTAGCATATTCTATGCTTTCTTCCATGCTTTGTTTTGCATACACTGTATTTATAATAATCACTAGTCATAGTTTTACTTCATACTCATACAGACCACACAAACTACTATAAAAACGACGAACTTCATGAGTTGTTTAAAGATTAACACAAAAGGGTTCGGAAGAGGTTTAGGCTAGAGAGCAGTATGCAATGAGTGTATCAGCAGTTCATTGCTTCATAATTTACCGGATACAAAATTTCAAATATCTATTTCATTTTAAATTGAAACGCTTTATTGAAGGAAGAGGAGTATGCACAGGTGAAAAATCTTCTCCATCTTCTCGAAATAATAGCACAGAATAAGCAGCTCAATGCCCACTAATTCATTCGAAGAAACAGACATTGGCACTATTTCCAGCGCTATCTAGTAGATACTTTAGGCGGGGATATGCATTGGCGGTATATCTCTGTGTAAAGCCATATCAGGAAAAGTATCCGCCAATATTTCAGAGCATTTAGTGCTTGTAGAGCTCTATTTCTAGTCGATGTGCAGCGAAATAACTGTCTCTCCTCTGATGAAGACGTTTCCCAGTGATCTTACAAATATTTTTTCATTTCTTCTTTTCACGCCTTTTGTGTTACATCCTTTTTGCACTTTTGTTTCGATGCTTTCTCGGAGTAGAACATTCATATGTTTGTCTATAGCCTGTATCTTGCCCTCTACTGTTCTATCGCCCCTAACCACGACTTTAACGCTTTTCTTTGTTTTTGCAAGCTCTTCCATGTACTTTTCCAGAGCTGGTTTCATTCTTTTTTTTAACCTCGTGACATATTTTCTCCGATTTTGGCTTTTTTTCTTGCCTGGGTAATGCCATATTTAGTAGTATATCTGTGATTAAACAGGAGTATATATTTGCCAATGCTCCCAAAAGCATGAAGATGCTAAATATGAAGACAAAAGCAGTAATAGTAGCCAGTTTATCTGTGCTATCAGTAGCATTTTTATTTATTGATATTGATACACTGTCTAGAGAAGTGATGGCTTTTTTATCCCTGGAGGCCATTCTGGGAATCATTGGAATAATGCTGAAGGATGCAGTGTCGAATAAAGCAACTCTTGCCAGCATCCTGGCAGCATTGCACATCGTAATATATACAGGAGAGAATTCTCTTTTTTCCAGATACGCCAAGCTTGTCCAAATCATGCCTGTTCTAGCCAGCACATCAAGAGTATTCACAAAAGCCCAAAAAAATATTGAAGACGGGAATTTTAGTGCAAAGCCATTGCAGCCAATAAATCCTCCACAGAGGTTAATAAAGCCGTACCATCCAATAATATCGCAAAAAATGCTGCCCAAGCGAGCAAATACTTCTAATCCAGCATCATCCCAAGCAAAGCTGCAAGCATCAGTGCTAGTTCATCCAATAAGTTTACGTCCAGCACCTTCTAACTTAATGCATTCCCATCCAGCACCACCTAGCGCACTGAATGCATATCATGTAGCACCGCGCCCAGTGACTGTAAGATCAGCAGATTTGTCTAGCAATCCAATGATGTCTAATGCAGCTAAAGTGAGAGATGTACCTCCAAATCCACCCAATTCAGCTAATTTGCATGCAGCAATAAACTCTCTTCCAATGGTAGCTAAGCCAGCACCTCCAGTGCAGCCAGCAGGTACATCTCCAACACCGCCCAATACACGTAATCCGTCTCCAATAATAGATGATAGTTCAGCAGCACAGCCCAAAAAAGAATCACATCAAAAGGAGCCTGGTGTAGAAGTTCTGTCTCCAGAGCATGCCCCTACAAAGACAGAGCGTAAACTAATCCATCTTCCAAAGAACCCTGACTCAGCGACTCCCTATGCAATACCGCATCCAATGGTAGCTAAAACATTAGGTATACGGATAGTATGCCCTAATGGAAAAGTTCTGACTCCAGTGCGCATTGATTCTGCAAAACTATCACCAGGCTCTCTACTATCTGAACCTCAAATAGTAAGAACTCGTCCCAACCCACCAGGGCCTCAGATAATGCCACCCCATTCTAGTTTAGTAAGATGACATTTAGTACCGCCGTCCAGGACGATGAGACCGCCTTTCGATTCATCTGATCCACGTGCAGTGAGATACTCTCCAATACCACGCACAATGCCTGCACACTTAATGAATCTGCAGAATATAAGAATTGCTCTTGGAAAAGAAGATGCTCCTCGAATTGCACAGCTAAGGAGCCGTTCCAATAGCAGTGCAATACACCACAATCCACTGCAGCCACCACCACCAGTCACTAAAACTAGTCCTAATAAGACAGAAGAAGTGAAAAAGAGCAGTAGTAATTGAATAGCTCAAAGTATAGTTAATGCCACGTGCCCACAGTTTTATTTTTAAACATTGCATTGCATGTAAAGAATACGACTAGTTAAAAACTGTCTTAGGTTCTTAGGTTGCAGAAAATGGCTATATCAGCATATGCCCAAATAGGAGAACATCTAACCATCACAGCACACAGAATGTACTATACTATAAATTATTGTGAGCTGTATGGATAGCCATCAGCAAACTTAAGAGATAATCTAGTTGTAGAATTAGCACACTCTCTCAGTAGTAATAAATATAACGGATTTAGCAAACACTTTTTAATTTAGCAGAGCACAAACTCAAAAGTGTATCCAGTGTAAAATTGTACACCTTTTATTTATAGCCCGTGACTTTACTTTTTATACTAGTAGTGAATGGTCTGATCAGCACACAGCTATTCTACTTTCAAAAAGCGATGGTTTACAATCATTGCAATTCCATGAGTATGAGAAACAGCACAGAGTACACAAAAATATTTAGCTTTGTAAAAAAGAACAGAGAAATAATATATGGTTTATTTGTGATCTATCTGTGATAGCAGTCTATCTAGCTACTCGTTACTTTTACGCTTTGTGTGTTTTCTTTAGACTCCTCCTCTTCTGTTTTTCCTGTTTCCTTAGATCTATGGAACATTTTTATCTTCAGAGCATCGATCAGCGCCTCTTTCTGGTCTTTTTCTACAAGCACTTCTATCTCCGACTTGTTGAATGTGAAGGGAACTGCGACTTCGATGTTCTCGTCAGATGCGGAGAGCACAAATATCCCTTTTTTGTACTTTTTCTGTATTTCTTCGTCCACTCTGTCAGTAAGAATGCCTAGAAGCCTCAAAGAGGTAACTTCTAGAACTTTTTCTGTTTTTATTTTGTGATTTCTTATGCCTTCATATGTTATTCTCCACCTGTTATTCTCTATCTTTTCCTTATCCTCTCTGCCAAAGACGGAGAACAGCCGGCATCCTGCGAATACTATTCTCAGATTCTCTGGTGACCTCACAAGCACCTCCAGCGATTTATTGGTTATTCCATACACATTCTTAAAATGCAAGGTCTTTGATATGAAGGATAGGCCGCTCTTCCCCCACTGTTCCTCTATTATCTTTCTTCTCTCTTGGTCTACCCAGTAAAAGTACGACTCGTCTATATTCTTCTCTCCTCTGATTAAGTTGGTGCTATTTGCTTCTTTCTTCTGTTCTAGAATTGCATTTGTTTTTGTCTTTTTTTTGAGTTTCGCTATGAAGAATCCTCCTGTGTTTTGATCCATTGGAAGAATTCTTCTGGCGTTCTTTATGTCTTCTCTGTACTTGCACCTTTGTATCTTTAGCTCTATGTCTGCGTACTCAAGGGCTGCTATTATTTTGCTTTCTTCTAGGCCCGGGTGCATTATTAGCCCTTCAACCTCAAATGGAACTATTTCCACATCCGGTCTTTCTTCCAGCACACTTAGCAAAACCATCTCATTCTCCACAGGATTCAGTGAGCACGTAGAGTAGACGAGGATGCCGTCTGAAGAGAGCATATCCAGCCCTCTTTTGAGTATTCTTTTTTGCACTTGAAATAGCCCGATGAACTCTTTTATCCCCCACTTCTGAAAAATGTGTCTGTTTTTTCTGATTGTTCCATCACCCGAGCAGGGCACATCGCACAGCACTCTGTCAGGAGTGATGCCGCACCTGGGGTAGACTGTTGCATCATTGCACGTTATAACGAGGCCAGGATGCATGAATCTTTTAGTTTGTTTCACCAACTGAGCGACTCGTCTTGAGTTTATGTCGTTGCATATAAGTGTTCCTTCCTCTGATAGAATTTCCAGTATCTGCGACGACTTAGAGCCAGGGGATGCACACATGTCGAGAACCGAAGAGTCTGGCTGCACGTCCAGTGCGAACACAGGAAGCATAGACACCGCCTCCTGCCTGGTGATTGCAGATGTGCCAGAGTGATTTTTCAAAAATAGATGGGTCTTTTGGAGCTCATCTACGTCTAGGGCCTTTGCATTCCCTTTTATTCCCCTGGTGCTCAGATCTTTTCTTGACAGATCTATCTTGTAGATGCCCTCTCCCCACGGGACTTCTTGAATTAGCTTGTAGTTCTTCAGCTCTTCTTTGAGTATCGAGGACCATGGCCCGGGAGTGACTCTAAACGTGCATGGAAGAGGCTCTTTGAGTGCTTCTATGATCTCTTTGTACGATGGGAATATTCTGCTGTAGTACTCCTCCATCTTTTGAATGCCTTCATTTTCTCTTTTAGTTCGCTGTGTGTCAGTTTCTCTTTCCATTTTTATTTTTACAAATTTCTCTTGCAAGATTGCTCCATTTATAGAGTATGTGCACTGAAAAGAGGCCACAGACACTTACTAAACTCAAGAAAGAATTGGCTAGATAGCTCATTAATCATCTAGCAGCTAATATAAAGTGTGCTGGCTTGCATAGGATACACTTTGTGATAAAATAGAATATTGATTATTTTTAATGTTTTATCTGCTTTGTTGTTCCAAGAGTTTCTAGCGCAGCCTAGAGCCAGTGACATAATAATTGAGTTTATTGAATGTTTATTTTGATCTATCTATAAGATAGTTTGTTTTACAATGCTGATCACTTGCTCATCTTTATTTTGACTTCTTTTTAGGTATGTACTTGAGGGGCTTATCAAACAGAAAGTACTCATCTGCTATAGCGAGTGCTTCCATTTTTTTGTCTTTTATTTGAAATATTATGTGCTCTGGAACTTCTTTCTTTTCTCCCGTCAGATAAGAGGTTTTAAAAAGCACCTTTCTGTCCTTTATTTCCATCTCAAGCTCTTCAAGTCTTTCAAACTCCCCTTTGAACTCGAGTATTTCCGCTCTTGCCAGCTCGTCTCTATTAATGGTAAACCTCATCCTAAAAAATTTATTTGCTCGTTCTCCTCTATGCTAAGAACGAAAAGTAGAATGTAAATTTTTGCATGGATTGGCTTGATGATACGGACATCAACCATTTTCTTAAGGTGTTTGTAGATACAACAGAAGATGCAGTGATGGTCGGGCACCAGAAAAAGATCCCTGATAAAATAAAAACAGTTGTGTGCAGCAGCTTCTACTTTGAATCACTGCGTGTAAGAGGGATGGACTGCATCTCCAGATGGCTAGAGCATTTAGATCTTGAGAAAGTACAGAACATCATATTCCCATTGCACAGTGACTCGCATTGGTCTTTGTGCTTAATCCATCCATCAACCAGCATATGTTTTGTTTTTGATCCACTGCGGCCTGTCCATCTCTCCCTGTCCAATGTTCTGCTAAGCCACAGTTCAGTTAAAATTGTGGTGTACAGCGAATCCTGCACCCAACAGACAAATGGGTACGACTGCGGGGTGTATGCTCTGTACTATGCAGGATGCATACTTAAAAATAAGTATGAAAAGATCCACAAACCCATCCTGCGAAAGTTTAAAAAGTACATCCGCAGAAACATGAAAAACGAAACCCAAAAGGCTAACTAAATGTACAATTAATGCTCTGTGATTATTTTTATGATTCTGCATTCTATTTTTTATGCTGGAGAGAGTTTGGAAGTGGATGGGAGGAGAAAGTGCCGCCCAACAAGAAGATTTGCGGGTGTTTTTTGAAGAGACCACGTCACTCTGTTTCAAAGAATGTGTTAAGCCGTCTAGATTTTCGTTCCTAGCAAAGAAAACACTCACCGAGAAAGAGAAAAAGTGTGTAACAGCCTGCACCCTCAAGAAAGTGCAGCTGTTCATGGAGATAGAGGAAGAGCTGGCAAAGAAATTCAGTAAGTAAGAATTTTTATTAGGAGATCAGAGAAAATAAGCGGTAAAACAAAGAACACTTATCAGATCAAAGTATAAACACCACTCGCTGGGTCGGTCTTAACAGATAATATTCCTTTGCACAAAGGACAGTCAAAGCTCAGAACAAAATACTCTACTCCGTCTTTTATAGCTCTCTTTTTAGATACATTCGTTTTCTTCCCTTTTGGGAAAACAGCAGAACAGAAAGAACACGGAATATCGAATGGAGCTGAAAATCGGGTCTTCCCCATAGAATAAAAATAAATATTTAGCTGCATAGAAATTAGCGCTCTTCTAAAATACAGGCTAGAATCTGAGAAAGCCAAAAGGAATTTTATTTATGTCCGTATAACTCATCTAAGCATCTTGTTTCCAAAGCCAGAGCTACCGCTTATTGTGCAGCATACGTCATTGAGTTTTGATCCTCCCCCCAGCATTCCATTCATGAAAATGCTTCCTACCTTGCTGTAGCAATCATTTCCCCAGCTGCCGCTGCTGCCTATTTGCTTATCTGGCATTCCTATCATATTGCAGGCCAGCTGCACTCCGTTAGCCTGCTGCTGTGGGGCCTGTTGGAAACTATTTCCTCCAAATCCAAATAAGTCTAAACCGGGTAATATTGAGGTGGGCTGCTGCATCAATGTGCTGGGCTGCTGAATTATCGTGCTAGGCTGCTGAATTAGTGGTACGCACAGGCTGGATGTAGCCATTCCTGACAGTGCTGGGGTCATTCCTGGCATTGATCCGCCTGTACTTGGTGAAATGTGGCAGTTAATGTTGAGAGCATCCATTGATCCCATGCCTCCCATGGACATATCAGGGAACATGGATCCTCCTCCGGTGGTGGCACATGGATTGATAGATGCCATATTTAGAGAGGGCGTGCACATTGGAGAAAACATTGCGCTGATGCCAGATACTGCCAAAAGACTTAGATATACTTTCTTGTTGTATTTCATTGTAATGAGGAAAGTTTCTCCATATTTATTTCTTTTCACTGAGACTTGGTTTTATTCGGATATATTTACTTCATTCCATTTCGCAGATAAAAAGTCTTAAAACAAACACCGAGACAGAGCCAAGCTGAAAGCACACTCTAAAAAGTATCTTCGCCTGTAGAAAGAGGCTCTTTTCCAACAGAATGCATAAATATATCACGAGCACTACTACACTCTTATAAGATGGAATTATCCATTACATTTGCAGAACTCTCCAGATAATTGGAATGATCAGTAGATAATTCAGAGCTAGTCTCTTATGGAGTATTTAGGAGATGTGGTGATTGGCCTTCTGGTGTTCTCTGCTTGTTTTTAAGCTCTTGTAGCCACTGCATCTATCTGAATATTTTGCTAGTTTGTTCGCATTGGCGAAGCTGCAAACTTTTTTTACTTTTTTATTTTTACTAGCCCTAGAATGTCACAAAAAACAAAGAAAGTTGGAATAGTTGGAAAATACGGAGTCAGATACGGAGTGTCTCTTCGTAAGAGAGTGAAGGTGTCAGAAATCACCCAGCACGCAAAATACACATGCGACTTCTGCGGAAAGAAGAACGTAAAGAGAGAAGTAGTTGGCGTCTGGAAGTGCAAATCATGCAATGTCGTAGTAGCTGGCGGTGCTTACAACATCGTAACAGTTGCAGGACAGTCTGCAAAGAGTCAGAACCAGAGATTGAAAGAGCTTACACAGAACTAAATCAATCCGTCTACAGTGCCATTAATAAAGTCATTTTTTATCTTATAAATGTCTACTTTGCATTCACACAAGAGAAAGAGAACAAAAGAGAATAAATACTTTTTATTGCGAACAGCAAAGATAGCCGCAATTCTAAAGAAAATTAAGTGGGTGTTTGGCTAATCGTATTTATCTTTATTCTTCTATATCAGCGCTGGCATTTAAATATTCAGCTGAGTTCATTTCTGTTATGCTTAGAATTCTATCTATCAGATCATTTGATACTTCTTGGGAGACAAGCGAGTCTCCTTCGTAGGCTGGGTGGTTAGACACGAACTTTCTGATGAAAGTGGAAAGACTTGTTTTTGTTCCCGTCACTCTTTCTCTTATAAACTGAAGGTACGGAGATATTGCATCTGTGTGCGCGCTTGCATACTCATCAAGGTACTTCTGGATTGCCCCAAGTATTCCTATGTACTCTCCGCTTCCCACGAATATTTCTTTTATTGTTCCTTTTTTAACGACTGGGAGGCCGTCTGAGAAAATGTTCTCTCTGTACCAGAATTCTTGCTCCTGCTCTGCATTAATGTAGTCCTGGAGGCTGTTTAAGCTTGTGCCCTGCTTATCCGCGAAAATGAAGTTTTCATCCACCTTTGAGATAGGAAGATAGAAATTTGCGTTCAGAGAAAGCATCATTCTCGAGAAAAGAATCACAAATATTGAATATGCAGTGTTTTCAAATGACGTAGGCTGTATTTCCATGGGGCGCACTTCAACAAGCCATGGAGAGCTGTTCCCTGGCGATGGCTTGGGAAGCTTCAAGCGCATGCTTCTCCAATTGCTGCTTTGAATGTTTTCAAAGTCATCAACATCTGTTGCATCTGCATAGCACAGCACGGGGTCTCTGATGTACAGAGAAGATATGTGCTTGGCCATGGCCCTATCCACGCCTGCGCCCAGCAGTTTTTCCAGTATGTCTTCCTCCAGCGGGGGTGAAATATCGTTATATATCTTCTCCAAATGCTCAGGAAGCTCAGATGTGTATAGATCTATCGATGAATATCTGCTTTTCCTAATGTGTGTCTCGGATTCTCTTCGGCAATCAACTGATGATCCCACGATCTTCCATCGGGTTGATGTTTCAATCAGCTTTCCATCTGCAATTGGTGTTCCCATGGTGAGGAACAGAAGCAGCGGGCATATGGCACCGATATTGTCGTAGAGAGTCCTGGCTTCACTAAGAGACTCGCTTTGCATTGTGATTTGCAGGCAGCAGCATCCCATGCCCTGTCCCATGCTATCTATCACAGCTATCTGATCATTTTTGCTCTCTGTCTGTGAATTTTGTGCTATTTTTTCTTTTTTTGCGCTTTTTGCTCTGGCTTCAATATTTGCCACCGGAACAGAATAGTAGAGGGGGGCTTGTTTTCTTTTCACGATGTTTTTCGAGAATCCAAAGAATCTTCTGTGCGAAGTAATTGCAAAGTCTGGGAAGTGTGCGCTTTGTGTTGTGTAGAACGTAGGCTCTGATGCTTGCTTCAATGCCGTCTCCAGCGGAGTGCCCTCGTATTTTACTTCTTTAAACTCTTCGTTAAGATAGTTGAGCTTTGCTTTTTCAAAATTGCCCATCCATTTCTCTTTCCACTTGCTCTCAGAGAGCCCTCCCGTGCCAAATGCCCGGAAAGTGCCGATCAGCGGGAAGCATGGAAGGAACAAGATTGATGCTTCTTCTCCAAACTGCTCTCTGAGCATTTTTTGCACGGCTTCTCTTCTTTTTTCGAATTTCTTTTCCACCAACGGCAGCTCTTTGAAACCAGGCTCATACGGCGCATTTGGCGTGCTTTCTATCATGTATCCTGCATACTCTGGGTGCAGAATGGCTTCTGGTGGCTTTGGTAAATTAAGTAGATTGCCCGCTCCCAACAAAAGAAACCAATTTCCCTTTATTTTTATTATAAGATTCTGCTCTAGTTCGTCTCCCCACAGAAACTCCTTGATCCTGGGTGTGCTGTTGTTCGTGTATGTTCTGATAAAATAATCAATTCCATTTTTTTTCATTTCTGAGCTGTGTTTTTCTGTTTCTTCCCACGTGAGGATTTTACTTTCTTTAAGTAAGCCCATACTATACAAAAAAATTAAATTTTTTCAAATATAACCCAGCACCGGTGTTTAAAATTAAATTGGTCCAATTCTAGACTGTTTTACAGACCATTCCTGTGTTTCATGATGGAGTAGCAATCAAAAATGCATTTGACATTTCTGCGATAATATTTTCAAAATTATTTCTTTCTGATAAAGTAAAGCTAAAAGTTAGGAGAGTTCAATTGCTAAGATATATCTTTTGTTTGTCTCTGAAGATGCACGCTCTCGTATCAGCTGATCAAGTAGATGAAACAGGATATCAGATGTAACTGTATACTGATTTGTCGAAAACAAGGTACAGAGTGTGTTTCACATTCTAGCAGGAATGCTTCACCCTATCTTTTTGTTTTTATTTACCTTTTCTTCTACTCAAGTTGTAGTGTAAAACTACTTGCAAATATTATTTTAGTCTCTGAAATAAAAACATAACCATATAAAAGTAGTATTCTGTTCGAGTTAAATTTATTTTTATTTGAATGTGGAAAAATAAAAAACTGTGCGCTTATTTCTGAGCATGATTCTACAAAAGAGAACTGTTTCAGCTTTTGATCTGTTTTATCTCTTTCTCTGTGCGGCGCCTTTTAAACTTTTTAGTAATCTAGAAGAGAATCTGGCTGATGTAAATTAAGATCGTTTGGTGTTTTATTGTGCTATCTTCTTATCGACTCGAGAAGTTCGTCCTTGTTCCATTTATCTACAGTGTGCATTCGTGTTTTTATGACCAGAAGCCACCGGATGAATTCCTCGCAGCTATTTATTTCGTAGGATATTGTACTGTTGTATGTATCCTGGATCGAGAACTCAAGAGTTTTCAGGTACTCTTTGCTGAAGACTCCTGTGTTTATGTTCTTCAGAATGATTTCTGTTATTTTCCCTGCGGTTACGTTCACAATTTCCACTTCCTTGTTTATGTGGATGTGTCTGGTGGGCTTCTTGAAGCACCCGAGGAACGAACTACTATTTTTAATCACCAGAAACATTTTTGCAAGTGTGACATCAACATTGACCACGCTCTGTGTTTTCTTTTTTCTGTCTGTTATGGTGGTTGTAAGGATGTTTCCTTCCAGTTTTAAGTCTGCTGCATATTTCTTCTTATTTTGGTTCACAAAGGCAGATCCTGATATGGAAGCATACCGGAAGTCGTCTAGAGAGCTGACATTGTCTATGCTAATGTCTTTTATTGGAACTGTGTTGACGATGAGAGGAGTGGCTGTGCCGTTTGGGCTCACGGTCTGTATTATTTCTTCGTTTTTTATCGTGCTGCATTCTGTTACTTCCTGGGAGAGCACGCCGTTCACTGTTGTTTCAGTTATTTTCACTCTTCTTTCTTCTATTTTCCTGCGGAGTTTCTGGAGATTTGTCCTGTACATGTCGATTGCCGTAGTTCCTGTGTCCTTGGGCTGTGTTCTTTTGTAGAAACAGAGAAGAGTTGGGGAGTCCACGTACTCGTTTTTAAATCTGTTCTTGATCGCGTTGTATCTGAGTATCCCTGAATCTTCCAGTATGCTGTTTATAATGTCTAGGTCTTTCGTGCACTCTTGCATTAGGAGTACCCCCTTGTCTGCATATAAAGAGGACTATTGGATGAAAATTAGCAATTTTCAATTTTCATTGGCCCTTCAGACTTTTCCTTGATTTGCAGATTCGAGCCAAAATTATCCACTGTCTCTATCCATTGGCTGTTTCATGGCTGTATGCCCTGCGTAAATAGACACTCTGTCTTTTGTTCAGATACATTTGAGATAGACCTAAAGAAGAGTTTACAGCTCCATGAAAGCTTTTTATGGCTGCTAGAGTGCACAATAAATAGCTCATGCAAAGATTCACAAGATTTTCTATAGAGTAGCAGTGGCGGATTATTTATTTTCCTTTTAAGATTAAAAGCGAGCTAAAACTGTGCTGTGTCTATTATTTTAACAAAGACTGCATGACCAGATAAGCCTGTTTTGATTTGATGTAGTCATTCATGGCTTCAATGTTGCTTTCTGATATCTCAAAGAAACTTTCAACTTCTTCTTCTGCTTTCTGGATTTCTCTGCTGGATATGTGCTTGTACTCTTCCCATTTCAGGACTATTTTTAGGTCTTTCTTGTAGATTAGATAGGAAATGATTTCTTCAGCATCTTTGGAGAGGGCGCCGTCTTTGAACGAGTCAAAAATGGTGTACGACATTTCTATTTTTAAAAGTTTGCTGTCGTCTGCCAGGGGAATGATCGAACTGTCAAACTGCAGGGTGTACAGCATGTATACCACGTGCAGATAGAAGACAGACAGCTGCGCGCTTCTATTTTTATCCAGCTGCTTTTCATACCAGGAATTTAACCGTTTAAATAAATTTGCAAGCAGATCTCTTTTTACATTGCTTGTCTGCTCTTTCTGTATTTCTCCAGCAACCCACGAATAGTCGCTTGGCTCTGTGCTGCTCTGCTGTCCTGCCATAGCCTGTTCCAGAATCCTTTTGATGATGTTGTTGGCTCTGTTGGGCAGCGACTTTCGGGCGTTTTCATCTTTTCCCATAAAATTAAAAGTTTGTGCTCCAATATACTGTGCAGACAGATTAGTTTCAGTTGCTCGGACAAAAACTGTCCAGCAGCCACAGCCAGTGGTACAGAAGATAAAAAAGAAGAACCTATCGAGCAACAAAAGGCCAAGAACTGCAAGAGATAAGAAAAACCTATTGAACCAAATGACAGAAACCAGAAACAGCCCCCACCCCAGAAACATTGTAAGTATAAAACATGTGCTAATTCCTAGAGATAAAACCATAAAAGACAAAAAGAGAAAGTCGAATAGATTCTTATCTATCTCTGAATATGTCCTAATGCTCTTCTAGCGAGCTCTCCAGTGCTTTGTTTCGGTCTTATCAACTGATAAGGATGCAGTAGAGAGAAAGTATTATTGCTAGACAATAAAAGGCACACATTTCTACACACTAACATTATCCTGCGAAATTATCTGTGCTGATTCTTATCAAAAAGCGAAAAATGAAAAATAGAAGATAAATATTTATTGATTACTGGCCCTCAAAGTACTTTCTTATGATCTGCTCTGCCCTGCTGGCCACCGAGTAGCTGGTGGCTGACTGGAGCTCTTCTATGTTCTCCAGCAAGTCGCAGTTCTCGATCTCTGTGGCTATGATGTTCTCTCCTCCCACTGAGTCAGCTTCCGCCCACTCCAGAAGACTATTGATGGCATCCAGGATCACTGTAACCAGCTTGGAGTCGTTCATAATTGAAGGGAGGAATTTTGAGAATGCAACAATCGCGCCCGCCTCTCCTATCTCCTTTGCATGGCTCTTTGTGTCGATCACTTGTATCGTTGCATTGCAGATGGCCCAGCATGCCTCCACGCGCACCTGCATGTCTGCTGTCTTTATTGTGCTCACAAGTATCTCTAGGAACCCATTTTTTACAACTTCATTTACCTGTGCGGGCGAGCCTGCCGTTATATTTGATATGACCCAGCATATTTCTTTCTTTATTTTTGTTGCTTTTTTGTTCTCGTACGGAAGAGTGAAGAGCCCCTTCAGAATTGGAATGATGTTTAGGTTTATGAGGTATGCTGTCTGCGACTCTTCGTACGTTGCTATGTTCCCGAGTGTTCTTATAATTGGCGACAGAATTTGCTCTTTCAGGTGCAGCTGCATGGTGTCTCCCTGCATGGCAGTCATGTGGTATGCAGCTAGCTTCTGCACGCAGTCATCCACCACCCCTGTGGCCAGGATCATGTCCGCCTGCATTCTTCCAGCATCGCACATGTAGCTCAGAGCCCAATACGCATCAGACATGATCTCTATGTCGTCGATGTTAACTAGTTTGAGCAAAACGGGAAGACATCTCTCTGTGTGGTCTATATACGGGGGAGGCGATCGGCCTCTGTTTAAGTTGCTGAATGCCCATGCCAAATTTCTCAACAGGGGAATGTTTAGCTCGTCTCTGTTCATTTCTTTTTCAATTAGGTATATTATGGGCTCAGTTGCACCGGCTTCTATGGCCGCATTCCTCGCTTCTTCGCAGTCTCCTGCGATGTTGCTGATGGCCCACACCGCCTGGTCTTGGAGAACCTGATTTTCAAGATGAAGAAGCTTTACTAGACTCCCAAGGGCTCCTGAGCGGACAACCGACATTGTCTGCGCAGTGTTTCCTGATGCAATATTGGTGATCACCCAGCACGACTCGTGCATTATCTTTATGGCAGTTTCTTCAGGCATTTCGGAAAAAAGGGGGTTAGTTGGGCTCAGCAGCTTTGTGAAAATGGGAGTCAGACCGTTCATCACTATCTTGTCAATTGGAGGACACTTGGCTGCGCTGAGAAGACGCCTAAACTCAGTTACGCCCTGCACTATCTGCTGGGGATCGCTGGAGTTGATTTGTTCAGCCAATATGCTGATTTTAATTGTGGCTTCTTCTCCTGCAGACGCCATAGATCTTTTTTTCTGCAGCATTCCATCTCTTTTCTGTGTTCTCAGCTCGATGGCATTGCTGGCTCTTGTTTCTCTTTCAGAGCGCGCGCCTCTTCCGCTGTTTTTATATCCATGGTTCATATGCTCCATTTAAAAGAAAAAATATTTAAATAGAAGCAGTGCTCGAAAGAACATTCCAAATATAGAAAGTGCGCTAGAATAACCCGAGAAGAAAGCAGTGTTCTCCTGTATTTTGAACATACAATAGATAGATCTATCTAAATTACTGCTAAATATTCCTTTTCAGGACAATCTCTGCAAAGACATATTAAAAGCAGAATATTTGCAAATACGAATATTAAAGAACACTTGAAGCGATTAAAATAAAAATGGTATACTTTTGGATTGTTTCCAAGAAAAGTTTGAAGACAAATTGGACAGAATATAAAATATCTCTTTTATTTTGGAGATAGCCTGAGGAGACAAAACAAGGTCAATCAAAGTCAATTCAGACACTCTTCTTTTCTGGAAAATGAACAGCTTCTCACAGTTTAGCAGACTGTAGCTTTCTGAATAAGAGAACATTCACATGCGCTCTTGGCTAATGGCCAGTCGCGGGTGTGCGCATCCGAGTAGTTGAAAACAGAAGAATTCTGAGTTTGCAGACACATTTTGGGATTGTGTGATTTATATTAATTGTAAATGTTTGTGTTTATATAAATGGGAAAAGGAAGAGACTTACACTTTTCAGGCATGGTGCTGTCGAACAACCTAAAGGCGCTCATATGGGTGCTTTCAGTGGCCATGATTGTCCATATCACTTTTCTTCTTGTTACGTTTATCACTGATCCTGATAAGGCATCAAAGCTCACTGCTTTTTTTTTGAATGTTACAATCACCTCCCACATACTTCTGATTATGCTCTTTACTCTTCTTGTTCTGCAGGGCCTCCTTGAAAGAGACATCTTCCAGGTGTTTTTTTCCACTCTTTTCACCTCGATTGTTTGCATTTTGCAGATAGTTGCCGCCTTTGATCTGGAGATCGAGCTGTTTACCGTCCTGTATGCCGTGAACAATATAATCCCCATTGCATGCGGTGTTCTTATTATTTATCTCATCTGTTTTACGAGCGAGCTGCGTGCTGAGGTGGGGTGGTTCTACTACAAGTCGTACGGTGCCAAATACAACACAAGACACGCCATACGAAGATCTATGGAGACTTTCTACAAACTGAACTTGCAGATGTTTCTATCCTACTGGATCGTTAAATACTACACAACAGACGTAAAGTATCTTCTGGGGATAGAAACAGCTCTGTATGCTTGTCTTCTGTTTTTAATCAACCTGGAGTATGAGTTTGTAAATAACTATTTTATACGATTTATGACAATAATTGTGGTCGGTGTTTTGTTTGCGTACTACCTCGCAGGATCGATTGACTATACCCTTGTGGTCGGAAACAGAGTACTAGCAGAGATGTCCGACCTTGAGAGAGCGTACCAAAGATTTGAAGTGACGATAAAGCTGGTTATATCTGGGATATACTGCATACTGCTGATACTGGACACAATGCACTTTGCCATGGACAAGAGAATGGAGAACGGAGGAATAGGAGCCACCCAGAAAAAAAGAATTCTTATCAGTTAGAGCCCATAAAAGCAGAGTTCAAGCAGAGTTTGCACACCCTCTGCTATCTTGTGTAAATTATTAAGATATTCAGGGCACCGCTCCTGTTAAAATCAAAATTAAGTGCAAAAATCAGCACGTCTATACACTTTATCTTATTTATTGGTAGACACTTTGCAGCTTTCTTGGGTATAATTTCACTATTATTGGGATAGAAGTGGACACGGCTTAAATTGCTACAACACCAATTCATCATTCACTGATTGTACTATCTATAACCTCTGATGTATCTCCGTTTTAAAAACAGCTGCTAAATTATTCCGATAGCATAGCTCAAACACAAGTGAAGGATAACAGAGCATTCATTTCTCCTCTTAGCAAAAACTCTTCTAGATGAATTTAGTCAGCATAGCTGAAGAATTAACCTAAACACCCGTAAACATGCAGTTCAATAAATTATATACAGTCTTTTATAATCAAGAGTTTCCGTCTATACATCGTATGGCCGCTTTTGTGGCTTTTTTATGTGGCAGGTAGGCGGGAGAATGTTCGATACGTCAGACGGCTTGCACTTGGGCGACACATAGCTTATCAAAGCCTCTCTCAAAACATACGCTAGCCACAGCGTGATGAACAAGCCCGATAGATGAAAAATGGACTCGCTCAGAAGCTCTATCCCAATTGTGTACAAAAGCATAAAAAGAAAAAGATGGGAAATATTTATTGCGAACGCCAAATGCAAATTGAGACTAAAACTGAGCAGAGACAAAGAAAGAAAACTTAAATAACTTATATTAAAATTTATTTATGCGAAAACAGGAAGGATTGAATCAAGCAGCCGAGAAAAAAAAGAAGCCTGTGGCAATTCTCCGAGATATACTTTACTGCACAGCTCTTGCAGGTAAAGCTTTAATACGGGACGAATTCTCCCTGTGTTTTCAGCAGAAAGAGCCCAAAACAGAGCTTACATTCCTCTACGCGATGAGCATCCTCTGCAGGTACAGCATTATACTCCCCGCTCGGCTATTTCTGGCCATCGGCATCCTTCTTTTCTACTCTACGCTTATTATACTGTCTCGATTACTGCTTAGAGAGATAGGATGCAATCTTTTCACTACATACGGGTGCAAAGGCCTTCTGTGGGCCATGGGAATAAAAGTAAAACACCACGGAATGAAAAATAAGCCCAAAGTGCCGCATGTGTATGTCTCCAACCACACAACGTACATGGACTATCTTGTCCTGAGCAGCCACAAGTTCTCGCACTCGGTGATAGCGCAGAGACAGGGCGGGTTTATGTCTATGCTTTTAAAGCTCGTAAGCGGTTCGGTGCAGTTTGAAAGAAATTTGAAAGCAAATCGAAAAGAAGTGAAAGAGGAAATAAAAGAGCTAACACAGAAGGTGTCAATTATCGTGTTTCCAGAGGGCACGTGTGTGAATAACGAGTACACTGTCATGTTCCAAAAGGGTGCTTTTGATTTGGGGGTGACAGTCTATCCAGCAGCGATCAAATACAACAAAAAAATAGGAGATCCGTACTGGAACACGAGAAAGCAGTCGTTTACCAAACACTTTATGTATCTTATAACACGGTGGCGCACAGAGGTCTCTGTCTGGTGGCTTCCTCCAATGAAGCTGGAGCCCGAAGAAACGCCCTCAGAGTTTGCCTCAAGAGTCAAAAAGAGAATATCAGAGCAGGCCGGGCTGAAGAATCTGGTGTGGAACGGGTATTTAAAGCACTGCACAAGCCCGGAGGAAATGAAAGAGGTGAAAATGTGGGGAGACCAGCTGACGCCCACCCTTCAAACAATACCTGATAGAAGATAGAATACATAATAAATGAAGTATACACCCTCGGTAAAAATTTTATTCTTTCTCTCAAATGCCAAGACGTTCTGCACATTTTGCAGGTGTTTCATTCTATATCTGGGAATTTGAGACAGTTGCAGAACTTTTATTTATTTTTTTCTTAGATAGGCCCATGGAGAAAAGACTCCAGACAATGAAACTCCCTGTGTCTCAAACACAAAATTGACGAATTATCGCCTATCAGTAATGAAGATAGGATTATCACCACTAAAACCAGGTGAGAAGATATAAATATCGAGACTATCTATTTCACATGAAATGGGCGAGCTTTTTGAAGTTTCTGGGAATATCATCGAGTGCGGGCGAGTCCTACCCCGATGGAAACTACGTGGGGACTCTCAACAACAAAGAAGTCACCATATACAACACATCCCAGCCCACCTACAGGCTCGTGTACGACCACCATGTAACAGGAGTCAGGCTGCTCAACCTGCAGGCCATAAAAAAGAACAAAAAACACATTAATGCAATTATGGTCCTATCTAAAACAGGCGGAGATAACGAGTACAAAATACTCATAAAGCCAGGAGACAGGCCAGCATCCCTCAAAAACAGGACACAGAAGCTCTTGTGTGTGGTTAAGAGTGAGTACAAAATAACCGCATGCAAGAAGGATGCAAGTTCGCACACTTATACACTTAAGTGGAGGATCAAGCCATTCACCAACGGGTATAAAATAACAGACAGTGACACTGAATCGTGTCTTGTCAGAGACACAGACCATGGAATACTAAAAATAGAGTCCTGCAGTAAAAGCACGCCTGAGCAGCGGTTTGATATGCTGGAAGTAGCAGACGATCCGTACAAATCGCTGTACCTCGGGGCAGGGCAATTGCTTGCGTACGAGATGCAGTCGAGCGGAGCAGGAGGATCACTTCCCAGCTGGATGATCAAGGGGCTGGCGGGTGGTGGGAGCCATCATCACAATAGTTCAGGTAACAATGGAAATAATCATTATGACGAAAATGGAAATTATAACGGAAATAGTCCATGGCGCAATCATGATGGATATGGAGAGAATGGGAATCCACACCAATCAGGCAATGGATATAACCCATCTGGGCCTTCGTCTTACTGGAACCACAACAACAATCAGCCGTGGATGGGTGACCAAGGAGGAAATGGTGGGCATGGGAATAATGGATGGAATAATGGTAACAATGGAAATAATGGTCATGGTATGAATAACGGTAACAGTGGATGGAATAATGGTCATGGTATGAATAACGGAAATAATAACTGGAATAATAATGGAAATAATAACTGGAATAATGGGCACAATGGAAATAACGGACATAATGGGTGGAATAATGGAAATAATGGCCATGGTGGAAATAATGGAAATAATTGGAATAATGGACCGAGTGGAAGTAATGGTCATGGTATGAATAACAATGGATGGAATAACGGTCATGGAAATAATAACTGGAATAATGGACATGGTGGGCTAGGCGGTAACAATGGATGGAATAGCGGAAATAATGGATCAGGCAACAATAATAATAACTGGAGCAATGGAGCTGGTATGGCAGGGAGTGGAAGCCATATCATCAACTTGCATGATCTTGGTAATAATATTGTACGACTGAAGGACATTGTTAAAACGCTTAAAACATTCTGCACGGAGGCCTTCAGCGACTTTGGAATGTGTGCACAGTCGAATAGTATGGGCGATATGAGCGAGCAGCAGATACAGGATCTTATCTCAAAACACATATCACCAGAGCAGGCGAGAGGAATAATGGAGAAATACGGCCCAAATAGATCAGAAAGTCATAAGAATGCTCGCAGAGACAGGACAAGACACTCTAGAAGAAAAACAGGAAGAGATAACGAACTATCTAGAGACTCACCAGGCTACGAAAGATCGCATAGAAGGATAAATGACCGCACGGAAAGAAGAGACTATGTAACAGATGGTATGCATAGGCATTACTCTGATAATAATGAAGTATCGCATAGACCATCTGAAGAATACCGTTATGCCAGAGGAAGAAGGCCTTTAAGCAGACATAGAAGTAGATCTAGAAACAGAAAGCTACTTGAGTGCTATTCACTAGATGATGTAGACTGCGAGCCACGCCGCAGCAGAAATAGACACGAAATATCTGATGACAGACGCTTTTATACCGAGAGACCAGCACGAATTTACGACACAGAGCACACAGACGACAGAATATATCCCTCATCCAGCGCAAGGCGAAGACACAGAGGACACAGCTAGTAGTTTCAGAATAAGAAGAAATAAGCTGGCTCTGTGGAATATTCTACTGCACTGGATGGCTTAACTTTTATAAATTCACTTGTAATTTTTAAGTAGATTGTACAATAAATCACTGTTTTTATTTTCACTCTCCCGGCTGCACTGAGGTTATTTTTTATTTATTCAGTAGGAGAAGAAAAGAATAATCTTGTACTTTCATGGTCAATTGGATAGGTGTTTATTCTCTGATTAGACCAATGGCCTTTTTGAGTTATGCTTTTAATTGAGATGCAGCAGTTTGATTCTTGTTCTCAGATATTTTTATGTGCAAACAATTATGAGCCAGCAACTCTGCCACTGGCGTATTCCAAACTTGGAAAACACAATTTGTTTCGAAACTCTGGGAATGATTGGTTTCAGCAATGAAACAAATGTTTGCGGAGGATATAACCTGAGGATGCATTTTACACAACCAAGTATGAAAAATAGTACAGTCTTGCACAGAGTTTTCTTTTTCGGTTTCCTTCTATGCACAAAAGTGCTCGCGCGCACTCGAGTTGTTCTGGAGCCTGTTCCATACTCGAGAAAGTCATACATAGCGCCCAAAGATTTCAAGTTGAAGGACTACGACGAAAATAGAACCAATTTGGAAATTTCTGAAATGGATATTCCGCCTGTTGACATGGACAAGATGCCGTTCTTTATGGAGCTGGAAAAAAGTAAAGGAGATAGCTCTGAATTGACAACCCCAGAAATCCAAATAGTGGGATTTTCAAATGTTGCACGCGAGTACATGACAGCAGGAACCACAGAGTACATTACAATGGAGCCAAAGACAGCTCAGAACAACCAAAGACAGAGATGGCATCCCATACACATAAAAGATCCCAATGAGTATATATTCGAGTTCGTAGGCTTGGAAGATGAAAGCACTTCTTCCACAACCACACAGAAAGGGGCGACGCAAACAAAAAGCACGCAAACCACAGGCAAGAAAAAAAAGTGCCTGTCTGTGATTCGTCTAGAGGCCTTAACAAAGCTAGGTGTACCGCCTGAAGAAGTGAAGGGAATGAACCTAGGGCTGATGAATTGTAATTATGAAAGTATGGATCAAAGATTTAAAATGACAGTGTTACGCACAAAGAAGGATGAAGAAGAAGCAAACGAAACTAACTTACTGCAGCAGATGACAGAAGAGCAGCGACACATGGAGGTTATAAAGAGACTGAACTTCTTGATCCACGCAGTATTGCTCTTGCAGCAAGACATAAATGAAAGATCAAATGGTTACAGAGGAAGAGTGGACTTGGAGCAAATGCCTGGCCATAGAACTATCGAGCCCATTTATCCTCCAGTTGAACCATGGATTAGAGATTACCACACTAACCCCGGCTCGTCTAATAAACTTGCTATACCATCAACCAGCCGCTTCGAAAGACAGAGCTCACTTCTTGCAGAAGACACAAACGGATCAAACCCCATAAAGAGAGAAAATCTTTCAAGTAAAAGATCGTCACTGTCCAGAAAAAGCTCATTTGACAGATCATCAAAGCTGTCTCCTGATTTAAGCAGACCCCAGTACGATTTAGATCCGTCACTATCAAACTTACACTCAAATTATATGAGCAGGTCTAACTGGAGATCAGGCGCAAAGGAAAACGTTAACATGTACCCTGATAATGACAAACCAAATAATCCGACCTTACGGTCTTTTAACTAAACGGAAAACCTCACGTATAAATCTGCTGCTACTTAATTCTTCTTTCTATTAAATTCCATATCTTTTTTATTTTATTCTCCTAGAATATTTTAGTCATTCTCTTATACAACCGAGCAGATTTAATTTTTAGCATAAATGAATTTGTATAAGCAGAAATCTTTTGCAATCTTAGATATCAGCTGATATTTAAACAATCACTGCAGAACTGATGTAGGTCTGCATAAAAGATGGTGTAGTAGGCAGTAGCTGTGCTCCTGGACCATTAAGCACTTATAAATCAAAAGGTGCAAATTTCTCTAACTATATCGCATACACTTGTATGTGCAAGATGTAGTGTAAAATTGTTAATGCCTGCAGGATGGTATAGCTTGTGCCATACTTAGCACCTGTGTGTAGTCCATTTTATGCTTCATACGGCTTATTAGTGATTGGTATTTTGATTTTTTGTGTAGAGCATGTTTCATAAAGGGAGTCTAAATATGTTTGATCTATTCCATGGCACATGGTAAGCCTTTTTGTAAGAAGATTGATGGCATCCGCACTCCACAACACTGCTCCGCAGGAGTACGTAGAAAAAGTAAACATATGGCAATACGACCAGCCCTTCCACTATATAAACAGGAACAACCCTGAAAGCCCTTTCCCTTTTCGGATAGAGAAAGACTTTTTTCCTTACGGTAAGTTTCCAGAGCACCTTGAGTTTAAAATAAGATACACTGCAAAGCCCAAAGAGAATCCTGTTCAGAACAAACTGCCCGTTGAAATTCTGACAAGAGACGAAAAAACTTTTGGGGTTTGCGATAGACAAATCATCCCAATTCTTCCGGAAGATGTTGGCAGGCTGTGCAGTAACAAATGGGTTTTTGTGCCTAGAGATCGGGGAGGATTTCATATAAAGCCTGTACGTGACGAGACACTCTGCATGGAAGCATACCAAGACACGTTGGTTATAGGAAACTGCAGTGCAAATCGGTCCAGCATGGCGTTTACGTATGGAACACTGGAAATGAGAAGAAGGTTTGCAATTCTAAAGAAGCTAATAACAGTCCACGAAAATATAAGAGACAAGGAAGAAGCCAAAAATCTACTTATCACGGGTGAATACATGTATGATTCTAACAACTTATACGATGACCACAACCATACATACTTTTCATTTAAAAATGGCTCGGCTCCGAGACAGCATCCAAGATTTGCCTCAAACACGCGAACTCTTGGAGAGCATATAGATCTCGAAAAAAAACAATACGCTTTTTTGAACAGTCTTCGTAATAAGCACAGGTCAAACTTAGAAGAAAACCACATTAGAAACAGAAAGTCACACTCCAGAGACTCTAGTGATAGCGCAAACTTCTCTCAGCTCAGCTCAGAGATGCACACCCGAGATTCTAGTGCTAGCACGAACTCTAGAGACTCTAGTGTCAATACAGATTCTGGCCAGTCAAGCATTGACACAGAGTCCAACCATTCGAGCAGTGCAACAGATGATAATTATTCTAGCACTGATACGAACGAAAGCTTCACTGGTGCTAGACGTAAAAAACCCCTTCGCATGCGGCATCGCCATAAAAAGTCCAGCAGACCGCACTATAGGGGGAGAAAGCCTACTTCTGAAAGAATTCCTGGCATTCCTTCCATTGATAAAGACTCCAATACGCTCACTACTGCCGTTATAGATGAGCTTAAGGAACTTGTGAATAGCAGCAGACACAAAAATGGAGCCAAGCTCAAGATAAAAATTCCAAGGCTAGAAACCGGTAGACTGAGCGATGTAACAAGGAAAGCAACTGAGAGGTTTAAAAAGCGGCCTGCGTGCGATCTAATTATATGTCCTGACAATGGTTTCATGGAATAAACGATCTGTAATTTTACCAAGTGCTTTTTCTCTCTCCCTATCTTACTTCTTTAGTACTATCTCGCTACATTCTTCTTTCTATTTACTGTTCTGTTTGCCTTAAGAAAAATAAAAGTATTTCTGCAAAGTGTAGACATTTGAAAAGAGCAAGAGTGAAAATCTAAAAATAAATATACGAGTTTTATTTACACACTTTTTCTTTTTAAATTACTGCTCTGCTGATGCACAGGAACACAAAGAATAAAAGTATTCAGGATATGGACAGAACATTGCGCTTTAACCTTCTCAGTTGCTGAAGTGCCTCCATTCGTTTGAGTTCTTCCGCTTTCCAAGCTCTTTCAGCTGTTTTTGAACCGTGGAGCGGCACACCCCCAGCTCATTTGCTAGATATTTGCATGTTGCACTTGGGGTCTTCTCTATCAGCTCCTCCAGCTTCTCTTTGGAGACAGTGACAGGCCGCCCAGGCCTTTTTTTGTCTGTTAAACTTGTGTCACCTGCTGAGAATTTATCAAACCATCTTTTGACAGTGCGCGCTCCAATGGCTTGGCAAGATTCTGTTCTGTTTATGTTTTCAGCTGCCTGCTGTGGAGATCTGCCGCATTTGAATTCGTACAGCAGCAGAGTCCTTAGACTCTTTTTATCTATGCCCATGGCTGCAAAATAAATTCTAGCTTAATACAGAGGAGAGTCTTATTTAATAGAAAAGAAAGTATTTAATCAGAAAAAAGACAAAACAGAGGACAGTGTGAGAGAGTAATTAGTGAAAATAGAAATATAAGAAGTAAAAGGCATTCGATCTCTTCTAAAGAAGTAGTCAAAAGGTATATGAATGTTTTTTATTATAAAGAAAACAGAACTGTAGGCCTACGGTTATACTCGATAGTTTTCTCGGGTGCAAGAGTAAGAGCAAGACTCACTATGCAGAAGGAATGAATAATGGAAAAAGAAAAACTCTGAACTATTTCATTATACGTAAATATATGCAAATCTCTTCTCGGGTTATTTATGAGGTTGTTCGAACAACACTGCGGGTGGGGGGAGAAGAAGAGGAAGAAGTATAAGTAGTGGTTGTAGAAGTAACAACTGGTTTTCCATTGGGCGTAGGTCTAGGAGAGGGCGGAGGAGTATTCGCTTGTTGCTCTGGTGGCGTAGGATTGGGTGAAGAAGTATCTGTAGGTTGCTCTGATGGCGTAGGACTAGGGGTAGATGTGTATCCTGGCTGTGTACTGGGGACAGGAGATGCAGGTGGTTCCTGTGCTGCAGGTAGACCATACGGATTATATCCTTGCTGCGTATTGGTTACAGGAGGTGCAGATGGCGTAGGAGGTGCAGGTGAGCCATATCCTTGCTGCGTATTAGTTACAGGAGGTGCAGATGGTGGAGGAAGTGCATACGCATTGTATCCTGGTTGTGTATTAGTTACAGGAGGTGCAGATGGTGCATACGGGTTGTACCCTGGCTGCGTATTAGGGGCAGAAAGCGGTGGAGCACTGGGGCGCACAGGATTGCTTTGGGGGTGTCCATCGTGTGGGTCATCTTCTCTTGGCTTATGATGGGCGTCTTCATCGCTATCTTGATCATCACCTGAATGGTAATCCGAGTCTTCATCGTCATCGGAGTTTCTACAGTTTTCATCGCAGAATTTACTGTTGACAAGGATGTATTTTCCGTTGGTTTGGTCTGGAATGCTTTTAGAGCAGGGAGCGCATCCTTTGAAGTAGTATGGCTCAATTCCTTTCTTAACAATAATGGGTTTAGTGTCTTTGGCATTTTTGGGATAGACTTGGAAAACCTGTTTGTTGAAGACTCGGCTGTCTTCGGCAAAGCAGGGCATAGGGATCAAAAATTGATCTCTCTCCGGAGTCAGACACATCACTCCACCAAAAACTATTTGAAAAGCCCCTGGATAACGCTTAGTCATAGCTATTTGGAAATTCTGGAAAGGGTTTTGTTCGTCAATTGGAATTTTCATGGCAAGCCCCGAGGGTGCTATGGCAATGACATCATCTCCAGCTACCTTTGAATCTGGAGGAATGATTCTAAGAATGTACAAATTTACGCCTTTTACGGGCTGGAACAAAACTACATTCTGTGCTAGGTCATCTTCTTCCTCAATGGCAAGGGTGCCTCCAAGTGAAAATCCAAGCTTCTTTTTTGCCATTGAAATATACCCGTGCGATCCGTAGTTGTAGAGAAGGCCCCTTTTAGGAAGCCCTGACTCTCCATATTCCATGACATCTCCCCCATGGTGATGTCCAAAAGGGAAAGATCTAACAGCATCTAGATACCCAAGTACTAGAAGCACAGCAGTCGCTTTGATTCTCATAAGCAGCACATGGAGTTTCTATATAAAATGTGATGGAAACATAAAACAGTGTTTTAGCAGAAGCATCCAATGCAATGTAAGACACGGATAAAAAATTTAACACACGGCAGAATGCTTTATCCTGGGCCAATTCAGTATTTATTTGTTTATTTTTAAGCTTGAATGTTCAGTGCAGAAATTTAAATAGTGGGAGGACTGTATTAGCTTCACTGCTAAATCTACTGAGAATAATTCTCCTGTGTTTCTTTGTAAGGGACCCAGTTATATGTGCACATCGCAGGAGAGACCTCGCACTCGTCTATGCTTTTAAATTCAGCTTCGTGGTTATCTGCGGAAGCAGCAATGTATTTTTCAGACACCACAGATTTAATAGCAAAGTCTTGGTGGGTTCTTGTATCTCTTGTGACATCTAGCTTTTCTTTTGAAAGAACAAAGTTTTTAAACGACTCGCTTATGCCGAGCAGTTTGAAGGATCTGCTGCTGATAGGCCCTACATTAACCTGCACTTCATTGTTATTGTTGAGCAAGCCAGGGATTCTTTCCAGTACGGGCTTCTCTCTGCTGTACTCTGGGGATGCAAAGTGGCTGACCAAAATTTTATCGTTTGTTAAGAGGGCCACAGAGCTTCCTTTTTCCTCAGTGAGGTGGTAGATGGAGAACACAGCTTTTTTATAATTAGAACCAAATCCAAGAGCGGGACTGTATCCTACTCCTTCATTTCTCCTGAATCCAAGATATCTTTTTAAATTTGGGTTGTAGATATAGCCGACGTAACTGTAGTGGCCGCTATTATGCTTCTGGTTCCTATCAAGGGATGGTATGCTATCTTTTCCATACCTAGCATGCATCTCCTGTCTTTCAGAGTACAAATCGTCCAGGTTAGAAATGGCAGGCCTGAATGCACTCTTTTCTCTCATGATATTTGGCTGAAACTTGGATTGCTCTGAGTCCCACAGTTCGATTTTTTCTGCTTTTGTGCTAAGAGTGTGCAGAATTGACAAAGCTCCGTACAGTTTATAATATTTGCACATACTGTGCTGCTTTTCAATGTACATATATTTGCATGTGTAACCATGCTTCATTTTCTTTCGTTGGATCTTCATTAGATCTTTCTAGTGCTCAGGTCTTTTTATCCAAGTTTATAGCGTAGAGAATTCTGCGAATCGTTTTGCACAAAGAAAAAGAACGAGTACATTTAAAGGCAAATAAAGACAAATGTATCAGTCTAGATAAAGTATAGATAATGGGGTAGAACGTAAGATGCTAAATTGATAAAATCAGTTATTTTCTAAGTATAGAATAGAACGAAGAAGGTACAGCTAATCTACTAGAGCTGTGTGCATGAGAAGAGTTCAAAGGCCAAGCACAAGTATATATTTTGGAAGTAAAACAAGAACAAGTTTTGTATGAAAATAGAAAGTGTGGACAATATTAAAAATCAAACAATGTGTCATATGGCATTTATATGAAATATCAGATCCAAACAAATATGCAAAAATCAATACGATCATTCATAGTCTTTTTCAATGTGCTATATATCCAACAGCTTTTTGTATTGGCAGCTACTCCTACGACATATTATAGTCAACCGGTAAATATACAGCCGCAAGTCGACAAACAGCCATACACAACTACTACACAAAATACTAATACTGTAGAACCTCCCACAGTTCAACATACTCACGATAGACCGCAAGCGCCACCTGAAAAGAGAGAAATAAACTTCTACTCGAATAAACCTAATATCGGATATCTGTACAATGTGGGCTCAAAGAAGTTCATAGGGACTGACAACAAACACTACTGGCTTTTTGCAGTTGACAACAACCCTCTTCTCGTTGCATTAGTCACAAGTTACGGAGAGAAAATTGGAACATATCAGGAAATAATTCCAGTGGAAAATACACAGAATCCAAAACTTGGAAAAAAAAACTCATCAGATGTGCACGCAGGTGTAAAAAGATTCGATGTAGGAGGGGGGAGCGGTAAAAAGAGATGCTACCTCTTTGGATCTACATCACCTTACAACAGATTTGTCGTTACACCGCCATACTATAAGAACAGCTCAGCGTTTAAGATACAGAGATTCGGCTTCTGTCTGGGAATTGATGCATCCATGAATCTGATGCAAATGGACTGTGTGGACGATACAACAGATGGACATGGTACCCCTGAGAACGATATGCAACTCTTTAAGCTCTGCCGCGTAGAATCATCCAACCGATGTGACGAGCTATAGTATCAGGCCATACTCTAAAAACAAATTATCTCTTCTAGATAAAACTGATTTTAATTTTCAGCTGTAAAAAACCTGAATTACTCGATAGAGCTAGCTGGCAATGCCTACGGCAGCCCAGAAATAAAACACATGTTACAAGACCTCGCGAGCTGTTTTGTTTAGGGTGTATGTATTGGGCTGTTTTGATACGTATAAGTAAATAAATAAAATTCTCCATTTCCAGCAGATCGAATAACTGAACTATCAAAGATCGCATTTTTAGCATATATTTGTGTCGTAAATTCAATCTACAATTAATATATCAAATTTACAACATCTCGGAAATTAATCTATAATCCATATATCAATTCCAACGATCACAAAAAATAAGTGTAAATACATTTACGTGTTTGACAAGCGCGGACATGAATACGACACATTCAGAAACTAAAAAAGAAACAAAGGATAACCAGACAGTAAACATACTGACACAAGTCACCAGGATGCACAGTAAACATCCTATGACCGGCAGTCGCAAGCCTATAACCAATAAATCACCACAATATCTTCAGACCAATTTCCTCATTGACTTTTACATCAGACGTGGTGTAGTTCCTTCATGAAATCACCACAAACAATGTGTCACATGGCATTTATATAGAATATCAGATTGAAACAAACATGCAAAAATCAATACGATCATTCATAGTCTTTTTCAATGTGCTCTATATCCAACAGCTTTTTGTATTAGCAGACGCATCAGTATCAAACTATAGAGAACCGCTAAACACTATACAGCAGCCAGTCGACAAACAGTCCTACACACCTATTCCAGAAAATCCTAGCCCTATAGGAGCTCCCAGAGATGAAAATGCTTACGCCAGACCGCAAGCACCGCCCGAGAAGAGAGTAATAAACTTCTATACGAAAAAAACTAACATCGGATATCTGTACAATGTGGGCACAAATAAGTTCTTAGGAACTGACAGCAATAAGTACTGGCTTTTTGCAGTTGACAAAAACCCTCTTCTTATTGCCATAGTCACAAGTTATGGGCAGAGCATTGGAACATATCAGGAAATAATCCCAGTGGACGATGCAGAAAATCCAAAACTTGGAAGTCAAAACTCATCAGATCTGTATGCAGGTGTAAAAAGAATCGATACAGGAGGAGGGAGCAATCAAAATAGATGCTATCTCTATGGAGCCACATCGACCTACAACAGATTCGTTATCTCGCCGCCATACTACAAGAACAGCACAGCGTTTAAAATACAGAGACTGGGCTACTGTCTGGGAATTGATGCGTCCATGAATCTCATGCAAATGAACTGTGTGGAAGATACAACAGATGGACATGGTACCCCTGAGAACGATATGCAACTCTTTAAGTTCTGCCGAACAGACTCGCCCGAGAAATGTAAAGATATGGTATCAGACCATCTCTAAAAATAAATTATCTCTTCCAGATAAACCTAATTTTAATTTTCAGCTGTAAAAAACCTGAATTACTCCACAGAACTAGCTGACAATGCCTACGGCAGTCCAGAAATAAAACACATGTTACAAGATCCTGCGAGCTGTTTTGTTTATAGAGTGCGTATATTGGGCTGTTTTGATACGTATAAGTAAATAAATAAAATTCTCCATTTCCAGCAGATCGAATGATCAAACTATCAAAGATCGCATTTTTAGCATATATTTGCATAGAGCTTGTACGGGCTGCCAATGAAGCTTCGTACCTAGACACCAGTGCTGAAGTCAACACAACCGGATATCTGTTCAACATTGGAACAAGAAGGTACGTAGGAATTGATCCAGAAAAAAAGCTAGAGGCAATTTTGCTGAAGGATCCCAAAAAGGCAATTAAAATGCGCATGTACCTGCAGGGAAGAATACAGGATGCAGGATTTATATTTCTAAACAGCAACAACATTGTCCTGCCCGAAGACCCAGGAAAAATCCCAAACATCACAGTTCTGCACAGCCAAGTGGGACTGAAAACGTGCATACACAACGACGAGGTCACGCGTGTTATCTTTGACAAGTACGACGCATCGCACCAATTTAAGTATTTCCTCTCTCCTGCTGTTCTGCTGCATGAAAACGCCTTCAAGATCATGACGGGCAATCTATGCCTTGGAGTTGACACAGACAGAAACTCCCTCATTGCCACGGGCTGCCAGGACTCTCCTGCAAAATTCAGAAACTACCAGCTCTTCTCCTGGGTGACCTCAGAAAACTACAACCACGGAATGGACGCAACAACGCACGAATTAGAGCCGAAGTTCGATATAAGTAAGGATTCTAACCCTGGAGAAGCCGGAGGATGTAAAAAACATGGAATATTCCACTTAGGAAAACTTCATTTGACGAGCCCAACGAACCTTCCGCACAAAGAGCCATACCAGGGAGAGAATGGAAGGTCAGAACAGCCTCGTGCCTGCGATTCATAGTGGCCACCAAAAATACTAAATAAACAGATTTCATTGCATAAATAATAGCGGTCTAAAACTATTTTAAAAGTTTTCAAGTGGCGGTTAAAGTGTGCCTATATGAGATGTTTGCCTAGAACAGATAGAGTGCTGTGCAATTTGATATTCTATTCGTCTCTAAAACTGTAAATAGCCTAGCAAAGTTTAAGAGCAACACTGAGTGTACTGCACTAAAAACTCTTGGAACAACTAGCCATGTAAAACACTTGCATCTGCGCGGATAATTTGCTGAAAAATAAATCCAGCCGTTCTAGAATGGAAAGTGCTAGTGCACAGGATAAAACTGTTTTAAAAGCAAACGAATATATACTGTTTGAGTTTGCAGGTAGAAATGAAAGCATATACATTATTTGTAATAGGAATGCACTGCATAGATAAAGCCATCTGTAGCAATAAAGAAGCAGAAAAAAAAAGTATAGAGAAGCCCGAAACATTCTCTAGGATGAACAGAATTAAATCTTTTACTTTCAGAAATGCAGGGTATCTGTATAACCTTAAAACAAAACAGTTTATGGGAGCTATGCGAAATAAAGAAAAAGTGTCATTCTTCAAGTCGCAGGACAATCCACTGCTTGCATCGCTTATGCAGATACAGCGTATAGTCACAGGGGGAGAAAGAGCATACACTGTGATCACCTCGCTGGAAGATAGGCTGCCGTATGAAATAAACGGTCTCAGGACAAAAACCATGCAGATAAGCGAAGAAACTGGTCCGTACATGATTCTTCATGCGAACAAGCAAGAAGAGAGCCAGGCGGTGACAATATTCCCAGAAGTAGAGGGAGCTCACACGGTGTTCCGGGTCTACATTAAAAAAGGGTGTTTGAGCGTCGATTCAAAGGGATTCTTGGTGTACGAGAAGTGCACATTTGGCAACGATGCAGGGGAATTGCACAGACAGCAGCTGTGGATATGGGTGGACAAAGAAAACTTTGAAAAGGACACGCTAAGCAGAATGGTCAATCCGGAGTATGAAGCAATGATGGACAGATTTGATGAAAAATCTCCAATTATTAACATCAATATCTCCAGTGGAGTAACTGAAGATGGAAAAGCCAGCATTACAATCAATGGGGTTAAAAGACCAGATAGTGCACCTGTTGAATCCAATAAGAAACAAATAAGCCCTAAATATAAGTACTATCCTAGAAACTTTAACGATCTTTAGAGATAAATTAGCTTATAACAGACAGCTAGCAGCTGAAGAGGTTTTCTGCCATTTTGGATGGAATGTAGTTAAGACATTACGATAGCCTTATGCTGCAAACTAAAATAAAAACCAAGAAAATAAAATTTATTCTCTACACTTTCTTTTTATGTACAGGATAATCTGAGAATAAAACTCTGCTAAGTAAATTATATCACTGTGATAAAGCACAGAAAATTGAAAGAGAAGAATGGCAAAGAATAGGATATATCATATTGGTAGTGACTGATTATTCATTGGCACTTAGAGAGTAGGACTATAGTGAAGATGTGAAGAGAAACTCTTGTTGTGTAGAGTGCATAGAATGTGCATCCTTTCCTCCTCTCAAATAGAAACTTTATATGGTTTGATGCAAAATGAAACTGAGGAGTCTTTAAAACACTTCATCAAAATGAAACAAGTTACATACATCAGAATATAATCAGCATAAAATGTATTATCAATGCTGAGGATAAAACATCTTTTAAGAGCAACGTTGTTTGCGTATGCTACAGACTCAGTGCTGTGCACTAGCGAAACGGTATTTGGGACAGGAGCGCCAGGGTACTTATTCAACGAAGGGTCAAAGGTTTTTCTGACGTGGTCTAGAACGCCAAAAGAAAGATATTTGTGGGTAAAAGGAACAAAATCGCCCCAAGATGCCTCTCGTTTCCAGATCCATAGGTCAAAGTATCACAGCGCAACGTACAGTCTTATCATGCCCGATGAGCCAAAGCTCACGAGTCTTTTCAAAAAGGTTAATAACGCCAGTGCAGAGTTTCCGTTCTTTGGGATGCCCACCATGAGTCTTCTGGGAAATAACACCAGCCCGTACATAGGGTTTACCACAGACACTTCCAACTCGAACACATGGTTCTCTTTTTCTCCGCCAGTTACAAAAAAAAACCACTTCAAGATATACCTTAACAACCAGTGTTTAGAAGTGGAGGGAGAGGGATACATGAGGATCCAGGAGTGCACCCTCGTGCCAGAGGACAAAAAGATCAAGCAGCTGTTCAGATGGCTCTCTGAGAATGAGTATCTCGCATACAAAACAGAGAACGACGACAAAGACAGCCCAGGAAATAGAGATCCTGTCATCATTGACAATCTGGTGCATCCCATCTACAAAAACCCTCTAGCTCCCAGTAGAAGCCAGGTGAAGGCGCAAATGAAAAACGAGAAAAAACGACTTGCCAGCCAAGCTAGTAAAAAAGCCTCGCAGACTCTGAAAAACATTCAGAGTGGCCTGACTATACAAGTGACCCGCATGCCAGAAGGATACTACGATAACCCAAGCCCTTCCAAGACCCTGGAGGAAGATGCGCTGACAGAGTCAAGGCGGAGAGTAAACTACGAGAAAGTTATCCAAAGTGAGAAAGTAGATATGCCTCCCGGATTTTAGCCAAAATAAAATACAGTGCCGCACGGTGTATCTATTTAACGGGCTTAGCAAGCATTTTGAATATCTGAATAAATTCCTACTCTGCCACGCGTTCTTTTGATTTGTGCATGATGACACAAAAAGTTTAATTTAGAAAAGTGTGCGCGCACTTGAAACGCGCAAACATGCATTTTTCAATGTGAGACACAGTTGCATATTTTGCATAAAGTATTTGATTTCCTGCAGGCTATGATTTTGTTCAAGAACATTCTATTTTTGGCCGTTATTTTCTGCAGTTTCTCGCAGATTGATGCAGTCGGAGAGCACAGAGAAAATCCATTTTTTAGCGAACACATTTCAGGATACCTTTTCAACGTGGGACAAAAATCGTACATTTCATTTTACAAGCACAGAAGAAGAACATATCCATACGCCGATCCTGACAGGACTGTGGCAGCAAAGCTCCAGCTCAGAATCATCACAGATAGAGCTCTGACACACGCAATTTTCATTTCAGACAGTTACAAGGATCTCAAGGCGTGCAGACACAAACACTCGCATTTTGACTCGGGATCAGCAAAACAGTATGAAAGATGCCGCGCACTCCAGGTGAGAGAAAAGAAAAATGTTCTTACGATGGACAGGTACAATAAGCACCCAACGTTCAGCTTCCTGATCTCAGCCCCTGTGCTTCCTAAGTACCATGCATTCCGCATAATACATGACAACAAGTGTCTAACTGTGAAGGGAAATGGACAACTAGACATGGAGGAGTGCAACTACCATGACATGTTTAAGAGAACATACCAGTTCTTCGTATGGGTAGAGGAGAGTCTGTTCAATAAGAACTACAACCCGATGGTGACAATTGATCAGAGCGAAAACCCCTCAAACCCATACTACATACGAGGCATAAAACAGACTATATGGAAAAAGTAATGGTGTGCATATTTCTGTACAAAATCTGAATATAAATAAAGTGCTATCCATTGCTATTTCACAGATAATCCATGCTATCCCAGCCTATGTCTGCCAGCGCTTGGAAGACGTGCTAAACTCGAATTATATTCTAATTATCTACTAGCTTATTTTCCAAACTTTTAGCAATTACTGCACAGAGCTTCAATAAAAAACTAAAATCATTTTCATTATCCGTGGACACAGTACAGGCATGGCAATAGTGTCGACAAAAAGTATCTCTTGCAAGGGATAGGATATAAGAGTGTGTATCTATTATAATTTTCAATAGAAGGATGCTTGTAGACAAAAATGATCTTTGCATAGACATAAGTAGAGAAGAGATCTTTATTGCTGTTTTTATTCTTTTTTAACAGTCAATTACTTTAATAGTGGGTGTGCATTATTTCTACACTCATGATGCAATGGAGAGATCTATTGAGGTATCGTATTTTAGTAGAACATCTGGTATTGGTGCGCTAATGGTTCTTTTGCTATCTGTAGATTGCAAAGTACATCCGATATGCTAGAAGAGACTATTGGTGCATTTTGGATTTGAAGAGACGATGCAACTAAGTTACAAAATGTAAACAAAACTTTTACAATTGGCTTGATTTTAATTTAACGAAGCACATCTGGAGGCAGCTTGGAGCAGTGGTGATCTTTTTGCAAGGCAAGAATCTTTCTAGGACCAGAGAACACCAGAGATTAATTTTGCATTTTAATCAGTCTGAATGGCTCAGATATACGATAGACAATCATCAATCTGTGTTTTATTCCTGAAACAATGATTTAAACTATATAATCAGAAGTGCACATTTAGCCATGAAGAAATTAGGAGCTAGCATTTTTCTGGGCATCGTATCCATTGCTGCGGCATACGGGCTTGAGACTATTTTTGAAGAAAATCAGCCAGGGTATTTATACAGCTTGGGAGGGCACGGGTATGTATTTAATGCAGAGACAGCAGGAATGCCTGGTGTCCACTCGGCTCTGGCGATTACGCACACGCCAGAGTACGCTATGTCCATGAAGATCATCAGAAAAGTGTTTAGAGGCATAACATACAGCATAATGATAGCAGACCCAGAAGCCTGCAAGAATATCCTAAGTGTCAATGGCTCGTACTGTGTTTTCAAGTACACGCGAATGATGGGCGCAAGAACAGGGCTTATTCTCGGCAAGGAAAAAGCCACATTTGACAACTATTTCATGTTTTCTCCTCCAGTAACCAGAGACACAAACGCGTTCCAGATATACAACCAAGGAAAATGTGTTACAGTGGATCGCCACGGGGTTCTAGACCTGGCCGAGTGCATAGAAGCCCCCACGCAGACCAGAGAGAAGCAGCTTTTCAGATGGGTTAACAAAGATTGGTATGACAAGGGAATGAGCGCAAAACAGTCGCACAAGTTTACTGGAATTAAGAATTAATAAACCCTGCTAACTACCTTCCACGCATGTGCATTCTCAGCAGAAGAAAGCCTTCTTTTCTGTTTGAGTTTTTAGTCTTTTGATTTTTCTTGGTTTGGGCTGTTCAGTGAAGAAAACGGTGGAAATAGAGCATAAGAGTGCGCAGAGAGCTGAGCAGATGGTATTAAGGGAAAATGTATGTTTGCACACACTGCATTGCTGCATTTATGTTGCTCTTGTGTTGAACAAGTTCTTATGAAATATTTGCCTTCGAAAGAGCATGGGATAAAAATTCGAAAAATTAAATCCGATGGTTCTTTGGGCAGTCCGCAATCTGAAACAAAACATGGTATCAGAATCAGAGACAGTACATAAATAGGTGTGATGCATGGGTAGCATGCAAAAAATACGAATAGCCATGCTTCTGACTTTGTGCATTTTTGTTTATCAAGTGTGTAGTAAAATGGATAAGAAAAATGATCTCGAGCATCCCCACAGCAAAGGCCTAAGAAAAATACTGGAAAAGACGATTCTGAAAAGAAATACGAAGGAGGGGATCTACATAGCGACATTTATCGGAGACAAATACTTAGCTATTAAAGATGGAAAGCTAGTTGTTGTAAATAGCTTTAAAGATGCAAACCTCTTTGACATAGACGTCTCTTCCATAAAAATGGGAGAAATGCAAGGAGTCAAGATTATGCCCTGGGTGGAGGGAAAGCAGTATGTAATCAGCTTCAACTTAATGGGAAATGACGTAAACGTCACACTGCCCATACACCTGAATCTGAAGACCATCACAGATATAACTTTTATCAACGAAGTGTACACAGCTAATGCTGCGCACCCCGCTTTCCAAATGGCGTCTGCGCAGAAACGTTATAGATGTGTTGTCATAGATCCAGCCTCAGGTGAGGTTAAGATGAATCAGTGCGCACAGGGCGCTGAACGGCAAACCTTTGTGTTCCGTACGTACGATGAGGCAGAGACAAGCGAAAACAAGAAAAATGGCGGCGGCTCCTTCAGGCCAGAATTATTTTTGAAGGCATTTGTACTGTCACTTACTAAAACTCTAATAATGGGAAGTTTCACGGGAGTGCTTTATTACCAATAAACAGTGCAGTTTCAGCAACAGGATACTCCAGAATAAATTATCACAATTTACAACTTTTTGCTGCATACATTTAATAAATTTTATCTTAGTCTCATTCAGCAGCAGAAACTAGTAGCAATTTCAGAAGAGAGAGTTTCTGAATATTTTTACAAAAACTTATTTTATTTCAGCTAGATCAACCTATTCTTTTCTCTAGACAGGAAAGTGTAACCCGAGAATAAATATAACCCGAGAGTCTATGCAAGAACTTATGTAAACTATGTAAATAAGATAGCATTTTATCTGAATTATCTATTAGAACAAAGAGATGCAAAATTTAGCTCTCTATTTCTGCAGTACAGGAGCCAAGAGAGATACTTCTTCTAAAGAATGCTATATTCCAAGAGAAATAGTGCAGTAAGAAACAAAAATAGAGTCTATAATACAAATATTTAAAAACTTTTCTACAACTAAAACATGAACATATATTTAAGCAAGAGCAGCTGACTTCTCGGGTTATTCATTCTCTGTTCATTTTCTATTACTACGGAAGAAACGAGCATAGATCTTCTTGGGCAGAGGCTAACGAGGTCTCAAATACCTTGGAGTCTTTTATGCAGAAGAACTGTTCGCCAAGTCCCAGGGTTTCTCCTCTGAATGTGCAGAAAAATAGCTGTCTCTTGTCAAAGACTCGGCTTTCAATGATGCTCATCAGCACCTGCGTGTCCAAGTTAGCATCAAACTCGTCCATTAGATAGAACGGGGCTTCGTATATTTTCTGCACAGATAAAATCATGCACAGTGCTATCACGGTTTTCTGTCCGCCGCTCAGCTCATCTGAGCGCACCATTTTCTCCCCTGCAAATGAAACATCTATCTCCAGAGCAGACGTATTTGCCACAGTCATCTGTGCGGTGCCTTTTGTTAGTTTTCTGAAGAAATATTCAAAGTTTGACTTAACCTGGGAGATGGTTATGCTAATAACCTGTTCTTTTTTAAGCTCCAGCTGGCTCTGCATCTCAAGTATCTTCTTTTTTGCTGCAGAGAGCTCGTTCAATTTTTTTACAGTTTTGTTGTAGTCATCCAGAATCTGCTCAGAGGTCTCTGATGGAGATATCGCTTCCAGCAGCTCTTTCTTCAGAAGAGACAGCGCCTGCACTAAGGTTTCTTTTGGAGCGTCTTGGAGGCTTATTTTTGTGTCATTCACCACTATCTCTTCTCTGCTCTCTACGTCTAAAGAAAGTATCCTTTTTTGTATTCTTCGGAATTTACTCTCCAGTCTGACTTTCTCTGATATTTTCTCTCTCCACTGCGGTGAGCCTGCACACTTTTGCAGCTTTTGTTCTATTGCCTGCGCCTGCGCCTCAAGGTCTTTTCTTGCTATGGCATTTCTAAAGGTTTCTCTAAGGCGCACACACTTCTCCATCTCATTTTCCATCGCATTTAGTGAGATCTTTTCCAATTCTGTTTTTTTGTGCAGTATTTCCATGTCTGCATCAAACCCTTCATTTTCCAGGAGAAAGATTGCGTCTTCTATGTACCCAGGCGCACTGAGTGCAGTTTCTGTGGAGGCTTTCTCATACTCCAATTCCACTCTTTTTTTTTCTTCCTGGATTATCTTCTCTTCTTCTATGCTTTCTCTGTACTTTTCCTTTGCTGCCACATAAGATCTGAATAAATAGGACGATTTATCCTCACCTCCTGTGACTGTTCCTACGCTCCCAAAGTACTCCCCTGCTGCGGTTATCACTGCCACTCTGTGCTGCCGTGAGACAGTTTTTGCTGTTTCAAAGTCAGACACGAAGTATATCCGGCCAAAGAGCCTGTCGACAAGAGATGCGTGTTTCTCAGACGAGGAAATGTACTGCGCAAGGGACGTAAGCGGAACAGGCGAGTGTCTAACTAGTGAGCTCTTTTGCGGTATCGATATAACCGGCTGTTCTATGCGGTGCGCGCGCACAAGATTAATTGCATCCTCTGCAGTTTCAGTAACAATAGTCACCAGAAAGTTTGGAAGAGCGCTTGATACCGCTGCAAGAATCTCTTTGGGCATGGTTATAATATCATAGACATACCCAACAACTCCCTTTAGTGACCGAATTTCATCACCCAGGGAGAAAACCTTCTGTGTTGAAAGAAAAACTCTTTCAGCATCTTTCATTTCTGCTTCCAGGGATTTTCTTCTTTTGCTGTGCTCTTTTTCCTTCTTCCAAATGGCTCGTTTGCTTTCGAGTAGGTCCTCCCTGTTTTTTGAGCTCTGTGCAAATCCTTCCTCTGTTTTCATCCTTTTCAGCCCGTCCAGCTTCTTTTTCACAGCATCTTCTCCTCGCATTCGCAGTATATTTATCTCCGGGCGTATGGCTTTGCTGCTGCTTTCGAGTCTTTCAAGGCTCTTGATCTCTCTCTTCAGTACACTTCTTTTTTTCTCTTTTTCTTTCAGGGCTTCGCCCATGCTGTCTATTTTTTCAGATATTTCTTGGATTCTCTCAGGTACTGTCTCCAAGTCAAGATCTGCAGTATCTGCTGGTAGAGCGTGCATTGCTGATAGAATTTCCTCCAGATGAATTCGCAGTGCGTCCTCTGTTATGTCCTGCGTGCTCTCTATTTGGCTCATCTCTTCAGTGAATAAGTCTTCTAGCTTTACGCGTATTTTGTGCAGCTCTCGTTTGTACAGCTCTCGCACGAGTATTTCCTTCGACTCCTCCACCTCCTTCTTTCTCTCGCTGCGCTGTCTCTCCTGCTCTATTGCTGCCACTCTTTTCTCAATTGTCTTCACTAAATCTGCAATTCTTTGTTCTATGCTCTCTGACTCCTGCAGCACTCTCTGTATTTCTTCTTTGTCTTTTTCGTACACCGCTGACCCCGCTAGCTCCCGAATTAGCTCCATGCGCGCATTCCCGTTCATCTGCGCTAGCTCTCCTATCTTCCCCTGCTCCACCACGAAGTACGGCATGCTTTTGGAGATGCCCGCTGTTTCGTAGAGCGAGCTCATCTCTTCGCGCGACACAGCTCGCTCGTTCACCGTGTACTCGTCTGACTTCTGTGTGATTGTTCTGCGAATCACCACTGTGTCTCCTGCAGGGAAGGCTTTGTCTGCATTCTCAAACTCTATCTCCACGTACGCCTTCAGCTCTTTGCTGTTCTCGTTGACAAACACTCTCCTCTCCACAGGACCAATGCGCTGGTGCGCATCAATTACGAACTTAATCGCCCCGAGGATGCTTGACTTCCCTGCTCCGTTTTTCCCTATAAGGATGTTTGCGCCCTGCGAGACATTTTCCATCGATATTTCGTCTGTGAAACTTTTGAAATTGAAGAGCACTATTCTTCTTATTTTCATAGATCTTAAAATTTTTATGAGACGAATTGCATATTTCTACAGTCCTGACTCCGGGAGCTTCCACTACGGCGCAGGGCACCCCATGAAACCGCACAGAATTGCTGTCACGCACTCCATTGTTTTTGCGTACGGCCTGCAGAGATACATGGACGTGTACGCCATCAAGCCCGCAACAAAGCTCGAAATGCTCGAGTACCACACAGAGGACTACATAAACTCGCTTACGTCAGAGGGCGCAGAGAGCAACCCGTGCGATCGAATAACAGATGACTGCCCGTACTTTGACGGGATTGGAGAGATGTGCGCTCTCTACTCGGGCGGCTCTCTGCAGTCTGCTCGCTTTCTGAACGAAAAGCAGTACGACATATGCATAAACTGGTCGGGCGGTCTGCACCATGCAAAGAAGTCCGAGCCAAGCGGATTTTGCTACACGAACGACATAGTGCTGGCCATACGAGAGCTCCTGAAGAAGCACGAAAAGGTCATGTACATAGACATAGACATACACCACGGGGACGGGGTGGAAGAGGCTTTCTACCACACAGATAGAGTGCTGACTCTCTCACTGCACAAGTACGGAGACAAATACTTCCCAGGGACAGGCAACATATGCTGCACAGGGCGCGGTGCTGGGGCTGGCACATCGATCAATGTTCCCCTTGACTTTGGGATTGATGACGAGTCTTACCATTACGTCTTTAAAAATGTGGTGAAAATGTGTGTGGACTCTTTCTCCCCCGAGGTGATTGTGATGCAGTGCGGATCAGACTCGCTGGCTGCCGACAGGATAGGATGCTTTGGGCTGAGCATCAAGGGGCACGGGGAGTGTGTTAAGTTCGTAAGGGATCTGAACATTCCCATGCTTGTGCTGGGGGGCGGTGGGTACAAGCCTAAGCACGTGTCTAGGTGCTGGGCGTACGAAACTGCGATACTCTGCAACGTAGAGATAGGGAATGACATACCCAGCAATCCGCACTCTGAGTATCTGGGGGAAGACCCTGTGCTGCACATTGACCTGCAGTGCGCGTATACAAACAGAAACATAAAAGACAACCTGGAGAGAATTGTCTCCATAGTAAAAGACATTCTGAAAGAGTATGCGTCCCACAAAAAAAGCTAAAGAAGAAAGAATAAATGTAGACTAACCGTAAATAAAAGTGTACAGTTTTTACTAAGTCGCATTGGAGGCATTTTAGTGCTAAGAGAAGAGAGGAGCACAAAAAGGAGTTTTCATTATTTTCAGGCTTGTTAAAATGTACATGAAAGATAATAGGTAAGGTGCATGCGAGCATAGCTAGCAGTTGTGGTAGAGATCAGATAATGGTGCCATTAAGACTTCTAGTTCTTGAGCTTTATTTATTATTGAGCATAGATAATCAAAGAGCAATCATTGGCTGTACTATCAAATAAAATGATGCCAAAGATAAAGTTCACTGAAATGCTTTTTAGGTTGTCTTATCTTTTCAACAGCAGTTGTAGAGTTTACTCTTTGATGCCCATTTAAAGCACTAAAATTCTCAAATTCTATCCAGACTGCATCGCATAGAGGAAAAGCTGTGTTGAATATAAACAAAGGTATACTTACTACTTTCATTCTAGTTTTTATTTAGCGCCATTGGCAATCTTACTCTTTAGGCAATTCTCTCGCCGAACATTCTCTAGTTTTCTTCTGGGTTTATGAATACTCTTCTGGCAAGCTCCATGTATATCTTCTCTCCGTGCTTGACAGGCGGGAAAAAGTAGCACTTCATCAGCCCTTTCTCTCCCAGCGGCTTTTTAATGTGGCCTTCTTTTTTCTTGCTCGAGTACAGCTTGATGTCTTTGAAGTACTTCACCTCTTCTCTTGTGTGGAACATCTTTGCAACAATGCAAGATCTTTTGTGGATCTTCGCAGGGATACCTCTGAACACAACAGTTCTGATAATGATGGGGTCTTTTCTCAGGGCCTGTGTGGCTGTTCCTACGTACCCTGTGTCTCTGTATACGAATATTTTATCGTCCGTAAGAACCAGGGGCCCTATGAAGCAGGCTGTTCCAGAGGTGCCTTCTGTTTTGCACTTTACAATCTCAGACCCATTCCCCAGGACAACTGTCTGCGGGGTGGTGTAGAAGAACCCGTAGTCAAAGGAAAGATCTTTGTTGTACATGCTAATTGTTTCTTTTGTGTTGAACGAAAGGGTGCAGATCGTTGGAAGGCCCTCGTAGTCAAAAAGGCCGTGGATAGAGAGGCATCCTGACTCAACAGCATTGTTGAAGAGCTCCTGGTATCCTTCTTCCACCTCAAAAACCACCTCAATTGGAGTGTGCACGGGCACAGGGCTTTTCTTTGCGAGGATTTTTTTTCTTGCTCTTTCAGACCCCACAAAGCTCAGATTTGAGTAATATTCGGGAAGATTCTGCGATCTAAACACTTTTATGCTGGCGTTGTCCTGTGCCTGTTTGTGCATCCCGAGGTTTATTGTTTTAAACCCTTTGAAGCCTTTGTACTTGTTATTTAGCTCTTCTCTTTTTTTTGTTCTTTCGAGGGCTTCGTATCCAACGAGGTCTTCTGACTCTATTTCGCTGGAGAGATCTTCATACTCCATGTCTTCAACGTCCTGATAGTTATCGCTGCTGCCCTGTGCCTCTTCGCTCCCTTCTTCCTCTGACTCTTCGAGGTTTATGCAGCCAAGTGAGTCATCAGAGTACTCGGGCTGGTCGTTTATGTTGTTCTCTGATATTCTGAGACCGGACATCACTCCAGAGGCAAGATCTGCTCCCTCTTCTGTCTCTTTTTTCTGGTGGTAGATCTCTTCCTTTGTGAGCAGGGCAAGACTTGAGATGTCTAGCGGCCTGTCCTGCACTAGCACCTCTTTTATCTGCGCAAAGACACATCCGTTGATTATTACACGGGTTGATACGAACCCTTTGTCCACAGCCCCTGAGACTTTGAAAGACTTCTCTCCTACTTTCTCGATTGCATCTGCGATAAAGTGCGGGCGCGTGTGTCTCTTTCTGTTCAGCACAGTTTTGTTCTCTAGGACACGGCCTATCTCGTTGAGCGTGTACACTTTTGTTTTTCCAAAAGACTTTTTGATTTCTTTCTTAATGTCAGAGGGCACGTCTCTGATGCACGACAGAAACAAAAGATTGTCCTGTTTTGTGTGGCTTATCAGCTCATCCACAGCCTCGTTTATCTGGTTATCTACTAGAATTATGTTTATGTCAGCGCCCTGCATCTTCGTTTTCATAACATTTGCATGCCCTGGGGTATTTGCAAAAAAGGCGAATGTTCCTTTCCTGCACGCCACTCTGTGGCCTAGATATCTCTTCTCGCTGTTTATGCTATTTTCTGATATTTCGTTCTTTCTGAATGCTGCGATAATGGAGGGCAGGCTGTCCTCTGCGCTGATGTGCATGCCCATGGCAGTTACAACAACGGTGGAGACAAGTCCTGCTGCCGCTCTTTCTCTTTGCGTTTTTCCCTTCAATCCGGGGGATATTTTCCGTGTGGCCATTTTGAAAATTTTTTAGAGTCTCCACTAAAATACTTTTTTCATTGCCATTCTTTCTTAGCTGCTCTTCTTTACTCTGTGCGCATGTCTGCAGAGCTCCAAAGACTTTCTGTGCTGATCACATCCATTTATTCTTAATTTACGTTTGGCACGGATACTTATTCTTGTGCTATACTCTATTTTTACTATTTCTGCACCAGAGAAGAGATACTTTATCTGGTAACTTTTATATGGACACTGTGCATGCAAAGAGTGTAAACAAAGGAGAAGACGCAATAATTTATCATTGATTAATAAAACATAGACAAACATTCATCGTTTATTCAATGAGTTTTCTATTTGTTTAATTATATGAACAGCGGAGAAACAGAGAATAACCAGGTGGTCCTTATCCCGAAGAGGACCCTGTGGCAGCAATTCACAAAACTCTGCACGTCCTTCATTCCCTCCTTTATCCTCAGGCTCTTTGGAATGAAGTCAAAAGAAATCCAGAGCGCATGGAGAGAGAAAGTAGCCCTGTGCTGGCTGATAATGTTTGCCTGTCTCTTCCTGGCCTTTATCACCTACGGACTCACAATGATTGTGTGCATCCCGAAGTTAGTCTACACAATGGAAAAAATGAGCGAAATAAGCGAGTACCCGTGGGTTGCAGCGCGAGGCAGGATTTTAAAGCTAGACCCAAGCGACAGACTGTCCGAGCACTCTGAGTCCATTGTCTCTTCCATGTTCAAGGTAGATGCGCCCTCCTGTCTCAGCGCCTTTCCCGAGCACAAGATCAGAACAACAGGGTCACTAGATATGAGCAACTACGAAGAGATAGGGCCAGTGCACTACACGTGGTCTTCTATACTGAAGAATAAGCTTGTGGTCATAGGATCAGGGGTGTACAGCGTAGAGAACGTAGATCTGCCTGCGAAGCTGGAGCATCTTGCGAGCTCAATCGATGCCACGAGGGCAAGCGAGTCTCTCAGCCCCACAGAGCTAAAGTGCTTCAAAGAGATGTGCTACGCAGGAGAGCTTGCGCTGCAGTCCACGGGGTGCCAGATAACGTACACATTTCTTTATCTCTCCTGTGCAGCAATACTTGGCCTGGTGCTGATACGCTTCTTCCTCGCTGTCGCGTACTCAGTGATCATGAAGGTGAAGACATGGCAGCTTGTGAGGAGCACGACAGATGTCATTCCTGTGGTGCTGATGACCACATGCTACTCCGAGGGAAGAGAGGGGCTCAAGTCGACTCTAGACAGCCTGTGCATACAGGAGTACGATAAAAAGCTCATCATCGTTGTGGCTGATGGCTTTATAACAGGCGCAGGCAATGACGCATCCACACCAGAGATACTCAAGTCGCTCATTACGCCAAAAGCGAATAACCCAACAGCAGGCATGGAGACCGTAGCGAAGCAGTACGTATCCATAGCGGCAGGTGCTGCAAAGCTCAATCACGCAGAGGTGCACCCGGGCACGTACACAGTTGAAACGAAGAACGGGGTGGTGACAACAGATATTATACTGATACTAAAAACAGAGAACAGAGGAAAAAGAGACAGCCAGATGATCATTATGAGCTTCTTCCACCACATCCTCTACAGCACGCGAATGACGCAGCTGGACATGGACCTGTACAAGAAGATAAAGCACCTCACAGGGATGGCACCGAGCTCTTTTGAGGCTATTCTCATGGTAGATGCAGACACAACGGTGCAGCAGGGGGCAGTGAGGATAATGTCGCGAACAATGCACAGCGATGAGTCTATCATGGGGATATGCGGAGAGACGCTTATTTCGAACAAGTTTGGGTCCTGGGTTACAGCCATACAGGTATTTGAGTACTACGTGAGCCACCACTTGGCCAAGGGCTTTGAAAGCGTCTTTGGGAATGTGACGTGTCTCCCTGGGTGCTTCTGCATGTACAGGATAAAGCTTGAAAGGAAGAACGGGTGCACACCCATCCTTGTGTCTCCCACTGTCCTGCACGCATACGGAAGCGATGAAACAAAAACTCTGCACGAAAAGAATCTTTTGCTTCTCGGAGAGGACAGGTATTTAACCACGCTGCTGCTCAAGAACTATCCAAAAAAGAAGCTGGTTTTTGTCCCAAGTGCTTTGTGCGATACGATAGTTCCCGATAAGTTCTCTGTTCTTCTCAGCCAGCGAAGAAGGTGGATTAACTCCACGATCCACAATCTCTTTGAGCTCCTGCGGGTGGACCTGTGCGGCACTTTCTTCTGTTCGATGCAGTACGTGGTTGTTCTGGAGCTGTTTGGGACTCTTGTGCTTCCTGCCGCTGTTTTGTTCACGGGAGTGCTGATTGTTTCCTCCATTGTGTGGGTCCCTGTGTGGATTCCTCTCTTCCTTCTTTTTGCGATCCTTGGGCTTCCTTCTGGGCTGATATTCTTCACAAACTTCAATCTTTTCTACTTTTTCTGGCTTGTGGTCTATCTCATCTCCATCCCAATATGGAACTTTGTCCTTCCCGTCTATGCGTTCTGGCACTTTGACGACTTCTCGTGGGGGGAGACGAGGCAGATCAGCGGAGGAGCGCCGAAGGAGGGGCACGGACAGGGAGGAGCCACTGAAGAGCTCGATTCTAGCATGAAGGCTGTTTTTGTGAACTTTGAGGACATAGAGCCATAGAGCCATAAAATCGCAGTAGAGAGAAGCAGTATAGCTTACGATGTGTATATAGAGAGCTGCACTGCTTTAATTTCCCATAAACTACACACGGTGTAGGATGCACGGTATAGAGACTGCTATATATATCCAGAGCAGTCCAGTATATAGAGATGGAGACGAATAAACACTTTTGGATCTTCTACTCTACTGCCTACTATTCACTTCACTACTTTTTTCTTTTTGTTCTCTACACTGATTTGCATTTAGTATTTTCCTTGGAGTGTGCTCAATGGTCTTCTAAATCAGAGAAAAGTGCATCTTTATCTACGCATATGCGCGGGGTGTCTTTTTTGTAGCTCCTGTGTGCTCGCAGTGCGTAGAGCTGCAGCTGGGAAGAGACGGGTTTTTTGTGCTTATTGGAGTGCTGGTGGCTTATAATTTTTTTTATTATTAGTACCCCAGCATTACAAGATGGACCAACTAACAGCAGCACTGAAGACAATAAACAACGCAACAATAAGCGGAAAAACAGAAGTACTTGTTAGATCTCCAAACAAAATCGTAAGAAGCTTTATGGAGTACATGCAGAAGAAGGGATACATCGGAAGCATTGAGTATGTAGATGACCACAGAAAAGGAAAAGCCATTATCACACTCAACGGAAGACTCAACAAGTGTGGGTCAATTTGTCCACGATTCGACGTGCCTTTCCTCGACCTAGAAAGATGGAGAAAGCTGTTGCCTGCCAGACAGTTTGGGCACGTTGTTATCACAACATCAAAGGGAATATTAGATCACAATGAGTGTGTTGAGCAGCACACTGGTGGAAAAATACTTGGGTTCTTCTACTAAATAAACCAGAATCACGGATACTTTTTTATCCGAGGACTGGCTTACCTGTTTCTCGGCTGTTTTCTTTGTTTTTCTTGTCTTCACGTGCTGCTGGGCAGTGCGCCAGCTGAACTTGGCTGGCCTCTGCTGATCGCACGTACTTACGCTATCTTCTGACTGCAGGGATATTATGCAGCTATAATCCATTCAGTGTGTAGATGGGAGTGTCTGAAAGTTCAGTTGAATGCCTGCACAGACACTTGCAAATAGTACAAAAATGTGCTAGAACATCAGAAGCCTGTAAATTATAATAAATTCTGCTATGTTATGTAAAAGGTGTAATAATTCTTAGAGGTATGGTAATACTGCCATAAATAGTAATAGTTTGATATTGATAAATACCCTTTAGGATAGGATAAAGAGAATTAGTTTCATTAGCGCATTTATTGCTTATCTGTGTCTTATCTATTGCTGTGGTCTATGCTCTCTGCCTTATTTTTATCATGGGTATTTACCTCCGTGTCCTCTTTAGTCTCTTCATCACTTTCATCTTCATCTTCCTTCTTACCAGACGAGCAGAGAATGGTTGTTCTTTTGAGCGTTTCAAGAATGCTTTGTATAACTGTGTCTTTCTGGCTCTCTTCTTTGCCCTGCAAACATTCAGCTGATTTCTCTTCTTTATTTTCAGTCTCCTCCTGTTCATCTGGCTCTCTTCTGTCTACTTCTTCAATGAGAGCTCGCTTCCCCATTCCCGTGGCAGCTGATACGTGCAGAAGGCTGAAGTTGCTGTAGAACTCTTCCATCCACAGCGCAATAGACCGCGTCAGAGGAGTACTCATTTCCTCTTCTGGAAGATCTGCTGCAAAAGTCTCAAAACTTGATGCCCACTCTTCGATTTTCTCAGAGCCTTCCATGTCTGACTTGTTCACCACCACAAGCAGCTGTTCGTTGAATCTGTAGTGGATCGAGGTCGCGAAGAGCATATTGCTTATAAAGCACTGCGGACTCTGCGCCTTTTCTCCGTCAACTACGTACACCATCTTCACGCGAATTCCTTTGGTTCTTGATAGACACTGTGTGAGTATCTGTCCTGATATCGATGTGGTAAACATTTCTATCTGCCCGGGCGTATCAATCACCGTGTATCTTGGGCCTAGCTCTACTATCTGCGATATAAAAGTGTCTATTTGCGTGACGAAAAGATTGAGCGCTGTGAGTATGGCGCCGTTAGGGCCTAGTTTCTTCTGCTGCATTAGATCGTGTATCTGCACAGTGTCTCTGATATCGTAGTGCAGAGGCATTTTCACCGTTGCAGCTGCTGGATCCAAGTTGATCCCGCACACTGCATCGTTCAGCCCTGTTCTGCTGTCGATCTTCAGGTTCTTCTCAGAGAGCCACGAGTACAGCCTGTGGCAGAACGTGGACTTTCCGCTCCCAGCCATTCCCAGAACAATTAGCACAGTATTGTCCATATCCGTAAAAATTTAAATTTTATTTTGCTTTTGTATGTATCCACTGGACTTTATTAGAGGGCTGCTTGGTGCCAAGATATGCGTGTCTCTGAGAGACGGATCCGAGTACAGGGGCGTTCTTCGCATGTTCGATGAGCACATAAACCTTGTTCTTACTGATGTTCTGCAGTCTGCGGATAAAGAAGTTTTATTTCTGCGAAGTGAAAATATTCTCTCGATTTCCGAGAACTAACTTAGCTGTACATCTGCGCTTAGCTAACTAATAGCCACATTTAATAAGCAGTAGGGAGTGCAGGTCTTTTTTCTGGACACTTTTGGTAAATCAGAAATTCAATGAAAATATGTTCCAGAGAGTGAGCGCAGTAAACCAGCTTTTATTAGCGGTTATCGAACAGACCTAAAGAGTCAATAAAGAATGTGTAATAAATAAACTGATTTGGTACTTTTTATTAATAGATTGCATGCAATGTGTACGTAGTTATTTCTGGTAGACTTTGCGATAAGCTAAGATAATTTGTGGTGATTGTAACATGAGCGTATATCTTGGAAGCGCTGTGAAGTAATAGGTTGGCAGAAAGCCCAGCAGATGGCACTAAAGCACACGCTAGCTCCGATTGAGCTATGTGTGAAGTAGCAGCAGTGCTAGTACTGATCAAAAGCCTGATCAAGTACCGGAGGGTCATTTGCCGAGGCCATTATGTGCGAGCGAATAGAGCACGATGAAGCATCTTTTGAGTGATCTTCTTCATTTGCAATCGGCACTATAGGGGGCGCATAGCTTCTGTTGTGCACCATCTCCCAGTTCACGTCTCGGAAGAACGCGTGTCTGCATATTATCTTCACGCCTTTTTTGTATCCAAGCCTCTTTTTCCTGTCCGTCTGCAGAAGCTGCTTTATGAGGTCTCGAGCCACGGGATTAACAAAGGCAGGGAATTTGATGTTCCCTCCGATAATCAGTCTGCAGAGCTCTACCTGGCTGTCGTGGTAGAAAGGGGGGTACCCCACGATCATCTCGTACAGAATGACGCCAAGCGACCAAAAGTCCACCTCAAAGCTGTGGCCTTGGTTCATTATGATTTCCGGTGCTAAGTACTCGGGAGTGCCGCAGAGTGTCCATGTGACTGCTTGGTACATTCTTTTTGAAAATCCAAAGTCTGCGAGCTTTATGTGGCCCTGCTCGTCAAGCAGAACATTCTCGGGCTTTAGGTCTCTGTAGATAATTCCCAGCCCGTGCAGAGTCTCGAGCGCTACAAGTATTTCAGCAATGTAGAATCGCGCGTGTTTTACGCTGAATTTTATAATTTCTTTCATGTACGAGAAGAGCTCGCCCCCTGGGACATACTCCATGACCATGAACAAGTGTCTTTCGTCCTGGAAGGTGCTGTACAGGCGCACGAAGAAGGGAGAGTGGACGGTAAGCATTACCGTTTTCTCGTTGTACACGTGCATTAGCTGGTTGCTGTGGATAATTTGGGCTTTGCTCATGATTTTGAGCGCGTATAGCTTTTTCATCTTTATGCTTGTGAGCCCTTCGAAGGACACAAGGAATACCCTTCCAAAGGATCCCTCTCCAAGCACTCGAACCATCTTTAAATCTCTCAGCAAAAACATCTTTGTAGAATCCTAAAAATTTCTTTTCTAAAGTACAAAAGTTTCTCGCAGAATCACTCTTTTATCCGTGTAACTGCAACATAAGAGGTAAAATTAATAAAAAAAACACAACGCAAAGCGGACTTTTTGCACGGACAGAAAAGAGTGCAAATGCGCAAGCTGTGCATCTGCGGACTGCAGAGAGTTTGGAGAGAAACAGGACATAATATTCAGTATACCCATGCTTAAACTTGGAAACTTCTGTGCCGGGGCCAGTTTGCGCGGGCAAATTCAGAGTACTGCAGGGTATAGTAGGATGCAGGAGCTATCAAAGAGAAAAGAGATCAGATATGAATGTGATATGGAGCATAAGAGTGAAAATGGAGGAGTAAGCAGGAGATGTAAAGGCCTGCAGAGAGACACATTTTGTGCAGAAATGGAGGTGTGCTCAATAGCTCATTTACTCGAATTTTCATTAAATCCCAGAATCACTTTGCTCGAGTGTGTCAAACTATTAATTTAGCTCGTAGTACTGATTAAATATATCTATTTGATTTTTGCTGGAATACTATTCACTACTTCACAGGATGCGTCTATAGTATGTGTTTAGTATTTCAATCTTCTGTGGTTTTTGCAGAAATTCTTGAATGTTTTCCATTTGGCGTGGAAATATAAGAGAGTTTCTTGTTTTCAGATTTGCCAGCTAGAGAGGAGGCTCTAATTGCATCTCTTCTGTCTTAGCAGATGCCTTGATGCAGTAGAAAGTCTTTAGATAAGTTCAAGTTGGGCAATGAAAATTTATTTTTCTTTTTCATTCCTGTGTTTTTCAGAATTTGTCTCTTTATTTATGTTTATGTATTGGTGCTGATCTTAGATTAATAAAGCATCTAATATGATCGCTTTATTATTTGATTGATCTCAGGTTCTCTACAGTCAGTATGCTATCATTAGTCTTTTCTTAAAAATGCATTTTATCATTTCTTATCTCAGGGATTGTGTATAGTCTATGTAAGCCAAGTGCACTATGATACCCTTACAGTGAACGAGTAGAAAGTGTGTGGATATTACACTACTCAAATGGCATTGCTTTATCACTAATTTTGTCTTATGCTCTGCCATACAGACTGTGCTGTGCTGATTTTATGTGCCCACTGAGACTGTAAAATTTTAATGGACTCAGCTGTTTCACAAAATGCAGCGGAGAATATGAATGCTACAACGAAAAAGATGCTAATTGAAAAAAAGAAAAGTGCCATAATGAACTGTCTTCTCTCTATACAAGAAAGCGCATGGGGAGATAATGTGTTTTTGGAGAGCGTGCGCGAGTGGCTCTGTCTTGCCGAGTCACTGGATGCAAACTCTGATGAAAATAGGAGCGAATGCGAGGTGCTTTGTGTGTGGAAGTATTTGGTAGAGATGCTCAAGTCAATTACCTTGTACAGCCCAGAAGAGCTGGCAAAAGCAGGCAAAAACATAAAAGAAATCATAAAAGCCATGAATAGTATCCCAACACACGCAGCAGGAGTGTTTTATTTGAGCAGCATAATACAAGTCAACAAGGAATCTCCCTTCAGAGGAGAATTCAACCATCTTATATCAGAGCACATGAAACTGTACAGGACTTTATTAGTTGCATAGTTTTTATTATTTTTGTGCCGTGGCTTGGAAAATAAGCCGAGAGTATTTTAATGGTAAAAAATTTAATTTTGTCTGATGGAGCCAAGTAAAATGATTTATATTCGCGTTGAAAATATAAAGCCTACATTGGATGCATCAAAAGAGGAAAGCCTAAAGAAAATCAGAGAAATAACAGGACATCCTGATTTTAGGAAGAAGAAGGAAGAAGTGCTGCAGCTGATAGTTATCTCCATACTGAAAGAAGCACCCATTGCCAAGCACATTGTAGTTGAGGATGTGTTTTGCCGAGTTGAAAGAGAGGCACTGCGGGGCTATCTTCAAGACGTGTACATACACTACGCAAAAAAAACAGAAAAAGAGGTGCTGCATCTTCTAAACTCACCAGAAGGGAAAACAGAGCAGATATTTAACGCCGTAGTAAAGTGCATACAAGAAGAGATGGATATTCGGGCCAAAACATACACTGATCTTGTCAACGGTAGAATAGGCAGAAAAGATGGGCTCAATTTTGACACTGTAGATGTCTTTAACTACTATTTGCAGAAAAGGAAAACTTCTCGGGTTGACCAGGCAAAGGTAGAGTATTTGTACACGCAGATGCAGGCATGGCGCGCAGGCTCTAAGGTAGATTTGAGCGCCTCTCCTGAAAATTCAAAGAATGACATATATTACATGATGGATGAGTATGTGTTTTTGAAGGTGGTTAGCCACTGCCAGAGTGTAATGGAAACTCGTGCATATGCACCCGAGGACGTGGAGGCAAATGCATTGTGTTCTTTTGTGGTAGACCTCTACAACCACTGGGGAGAGATCAAGAAGGCGCAGCTGTGCAGAGACCCTGCGATATACGACGAAGTGCTTGGTCTGTTTAGCAGAGCATTCGACTGGAAATACGACAGAGCATACCAAAAAGAGTGCAGAGAAAAGATTAGGGAGAAGGTGCTAGAAGAAGTAGCGTACTTAAGCAGGAAGGCAAGCCTTTCTGGAAACTTCAAAAAAGAGCGCACAAAAGAGAATGCAAACGCGTCTCTGTGCATTCTTCTCGATGTGCAGACAAACAGCGGAGAAAAAAACACGCAGAGCAGCTTCAGTGAAAACTTTGTGAGATTCCTCAGCCTCATGAAGTCCATTCTGTTCCTTGTGTTCTCTGTCCATAGCATGTTTTTCGACATAAAATATGCCTTGGAAGAGGGAGAGCCTGGCAACCTATCTTTCTTGAGCCTGTGGTTTGCCAATTTAGTAATTACTCCGATTTTCACACTTCTTTCCATTTCAAAAGAGCTGTACGGAGACAATATAGGGTCTAAGAAAGGCAGAGAAAGGCCAAAATCTGCGCTGTTCATATACCCCGAGGACTTTGCATACCTTGTGGGATTCTTTATTTTTATGTCGTTCACTCTGTGCTTCTTGTGCACCCCTGCCATGCAGAGACAGTGTGTATACATAATCAAATTTATTCTGTTTTTCTTCAATCTTGCGTACGGTCTGCGCAACCTATCTAAAAGCTTCACAAAGCTGCGCAGAAGAAAAGACAATCGACTGCGCCACATAGTTAGCTTCCTGTATCACACAGGGTCCCTGGTAGTGCTTCTTGCTGGAATGTACTTCTTCTTCCTTCGTGCGCCGTGGGTTGGGGACGACAAAGTTCTTAATGTTCTTGTGCGAGTTTAGACAGAAAAGGAGTAATAAATAATTTTATATGGTGTCTTCGTACAGATAAGCTTTTGTGCAACAGAAAGCCTTCAAATGTGCTGTAACTGATTATAACAAATGTTTTATTATTTTATTTTTAGCACCACTTTTATGCATTTATATCCAGTGCTACAGAATATTCGAATTTTACGGCTTACAGAGAGTAGAAGCTATAAAGTCATAGAGTGTCTTGGAATGTGCATGCTGTAATCCATGAATAGTTCCCAAATAGTGCAAGTGCACTACACAAGAAAGTGTGTGCATCGGATATGGTCTGCTTTCTTGTGTTTTATTTTCTCAAAAACCATTGTAACTAATCATTATCTGTTCATAAAAGTGCAGCAGTAGATAAGTATACAAACAGCTGTATTGCAAAGATATACCAGTAGACCAGGCATGAACAGTCTGGCTCCTAGGATATGAAATGTGCATATTGTAAAAGTGTGTATATCAATTAAACAATTATATTGTGTGAAAATGCTTTTTTAATTATGAAAAATCAGAAACTAGGATGTCTGTTTGTCTGGAGGCAAACCATTTCCTTTTCGGAACACATTGCCAATGCAATTACTTTGGGAAATATTAAATTCTCGTGTGTCTCTTTTTGGGAATTTCTTCCCATTTGACTAATTTGATTATTGTCATTAGGACAAACAGGATTTAATTAAATCAGAGCAGAAAACTATATAAAGAGAGCACGTTTCAGCAGCTAACACGTATTCCTCTATGCTTTCAAGAAAGAAACAGATAAAGAGAATACTAGGCGCAGGCACATCCCTTGCCTTTTTTGTCGAAAGATGCACAGGAAGCTGGTACAACATTTTTAGAGAGGAGGCAAGCAGCAGCAATGACCTGCACACAGGCGATGACGGGCTGGCAAATGAGATAGACTATCTAAACTTTCCTTCCAGCGACTCATACATTGATGGCGTTGGGCCGCCCAGCGAGGGACACGATTCTCTTATCAGAGTAAATGATGCAGCAGACTACTACCCGCAGATTGATAGCCAGTGTGTGGAAGGGCCTGGTGCATCTGGGAGTATTTTAAGTGAGACACCCAATAACCCGAGCATATCAAAGGATGAAAGTAGAGTAATGAGCATAATGGATGATTTGGACCTTTCCTCGAGTGAGATTCCTGTGGATGACAGCTCGTCTTTGAGTGGATACGATCCAAATGCAAATATAATCACAGATCTCTCGTATCCTCGGCCTGACCAGTACATAGCAGGGCCTACAATGTACGATTACGCTTTCAGTGATGCATATAGCATGCCTAGTACATCGGATGTTATGCACAGCTTTGGGCATTCTTCATTTATCCATCCATATGTAAATAACTCCATCTACGGTGAATACGAGCCTTTTGCTGCACTGGGAGAAATGCCATATCCCTACACACAGATAGAACAGTACACAGCAGAGCCGTATGTGGCTGAAAGCGCTTTTAAAGAAGAATTGCCTGGCGGCAGTAGAGCATTCATAGGGGAAAAAAGGAAAGCAAGCGAAAAAGACAAGATAGTGTATGTGTCCAGCTACGAATCTATGCTAGAGAAAGAAAAGCAGAAGAAAAAAGAGAAAACAGCGGATGCACCCAGCACTCTCGACCAGAAAAAAGAAGATGAAAATTCCGCAGAAAATAACAGAGAAGAAGAGCAGGACAGCTACCAGAAAGAAGAAGGCTCCTTTGAAAAGACAAGAGATAGACAGAAGATGAAGGAAATCAGCATCTGGCTGTGGAACGAAAGGAGACTCATGAACACAAGAAGAAAAGGCTACAAAACAAGCCGTAAGGCAATAGTCAACTATAAGAACTCCAGCGCAGACGAGCTCACTGTAGCAAAGTTTAAAATGTACCAGCAAAAGCTTAAGAAGGATGTTAAAGAGTTTTTCACGCAGTGCTCTTCGCTGATAAAGACAAACGCGCTGCTGTACTTCATTGCCAGCCGAAGCGCAAGCATGAACATAAAGTACATCGATCTTCTGGAAATGAAAAAGTGGCTGGTGGAAGAGGAGAGCAAGGCGTACAGAGAAATAGTGATGGGCCTTAAGGGATACTACTCTGGAGTGGTGGAAGACATGATAGGGTATATGGAAAAGCACCAGCCCATGAAAACCAGCAAGTTCGCGCCTCTAACCGTGTGGAAGGAGACAATAGGCGATATTTATGTACGCGTTTACCCCAGTCCAAACTACTTCATCCTAGCAAAGCAAAACAAGATCAACCGAGTTGGCAAGGGGCACCATGCACTGGTGTATGCTCTTTGCATGATTTTGCAGCTCTCTGAGGTGTACCAAGACTTTTCAATGATCACTGAGGACCTGATAAAAGAAACATACACCGCAGATGACTCTTATAACAACTTTCACAACAACAGAATTCTCTTGTGTCTGCACAAGATCGTGAGAATGCGCATAGAAGAAGATGAGGATGAAACAGTGTACGGTGAACTGTACAGCGTATTTAGATATAGATACGGTGAAAAAACATTGCAGACATACACGATATACGACATGTATAAGAGCATATACAGCGTTCTAGGAAAGTTCTACGAAAGGGTAGCAGTGTTCGATAAGAGCAACAAGTACATTCTAGCAGGAAAGTGCATGATAACAAATCAAAGGTACATAAAATGCGAGCTGACAGAGAGCATAGCACCAAACGATCCGAATGACAGAGTGCTGTCTCCTACCTACTCACTCGAAGAGAACAAGTGGAATGTTTCGCCAGACATACACAGGCACTACCACGTGCACTACGTGGACAACGCCACGAACCGCCTTAAAATCCTGTGCATGCCTATTTATGTAGATGAAAACGAACAGGAGCACTATCTGCACACAATCGGGTGCATAGTGGAGTACATAAAAGTGCTGTACGAGCTGGAGATAGAGTCTGATCTTATACACCCGTTTAAGATAAGGAAAGGGACTAGAAAGTGGTCGTACATCAAGAAGGAGGAGAGAAATAAAACAGTGAAAGATTTTGCGGGGCACGAAGTGTTTTTCTACTACATAAAGGAGTATTCAGAAATGAGCAGTTTTACATTTGCAGAGTTTTGGTCTTTGAGCCCGCACAATGCAAACGTTATTTGCATTCCGCTCTTCCTTACGCCTCTCATGCAGGCTGCAGTGGAGCTGGGGCCTTTTGCTATGGAAAAAGAGCACAGCAAGCTAAGCTCAATAGAGCTTGAGGAGAAAGTGCCCGATGTGTACAAGTATGATGAAAGCTACAACGATAAAGAGTATTCAGACATACACAACTACTACAGCAATCTCTACATAGTCCTGGACGCAGAGAAAGAAGATGGTGTTGACTGCTACGTTATGGACTACAAGTCTTCTAGGAAAGAGGACAATGCCATCAAGATCGAATGGTACGTGAGAATGCCTAGCAGCATAGACGAGTACACACACTTTGTGCCGGATAAGGCCTTCAAAAAGAAAGAAAACTCAGACAAGTTTAATGCCTTTATCAAAACACTGGAGTCAAGAGAGCACAACAGAGACAGCGATCTGCAGGGCGTTTGGCTCCGCAACAATGCTGCAGAAGAGGACGGGATGATGTGCTGGACACAGAAGATATTCAACTTCATACACGACAGCAAGTACTACAACCCGGAAATGGCGAAAAAGGGGCTGAATGAGATCAAGAGAAAAATAGAAATAGCAGAGGAGAAGTTTAAGCGTGCAGAAGAAGCCTATAAGACCTTGGGGAAGATCAACACAAAAGAAGACACAGACAAGAAGAAACAGGAGAAGAACTCCGCATGCAGTAAGAAGTGCAGAGCGAGAAAAAAGCTGGAAGCGCTCTACAAAGATCTGTACATAAAGCTTTCCAAAAAGCCAGATCTGAAAACAGAGTTTATAGTGTTTCGGAACGTGAATAGGAGCAAGTCCAATCTGGGGGCGCACAACGAGGTTCTTGATGTTTTAATTTCATCGTACAGGTGCCAGTTTGGTGATGGTAATGAATAAATAGCACTAGTTAAATTGTTGCCTAGCTCCCCTATTAGATGCTGCACTGGCTGCGGTTTATGTGAATAGCATAAGAAAACACACAGAACTGTTTAAAAAGTGTCTAGAGAGACGAGTTTTCTTACTTTGTGATGTAAATGGGAGAGTTATCTGAAGAGATTCACAGTTTATGCAGCTTGTATTATGGAGAAACAGAACGGTGCTCTTAGCTTAGCTCTTAAATAGCAAAAATGATTTTTTTAGGATGAAAAATCAGGAATTAAGGAAAATTCTAGGTATGGGCATTGCGCTGCTTGCTTTCTTTACCATGGCGTGCGAGGGAAGCGGAAATCCTTGCAGTAAGGATGATGCCAGCGCTAATGCTCTGTCTACTGGAGGAAAAAGAAAAGGACAGAAAACAGACAGTTCCATGGATGCGCCTGCAGATGAGCCTAAATTCAAAAACAGGAAAAAGAAGAAAGAAGATGATCCGTCGAAGGAGGCGTCGAGTGCCAGCTGTTCGCAGCAGGAGATTGAAATCATGATGGAGGACAGCGAGCAGCCAGCTCTGGATGAAGAAATGTCAGAGCCTGAAGAGACAGGAGAAGATAAACAGGAGGGCTTAAAACCAAAAAAAATTGACATTAGGCTGTGGAAAGTCAGAAGACTGGAGAACAAAAGGAGAAAGGGGTACAAGGCAACGCACCAAGCCATATACACCACCTCTTTTTCTGATGAGTACATAGCCCGGGAGGCAAAAATGAAGTGCTATCAGGAAAGGCTGAAAAACGACATTAAAGTCTTTTCAACAGAAATTGCCCCTTCGATAACAGAGAGCCCGCTGTGGTATTTTATTGCAATTTTGTCTACAAACATAAAGACAAAGTACAGAGATCTCTGGACACTGAATGCGCTGTTTGCGGACAAGAAAGATGATGAGTACAGGAAAATAGTAGAGAACCTTGACGGATACTATCCCGGTTTGTTTGACGACCTGATAGCGTATGTGAAAAAACACCAGCCAATGAGAACAAAGAAAAAAGACCCTTTGACATACTGGAGAGAAACCTTGGGCGATGTCTATATACGGAAAGAAATTGAGCCAAACTTCCACATGCTGGAAGGCCAGAAAGAGATCTGCCAGATAAATGGAAAATACCATGGAATAGTGCACGCAGTCCGCATGATTCTGATGCTGCCGGAAGTGTACGAAGACTTTTCCAAAATGAGCATATACCACCTGTCCAAGACCCAAACATCTGACGACCCGCTTGCAGATAAAAAAAACAAAAAAATTCTCATGGCACTACACGGCATAGTTAAAAGAATAAAAAATAACGAGGAACGCACAGCCAATGTGTACAAAGAGCTCTACAACTCTTTTACACAGATATACGACGCGGATAAAATGTTGGAGATAAGTGCCACTGACCTGTACAAAGATATTTATACAGCTCTCGGGAAGTTCTATGAAGAAGCAGAGGTTTTTGATGAAAATAAGTATATTCTCGCAGGGAAGCCTGTGATAAAAAACCAGAAATATGCGAAATGTGTAGTAAAGTCAGATATACTCTCAGAGGATCTGGATAGACGAGTTCTAAGCGCAGAATACGCATCTGAGGAGGGCAGATGGAATGTTTCACTCAATGTGCATAAGCACTACCACGTGTACTATGTTGACAACACAACAAACCAGGTCAGACTGCTCTGCATGCCCATACACCAAGAAAGTGAAAGCAAGGAAGAGCTGTACCTGCACACAATTAACGACATAGTAGAGCATATAAATGAGCTGTATCAAATAGACGCAGACTCAGGCCAAATACACCCTTTTAAGGTGAAAAAAGGGACTAGGAAGTGGTCGTACATCAAAGGGAAAGAGAGAAAACAAACGATGAAAGACTTTGCAGAATACGAAGTAGTCTTCTACCGCATTGAAGAAGACCCAAGCGTAAAAAAGTTCACGTTTGCAGAGTTTAGGCCTTTGGACCTGCATGAGAAAGGGTGTATCTGCATTCCTTTGTTTCTTACTCCTCTGGTGCAATTCGCAGTCAAATTGGGGCCTTTTAACAAGAGAGAAGAACATGAAGAGATTGAATCGATAGAGTTTGAGGATAAAGTGCCTAGCATCTACGAGTACAACAACAAGAACAAGAAAAAGGGGTTTTCCAGTGTGCACAAATACTACAGCAATCTATACATACTGCCGGACGCAGAAAAGAAAGTTTCTGTAGACTGCTACACCATGGAGTGCCAGAGCGTTAGGCAGCAAGATAATACTATTGAGGCTGTGTGGTATGTGAGAACACCCGATAGCGTGGACGAGTGCACACACTTCATACCAGATGAGACTTTCAGAAAAAAAGAAAACTTGGAAAAGTTTAACAATTTTATCGAAACATTGAAGTCAAGGGAATATAATAAGGGAAGCGATCTGCAGGGCTTCTGGCTAAGCACTGACAGCACAGGGGATGAAATGGCAGAAAACACGGCTGATGAAATGCATATATGGCTGCCAAATAGAAAATGCGATAGAAGTATGGCCAAAAAGACCCTGAAAGACTACCGCCTGGAGATCAGCTTGACAAAAGAAAAGATAAAAACAGTAGAGAACGAGCAGCAGAAGAGTTCGGAAGAGCTAAGCAGCTCTGAAGACGCAGTAGAGGTAGCGAGAAGAAAGAAATCGGTGAACTCTTCGAAAAACTACACAAAAAAGAAGCTGAAAATCCTGTATCAAAATCTATACATAAAAAGATCTGAAAGGCCGAACACCCGCATGGAGCTCATAGCATTCCGCAACGTGAACAACAGCAAGTCCAATATAGGAGCAAACAACGAGATTCTTGACATCTTAATCACCCGTTACAACCACATGTCGCCGCGTATTATTGAATAAATACTGTTCTTCTAACCATCCTGAGTTTATATTTGTCTAGTCCTATTTCTGTGTAGTGCAGATGCTCTAAGAGTTTTGAAAATCAGAGCAGGCAGTGTGTTGGATGGTATATAAGAGAATAGATGCATATAAGAGTGAAGTATCTTCTAATGTGAAAGTGTAACCGGCATACTTTGTCAGCTGGATTATTATGCTACGAGATGAATTAAGAAAGTGTAAGAGTAGGTAAGAAAAATAAAAATAAAATTCACTTGAGAATAAAAGTGTGCATGCTGATGTGTAAGCCTGTTCTACTTTTTATTCTAGCAGAGTTTTATTTTTATTTTTGCTAGAAAAGAAAGTAGTGAAAAAGTATGAGAAAAACAATA